TTTGAAGTTTTCAACTAGCCGAGGTTAAAAAAGAAAAAAAGCTTCGAAGAAGACTTTGATCCACAATATATGCGTAGCGAGATTTGATTCTTGTTTTATTCAAAAAAAAAAAACCTTTCATATGATTAAAGTTTTGATAGTATTGCGGATCGGGGCAATCACTGGCACTGTAGGAAGGATTTTTCTGCTGGAGGATCGGCAGAAGTTTGAGCTGGACCAGATGCTATGGCGGAGTAGTCGAAAGGCTGATTTTCGTGCATGTACTGTTCGAATGCATCATTTCTCTGTGCGGAATAAAAATCTAGTTGTCCACTCGGGACTTTGTTCTGGAAGTTGGAGATCCTTTTTAAAATTCTCATGATTGTACTAAATTGAAATGACTTTATGAGAGACCTGCGTTTTTTTTACTGGATCATTTCTCATGAATAAATATCTAGGTGAACTTTCATTATTAGATGAAAAAAAATTTTCGAAAATTATAGACCCTAATAACGTTTTTTTCTCTAACTTCAATCACTCTCCGCGTTTTTTTATTTTTGTTTATCTCATAATATATTTTTGACTAAAAACTTCGCAAGTTTTTCCATTGCACTCGCTGTAGTAAATCAAATTATTCAATTTTTTTGCTCATGTAATTAGGAACTTCGGGGTTACGAACACTAAATTCGCACTCGCCGAGCTTCAGAAAAAGAGAAGAAAATTGATAAAAGACCTAAGAAAGAGGTTTATTGAGTCATTTTTTTGCTTGGACGTCTGATTTTTCAGTCTCATTTCTGGGCTTCTTTTTCGCTTTATATACATTTTTTCTCTAAGGACAAGAGGATTGAAGTTCAAAAGTGAAAGAATTAAATATTGCTTCGGACGACAAAATTAAAGGTTTTTGGTTGATTTTTCAAGGTGAATCATTTTGGTCGTTATTGGGCAGGCTTCATGTATCGATAATCCCCTTCTTTCATCGTAACTTGGGAGTGACCATGTTGAAAAACTTATCAAAAAAAGCAATGTAGAATTGGTGGTAAATGAGTTACTTTCGAATGATTCATTGAAAAAGGATCAGAAACTTTGTGGAACACTAAAAAGCCGTATTTTTTTCATATATTCATTTAAAAAAAGTAAAGGTTAATAATATTTAGCCTACAGCTTGTCTGGCTCAAAAAATCGAAGAAAAGTTACTTTAATCTATTTATCCGGTTTTCGAAGAAGATTTGGACCTCGTGGGACTGAAAACTCAGTTCTCACCAAGGCTTGAAATATCGGAAAAAAAAATTGGAAACAGAAATGAATGCCTCGTGGGAAAACTTTGAAGTTTTCAACTAGCCGAGGTTAAAAAGGAAAAAAAGCTTCGAAGAAGACTTTGATCCACAATATATGCGTAGCGAGATTTGATTTTTTTTTCTGCTCGTAGGGGTAGGAAAGTCCAAAGTGATTTGAGTAAAAAAAAAAACTAGTTTTGATAGTTCAATTAGGTATATGATTTTTAGAATAATGAATGGCTAATTTTTACTGTTCGATAGATACAAGATTGTGGAGAACTAGAGCGGGCTGCTAAATAAAATATTCAGTTTTTCTGTTTTCAGTTAGTTTTATGAAAAAGAAGTCGTCGTTTTTTCGGAACTTGTTTTTTTCTGAAAGATTAAAGCAACCTATAATAGCTGAAAATTATGTGTCTGGATGAATCACTGTCTTAGAATTTGATTATTAGAACATATGAAAAAAAGTTAATTAGTTTAGTCATCTTTGAAAATAATAAAAAAAGGTATTCAAAATTGAACAGTTTGCCTCTGTTTTTTTCTCGTTCACGCATGAACTTTTCCAACACATTAGAAGAATATATGAATAAGTTTTCGACTTCGCGCCACGCTGAAAAATCAGCTCTAGCTCTCAAAGGTTTGAATAAAAAAAAATCGAGAACATTTGAAAAAGCTTTGTTGAAAACTTTACGAAAAAAAATTCTCGGCTTTTCAGTTATTCACAATATTCCTTGTGAGAAACTCATCAACAATAAAATCACGCAGTTTGATGCCTCGTGAAGAAATCGCTCTCCAACTACTTGAAAGAGTCTTTTCTGCTCCGAGGTAAAAAATAAAAAATAAGCTAATAATTGCGAAAAAATCATGAGGATCCTCGTGGTAACGCAAAAAATGTGAAACGCATCCGAGGTTGAGAAAGGAGAGAAAAATAAATTGAAAACAGAAATGAATGCCTCGTGGGAAAACTTTGAAGTTTTCAACTAGCCGAGGTTAAAAAAGAAAAAAAGCTTCGAAGAAGACTTTGATCCACAAGATATGCGTAGCGAGATTTGATTCCTGTTTCATTCGAAAAATAATTATGTCTTTAATTGGTGTGTAGGTTCTTGCGTTTTATTGTAATTAATGTATAGTACTTTTAGTTCACCTTCCGGAATGATGAAAGTGCTGATGGTATTGAGGGTAATGCCAATTGTTTGTTTGATTTGAAGGATTTTTCTCGAAGTTAAAAAAATTTTTAGTTCCACATCCCAGGTACACGATAGTTTGGCTTCAAATTCACTTCTGGAACTTCGTCTCTTTTCGTCGAGTTCTCGTCATGACCTTATAAGAGGCCGGCGCTATTTTCTTTCAAGAACTGAATTATTTTTCATGAATGAAAATCTAGGCGAAGAAATAAATCACAATATCATTTTCCGACTTCTTTATGACGATTTGAACTACTTCCTGTAATAAAAAACAGCCAAATTTTTGTTCATGTAATTGGGAACTTCGGGGTACCGAGCACAAGTCTCGAACTCTCCGAGCTTTAGAATGGAGACAATTTTTTTCATTAACCTCTGAGAAAGTGGTTTTCGCAAAAACAGTTTTGGTACACCTCAAATTATTCTGACGCGAGTTCAATTTTTTTATTTTTGTTTTTACGCGGCCATGATCATTATCCTTATTGCGATAGCAGTTTTGTGCACTTGAATTATTCTGAGGCGCGTTTTTTGATTCTTTTTTGGTGCAAAGAAAATAAAAATAAATATTTTTTTGATCTTTTATCTATGAGAAATCTCAAAATATAAGACAAAAAAATGCCAAAATTCACAAGCAAAAAGAAAAAAATTCTCTTTTTGTATATAATATTCCAAAAGTTAGTAACTTGAATCGAAAAAAATTTTTGATTCTCGGGCTCCTGAGAGCATTCTTCCTGCGGAAGAATCAACCTAAAAACAACAAAAAAATGTTGTTTCCGGCATACCGAGATATGTAAAATAAAGAAAATGTAGAATTCCGGTGCTACGAAAAGTAGAATTGTTGTGAAATTGATAGAACACGACTTAGTTAGAGACCTCGTGGAAAATCGGAAATCGTGTATCTAATTACCCAAACTTGAAATTCAAAAAAATGAAATTAGAATTCATTCAAAATAGGATTGGTTCTGTTTTTGGACCTCGTGCAATCCAATGGATTGAGCTATCCGAGGGTTAGAAGTAACAAAAAAATACTACAGTCTATGTGCTGCTTAAATTTAGCATAATTTATCAAACGTGTTAAAAGAAATTTTTTTTGTTTCTACTTATTGTTATTTTTGGCGAAAAGTCTGAATTGTTTTAGTGAGTAAATAAAAAAAGAAGAAGAAAAAAAGGCAACTTCTACAAAAAAATGACCGTTTTTTTCTTGGTGATATAGCAGAGACGAAACACATCCAAAATTGAGAAAAGAAAAGAAATGAAAAAGAATTAAATCAAAGCTAAATGTTTCAGAACGGTTGCTTTCGTCGAACTTCTGCTTGGCTATCTACGTAATTCAATTAAATCTGTGGTTATTGTGGAAATAATAAAAAAAGCTCTTTTGCATTTGTGCTACTGAAACAGTTTCGTTATTCTATTTTTGTTTTTTTCGCGAATTATAGGCCTTTGAAACGTTTTTCTATTGATATTTTGTATTCAAAACAGTTGTGAAATAAATAATTTTTGCAGTATTATCTAAGTTTCCATTATCATATTTTTTCATGAACTCGCCTGTGAGAAAAAAGGAAAAAAGTTCAGCAGGCTTTAATTAATAGCTACGGAGAAACATTAATTATGCTCGACAGTAAATTTCCTTTTAGTTTCTGAAACTATCTCTTATCTATGCGTTTTTTTCGATGGAAAATATAATCCAAACCTTCACAAACCCAAAAAAAAAGTCTCTCTGTCGAAGTTGATATTCCTAAAATTAGTAACTTAGCTTGAAAAATTTTGATTCTCGGGCTCGTCAAAGCATTCTTCCTTGGAAGAATCAACCTAAAAACAACAAAAATGTTGTTTCCGGCTTACCGAGACAAAAAAAGCAGAAAAAGACAAAACTTTGGCCTGAAATGAGATTTGGTTGTGTAATACACTAAATGAAAATCTTTGAATTGAAGCGGTTTGATCCCTCGTGCAGAAATCGCCTCTCCAATTTCTTGAGAGAGTCTTCTCCGCTCCGAGGTAAAAAAGTTCAAAACTTACCGAGTGGTTTTTACAAACCGAATATGCTCATTATGAGTGTAAGAAAAAATTTTCGGAGGCCTCGTGGTTTCGCAAAAAAAGCGAAACTCAGCCGAGGGGAAAAAGAAGAGAAAACTTCGAAGAAAAGAAGATTCTCTAACAACAATCTATGCGTTGGGGGTTCAAATAAATAAAAAAAAGGGAAACACAACAGAAAATGGAATGAAACCAAATACTCTAGGTGATTCATCAAAATAGTTTATATTCGCTCAGTTTGAAAAAAAGAGGATAAAAACCCAAAAAGTTCGAGAGAACTTTTTTTAAAAAAAGCTGAAAGACTGGCCGAAAAGCCCAGAGTAGAAATGAATGAGAGGAAAAACACACATTTTTTGTTCATTTGCCATTTTTTTTGACTCAACACAAATATCAAACTTTTCTTTCTGTATTCCGATTCTAAGAAAAGTTTTCAAACATCGATATGAACTTTTGTATGTTTGACATAATGAAAACTTATCGTTTTAGCGTTCCGGATGCAAAACTGCTAATCTAAGAGAAGAATTTGGGAATATCTTCAATGGAACGGGGAATTTGTATTCCTGTATTCCAATCCCACAAAAATATCAAGTCGTGCATCCAATATGAAACCCCCAATTCGAAAAGCAAAACCTCTGAAAACCAAGAACTTCTCCGGACGAGCCAAAAAGAAAAACCAAAGTGGCTTGAAGAAACCTGCTGGCGCAGTTCGATCAGTGGTTCACTTGGCAAGAAATGGCTCGACATTGGAGAAATTCTCGGCGGTTTTTCACTTTTTCCCTCCCCATAATGATAAGAATCATTTTTCGGAAATGCACGTGAAATTCGAAAAAAAGGAATAGAATTGGAATATTAGGTCACAAATTCTTTGTTGCCACCATAGACTTCCCACAACTCCACGAGGAAAAAAACAAACGCAATCCGAAAAATTTTGGAGAAATGCAAAAAGAACTTTTTCTGTTTTTTTAAATGAGAAATAAATGGCTCAGAACAGGAAAAAGATGTTCTTCTCAAATCCATAGAAAACTCTGATGATAAATGGCTCAAAAAGAATCCTCGTAAATGAAAGAATTGTTTAGCGAGAAAGTAGATGGGAGAACTTCAAAATTAGTTATATAAAAAAACATCTAAAAAAATCCTAAAAAAAGCAAGAAAAATAAAAAAGAAATGTCAGACTTGTTCTCAAGTAGGAAAGGAGGATGAGTAATAAATATCTGAGGCCAGAGACGAAGTTGTAAAAAAAAAGATGAGAAATCCTAAAATATCTGGAGAATCCTAAAAAAAGGGCAGAGACGGAAGCGAGCGGGGTGCCCGGACGGCTGCTGGCGGCTAGAATGAGCGAGATGGCTGCAGTCGCCACGCCCCTCTTCCCTCCGCCGTCTTCCTATTGGTCGGAGCGAATGATGACAAACGGTCTTGAACGGAAGACGCCGACGCGTTTCGAAAGCGAGGCGTGCTCGAGGCGAAAGGGGGAGGTGACAGTCGCCCTTTTCGAGAAATCGTGTGCAGTTTTGTTGAGAAAGAATTGATGAATCCGGAGTTTTTGCTGCTCAAAAAAAGGGAAGGTCAGAGATCGAAAAAAATCTTTCATAATTTTTGGAGTGATTTGTTACTGAAATAAATTTTTGAAGCGTCCCATTTTTTTAATTCAAATAATTCATTTTAAAAAAAGTAAAAAAATAGATTTTTCCGATCACAAAATTTCTTGTTTTTCAAACGAAAGAATGTCTTTTTTCGCTTATAATGGGCATTTTTTAATTGATCTCAGTAAAAAAAGCCTTTTTTTGCACAAAGTTCCGGGAATTTTTCATGTTCAAAATTAACCGGAAAAATCTAAAAAGATTATTTTTTTAGCCGCTTTCGAATCTGAATAACCAAGAGACGACGTCGTTTCCTCTTGGAATGCGAGGCCGATTCGTTGATTAATCTTCAACTCCTTATCTTCTGTCGGTCGGGAGTTAGCTCTTGCGAAATAAGAAGTTCTTCCATACTAAAATTTTGAATTTTTGAATTTTCTTATGAAAGCCGTTTAAGTAAACAGAATCATGAAAAAAAGAACATTTAGATCTGAAAATTTTAGTGTTTTTTTTTTGTTTATAAAGAGCGCTTGAAAATTTGAAAAGTTTGAGATCTGAATAAAAAACGACAGGAAATCCGAAAAAAAGCAAAATGATGGAAAAAACATTTTTTTTCTACGATCGGAACTTGGGAGTGGAAAGGCTAGATGAAAATGGACAAACTCGGAGACTTTTTTCCGTGATCAGCTCGGCCTTTGCAGACAATCTCCAGCACCTTCATGGAGAAACGGACGTCGCCATCTTCACCTGTATTTATGAACAAAAAAATCTTTTTCTTTTTTATAATTTTTTTGAGCTTCGCTGCGGAGTAACTGCTTTTTTTCTATTAGGATTTTTTTGCCAAAACTTGAAAAAAATGGAAAAAAATGTATAATCTTAACTTAACTTTGTCGTGTTATCTACAAATTTAAAAATCCGTGTCTTCTGATTCACTGGATTCATCGAAATCAGCCTCATTTTAATCTATTTCTGTTCTCCATGGGGCGCATGCGAAAAAACAAGAGAAAAGGCGGGAAATGATTTTGTAAAAAGTAGTTACTTAAAAACTTCATAAATTTCGAAAACTCTGGAGTATGTTATTGTATTGACGTCAATGCTCCGACGATTTCGGGTCCACCGTTGCGCGCAACAAAAAGGAGCTCTTCTGATTTATTATAATTTCCCCTTTTTTGATTTCTCTGATGTCTGAATAAATGAAAAGAGGTGAGTGTATTTTCGGTGTTCTTGGAAGTAATAGAAAGCTCCGTTGGTTTCGTGCTGAAGCAGCCTTCTTTTTCTACGTTTTTTCAAGTTTTCACAAACGAAAGAAGAGTAGTCTCTGTCGAACGTATCATTCCAAAAGTTACTAAGATCACTTGATAAATTTCGATTCTCGGGCTCCTGAGAGCATTCTTCCTTGCAGAAGAATCAACCTAAAAACAACAAAAATGTTGTTTCCGGCTTACCGAGACAAAAAAAGCAGAAAAAGACAAAACTTTGGCCTGAAATGAGATTTGGTTGTGTAATACACTAAATGAAAATCTTTGAATTGAAGCAGTTTGATCCCTCGTGCAGAAATCGCCTCTCCAATTTCTTGAGAGAGTCTTCTCCGCTCCGAGGTGAAAAAGTTCAAAAAAAACTTACCGAGCGGTTTTTTCAAACCGATTATGCTCATTATGAGAGTCAGAAAAAAAAAAATTTCGGAGGCCTCGTGGTTACGCAAAAGTGCGAAACTCAGCCGAGGTGTAAAAGAAGAGAAAACTTCGATGAAAAGAAATTTCTCTAACAACAATCTATGCGTTGGGGGTTCAAATAAATAAAAAAAAGGGACGGACAGAAAATGGAATAAAATCAAATACTCTAAGTGATTCATTGAAATAGTGTATAATCACTCAGTTTGAAAAAAAAAAATGAGGATAAAACCCAAAAGTTCGACAGAACTTTCTGAAAAAAGGCTGAAAAAGATTGACCAAAAAGCCCAGAGTAGAAATGAATGAGAGAAAAAACACACAATTCTTGTTCATTTGCCATTTTTTTAACTCAACAGGAATATCAAACTTTTCTTTCTGTATTCCGATTCCAAGAAAAGTTCTCGAGCATAATGATTTATTTTCTTATGTTTGAGATAAGGAAGATTAAACCTTTTAGCGTTCCGGATGCAAAACTTAATCTTAGCGAAAAAGCTGGGGATATCTTCGATGCAACGGGGAATTTGTATTCCTGTACTCCAATCCCACAAAAATATAAATTCGTGCATTCAATATGAAGCCCCCAATTTGAAAAGCAAAGCCTCTGAAAACCAAGAACTTCTCCGGACAAGCCAAAGGAAAAAACCAAAGTGGCTTGAAGAAACCTGCTGGCGCAGTTCGATCAATGGTTCACTTGGCAAGAAATGGCTCGACACTGGAGAAATTCTTGCCGGTTTTTCACTTTTTCCCTCCCCATAATGATAAGAATCGATCCTTGGAAATGCACTTCGAATTCGAAAAAATGAATAGAATTGGAATATTAGGTCACGAATTCTTTGTTGCCACCATAGACTTCCCACAACTCCACGAGGAAAAAACAAACGCAATCCGAAAATTTTGAGAAACGCAAAAGAACTTTTCTGTTTTTTGAATATGAAATAAATGGTTTAGAACAGGAAAAGATGTTCTTCTCAGATTCATAGAAACTCTGATGATAAATGGCTCATAAAGAATCCTCGTAAATGAAAGAATTGTTTTGCAAGGAAGTGGATGGGAGAATTTCGAAATTAGTTATGGAAAAAAAACATCTAAAAAGATCCTAAAAAAAGCAAGAAAAAAATAAAAAAAGAAATTTCAGACTTGTTCTCAAGTAGGAAAGGAGGATGAATAATAAATATTTAAGGCCGGAGACGGAATTGTGAAAATAAAAGAAGCAAAATCCTAAAATATCTGGAGAATCCTAAAAAAGGGGCAGAGACGGGAGGAAGCGGAGTGCCCGGACGGCTGCTGGCGGCTAGAATGAGCGAGAAGGCTGCAGTCGCCACGCCCCTCTTCCCTCTGCCGTCTTCCTATTGGTCGAAGCAAATGATGACAAAAGGTCTTGAACGGAAGACGCCGAAGCGTTTCGAAAGCGAGGCGTGCTCGAGGCGAAAAGGAGGGGGGGGGGTACCAGTCGCTTTTTCCGACGCGAAACCGCTGTTTCAAATCAAATGTATAAGGAATCTGAAGTTCTCAGAATTTCGAAAAAAATTCTTCAGATTTGAGGAACCAGACTTTTCTCAGAAATTTTTTTTCAACGACACATTTTTTTGTTTGAGACCGAATTTCTCTGTCCGCGGACACTCAATGATGAAAAGAAAATGGATTTTTTATGATTTATCACGTAGTTGCATCGAAACATTGTCGAAAATAGAGTACATTGTTCTCAAAAGGTCTTCTCCCTTTTAACTTCTCAAAATATCGGAAAGTCTTTTTTAAAGTGGGTTCAAAGTTCGTACAAAAACTCTTAGTAAGGGCCAGGTTGCAAGAAAATGGTTTGCTGAAGAGATCTTGGATAGCGATTCTTGGAGGTTACAAGTTTTTATCTAATAGAAAAAAAGGATAATAATGAATGTGGGAATATTCAGTAGGTTAAAAACTGAACAATGTATTTCGATTAACTTACCGTTGCTCGTAAAAATCCAAAAATAGCATTTTTTTTTCTATTTTCCGTGAAACTGTTTCAAGAAATTTTTCAAATGATAGTGAAAAACGAAATTCTTGATTTGAATGTCTATCGCAATTATATTACGCGCCACCCTGTCGAAGACCTCGTCAGGAATCAACGTTCAACAGTTCCCTTGATTGGCTACCCCGTAGAAGTTTTTGAGCTATTTTTTTTCTTTCGAGATGTCTGCGGTGGTTTAAAACGGTAAACGTGGACATTAGAAAAGTGGATGGTGACAAAAGTTAAAAAAGAAACGTGACGTTCTTTTGTGAATCCAATCACGTGACTGCAAGAAAAAAGAAGATCCCTTTACTGTGAAGAAAAAGAAACAACTGAATTTCCGCGAAAGATTTTTTTAACGACGGGACTTCCTTCCGGAATTCCACTGCAATGTCGAAACTAATTCGGAAAAAAATTTGATTCAAAAAAAAGAAGTTATTTTCAAATTTCGCGTCCTTTGGGGGATTCAAGTAGTCCATAAATTAAATCTAACAAGGCTAGCCTTTTTTTAAACAAAACAAAGTGAGGAAAACACGAAAATAAAAAATTTTAGACTCACGTTTGAACCTTACAACTTGTCGGTCTATACGCTACTCGAAACCCGCTATTCCTATCTTTTTTATCAAAAAGTAGAACTTATCCATGTTTTTAGTTGGTAGCTTCATCTGTATTGATTGCTAGGCTTGCTTAAAACTGTTCAAAATCTACAAAGCCGAAAAAGTCATCAGAAATATCTACTATATGAAACAGCACATTCAAAATCGGGAGAGTGAAAAATGAAAAACACGAAAGTTTTTTTTTATTGAGTCTTACTCCCGGCAACTTGGAGTAGAAGTTGAACAGGACGTGCCTGAAAATGGCATAGGACAGCATTTTCTTTCTTCTTCTGGTTTCTTTTTTCTTTTCAAACAAGCGACAGGGACGGCTGTTCTGCACGTGCAAAAGATGAAAGAAGTTGCCGCGAGCGGCACAGACTCCGAATAAGAAAGGTTCCCCAGAAGGCTCCACTTGAAAACCTCATGTGGACGACGGAATTTTGAAAGAAGTCGCCGACATTTTCGGCATGCCTTTTATAAAAAATGGTGGACCTCTTTTCGGTTTCAGTCCAAATTTTGGCGATCAAAAAGTTCAAAAATCAAAATTTTTGAAACATTAAGTTTACAAGTACGACTATTCTCAAGTATTTTTTCTAGTTTTTTGACTCACTGCAATAAAACTAGGTGAACCCGCTACCATACACCAAATGTTCTTCTTTCCCAAAAAAATTCTCAGATGACGAGTCCAATAAAAAGACACTTTTTCACATGACTAAGCAAACGAACGTCGCGAATGGACATGTCTTGCCCTTTCAGAATAACATTTCGCGATTTGAAAAAATGGGGGATGTGTAAAGCGCAAGTGACCGCGTTCGCTAGGCTACTGTACTGCAGGTGCAGAAAATGAAAAAAGCTGTCGCGAACGACGTAAACACCGAATACAAAAGGCTGAAAGGTTCGAAGACCAGATGTGCGACTTCGAAAGCCCCTTCCTACAAATTCTGACTTTTTTTTTGTGAAGACCGAGTTTTGTTTCCGATAGGCTAGCTTTCTGTAAACGAAAAATGGAAATCTTTGAACAAAATATTATAAACTTGTGCACGTAATAAAGTTACCAGTTGATTTGATAATTGCGTTATGATACATTTTCTCGAGATTTGAACGGTTTGATTATAAGCTCAATAAATATTAGGTACGCTGCAACTCTCTGAGAGAAAATGAGATTTAAGAAAAAATATCATCTTTCAAATACAGCATAAAAAAAATTTTTAACGACGGCTTCCACAAAAGTGCTTTTTCTATGAGTAATCGGGTTGACGCGAATTCGCCGCGTTGTTAGAAAAAAGCGACATCGCAATTCGAAAGACGGCGAAACGATGATTCTAGAAACATTGCTGTTTTTCAAAAAAGGAAATTTTTCGAAGTATTTTCACTTTTTTTTCAAAAAGAAAATTCGAAAACTATGACGATTTATGATTGTTCGGATAATTGGTAATCACTCTTGTCAATGATTCTTTCAGTATGAAAGAAGTCTCATGTCATCTTAAATCCATGCTCAATTTATCTATGACAGGTACGGCAAGTCTCTCAAAAAAAAAAATTTTTGGAGCCTTCTCTTTCTCTTCCACTCGAATTTCACTGACGTTCGAAAATTGCAAGCCTTTTCCATGATCCCATTAAACTTTAAAAATATTTGAAACCTGAATATGTGGAAATAATTTCATTTCAATGATGCTAGACACATTTTTCTTCAGTGTAAGACTTTCGGGCGACTACTTCCTGGGAACAGCCGCTCTCGGGTTTTTTTCTCGGCTTCTAAAAAGATCGATGTCGCTTCTTTTTGTACTTTGAGTGCAACGGAGATCCGTTAATTAATCTTCCACTGCTCTTCTGTGGGCCGTGGGCAAACAGCACAGAGAATCATTTTTACACAGAACGTCCGAAACCTTTCTATTTTCGCTCAACAGAATTATAATGCGGGATTTTCTGGCTGTTTGATATTGGAATTTTTCATGAATAGGCTCGGCTTCAATATTTTCAAAAACGACCCCGATTTCCTTCTGAGCAGCCAATGAACGTGGAACAATGAGTTTTGTCTTTTCTGAAAAACCCGTCGCGAGCCAAACGATGGGAAGTTGAAAAAACCGCGAGCGGCGTTGCATTCGCATTGGCAGCATTTTTTGAGGGACCTTCTTTACATAAATTAGTGAAAAAGCAATTGGATTTTTATTTCAAGTTTTCTTTCTCTTCCGAAAAATGCATCAACTAAAAACAAATTCAAAAAAATATAAAGGTCTGGGGTCTCTTCGAATAAATAAACGCTCCCTCTAGGTTTTCCACGACATGTGCTGCAATGGGATTGCGCAACAAAAAAGATGGTTTACAAGCCAGACACCCTGGGAAAGCTTCCACGTGGCGCGACATACAATATCGAACATCTGGATTAGCTGTACATCCAAACAATATCGGAAATCGTGTTCATTACTTTTTCGACCACTCCTCTGGGTTCCACATACAAACTACCCTGGAAAAAAAAGAAAAACTTGCATTCTAAATGAGAAAAGTTTCAAATTCGAGAAAAAAAAAAAGTTCAGAATAACAGTAGCCTGCCCTGAAAAATTTATCTTGATTGGAAAAAGAAAGGAAATTTGTTTTAATTGAGAGAAACAAATCCATAAGGTACAAAAATATATATTTTAAAAAAATATATGCTTGTGAAGAAAAAAAGTGCTTTCACTCTGAAACCAACTATAAGTAAATTGGATGCAGTACCTAAACAAAAATTAAAATTACAGAGAAAATATTGGACTCGCAGAGTTTTTGACCAGTGAAATTTTTTTGCGGTCAGCGGTCAGCCTGAGAGCGCGAACGATGGGAGCGCGCGAAAAACGCGTATATAAGGGGGGCCGCTCGGCCGATACGCACAGTCGTATGAGAGACCTCTCCTCTCGTTTTGGTGTCGCCAATGCTGCCTTCAGCTGCACGTCTTCTGATGAACGACCTCCGATAGACGACTTCTTGTGGACGAGCTCTGCAGCATGGAATGCCAGCCACACTCCAGCCGCCACAAGGTTTCTGGGCCATGCACGAATTCGCTTGCAACACGACAACTCATCAAGAAAATTTCACTTTGAAGGGGACATCGCCGTGAGTTTTCGAGACTTTGGAATTTCACATTAGAATTGATATTTCAGTGCCTTCTGTCTGCGGCGATGTCTGGGCGTTCGCTGGAATCGAGAAGTGGTGGTGCGGGTAAGAATATTTTCCTGCATCTTCCAATAATCGGTTCATTTTACAGGCAAACTGGGTGGGTAGCGAACGGCCCGCACCGAACGCCACTTCTCAGAGGCTGGAAAGCAGAAACTGTCTTCAACAAGTGTAATGACTGGACCAAAAGCCCTATCCTCCCGGAGCCGACCAAAAGGCCAATACGATCAGAAGCCCGCTTGATCCTGCCAAATCCAAAAGAAGAAAATACACAGAGAAGGGGACATCACTGCAGGTACTCAGACTCCGCATAGTTCAAACCGAAGAGTGATCTTTCAGAGCCTTCTGTCTGCGGCGATGTCTGGGAGTTCGCTAAAATTGAGAAGTGGTGGTGCGGGTAAGAATATTCTCATTCTTCCTTTATTAATCAGTTCCTTTTACAGGCAATCTGGGTGGGTAGCGAACGGCCCGCACCGAACGCCACTTCTCAGAGGCAGCAGAGCAGAAACTGTCTTCAAAAAGTGTGTTGACTGGACCAAAAGCCCGATCCTGCCGAAGGCGACCAAAGGCCCGTTATTATCAAAGGCTTGAACTGGCCGATACTAGAAGAAGAAACAACGCGAAGTAGGGAACATCGCAGCAGGTACACAGAAATTGCAGAATTCAAAACGAAAAGGGATCTTTCAGAGCCTTCTGTCTGCAGCGATGTCTGGGCGTTCGCTGAAATTGAGAAGTGGCGGTGCGGGTAAGAATATTTTTCTGCGCATTCCAATGATCCGTTCATTTTACAGGCAATCTGGGTGGGTAGCGAACGGCCCGCACCAAATGCCACTTCTCCAGAAGACCGAGCCTCTTCATCATCAGTCAGCTCATCGATCCAACAGACGCGGTCGGGAGGTCAACACCGTCCCAATGAAATGGAAATATCAACAACCTGAAAAAAATAACTGCAACTCGTCATTTCCAATTTTTTTCTATATATAATACTTCTTTCAAACTAATGTCAACTTTTAAAGAAATAAACTTTATTTGATTCACTCGTGTTATGCTATAGAATTGGGAGTTTTCATCTGTCAAGCGGTCGCCCTGGTTTTTTTATTCCGAAAAAGTCTCTTCAACCCAGTGACGCGAGCTGAACCTTTCCCTCAATCCGATTTCACAGTTGGTGTAGTAAAAGAGGTTTTGCGGGCTATCCAAATCTTGGATCCCCTTGCATAGCCCTTGCATATTCAAGATGTTTAAAGTAACGCAGGCGTTTCCCATTTTTAGGCTCACTTTTTCAAAACGCCAATGACCTATTCTTGAACTTTAAACATGTAGAATTGAAAAAAAAACAAGAAATCCAAAGTTTTTTTTATTCTGGACGCAAAAAGCGGAAAGTTACGATAAATGGTAACACATCAAAGCAGCATATCAGCAACTAGAAATCAGGAGAAAAGAAGTTTAGCAGGCTTTCTTAATGATATTGAAACAGTCGTTGTGGATGAGCCAGACGCCGTCGACCTGAAATGAGATATTTAGCCTGAGTTTTATCACGAAACTTCTGAAAACCTTTTTCCAGACTTGAAGGTAAGCCCCACTTTCGCGACCTTTAGTTCCGTCCAGATGATAGCTTCCCCGTTCGAAGGCCCAATCTCCGCTACCGTTGACTTCTTCCGTTATTATCTGACAAGAAGGAGATTTTCCAGAAACCTCTACATTTGAATGAAAAAAATAAACTATTATGATTTTTGTAAATTAAGATCTTTGATATTTTTTTGATAACTCCTGGAAAGTTTGAACAATCGAAGGTTCTTTTTTTCTTATGTAAAAACTGAATCGGACTATCTTGGGATTTTTTTAGCATGCTTTTTGAGCAAATTCAATGATGGTTTAGAATTGACAACGTAAGAAATGTTTTTTTATATAAATAAGTGTTTTTTTCGTTTCACAGAAAACTCATATTGCAAAAAAATGGATTGATCTACCGATTAAGATGAGAATTTGAAAAATGTAATTTTTTTTTAAGATCCTTTTTTTGTTCGTAAAAATCTGCAAACCTGCGCGGTCTGCACGCCTTCCGCCATATCTTCTTTGAAATAGTTCTCGATTCCTGAAGAACTTCCGAATAAAACCCGAATCAAAAAAGCTCACCAGCCCGCCCTTTGACAGGATTACGACCATTGGGCATGAAATAACCGTCCGGATCGTAGACGGCAGCGGCCCCAGCGGCATCTCCAGCGTTGAACGCCTTCATGAAGTCTTGCTGACGACCTTTGATTTCTTGGAATAGGGCTGCAAAAAAGTAGTGATTTGCCGATAAAAGTGGATAAGTCAGCAAAAAACTTACTGATGTTCAATTGAGACAAAAGTTTTTCAGACAGCTGTAAGTTGGCAAAAAAGTTCATTTGAAGCTGCGTGTGGATAAAACTGAGAGAACTGACTCTAAGCTTTTGGGGGCCATTATTTTCCATGGCTTTTATTTAAGCCTAAAAGTATCTAGATGATTACAGGGTACGACAGAAGTTCATTTCAAATAGGGCCAGGAAAAGTGAAAAAGTTTCTCAAATCGTAAAAAAGCTTTTAGGTTGTATTGCACTTAATAGACTAAAATTTTCTTTCAAAAATGAAATTTTTTTACACTTCAGAAAACTTGACATATGGACAAAGCCTTTCCTGCTGTTCAAATGCATGGAGAAAATTCTATTGTATAAGGAATTTTTGATTTTGTGTTCCTTCCTTTTGGCTGAAAATAAATGAACTGTTTTATTCGAAACCTGAAAAATTATATGGTCACTACAAATTTTTCGTTTTTTTCAAAACGATTTTTAGTCAATTATTTGAAGTTTCAAGGTTTTTTTATTTGAAACAAAAAGATCATTTTTTTGAACGGTACTTAAAAGAGATTTTTCAATTTAACACAAATAACATTAGGCTTGGCTATATCTTCTGAAAATTTCAGTTTTACCGTTATTGACGCTGCTCAATTGCGAGTTGATGAGTGGAATATGACGAAAATAGTTCATACGTGAAACTTTGAGACCCGACCGAGAAAGGCAGGAAGAAATGACGAGGTTTTTCGAAGAAGATATTCGCCACTTGTCATTTCAAACTCACCGCTTTTCACTTCAGACTCACCACTCATGTGCAAATGACAGCGGCTCTCGGAGATCGCGGGATCCCAGAAACCGACGTCTTCGCTTTTATACTACCGAGATGAATTGCCGGAAGCAATGCGTAGAAATAAGTGTTTCCGATAGTGCCATTCACCCTGTTTCCTGCAATTTTCATGTTATTTTGGTCGGCAGAAAAACATTTTTCCAGTATTTCTTTTTGAGACTTTTTTTTTCAGCTTTGGCGAGTTGCAAGATCTGGGTAAACATTTAGGAAAAAAAATATTCCTTTTCTGGATAATGAGAACGTTATATGGGAACTATTTAATATATTAGAGAACAAATTAAGAAAAATAATTCAACTGCGAGAACAAATTACAAATGAAATAACACTTTCTAAAAAAGCAAAGACAGAAATTCCAAAAAAAAAAATTAAAAAATCCCCTAATTTTTTACCCGAAAGCTCATACAACGTATTGGAAGAGAAATTTTTTTGAATAAATAGAAATGAAAAAAATAATAAATTAAGAATGATCTTTATTTTTCAATTTCTTGAAGATCGAAATAATCTTTTTTTGAGTAGACTTGAGCAAATCTTAATTATTCTCGTTTCTGATGATATTTCATTAGAAAAAAATAGAAGCAAAGAAAAAACGAGGAGAAGCTCACAAAAAGATTGATTTGAGCATATCACGGCTTATAAAAAAATTGAAATGGAAGTTAATAAAATAAAAAATCTTTTCAATCAAATTTCAAGCAAAGATCGAAAACATATTCGGAAAAAATACTTGCATTACTAAAAAAAATTTTATTTAAATAGACAATGTGTGCTTTGAAAACGACTAAATGGAAGCTGTATTATAAAAAAACTTTTTCTTTTTTTCTTGCCCGGTTTCTTCCTCAAGTATGTTTGAAAAAAAATACAAAAAGATAATCCGAAAAAAACTTTGAAAAAAATTTCAAAAAGTCGCGGTCATGTTAGCCTCAACACTCCAGGCCAAACCTCGATTTAAACCTGGAATGCCGGATCCGGACCGCACTCTTCATTTGACAATCTGGGGCAGAGCCCCGCTGACCTAACAAGCGTCATTCTTTTTATACCCCCCTGTTGTTCTTCACCCGACTGGCAGCGGTTTTCGCCATCGGATAACCGCGAAGGCCGGACGTCCTCTTGGGACGTTAACGCTCGTGCTCGGGTTTGTGGAAGATTTTTATAAAGCTTCTTCTCAGGAGTGAGTCAGAGCTCAGTGATCATACTTCCTCCTTCTTTTTACATTTTTATACCGCTCAAGTCGTGTTGGCGCTCCAAATCGATGAGACGGAGTATTATGAAATCGTTTTCCCACTACCAAAATTTCTTAAACCTCTAGTTTGGCTTATAACCTTTTGGACCACAGACAGGCACACAACCTATTGCGCAGCTTCTCTTCAATCTCGTGTATTTTTTGTGAACTTTCGAAACAGCGATCACAAGTACTTTATTCAAAAGTCAATTATTTTTTTCCCAAAACACGGGACAAGAACTTGGCAACACCGCCGGGTGAGTTCGACTGATTTTTCGTGTCCGAGTTGTCCTTGGCTGCTTCAGGCAAGGCGCTTGGTGAAGAAACGCTTCCGCTCAGGTTCGGAGTGTGGTAGGCCGAGACGGCTTGCGAATCGTTTTTTCTAAGGAGAACAGTTTAAGCTGCACAAAAACGGATTAACTTACGTGGTGAAACTCGTGAAACGGTAAATGCCAGCATGGCAGCTGGACGTGCGCAAGTAGAGGAAAGGTTTGTCATCAGGTCGTTCTACCACATCCGGACGGCAGCCGAGAGCAGTTGGAGCAAACTCGCGGTACAGTTTCGCCTGGAAAAGGTATCGGAAAAGTTAAATAAAAACAGTTTTCAAGTTATGTCGTTGAAACGCTGTAGGCTTATATACTTGGTGGAAGAAACAGTAAAGTTTTGAACTTTTTCCAAAACTTGATCAATATTTTCGGACATCCTTTCAGTTCTTGGAGTTGTCTTTCGAAAATTTTCTCATAAACATATTTCGCCAAAAAAAAAGAAGTATTCACCTCATTCCGTTTCCTTTCGTCACGTTTATTCTCGTACTCTTCGCGAGTAGGAAAACGAGCCTCGGGAATAGAGAACGACCTGAAAAACGAGAAATCATTCATCGGAATATGGATGCTTTAAAATGGTTAGTGTTTCTACAGCTACCGGATATCATTTGACTGTATTGATTTTGCGACATCGTGTGACAAACACGCCTACGCTTTTATTATCGAAAAAATTACTTTTTTTGCTTTTTGGGAAGATTTTTGGCTTGTGAACTGGAAAAAGCGAGTGTATACAATTAAAGTACATCAGAAGCCGCTGAATTTTAAAAATATGACTTTTCAAAGTTGCTGAGACATGGTTTCAGGCTTGGATTCTTTTGAACTTGAAAGTTTATGTATTCTGAAATGAGAGCTGGACTATAAAGTCATCAAGAAAATTTTCATCAACTTTTGAGCGAAATTCAAGAAAATCCAGAGTTTGCACGGAAATAACCTTATGATGAAAAGTGAACACTGTAGGTTTTATAGATATCTTCCAGAAAAAAAGAACGGCAATGCTGAAGTAAAAAAAAAAAACCAACTTGTCGTCGATCGGAGGCTTCTCGTCGCCGGTGCTCCACATCTCCACCAAGTCGATATTGTGTGTCTAACGGTCCGGTCCCATGCTTTTATACCAACGATTTGCATTAATTCAATTGTTCTCTCGCTGTTTCCCACTATCTTCCATCAAAAAGATTACGCTTCCATTTTATCACTTTTAAAAAATACGAAATTTCCCTTCAAAGCCTTCTTTCTCAATTATACACATTTCGATGGATCGGAGTGGTATACAAAGGAAACGCAATTATGCCGTTTTTATGAGTCATTCGAGAAAAATCATTCAACAAACGATACCAAAAAACAAAATCTGCGATTTTTCGGACTTTGCTTGAAATTTATTATTCTGATCCAAAAATTACAAAACTTTACAATCAAGAGATTGTCTGACAAGGAAAAAAACAAAAATTTTTCATACGATGATGTGCAATCCTGTTTCAGCGGAGACCTTAAAACCGTCAAATCTTTTTTTTTAATATTTAAATAATTCGGAAAATGGTTGATGAGCAAAAATTGGTTCTAAAAAAATCCGTCGTTGTTTTCTTATTTTCATTTTTTTTTTGCAGCTTTTGCAACGCGCGATGAAGGTCAGAGCATGACTCATCCAGTTTGGATTTTTTTTTTTCTGTAATGTTATTCACCGTTTCGTGAAATCTTTATCTGATGAGTGTACAAAGTCGCTTTTAAGTTTTGAAATGATAAATTCACAATAGTTATGAAAAGTTTTATCAGCTGTAGTGGCAGGAACCTGCTCAACCGTTATTAGATTTTTAAAACAGATTTATTTGGTGAGAGGCCTTTTTTCCAGTAAATATACATCTTCCTAAACAAAAAGTTTTTTGCAAAGTTGCAGTTACCAGGACGTTTCTTACCGCCCAGGAGAAATATAACTAAAAAATGAACCCAAGTTGCCGAGCTTTTGTTTTTGTTTATTGCATCTTCAATGTAAGAATACATATTCAATCGACTTCCATCGATTTAACTGTGTTTAAACGGCGGCAGGAATTGCGGCCTAAACGAAGAAGTTGTGAAGTTTGCTCGTAGGACATCAGGTACAAGAGAGGTCGTAGGAAAAAGTACGGTGGCGGCTTTCCAAAGGCCGATGGCATAGATTGAGTTTTTCCGCTGCATCGTTTGGTCGACCTCGGGGGGACTCGAACCTACGACCTCGCGGACGTTAGAAATGAGTCTTTACCAGCTGTGGTTGATGCCGAGCTTCTATTTTAGCCAATTTTTTTTTTCCAATAATAATCCCATTCAACAAATGTAAAATTTTACAGTGCTTAACGCATGATTAAAACCTCAAAACCTCAAAACTGGTTTAAAGTTTTGGCGTTGAGTTGGGAGTGCAGCAAAAAAATAGGTATATCTTCATACAAAATTTTTCAAAACTTTCTATATTAACTGAACCCGATTTTGAATAAAACAGTTTTGTTTTACTGATGAAACAGGCCTCGCACATAAAAATAATATCGGTCTTCAGTAAGTCAGTACAAAAGCCCATTCAAAAATATCCTTCAAGAAGAGTACTAAAACCCGCTCCAGCTACAACATCCGCTACATTGTGAGCTTGTCGAGTCTCAACTGAATGAACCACTGAAGCAGAACAAGACGAAGAACCGAAATATCATGCGTTCAACTTGATTGACTACCCATTCGCCGGACGCGGTTTTTTTCGTTGTAGCTTCGACAATTTTTGTTCACCAAACAATCGATCAAATTTATGATTGAAAAACCTATATGTACCTTAATTATATGCTTTTTCCTGGCAATAAAAAAATAAAGAAATAAAACAACGACTGATTGATTGATCTGATGACTTTTTTTGCTAAGCATGGAGAAGTTATTTTGAAGCCATGTTTATAAACTTTTTTTCACACTTTAGCATTTGCAACTCCATGAACCTGTCTTCAGATAAATTATAATCAAAGCTTTATCGAACGGAAAACAGGAAACACGTTTGGGGTTGAGAAAAGCTGCGGAAACATGTGTGGCAACAAGTGAAAAATTAAAAATAGAAAAGAATCGGGTACAAAGTAGAGAAGTTTCTTTTGACACAAAAGGTTACAAGCGCTCTAAATTTCAGAAAATTTCACCGATAAAAAATACAATCTAAAAAAAAAACAGAGCGCCATTTATAAAAAAAGCAGAAATTGAAAAATTCGGAAGGCCAGACCCGAAAATCTAACTGCGGAAAAAAAGTTTCCACTAGATTGTAATAAACTCCATAAGCTGTACATACAGGATTAAATTCTAAAAAAAGTGAGCAGTCTTGAACGGGCTCGTATTTTTTTGCACAAACTTTTTGAGTATCGAACCGAAAATCATTCAAGCCTTTCAGGCTCTTGTATCTTTTCTCCTATGACACTCCGAGCAAAATAAAAATAAATTCTGTTATCAGACATTGCAGATTCAGATAAAGTTCTTTAGAGAATAACTGAAAATTATTCGACTTAGAAATTGAAGACTATAAAATAGATATAAGGCTGTAGAATCGCCCGGGCAAAAGTTGGCTGTGAAAATGATTCAAAAAAAAAATTGGAACAGAAAATTTAAAATTCAGGATAATTTGACAGTAAAAAGTCGGGTGAAGAATTTCGGATAATTTTTTTAGATTAGAAGTACTCGCATCTCAAGTATGACGATGGAACGAAGCCTTCTTGATTCTCATTGATTCTGAAAACAACGACTAGTTGGTAAATGAAATTCTCTGAAATTGAAAAAAATTTGAAGAAAAAGACCAACCGACGGACACGAGTCCAGCCATCTCCTTCGTCGTTCTCCACCAGGAAAAACTCTTCTCCTTCCCTCATACGAATCGTTCCATCGGCTTGTCCTTCAAAGGCAAACAGAGCCGTGGCTCTGCCCAACGATGGCGGTGGGGCGCATTCTTCGTAAACCTGTAAAAATAATAATGAAATAAATTTGATATTTATCAGTTTACAGTTTCCAATGTGTATTAAAAGAGTGATTGATTGCTTAAATCATCAATTTTTGTCAGTACTATGAAAGAAACTTCAAAATTTTCTCTAGGGCTGTGTTTGTTTTTGGTTCATTTTTTTATGGTTAGATAAAGGAAAAAAATTAGAAAACTTGTCCACTCTTTTTTTAAAAAAAGTTTTTTTAATACTTTTTGATAAATAATTTTTGATCGGGTATGAACTCTATACTAAAAAGACATTCGTTCCAAAAATTTAATGAGATGGATCTTTTTTTGACTTTTTTTCAGTGCTTTTTTTAAAAATTATTTTTTTCAATCCTTTTTGCATTTTTTTGTCAGTATTGGTGTTGGTTATTAATAAATATTTCAGTAAAAATGAATTTCGTTTCAGTTGCTGAGGTTAATCATTATCGGTGCCCTGATATCTCATTTCAATAAAGTATTCATAACGTATTCTTTTTTTGAAAATTTTTTGTCTATATTTAATTCATTGTAGACGATTTTCGATGTCTTGTTCTTCAACAACGTTTATGAGTGATTCTAATAGTGAATCGAAAAAGATCGGAACAAAATTCGATTTCGCGTGCGAAAAAGTCTCGTTGTTTAATTCAGTTATCTTTGTTTTGCTGAAGGCGTATCAATGACGCATTATTGCATTTTTTTTTCTTTTTTTCCAATTCAAAAATATTATGAAATTTTCTCCAATCGCCTGACTTGGGCAGAGACTCCTTTAAAAATTGAGAGAATTAAGACTTAGAGAGTTGATAAGACTTTATCAAAGTCCTAAGATTCGAAAAACCAATTTTCGCTAAACCCGCGATCGAAGCTTTTGGATACCAATTTGCGCTGTGATGTAGGAGTACCATTGATTTACCTTATAAGTCAGACTAGTTCTAAAATTGAAAAAAAACTGTTTGAGTATCAGCTGCCAGAAGAAACAAAAAAAGGCATATGAATATTCGAAAACAGGGATGTGCTTGGGCGGGCCGTAATAACCGAACCGACAATTGCAACTTTAAAATACACATCCCTTAGTGTTGATAAATAAAATATTTTCAATCAATCAGTCTTTGATTTGCACACTCTGTTTGACTTTAGTGACAGGAAAATTCAAAAAGTCGCTAATTTTATCGGCTTTGCAACCGCGTTACAATACGATGACCAGCCCAGTCGGCTCAGAGCACAGCTCTTTTTCAAAATTTCTGAAAGCCCCAACCTCTTCTCTGTTGGCGATCGGAGCAGTGCCATTGGGCGCCAACGTGTTCTCGGCGCTCTGCTCGCTGAATCGACTCCAGTTGTCCGAAGAGTTGCGATGGTGTTCAGGCTCGAGGGTGGCTGGAGCAGGAGTTGTCGATCTTGGAGCGGCACTCGAGGCCGAGGAGTACGACCGAACCGACGGTGGTGTGTCGCTCTCAGAGATTCCTGAAAGATAAAATTTTATTTTTTCTCTTTTTGTAGCGTTTTCTGGCGAAATAGACGAGAAACTACAAAGTTTGCATTTCATTTGATCAGAAGATAAACGGGGCAATACTCAATTTTTACAATCATTTCCGATTTTCTTCACTATTTTTTTTGGGGAGAAGGAAATTATTTAACCATAGCTATCGTTCTTCTTGTCGCCACTCAAGAATGAATATGGTAATAGAAAACTTAAGAGAACAATTCTAAAGGGTTATAAGACTGATATACTGCCTCTGAATTGTTCATAGTCGATCCTTATTAATATGTAAGGCAGGAAGGATAGATTGAAAAAAGCGCGCTTCATTTTTTTTTGTTGACAGTTTTCTATTACAGTTTAACTGAGAATAAAACGTTGATCGGATCACAAACCTAGCTGAGCATTAGTCTCTTCAAGAAGACCGCGGAGACGACCGATTTGAACTGTGAGAGCGTCGATTTCCTGGGCGTATTGCGAAAGTTGAGCGTCGCAGTCGGCAGGATTTCCAAGCTTCGGATTTGAACGGTAAGCGTTCTGCATTTTGCTGACTCCTTCACGGCTTTGAATCGCCCGCTCGCGATCTTTTTCGATCTCAGCCAGCTTGCCGGCAATTTTCCGCGCTCGCTGTTGAGGGGGAAGGTTCCCGTATTCGCCGTTGTCGGACTGAAATTTTTGATTAGTTTTTTTTTGAGCTCTGCGAAAAATGAACTTTTATGTGACTCGAATTATCCTAATCATCATAATCATCAAAATAATTGAGAATGGGTTTTTCCATTTTTGAAGTTTCTTCTTATTTTTTTTTCAGTATGTCAGTACTCTGGCACAAAAAAAGTCAAGTGGCCTTTTTTTGTATAAAAAAATACTCTTATTTGAACTGCAAAAATTAAAGTCACCTTCTTATCGCTTCCTCCACCGACTCCGAAGAACTTCTGATGCATCGATTGCTTACGAACAACACCGCTTTTGGCATCCTTGCGACCCAACAAAGTTCCTTTTTTGATCGTTGCATCGACATTATCTGTTAAAAATTGCTTTTCAAGAGAGATAACATTTTTTTGATCTCACCGGAGCCGTTCAGAAGAGCGTCCGGACGTCCAAGGTCTTCAAAAGAAAAGGGAGAAGGACGAGGGATTCCCGACCTGGAAATCAAAAAATGGCTTTCGAAAGGATGGTATTCTTTCTTACTTGAAATTCTCGACGACCAACATGACATCGTTGGCTGCGTCAATCGATTTGGCAGCAACTCGCATGTCGGAATGGCAACGAGCTGAAAAGACGATTTTTAGTTTATCCAAACTACAAAAGTAAGTGCTTTTGGATTATTGCGGAGGTGTGACTTAAAGTTTTTTGATTGTATTTTTCTGGTTTATATATAAACTATGACGCTTCTAAACTTTCAGAATTTTTTTCTTTTCTCAATTCAAAGCTAGTATGAGCTTCAAAGGGTTTTTTTAACTGATAAAAAAAGGAAAAATCGAAAAAAAGAACCTTCCAATCAAAAAAATTTGTGACTCATGAACCGCTAAGCTCCAAATATTTATTTTTTTCTTTTTCATTCTGGAAATAATGATAAGGTGTCAGAAATTTTATATGAGTTCCAGTACCGTCAAAAAATACACGAATAAACAGATTTTTGACCACAACTTTCTTGTAAGCAATTCAAACTTTCCGAAACTTTCTAGAGCTGTGATGACTGTTATTTTTAACACTAAAATGAAATTTCAGTTCACAGAAAAAAAAACAATTTTACAAAAGTTCAGGAAGAATGAATTCCTCACAAGAAAGTCGTGACCAATGTCGCGTTTTTTCTTATCTTTTTATGGCTTTACTGTAAGCAATTTCCTAATCGACGTTAGGCCGGTGAATTTTTCCAAATTGACAAGTTCAAAAAAGCAAGGAAGGATCTTACCAATGATAGGCTGGACGTCCTCCTCGGCACTGATGCACTTCATGAGAACTTCTCGGACGTCGTTGATACGATCAAGGTCAAGGTTCTGAAATTGCAGTTTTTTGAAATACAAAAAAAAAGATCTCTCCCTACGCACCTTGTATTTCTCAAGAATTTGGGGAAGTTCCTCCTCGAAATACCATCTCTGCAGGTCATTGGCCTTGGACACAGCGTAGGCGTAATGCTGCTTGGCTTCTTCGCAGATGCCATTTCGCATCTGGATATATAAATATTCGGAGGAAAAAGAAATGATCGCGTACCTGGGAGTTGTTCTTGGCTTTCTCGAGATCAAGACGAGAAATTTCCATGTTTTTCTCTGCTTTTGTATACTTCAGAAAAGCAGCCTCGGCTTCTTTGAACGCCTTCCTGCAATTTTATATTGACAATTTTTACACGGAGGATTTTTTTCAAGACTTCTGATAGAAAAATACTCACCCGTACTGCTTGTGGGCCTTCATCATGTCGCTGACGGCGTTGTTGACTTCGGCGTGGGCGCTCTGAATCTCGCTGAGAATCTGCTTGCGAGTCCCTCTGTGCAAGGCCGCCTTATCCATCGCGTAGCTGACGACTTCTTTTTTCAAGGATTCGGAGATGACCTGAAGCTAACCATTTTAAGAGCTTTTCAAGAAATACAAATAATCATTTTTTCTCCAAAATAAAGAAAAAGCTTCACGATGCGGTTAAAAATGAGTCTTCTTCTTTTTTTGCGACTAAATCAAAATTTGCTATGTGCTCTGATTTTTTTCAATGCTACCGTAATAATTAATTTTTTTGAAAAAGCCGCGTCGCAACCATTACGCGTCTAGCCTTTGCAAACAAGGTCATAGTATCTTAGAGCAACTCAAGTAAATTTTTTATTTTCAAGTTTCTTCGAATTAAGACATATTGGTAACGTTTCCTGTTAAGTTAAAAAAAAACAAATAAGGATTCAATAATTTCCTGTAAACTTTTTTTTATTTGTATCAATATAATTTGGCCTATTTTTGAAGCAAGTTATGTACCTTTTTTTAATAACTAATTAAAACTCCGTTTTTCCTTTTTTTCTCGTTCTGGATGAGATAAGTTCAATTTCTATAACTTTCAAATAACATAATTTTTGTCATAAAACTACTCTTTTTTTACGAAAAAAACCAATCTATGTTTGCATTCGAATTGAAAAAATTCGAAACAAGAAAAGAAAGACCTCGTGTTGGCCAGCAAGCGACTCGAGTTCCTTCACAATTCCAGTGAAGCCTTTGGCAAAAGAAACAGTCCTCCAAAGCTCTTCCTCTTCTTTTTTCTTGAAAAACTTTTTGGCGACTCCTCTGAAATCAATTATTTTTTCATCATCGTCTAATATTCATCCAACCTAAGCCTAGCTGCATATTCCTCTTCGACAACGGCTCTTTCCTTGGTGAACGTCGCGATTCTCTCCAGATACTCGATTCCTTTTTGAGTGTGAGCCGAGATGTTTTCCATTTGATCCTGAAAAAATATAGGTTTCTTGGTTTTTGATTTTGTGAATGGGAAAAATTGGAAATTTAATTTTTTGAATGGGACAGCTTTATTGAGATAAAAATTTTGCAGCTCATTTTGATTGATATTTCGAGAAAAAATCATCGATTTCTCAGCATCGACGTTGGGTTTGTTGAAAAAAATTATTTTTTTACATTTAAATTTGTCATTTAGATGAGTTTATCAATGAAGCGTAGTTGCTTTCCAAGAGATTTTTTTGTCTTTTTCAAAACTTATCATTAAACCTTGAAATATTTTTCCTGACATGAATTTTTTTCAATCCATACTTTTAAGTGTTTGCTTTTATCGATCCTATCGAAAAAGAGCCGAAAAAAAATCCAGACATCTATGTTTGTACACATTATTTCCGGGCGGTCACTATTTGGAAAAAGAATCAGTGCAAATCTTCTGCGAACACAATAGACCGCCCCATGTAATGCAAAACACAAATCTGTGCGGACCCGCGTATGCATATGCGACGACGTGGGTTTCTGCGCCTCAAAATCAAGGTCGGCGGCAAAAGAACGAATAATAGCCGCTGGGAGAGAAGGATCGCTTCACAAAACACGAAAGTGTAGATACGAGTTGAGGCACACTTTGGCTGCTTAGCCGACTCGGAGAAAAAAACGGCCCCTTCCGACGGCCTCCCTGGTAGTAGTTGGCCACTTTTCGTTCTCATAGCGTCAGTCCAATGAGGTTAATTATCAGAAGAAACGATAGAGGAGCGTTGTTCCAGTGTTTTGAGAATGAAATGGGAAGCAATTTTCAAAATAGAACGATGTTCAACAAGAATTGTTTGCACCTTAACTTTTGTTTATACGTTTCCGAGGCTCGAAGCTTCCTAATCTAGTCTAGGCACACAAAATTCTGTCTCCTACACTGTACTTGCAGCCGAAGGATCGAGAAGAAACTATCTCCAAATATGAAGCGTTCACAAAAGATTCAATCAGTTGAAACTTGAATCTTCAGCTTTTACAACTCATTTTTTTGCTACTTTCTTGAATATCCAACTTGGAAAACTAGAATCAGCAGAATCAAACTTTTTCCACTAATAAATTTCTCTCGCAAAAAATGGATTTTTCAAATTTAAAGAAATGGAAAAATCGACAATCAAAATCTGCTCCACCCATTGAAATAAGAACAAGTTCACTGAATTTAAAAATAATAAAAAAACAAGTTGTTTTGACAAAAAATTTTTAATATTTCTGGTTGTATTTATACAAAGCTAATCCCAAGATTTTAACATTCATTTCTTCTGATCAAAAATCTGGATGAACTGGTTCATTTCAAAATCTGTTCCTTAACTCTGGCTAACCATACATAAAAGTTATCAAAATATAATAATTGATAAATCTTCGAAGCTTCAAAAATCTAACATAATAAAAAATTGGGAGAACTAGATGATCTAAAATTATGTTTCAAGATCTCGCAAAATCAGATGAATTTCTTATTCTCGATGTCAATTTGTTTTATAGCTTCAACCCGTTTCGATGAAAAACATGATGGAAGAATTGGATAGTGCAAAACACAATTTCAGAGTCTAAGGTATTACTATGAAACGATATATAGTTATTAAGGCTCGAATTTTATGCTTTTTCCAATAGTCAAGTCACCTTGCCATAAATTGTAGGACTATATATGTAGTCCTCCTGTGAAAATGATGTGTTGAAAAAAGTTGACTGGAACAGGTCAATCATAGTAGAGCGGGAAAGTCGATAGGTATCTCCACCGGAACGGAATGTAGAGTCGCTGATAGTGCGGGAAGCACACCGATCGTAACTTCGGACGTTGCCAGAGAACACCATTGTCAATTCAACAATGGCGTTTGGCCGACAGAATTACTGGGGGAAGCGTCAGAAGCAGAAAAAAACAAAGTCGATGGGCTTCAGATCAAAAGCGACCGACCAGGCGAGGGACGGGGGAAAGAGGACGAGGAGAGATTTCAAACAGGCAGACACCCACAGGCCGAACAGGCCGCTCACTATGCGCCCTCAAAACAACCACACCCACAAAACGCGAACGCTTCGGTCGATTGGCTCCGATATCCTTTCTTGAGCTTCATCCCTCTAAGGAATCATGATTAAACTCTTTTAGGGACCTTTCGGTCTTGATAGAAGTTAGAAGCGCGGGTGAGAATAAGCTAAACCTAGAAAGTGGAAAATTCTTTCTTGAGCTACATCTCCTTTTTTCAAAAACCTAATGAATTTTTGATGGGAATCCACTAAATGCTGAAAAATAAGCTTCCAAAAGTTGGATCCAAAAAAAGTATATCATTTTTATCTTTTTTTCTATTCAACAGTGGAAGAAAAATCAGTAAATAAATTTTTAATACTCAAAAATACTGAGGAATTTTTTTACGTTAGTTCGGAACAGCTAGAAAAAAACTCATAAAATGGCTTGATATCTTTCAGCTTCATTCAGTTTCCTGTCAAATTTTACGAAAAATTGCTTATGCTGTGGTTTTTCCCATGAGTCAGCAAATGACGCAACAAATATTCAAATGAGCATTATCGATTTTCGAAAATGACGCGGACAAAAGAATTCTTATGCATTTCTGTAATTTAGGTGGATTGAATTTTGAAAATTCCCAATCTTCAAAAACGAAAATTCTGCACTTTGATGTACAAAATACTGAAAAAAATGTTGAATAAATTAAATTTTTTTTTTTCTAGAAACATTTCCATCTTAATCATACCGATGTACAATACGAAGAGGTTTTAAGATTCTCTCCTTGTTTAAACAGAAGGCAGTGATATTTTTTGACCACTTGGTGTTGATATCAGCCCTGGCCGCTCATATTTGCCTCGGCACTTGATTTTGATGCACCCATTTTAAAGTGCTTATTTTAATCTTTCTGAATTTTTGAGGTGAAGTTTTGCGTGTTTTTTAAACAAGTTGAATTGAGCAAGGCAATAACGTTTAGAAAGCTCTCAAAAAAATAGAGCTTCAAAATAATCTTGCTATTTTTTTAGTTGTGTTCAAAAATGATACATTTGTATCAAAAAACTGAGCTATGGAAATTTCAGTTAGTTGGTAATATAAAATTATTAGAACTGAAAAATTAAGCTTGTGGACGTGGTTACGGTTTCAAACAAGGTTAAAAAAATAAATAAAATCAGAAAAAAAGTTTCCCTTGAGTGGCTCACAGTGATCCAGATCATTTTTTTGTGAATTTGGTGTTCTCGAAGTTAAAAGAAGATCTTAAAAAAACTGAAAAAAACCCAGTCTTGTTCAAAAAAATCCCGACCATTTTTCACTAAAAACTTAAAAAAATTGCATCAAATTGAAATTTATAATTTTTTTATCACAGCTTTTATATTTATTAAATATACTCTTTCTATAAGGAACTAACCCAAAGATCGCCCCAACTGCCGGGTGTCACGGGCTTGTACACCTTTATCGTTACGCTCATACTTGCTCAGCTTCGATTCATCAACTCTAAGGTTTGCCCACAACGGAACGTTTGAGTTTCCTGAAACTTAATAGATAAAAAATGCGCGACGCGAAAAATGTCAAACAAACGGAGCGGAAAACTGAGAAAAAACAAAGATTAGGGATTGCAATCTCATATGCTATGGGCCTTAAAAAAACCAGAACAATATATAATGACAAAAAAATTATTTTTTTGCGTAAGGATAATGTATGAACAGGAATCTGGGAGCTTCTGAATAATTGATAAGAACCGTCGGTTGAGAGAAAACTACTGGCAAAATGAAAACGAAGGCTTTTTCATGAACAAAATGACTGGTATTGTGAAAATAAACAAGAATAAATGTTTAGTCACGTGCAAGGGACACCATAAACATAAGAAATGCGTCGGAAATGCAAGAATGATTTTTCTGAGCCAGAAAGTGGGCGTTCTTTAAAAAAAATTTGCAACAGCAATGTAAAATCGAATTATTTTATTTGTCTAGTCCAAAACGTGGGCGTCCTTTTAAAAGAATTAGCAAAAGGCGTGAAAAATCGAATTATTTTATTTTTTCTGAGCCAGATCGTGGGCGTCTTTTAACTGAATTAACAAAAACGGTGAAAAGACGAATAATATTATGACTTTTTGCACGAAATGATCAAAAGCAGTGTGAAAATGGTGATTCATCGCGATAAAAAGATAAAAAAACGGAGTTCGTAAAAACCTGATAAGTTGCAAATGCGCCATGGAGCATATTACAGCGTCATATGCGGAGCAACGTTGACACAAAGTGCAGGGTTCAATGGTTCAGTTGCCGTTTTTTTAATATTTTTTTGTATTCTTTATTTTTTTCAACAGGATTTTTTTGGCTAAATTTTTTTGAAAAAAAAAGGGGTTATGAAATGTTCCAAAAATAAGTAATTTCGGCATAAGTTTTTGGGTCTAGGTGTTCATTTTTCATTTACAAATATGTTTTTTTGATAGTAAAAAGTTCTTTGACGATCCAAAATACTAAGTCTTTTTTTCAAAATTTGATCCTTTCTTTTGAGTTTTTTGAATGCAGACCGGACATTTTTCTGAAAATATTAGAACTAAAATAAGTAATCGATACAAATTTTGAAATTGTCAATATTTAACAAAGGGATTGATTAGAATTAAATGATATCTTTTATTAAAAATTTTCCAGTCCCATCGTCTTTTGATAAAAAAGTACACGAAAAAGCAGGAAAATGTCAAGCGGGCGTTTCAAATGACTTCACCTGACTGTGGCAATGTGTACAGAAAAGTTTCGGTGAGCCATTGAGCACACATACGCTTTTGGGTAAAAAGTAGAAAGGCGCTGAGCGTCCTGTGTTCACAGATTAAACGGCCCGAACAAGCGCTTTCACTGTTCTTTTTTTTCGGAAAAAAAACCTTGAAGCTGAACAAAAAATCCATTTTTTACGCTTGGGACCGGGAAGGTAATTGCTAATTTTAATTTTGAACAATGTTGAAAGAAAAAATGCACCCATCCAAAACAAAGGAGTGTTTTGATTTGAAATGGTCGATTTTTACAAATTTTTTTTGGCCCACTTTTTCTCTTCAAACATTTAAAAACCTGATAAAGTATGCTTTTTTTCATAATTTCTCTAGCCACTTAGAAAAAAAAGAAAAAACACAAAAACCAAGAAATTGTATATTCTGAAGTCATTGGAGAAGTATAAAGGACATCTAGCAACAGTAATAAACAACTACACCTCCTTTAAAAACTCCGTTAACGATCTTGAATAAATCGGCGCGATGTAACAAGATTTTCCTTGCAAAAAATACTATTTTTCTCGTGAGTTTCTATTATATTCTAACGTCAATATTTATTCAAAAAAGTAAAAAAACACAAAAACACGTTTCAAAAAAAAAAATGGTTTCTACGATATTTCGAAACTTAATGTTTGTAGCGGTAAAACCACGATTTGACGAAATATAATAAATTTCTTAAAACAGTCTAAAACTTCAAAACTAAAATAGGTTCCCAAATCAATCCATTTTGAAAGAAGTGTCTCGAAGGAAAAAATTTTTCTGAAGACTCCGGAGGAAAGGCGAAAATTTATGCAAAATGAACTGACCACTTGACGAGATTTGCAGCTTTCTTTACAATCGTTTGAGAGCTGGCCGATCAATAGGGAATCGTGTTGACGTTTGCTCAGTTGTTTGGGAAATGATGCAATTCATATGAAAACAACACGAATCGGAATAATTGTGATTTATCATGTTTTATTTTGGATCTAAAATTTGGAAACTTAGAAATGTTTTTTGAAAACTTTAAATTTATATCAGAACCAAAGATGTCACTATGATGCTTCAAGCTTGTAGTTGTAGTTAAAAAATGCAGTCAGGGCTAATATGGTGAAAAAAAACCTAAAAAGATCCTTTCAGAAAAATCGAAAAACATTGAATTATGGAAAAAAACTCATCCTACAAGTATCTTTTTGAGTAGTTTAAGTTGGATTAAATTGAGAAAAAAAATCGGGCGAATAGTAATGAGATCGGCAGGTAAGAAGAATGTGACATAAATTGGCGAGTGTGAACGGCCAGAAGAAAGGGCAACGCTCGGAAAAAAAGAGAGGAAAGGACGTGCGAGGATGAGCGAAACGTTTAGGGCACGACGCCAAGACGAGAAACCCGCGAAGGTCGTTGAGCCTCAAACAACTGTACGTAGTAACATTCAGCTTCGAAAAAATGGTAGATCATTATTTTAGTTTTTTGAAATTGTCTTTGGCTTCATAAATGACGACGAATAATTTTCAAGCTGAAATATTATTCATAGTTTAATCCCTTCTGTTTTGAAATTGTACTTATTACGCGGAAACTCTAAAAAATAGTACGTTTCATTCAAACACCATTCATTACGGCATATATGCCTTTAATAAATGTGTTGAGCAAACCACATGCTCCTGAACTATTATTTTATCCCAAGATTGAAATTAGAGTAATTATTCATGGTGAGCGGATAATTGAAGGCGCAATGACTGTGATCAAATATATAAAATTCGAAGCGCAAAAAATGGATTTTCTTGTGTTTTTTACAAAAAATCAAACCGCTTCTGAAATCTTTATATATTCGTCGGTAACACTTTCCTTATCCAACTTGCAAATAAAAATATAAAATAAGTTTCTGATTTCCAAAACCACTGGGAAAATGTTTAGTGGCCATTTAAGGGGTTAAAAACGAGTGATCACTATAGAGGCCTAAGTTCTACTACTAGGCCATTAAAAATTTTAGTGGCCACTTTAGGGGTCAATGGATCAAAATAACTGGTGCAATCTGTTTGTTTTAAAATTATCAGAGTTACTAGAAGTAATACTGGGTAAAAAACTACTGAAGTGGCCACTATAGCGATGGGCTTAGTGGCCACTTTAGTGTCTTCTCCAAGTAGTCCTTGGCGAGCCTCTATAGTGGCCACTAAACATTTTCCCAGTAGGTTTGGTGCCTATTCCCTCAATGACTTTCAGCAGTATCGAATGGGGGAAAATTCTAGACTTTTTTTCATTTTTTTTTTTACGGAAATTATCTAGTCATAGGGCGGAAAAAGAAGAGAGGGATATTTTGAAATTAGAGATATCCTGTTACCTTTTTTTAAAGTATCGTACCAGTCATGTAGAAAAATTAGGAGCAGAAATAGGAAAGTTTGAGAGTCGATTTTATTGGCCAAATTTGCCAAACTTGCAAGGGGGCTCTCCTGAACTTCCAATTTTTTTAAATTATGAAACGTCCTCTCAGAAAAAAAGTGACAAAATTGATCATTTGAACAGTATAAAAATGCAACAAAATGATGAAAAATGAGAGAAAATCAGTATTAACGATCAATAGTTAGAAGCAATATCCGAAAAATTACCCAAGCGATCAAAAAAAAATTAGGACGAAAGCAGAAGGGAACACTCAAGGGTAAACGAATCATAAACCCGGCCAAAATTTTTAGAAAAGCTCTCGCGATAAGGACCACTGGAAGGGCAAATTTGGTAACCAGGGAACACAATGGCGTGCGGGAAACAGAACAAGCGCGAGCAACGAGGACGCAGGGTTAATTTTAACCCCACTCTCCTTGAAATGAACGACAGCCTTCCTAAACGTGTGCCGTGGACCAAGCTCGCAAATTCGCCAGATGTTCAAATAATGAATACGGATGGTTCGTTTCTCGCCGCCTTGCCCACTAGCAAAAGCCCTGCGAGAACGGAAGGTGTGGTCATTATCTCTGACGTGGGGCGCTTAAAGATCGCCACAACTATTTCTATGACACACACTATTTCGTCTGCGAGAAAACAAGAGAAAGAGTTGTGGCGATCTTTAAACGTCCCATTTCAGAGATTTCCTTAGGTTCCTTCTTCAAAAATTATCATTTTTTTTTGACATTGAAGCCAATTTTTAAGCAGCTTGTTGAAGATCGAAAATTTCGCAGTGCTGAAAAAAATTTTTGTATATACACATTGTATTGAAACAACTATAAAAAAACTATTAGGAACAAATAATTGATGAAGTCTCGACTCGAAACGCGTAGCGTGTGCGTACGCAGTTCTTGGCGCAAGTTCAATTCAACCGCCAGCAACTTTTTGGAGAACTAATTCATCGTTTTTTATTTCTTTTTTACTTCGTTCTCGAATTTTTTCGTTCGTGCAATAAAAAATAGTGAAATAGATACAAAAAGAACAAAGACCGAGCTTTTTGAATTAGTCGGTGGATTGAACTTGTGCTAAGAACCGCGTACGCACACGCTACGCGTCTCTCGTATTTCAAATCGGGAAGGATTGGCTAAAAAATTGAAGCCAAACCCTTCCCAATTTTAACGGCGAGTGGGGTAAAGAGGCATGGGTGAAGCGTTGCGTACGCGACGCATCTTTTGGTGCAAAAAAATTGGAACGAATCAGCTTAACCCTGGCCAGAAATAAACCTTTTTGTGGCGTTTATTGAAAATGCCTTTGAAAAGTATTCAAAAAACCACAAAAATGGAATAGAAGTTAAGCAAATTTAAAAATGCGGAAAATCTTCCCGCAATCGAAATCTTTTTATTTGAACAAGTTTTCTTTCGAAAAAATTCTTAAAATGTTAAAAAAACGAGAATCGGAGCAACAATGCATATGGAAATCGTTTTTCCTATCGATCCTTCCACAAAAAAAAATATTTCAAAACATGAGCTGAAACAAAATTGCTAAAGAGTGAAAAAAAGAGAACTTTTTTTCTGTCCATACACGTGGTATGAAAACAACAAAATACGACCTGCAATTATCTGAGATTTAAAGGAAAATGGGAAAAAATATTCGATTTTTTTGTCCAAATTTCAATCTCAGAAATTTTTCAACATCTGCGGATTGTAAAATATTTTGTAACTCAAGCGAGGAATGAAGTTTAATATGAAAATGTATAGGACGAAATGCTCCAGCCTGCCCTAAAAATGGGAAAAATATTTTCTGAGTTGGAAGGGACAAACCAAGCGAACGAACATGAGCAAATTTGATATGAATTGCGGCGGAAAAAGATCTCAAAAAAAAAGAACGGCACATGTTTTCCCCTAAACAGGTGGTACCAAATAACGCTCTTCGAAACGAGGCTGTTTGTAGCTGTGACAAATCTGAATTCGCAGCAGCACGCCGTTCTCCTTTTTCAATTATTTTTTGAAAAAGGGGTGTGTTTAGAGAAAAATCATGAATGTGGATCAGATAATTGGTGTCGAAAAGGATTTACGATGACGCAAGATTTTTTTCCTTGTTTGTTCTCTTCCAAAAATCTCGAAAATCAAAAATTTCTGAACTTTCTTTCAAAAATTGATCACCAGGTCCTTTTTGTTGGTTTATTTGACACAGAAAAATGGCAGCTATAAGTAAAGATTTCTTAAAAAATTAAATGAAAAAAAACGAGCGAAAAAATTATTGAAAGGCTGTGCCTAAAAAAAGTCACAAATTGAAAAAAATCGAGATTTTTTTTTCGAAATTTTTCCAAAGCACGAATTTCTCTGAATTATCGGATGGGAAACCTTTTCTAGAAGAAAAAAAAATTGTAGCGGTCCAAATAAGAGAGAAGAAACGGAATGTCGCGAAGTACACATCTGATCGGGTCGGGCAAGCTGCAGCACACACACGAACCACTACTAACAAATACACGTCGGTTGCACACAAAAGCTAGTTTTTTTTTCCCTAGCTTTGCCCACAAAATGACCTTTTCCATTAAGAAGAGTATTTGAGGGCGTAAAATTTAGTGCATCTGAAAAATATCGTTCATTCGGCTTTGAAATTATTTATCAGTTCAACTTTTCCATAAAGTTTGCTCTGATAAGTATTCCTGAATTGAAAAATTCGAAAAATGAGCGAAAGGGATTTAAACTGAAAATAAACTTTCCCCTTTCAAATGGAACTAAAAAATCGAATTTATTCAAGGTTTGTCAATTTATCAGTATCTATAAACTGCCGCTACAAGTACAAAAAACTGGAATGTCTTTCTCTGTAAAACGAGACTATAAAAAAATGACAGAGAATGTCGACCTACCTGTCGAAAAAATGTGAAAAGTAATCCCAAAAAAAAAAAAAAAAAATTTATTCAATTCATATCCGGCGGAACAGCTGCAAAGGACGCATAAAGAACTCGTAATGAGGGAAGGAGAATGGAAAAACACGGCTATGAAAGGAAAATACAGTGAGTCACGCTGAGAGAAAGCTTTTCCTTGTATTTCTCGGCCCGAAAAGATTAATCACCCCGCGAACGTACAAGAAAATTTATTAATTGGAGAGTTTTAAAAATCTACCGAAAGATAAGGCGACTATTTTTTTTTCTAGCGCGCATTCAGGAAAAAAGACTGGAGAAAATCTGTCAGGAATAAAATAAATTTGACAGAAAGTAGATTTTTGAGGGCGAAAAAACAACGCTCACCAAAAAAGAACGGATATTTCACAATATGCCCCAGAAGGAATGACTCACTTGGATTCTCGAGGCCTTTTTTGAGAGTTTGTAAATGGTTTTGATGGAGTTTAATGTCTAATGGGAGTTTTGAGACTTGGATTTAACGTGAACTTATAAAAAAGTGATAATGAGAAACACGAGCAAAGACCAAAAGGTTCAAAAAAGAATTTTTGGAAAAAAAAGCCTCTAAAATGCCTCAAAGGTTTTTGTTTTCTTGACGTTTTTCTGAGAAGGACCTTTCTAGAAGGTAAAAAAGAAGGAGGCGAAAAAAAGGAAGTTCCAAGAAACTTTCGACACCATTTTAGAAGCTCAAAAAAGAGCTTTGGACTCTTCTTTTTAAGGCATTTTTGAGGTAGTTTGGACATCGCCTGTGAAGAATACTAACAAGTGCGATTTCAAAAAAATATTTTTTCAGCAGTCAATCCAAGTTCGATAAAAAACTAGTCAAATCTGTGATTTTTTCTGAAAACATTGAAATTGCTCACGTGTTCGAACAACAATAGAAAACAAACAAAAATAAGTTTCACCACGCATTTTCCTCAGCGTACGACACGTTTCAGCCCAATCATATTCGATTTTGAGCATTTGAACTGAGGGTTTTTGTGAAATCCTTCTACGCATATTAAAAAAAACTAGGAGAAAAGGTGAACAGTATCAGGGAGCGATTTTTTACAAAAAAAGAGAGGATTTCGTTTCCTTTTCAGATGTATTACTTACAAAAAGTGATCCGGTCAAGATAAAAATTAAAATATCAAGAATAATTTGAAATCTTTCAGAATAGGTGCAATAGAACCTTTTACTCATTTTTTACTTTGATTTTGAATAAAGTGATTGAATATTATTGAAATATTTGTTTTCCCTTCAGCTGTTTCACTTACCAAAACTATGAGCTTACTTCAAAACTCACGCAAAGTCGGTATGGTGGATAATGGCCGCTGAAAGAGAAAAGCTCAAAAAAGGCCGCCGAAAGGGAGCAAAAAAGTCCCTTTATCAACCCTTCCTTCTTTTCTGGAACTTTAAAGACTTGAGAAACAGTGGGAAAAAGGAGAGGCAGCAAAAATCTCGGAAAAAAAGCCGATAAAATGGCCCAAAAAGGCACCAAAAAGGAACCTTTGCGACCCTGAAAGGAACGTTTCTATGAAGCCTTTTCCGCCTTTTTCGACTTTGCTTATGAAAATATGGTGGGAAAATCCTCATGATTCTAATTTGTTCACTTTCAACATCCAGCAAAAAATCTTTTTTCAATTATAATCAAAAACCTTGACTTCAAACCTAGAGAATTTCAGTCAAAAAAAAAGAAATTTGAGGGGAAGAAGTGTGGCGGTCATTTCTCGCACTCCATATATAGATCTCATCCAGCAATTCTCCTCTGGGTGCACTTGTCGTCGTTCTCGACCATTGGGAGGCAAAATAAAGGAGGCGAGTATCGATTGGAAGACGGCTGGTGTGAGCGAACGTGAGCGAGAGCGTGCACGCTGAGGCTTTGGTTGGTATCTCAGTCGGTGGCCACTTGAGGACGTCGGTCAAAGCAGTTCGGGTTTCTCTTCATGACCACAATTCTCAACACGAATACACATTTCCCGAGAGTTTGTCTTGATACTCGACGGTTTTGTGTAGTCTCTCGCAAATTACACATTACACTTTTATTCAGTCTTTGGAGAGGTTTCTCTGCTGAAATGTTGAATAATTGAAAAGTTATAGCCAATCCTTGTCGACTTCAAAGGCTAGTTGGGTTGAATGGCAAGCGCTGCGTGTGCGACGCGGTTTTAGGCGGGGAACTCGAGGTCGAGCCACCTTTTTTCTTCGTTTTTGCCTTTGGCTTGTCAAAAGCCGCGTCGCACACGCATCGCTGCACCCTTGACGATTTTTTGGGAAAAGTTGACCATCTTGTCGATTTGTGGAACTGTCTTCGTTCAAGAGAGATTATCTCGCTTTTTTTAACAAGGAAGGCCGTTTCATTTTTTGGTTGAGAGTTTTCTGAGAATTGGCCAAAACGCTCCTTGATATGATAGAAGAAGATTCGAAAATCCTCAACCTGCAGAACTTCCTACAACACCTTCCGCGTTGATTTATTATCTTGAGCAGCGATGGGCCTATAAAGGTCCTGCATTTCTGACTTTTTATTTATCTGTTAGATCAAAAAATTTCAAAAAGATGAATCGACATGAAAAAGTACTGTGCCAGCGAGCCAAATCTCGACAGTCTATGAACAAAATATCCTTTTTAAAAAAAGTATTTAGTACTTTTGGAAACAGGAAAGTTTCTAAGTAAACTGTAAATCAAGAAAAAAAAAATCTACGAAGTAATTCTTTAGCTGGATTCAGCCGTTTGGTGGTTCTCAGTCCCTTAGGGCTTGACCGAGCAATTCATCACCGCTGACTGGTCAAAACTAGGCACTCGACGCTTTCCCCTAGCATAAACCCATACGTATCTTGAGATTTCAAGAATTTTACCATAACTTTGAATGAAAAAAGGTAAAAATTTCGTGCTAGTTGAATAATAAAGGTGCATCATCCTGGTTTTTTTGTTTTTCTGCCAGTTTCTCTGGGAGATCTGAATTATCGACTTCCCAATTTCAATTTTTTTGTCTTTCTCGACGATGAAGACGAAAACGAACAAATTCGTGATTTATTAAACAACAATGTAACACAGGCGTATTTGCGAATTAACATGTAAAATTATGAACGGAAAATACAAGCGCCTTTGTCTGTCACAACGATCATCTTGCTGAGAGTCGGGTGCAAAGAAATATCCTTGATTTCCATCCCGAAAAGCGCTTCAGCCTTCAGTTTTGCCAACTGCTTTGTAGGGTACTTTTTGGACCAAAATTTGATTTCGTTCGTGGCGGTGGCACTGTGAAAACACATTTTTGGGTGAAAAATGATACACAAGATTTCCGAAAATTGTTAGATTTTTGTAGACTGAAAAATCTAAGAAGAGATATGCATTTTTTTGTTTTTTTCAGAATTCTTCAGGTCTTTTTTTGTGAAAAAAACTTTTTTTCGAAAAAAATCTCAAAAAAACACGGAATTTTTCGAATAAGGGCAATGATCACTAATAAAATAACACTAATAAACCAACCAAAGGTTTTCATTAGAAGTGATTGATTTGATATTCTCTTCGCGGAGTCCGAAATCTCTTGTAGGGTGAAGTGTCATTGTTTCCAAATCAACGACACGGAACTCCTCCTAGAATTAAAGTATTTTTATTTCAAAATTTTTTCTACCTTAAATCGATGTCTTCCATTTGCAGGCGTCGTTCTCAAGTGGACATACAGTGACCTGAAAATTGAAAATGCAGAAAATGGCTCTGAAAACGTTGACCAACTTGTGATCTGTCGTGATGTTCAGTTTATAGATTGGGCTATCAAAGCTCATTTGATAGTCCGGGTTGTCGAAAGCCGACAGCACATCGTCAAGACTTTCTTCCTGTTCAGCCACTGAAGTCCCTCTGAAGTCGGATTCTTCTTCTGCTTTTTTGCTCATGCATACTCAGATTGTGAAGTTCCAGGTTGATCTTCGAGGTACTTCTTGTGGTCGATGATTTTGAAGCAAAGAGAACATTTTTCTTTAGTTTCTGGTGCAACGTAGATGAATAATTTCCGCGATTCATCATGGCAAACACAGTCACAATCTGTAAAATATGATCGGTGAGAAAAATAGAGGAAGAAAACCTGTCATCGATGCGTTTTTATCAAAGGAAATGTGGTTCAAATAACAACGGAAACATTCGCTGTCCTTGTCCAATATGTTCTTCAAGGCGGTTATGTTGTCGGTCTCAATGTCCGCACTAGCTTTCAATTCGTTTATTTTCTCGTTCAATGTCTGAATAAATTGAAAAGTAGACAACATTTTCGCACCATTTTTGCTGTTTTTTTTTTCTTTTCTTATCAATTCTCGAGCCTTTAAAATCCAGAAAAAATCGGAGGTTTAATAAAGGGACTCATTTTGCTGCCTTTCTGCTGCCATTACATACCATTCTGGCTTTGCTTGAGAAGCTTGAACAGTTTTAGAGCTACCTTTTCTTCTGTTTTGGCTTGTTCGGACAGTTGAACGATTCTTCGGAAGCGTGGAGAAACCCGATTTGAAATAATCACATTTCTGGCATATTCATATTTGTTAAGCAACCTGAAGTTTCAATGAAGAAAATGGACACAGAGGACAAACCTAAGGAAAGGCCGGATAATCACGTTCGCAGAGGGATCGGCTGCACAAATGGAAAGCTGACTGATGGACTGAAAAGACCTGAAAAAAAGCCAATTAAAAAAGTTTTTTTTTTAAACTCACTCTCGAATGGGGTAAACATCTGCAGTGAGAATATTAGAGTTATCATACCAACACGGCACGAAACGGCTTGGCCCTAATCGAACAAAGCTCAAAAAATGAACCTCCATAGCATTTCCTGTATAATGTTTCCGTGAAATTTGAAAATCTAATCTCACCGTTTATCGAAAAAATTGCTACTTCCGAAGAGAATGGTGGATGATTTTTGCTATTGCCGAAAATCATCAGCTTAAGTTAAACTGTTTTTTGCTACAAATTTCTCTCACTTTTGAATCGTCTTGTGAAAATGACGCTCCTTGAATCGATGTCCAGCCGCGGGAAGGTTTCAGAAATCGCTCATGAATTAGTTCCAGCGAACGTGACTCATACACCTGTGTTTCATTCATCAATAAACTTTTTCCAATCAAACAAACGTAAAAATCTGCACGATCTCCCCAAAGGACAAAATAGTTGCCAGAATGTGAGAAAACACATCTCTCAATCGGGTTATCAAAATAATCAATGATAAGGTGAGGTTTCAAAGGGATTTCCGTTCTGAAAAACATCATCTCGTGGAAGTACGAGTCGAAGATCTGAAAAGGAGCTTTTCCAAAGCTTGAATCATAAAAACTTGCCGAAAGTTGAGGGCTTCTTGTTTTGAAATATGTACAGTACATGTCTTTCCACAAAGCGTTGGCAGTAGCACTCAATCGCCAGCTCTGACATGCATGTGCACAGCTTTGCAAATCCTGAAACACATTTAAAAAAAAGAAATTTTGCCAAGAACATCAACTTACCTTGCTTTCTAGATTTTTGAAGATTTTACCGAGCATTTCCGGCAGCATAATGTTCCAAGATATCATTGTGTTGTATTCGAAACTGGAGCAGCAAAAGGGTAAAAAACAATTTGAGGAGGCTGAATTGATTTTCAGAGAAGAAAAATATCGAGAAATGTGTAACGCGGGCTGCAGATCAGTGTTTGCAGAAGCACTCTACACAAAAAGCCTGATCTCTTGTAAAGTTGTGATCGGCTGGAAAAGATTTGATGAAATCCAAAACAAAATTTTATTTGAGTTTTGATTGATCAGAAAATTCACAAAGAAACGAGAAAGTTACCTTTCAATTCAAATCCAAAAACCTTGTTTTTTGCTAAAAAAAAAAAAGAAACTCGATTTTTGACCGCTTTTATAGAGAAAATGAAACGGTGAACAGTTTTTTTAATTTCCTAAAAATTGAAAAATAAATGTGTCGTCTCATTTTTCGATCCATGTTACACTGCTTCTTTCCACTTATCACTGGCCATAAAGTACATTTGATGGTGAATCATAAGCATAAAAGAAAGATTTTTGGTGTCTGACTTTTTTGTTCTTAATTTTTGAAATCATGGGCATTTTTAACATCCTTCGAAGGTTAGTGGTCGTGAAAAACGTCGAAGACTTCAAGCTCCTTTGGTTTTGACTTTAATAAACGAAAATAGGAGAAGCCGATCGCACCTGAAGAATTATTTCAAGACACACGCCTGTCTTTGAGAAAAAAATAGCTGACGTATTTAAAATGGAAGTCATTTTACTTTGCAGTTGAGAGTTGACCAGAACGCTTCTTGAAGCATCAGAAAAAGATTCAGAGTGGCACCAGCTGCCCAACTTTTCAGTTTTTGAAAAAAAACACCTCAAAGTTGATTTAAATGGACTATTTTGGGGCTTTAGGCTTTTATTTCTATAAAACTGTGCAGGTTGGGACTTCCAGAATCCTCATTTAATACAACAAGGAGTGTTCTGGCCCATTTTCAATGTATTCCCAACCGCAAAGTTAAATGACCTCCCTTGTTAGAATTAAAAATCAAAAAAGTTGAACCGAATTCGATTCATTTTCATAGTTATCAAAAACCATCATGCAAATTATTTGACTCTCAGTTGGAAAATTCTTTAGTCTCAAGAGTCAACAAAAAAAATGACGAGTAAAGTTGCGTAGAAAGTTTGAACAGTTTTAGTTGATGGCTTTTGGCACTGATAGCGCGGCGGCCCCAGAGCAAATGTCGAAGAAGACGCCTTTTCCGCATTCATTGGAACGTGTATTGATGGTTGACACAAAAGGATCTTGATAACTTTAGTTCTTCCGGGATTCCTTTCAAGGAAACAAAACATCAGAAGTCATGTAAAGTTTTTCGATTTTTTTGGTTGCAAGAAAATTGAAAATTGCAAGAAAAATTGAAAAATTGCAAAAAAAAACGAAAATTTTTAAATTATTTACTTACTTTTTTTGTTTCACTTGCTTATATACTTCTGAAATCTTGTCGAGGAGGAAAGGTAGGTCCCAAAAAAGTCAGAAAAGGTCTAATCAGGCTTTAAAATATTCAGGAAGTAAAAAAATTGTGAACTTTCATAGGAAAAAAATTTCAAAAAAATGCAGCTTAGGAGCTTTTTTTGAAAGCCGACAGTGTGTATAAAATCTGAGAGTAAATTTAATCTAATTTTTTGCGATTCCTTCTTTAAACTTGATACCCTGGCGCAACATCTGAAACATCTAAAGGTTTTTTAAAACTCGACTTTAACAATTTTCAGCCAGTAACCAAAAAGGAATGGTTTCTCAAGAGTCAAATTGTGTGCATATACAGTTGCGTGAATGTGTTGATTATTTTTCAGAAGAGAATCTTCGAATTTTCCTGTCACAAGTTAAAAAATGTTCAAGATTTTGACAAAGGAGGTCTTTTCACTTTGCGCTCGAGATTCTCTTGAAAATTGACCAGAATGCTTCTTGATGTAATAGAAGAAGATTCTAATAGGTTCAACGTGCCCAACTCTCTACTTTTCGAGAAAAGACGCCTGAAAATCAGAGAAATTCCTCAAAACTCATAAAAGTGTGCTTTGGGGCTTTAGACCTTTAATTCTTGAAAACTAGGAAGTTGTGCAGGTTGAGATTTTCATAATCTTCTCCTAGTAAATCAAGGAGCGTTCTGGTCATTTTTCCGAAAACTCCCAACCGCAAAGTTAAATGACCTCCTCTGTCTAATCAAATAATGCATAGGATTTTGAAGAACAACAAGGACAGAAAGGACATCACCTCTTATGCATCTACCAAAATTCCTTGTTTTCACGGTTCAAAAATTTCTTGACTCGATTACGCTTGCCATTGCCAACAAGACGAAAAGTTGTCGAGTTCAACATTCCGAAAAAAGCAGATAAGAGAAGCGTCACACCGCAAAGACTCTTCTGCAACCCCAGTTTTCTTTTCTGTCGTTTACAAATCTGCTCATTCTTTGCTATCGTAATAATGTAGTGGAATGAAAGCTTGGTTGAAGGCGACGGAGATAACTGCGATGTTTCGTTTATTATTGCACCGATAAGGCACTTACATTTCAGGTGTGGCGGACCTATCTCTTCATGCCAAAAGTCAAACATTTCACAGTTTTTTTTTTCTCATATCGTTTATTCCTTTCTGTATATTATGTTCTTCCCTCGCAAGTTGCGGGTTTTGGTAAATTTCGATTATAAGCTTACGAGATCGATTTCTGAGTCGTCAAGATAGAAATTTCCAAGCCCTCATTAAATTTTTTTCTATCAACCTTAGACGATATCAATAAATGACCGCGAAACTTCGGTTTTGAGCTCTGATTATGTACTAAACGACAAATCAAAAAAATTTTAACTTTCTTAGAAAAAATGGCAAAAAAGCGTGATTTTTCAAAATTATTTTATTTTAATAGTTAGTAGATCTGAGACTTCTCAGTGAGAACATTTTCCCCTTAGTGAAGGTTTTCATTGGACTTGCGGCATTCAGAAATGATTTCTAGTGTTCTAGGTTCACACCCTCTTTGCGTTATCAGAAGAAATACCTGAGCGGCGCCACCCTGAAGTTGCCAACGCAAATCGGAAACTGCAAGTGTCTTTTTAAGCTTTCCCCTTTCCTCTTTTTTTGCATCAGTCAAAGGTTTTGCGTTTATACATCTACGGGAAAATTTAATGATTATTGAGTGGTTAAATGCTCTCTTGGTAAAGAAATTGCCAAACTATCCTTCTGGAAAATTGAATGTGACACGATTCGAATTTTTCAGCTTTCAAACTCAGAGATTTTTATTGTTATTTCAGTGTCTTGAACTTTCATTTCAATACGGTAACTTACTTCCTTTGTTACTCTCAAAATTGAAATTTTTCTTTTTCATTTCAGAGCTTTCCTTTTGAGAACTGCCTTTTTCAATTGGTTTTTAACTTTGGAAAACTTTTTTTAGATATATTCAGCTTACTAAATCACTCCTTTCTTACAGCCGATATCCTATGATAAAGAAGGATAATTTTATCAGTAAGATAATGAGTATGTTAATAGTGAGTCAAGCTCAAACTAATATTGCAACCGCCCACCATTCTTTATCAATTTTTATCCTCTTACTGCTGATTTGGTCAACGAAGGTTTTATTTTTGCAACTTCTATTTACTTTTTAAATCTTTTTCTCATTCTATATCGGTCGATTTCACGGCAATCTTCTCGTGAAAAGCTCAATGAAAATAAATTTCTTCGCAGAGGATGCGCTGGCCGCGAGGTCTGACCCTCGTGTTCGTCGCCGCCTTGGTCGTCGGCGTCGTTCTCGCCGTCGTGTTGACCGTGGTTTTTACAACTCGATCCGCAAACAGTGGTAAATTTCTTTTTGTAAAACTCCTGGGAAAACTAATAGTTTTTAAACTATTCTTATCAATTGAATATTAAAACTCATAACTTGATGGATTGCTTTGAACAGAAATTCAAAATGTTTTCAATAAATACAAACAGTTTTTATATTTCATCCTTCACCAGTTTGATGCAAAAATACTATAAAAAAATTCAGATTTTTTAATTTTTAACCCAGTTCTGGTCCTGAAATGATAATCACCTCTGTAAGTTTACTAGGGAACGTTTTTTTACCACCCCGATTCAAACTTTGATGAAACTTCACTGAAGTGTTCTTTATTACTTCCTAACTGCAGAGCAAGAAACAAATTTCTCGCAATAAATCACGTTTTTCAAGTTAACACACTTGAAAAAAAAGCGCTTTTTGGTCATAAATTGTGTATTTTACAGACTTTAAAGCTTCATAAACAGGGAAAAAAACGATATTTTTGTTAGAATTTTTCTCATAAAACTATTTTTTTCATTGACACAGAAAAAAAGAATTTGCAGTAGATCTTTATTTGAAGTTTTTCCAAATTAATATTGAGAAAAATAAACATGATTCAGATAAATCTGTGTCTCCCTTTATTTTTAATATGCGGTTCACTTAAGAAATCATTTTTTTCATAATGTTGTAGAATTTAAAAAAACTCAGAAATTTTTCCTCTATTTGGCAAAATAGTTTTTCTTTCAGAAGCTCCCTTGAAAGTGATAACGATATCGATTTGCACAAGTAGTGATGAACCAATTAAATCTTCAACTTTCCGGTTTAAGAGAGATGGCCCAAGCTGCTCATTTAACGACGTTAGTTGCACTTGCCATAACTAGTAAAAATACTTGCTAATCGTAAAATTCCTTTAGAACCAAAAAGAAGCTCAGAGTTTCGTACAAAGTAACAATGGTGCTCAATTCGTGATCGTTTCCTACGCCAAAGACTCGAGTGTAAGTTTGAATAATATTCCGACCTTCTATTGTGATTTTGAAGGTTTCTGACATGATGTCTTCGAATGATGCGCAAACATTCATCGGTAATATCAAAACAAGTGGTAGCGGAATCAACCAAACCAAGTGAGCTAAAATTGGATTATGCAGTTTTTTGAAAGCTATATTTATGGCTAGAGTTAGTTTCATGAACTGGATAATCTTTAGATATTCAATTCTGTCATTGAGGACCTATTAATAGAAAAGTATAAATTCATTTCGAAATAAAAGAAAGACTAGAATAAAACTTAGTTTAAATTTTTTAGTGTTTTCTTTCGACTTTTTTCCACGTGTTTCACTGATTTCAGAGAAAATCAGATATTGATTTTTTTTTCAACTCAGTAATTCGGCGAAATATCGACCAGATGCTCAAATTCATGCTTTACCTGGAAAAAAACAGATAGTCTACGTACCTTTTTATCTTGCACAATGATAATTTTTCCAGTGCTTTGTCCAATTATAACCCCGGCCTTTACGCACAATCGGACTTTCTTCACTTCACACCATGCAGCACTTCATATGCGTTAGCTGGTTCTTATGCATAACTATAGATTTCATTTCTTTTACAGAAACTACAATGCGGACAAAGCTGCCGTATCCAGCACTGTCCGAACAATTTCACAAAAAAACAAAATAGCAGTGATTTCTTTCTCTCTGAGTACCACGGACCTGAACAACGCGTACGGTTTCAACAACAGTCCCTCTCTCAAAACCGTTGGAGCAGACGTCCAGAACAAAACCGATAGCTTGACTAACTTTTTCGGAGGTGAGAATTTCTCAAATATTCACAATATTTGACTTCTTCTCTTCATGCAACCTATCTAACGGCTTTTTCCAGACAGTTCGACGACCAAACCAGCACCTACGACCACTGCGAACCCTACTTCCACTTCAACGGTAACCGCTCCCACCGAGACAACAAGCGTTACGGGGTCTTCTGCGACTAGCCAAAACCCTCCGAAGACAACGGCCCGTTCTTCTCCTGCCGTTACTAGCAAAGTTCCTCCTGTCACCACTGCCGCGACTTCCAAAAAACCAGTCACTACAGCTCCTAATACTTCCAAAGTCACTTCTGCAACTTCTAGCAAGGCTCCTCCTGTGACAACTGTTCCGACAACTAAAAAGCCCGTCACAACGGTTCATAATACCTCGAAAGCTTCGGTTTCAACTCAAGCTCCACCCGTGACAACTGCTCAGACCTCCGAGAAACCCGTTACGACAGTACCGATTACGACCAAGGCTGCGTCTACGGTTTCAACTCAAGCTCCGCCGGTGACCACTGCTCAGACCTCCGAGAAACCCGTTACGACAGTACCGATTACGACCAAGGCTCCGTCTACGCTTTCAACTCAAGCTCCACCCGTGACAACTGCTCAGACCTCCGAGAAACCCGTTACCACAGTACCGATTACGACCAAGGCTCCGTCTACGGTTTCAACTCAAGCTCCGCCGGTGACCACTGCTCAGACCTCCGAGAAACCCGTTACGACAGTACCGATTACGACCAAGGCTGCGTCTACGGTTTCAACTCAAGCTCCGCCGGTGACCACTGCTCAGACCTCCGAGAAACCCGTTACGACAGTACCGATTACGACCAAGGCTCCGTCTACGCTTTCAACTCAAGCTCCACCCGTGACAACTGCTCAGACCTCCGAGAAACCCGTTACCACAGTACCGATTACGACCAAGGCTCCGTCTACGGTTTCAACTCAAGCTCCGCCGGTGACCACTGCTCAGACCTCCGAGAAACCCGTTACGACAGTACCGATTACGACCAAGGCTCCGTCTACGGTTTCAACTCAAGCTCCGCCGGTGACCACTGCTCAGACCTCCGAGAAACCCGTTACGACAGTACCGATTACGACCAAGGCTCCGTCTACGGTTTCAACTCAAGCTCCGCCGGTGACCACTGCTCAGACCTCCGAGAAACCCGTTACGACAGTACCGATTACGACCAAGGCTCCGTCTACGGTTTTCAACTCAAGCTCCGCCGGTGACCACTGCTCAGACCTCCGAGAAACCCGTTACGACAGTACCGATTACGACCAAGGCTGCGTCTACGGTTTCAACTCAAGCTCCGCCGGTGACCACTGCTCAGACCTCCGAGAAACCCGTTACGACAGTACCGATTACGACCAAGGCTCCGTCTACGCTTTCAACTCAAGCTCCACCCGTGACAACTGCTCAGACCTCCGAGAAACCCGTTACCACAGTACCGATTACGACCAAGGCTCCGTCTACGGTTTCAACTCAAGCTCCGCCGGTGACCACTGCTCAGACCTCCGAGAAACCCGTTACGACAGTACCGATTACGACCAAGGCTCCGTCTACGGTTTCAACTCAAGCTCCGCCGGTGACCACTGCTCAGACCTCCGAGAAACCCGTTACGACAGTACCGATTACGACCAAGGCTCCGTCTACGGTTTCAACTCAAGCTCCGCCGGTGACCACTGCTCAGACCTCCGAGAAACCCGTTACCACAGTACCGATTACGACCAAGGCTCCTTCTTCGGTTTCCACTCAAGCTCCACCCGTGACGACTGCTCAGACCTCGGAGAAGCCCGTGACCACTGCACCAATTACGACAAAAGCTTCTTCCTCGGTTTCAACTCAAGCTCCGCCGTTGACCTCAACTGCTCAGACCTCCGAGAAACCGGTCACTTCTACAACTGTATCAGGTAAACCGCAAACGTCTTCAACTGCTACCATCCAAACGACAGCAACGAGGATCTCCACAGGTACTAGCATGCAACCTCAAACCTCTTCAGCTTCTTCTGTGACATCAACGATTTCGCCAGGCACTAAGCCATCTACAGTTGTCACAATGCCTCCTAGGAGTTCAACACTCACTTCTCAAGTATCAACACAAAAAACTGTGGCTCAATCGACTCAAATGAGTTCTACTCAAACAATTTCTGTTTTGACTACAACAATAACTAAACAATCAGCGTCACCCACGTCGAATTCTCCTTCTTCGCAATCTACTCAAACGAAACCATCTATTCAAACCACGCCCCTCTCTTCTCGTATGTCATCCGTTTCTTCTACAGCCAATGTTGTCACTACCTCTCCCTCAATAAGTACAACCATTATCATAAATACTTCTAGCACACATTCAGAGTCTCCCACAACTAGTATTCCGCTGATTTCCAGTTCTCCATCTACGTCAATCTCTGGAGGTTCAACAACGACGTTTATTTCTAGCACTTCTTCAGGTCCTACTAGCCCTACTCACACTACTTCAACTTTTTCGACTTCAATTCCAAGCTCTCATTCCACATCAGCTTCTGTTCCACCCATTACAAACTCTCCGTCATCCAGTCCGAGAACTGCGTCAACGTCTGTTTCGTCAACGATATTCTCCCAGAGCTCAACTTCACCTCACGCCACCAGTTCACAATCTTCTAGACTGCCTTCTTCTTCATCCCCTGCTACCACGGGAGCAACACTCTCAACTTCATCCAGCTCTTCGCAAACTTACACCACGGCTTCAGTACCGACAAGTCAAACATCTGGATCATCGAAAAATACTCAAAGTACTTCCATTTCGTCTTCTATGAGTAGCACTGCATCAAGACCATCTTCAACAATCCTTCCAACAACTTCTGGCTTTTCTAGCCTGGCCACGTCTTCAAAACCTAGCTCTCTATCTAGCAGCTCAGTACCAACAGGCAGCACAACGACGATGCTTGCAGGTAGTTCCACTACGTCCAATATTCTAAAAACCTCAACTTCTGTCGATCAATCCAGCAGTTCTTCTCCTATGTCCAGTTCTGTGCCAATCAGTAGCAGTACAACGATAATTCCGAGTACTTCTACTTTCAGTAAATCCTCCATGAGTAGTTCTACTCCCATCTCTAGTACTCCTGTAACCTCCGGAAGCCCCACGATTCCGAGTACTTCTACTTTCAGTAAATCCTCCATGAGTAGTTTTACTCCCATTTCTAGTACTCCTGTAACCTCCGGAAGCCCCACGATTCCGAGTACTTCTACTTTCAGTAAATCCTCCATGAGTAGTTTTACTCCCATTTCTAGTACTCCTGTAACCTCCGGAAGCCCCACGATTCCGAGTACTTCTACTTTCAGTAAATCCTCCATGAGTAGTTCTACTCCCATCTCGAGTACTCCTGTAACCTCCGGAAGCACCACGATTCCGAGTACTTCTACTTTTAGTAAATCCTCCACGAGTAGTCCTACTCCCATCTCTAGTACTCCTGTAACCTCCGGAAGCACTACGATTCCGAGTACTTCTGCTTTCAGTAAGTCCTCCATGAAGAGTTCCACACCCATCTCTAGTACTCCTGTAACTTCCGGAAGCACTACGATTCCGAGTACTTCTACTTTCAGTAAATCGTCCATGAGTAGTTCCACACTCATCTCTAGTACTCCTGTAACTTCCGGAAGCACTACGATTCCGAGTACTTCTACTTTCAGTAAATCTTCCATGAGTAGTTCTACTCCCATCTCTAGTACTCCTGTAACTTCCGGAAGCACTTCGACGATGCAGCCTGTCACTTCGACTCTTTCAAGTCATTCCAGTCATTCAACTATGAGTAGCTCTCTCTCAACCGGTAGGACCACCACCCTGCTCTCTACATCAGTTACAATGCCTCAAACTTCAACTACGCAAGTTTCGTCGGTCACATTTAGCACTCTCTCGACAGGTAGTTCCATTTCCCCAATGACTAGCGCGTCCACGAAGCCATCTCCGACAGTCACCTTCTCGACTCCAAGTTCAGCTAGTATATCATCGACATCAGCTTCTTCTACCTCAGCATCGAGTAGAAGCACTAGCGTGCTCAGTAGTACTGCTTCAAAAAGGCATTTTTTTACGATTTCTCTCCTGAAAGATCAACCACATCAGACAATTATTAAATCAAAAAAATTTCTAGGTACAATCGAAATTTCAAATCACGAAAAACCAAAGTGATTAAGTTTCTTTAGTTTTTTTAAAAAGTTTGGTTCCTTCGGAACCTGTTGATTGAAATTTCAGGAAGCTCAACTCAAACTGGATCTACGCAAACTACTGGAAGTCCGACCACACCGCTAAGCTCCATTTCAACGGCAAAATCTTCTCCGACTTCAACAGGTTGAGCAGTTAAAATATCGAAACAGTTTTTATTGTTTTCTTTGAAACACGAGCTTGACGGTAATAAATAATTCAAAATTCGATGAAAACCTAAGAATCTTGAGAAAGTGGAGTTCATTCAAATCTTAATAAGTGAACAGAAACGAAAGCGAATTGGTGCATTTTCTAAAATTAGATTGAAAACGACAGACTTTTCCTTTCGAAACATCTATAAAACTTCTTTCAGGAAGTCCGGTGACTTTCAGCCCAACAACTGGAACGACAGGAAGTACGGTGACTGTGACTACAGGAACTAAAGGATCTACTCAAACCCAAACAACTGGGTCTCCTGGAACGACAGGAACTAAAGGGTCTACTCAAACCCAAACAACTGGGTCTCCTGGAACGACAGGAACTAATGGATCTACTCAAACCCAAACAACTGGGTCTCCTGGAACGACAGGAACTAATGGATCTACTCAAACCCAAACAACTGGGTCTCCTGGAACGACAGGAACTAAGGGATCTACTCAAACTCAAACAACTGAGTCTCCTGGAACGACAGGAACCAAGGGATCTACTCAAACTCAAACAACTGGGTCTCCTGGAACGACAGGAACTAAGGGATCTACTCAAACCCAAACAACTGGGTCTCCTGGAACGACAGGAACTAAGGGATCTACTCAAACTCAAACAACTGGGTCTCCTGGAACGACAGGAACTAAGGGATCTACTCAAACCCAAACAACTGGGTCTCCTGGAACGACAGGAACTAATGGATCTACTCAAACCCAAACAACTGGGTCTCCTGGAACGACAGGAACTAAGGGATCTACTCAAACTCAAACAACTGAGTCTCCTGGAACGACAGGAACCAAGGGATCTACTCAAACTCAAACAACTGGGTCTCCTGGAACGTCAGAAACTACTGCGACACAGACTCCAGGAACTACAGGACCCGTACAAACCTCAACTACGGGATCTCCAGGATCTACGTCAACTCAAACTACTGGAAGTCCAGGACCCACTCAAACTCAAACAAGTGGATCTCCTGCAACAACAGGAACTCCGGTAACTCAAACTACTGCCGGCAGCTCAACATCGGCTCCAGGTTACCTAATACGAAAACATATCAAACTGAAAGGCCTGTTTCAGCAAAAGCTCTAACTTGTATGTTCCTTGGCGATTACTACAACTCCGGCGATCCAAATTCGGATGGAAGTTCACTCGTTTTCTATGAAAATGTTTTTAATTCGTAACGCGTGGTGTAGTAATCTTTTTTTCTTCAGGAATACCATTTCATCCTTGAAGTTGCTCAGAAACTGTACAGCAGCACAAGTGTAACCTTCAGTGCTAATGAAGACTTTTACGGGTTTACTCCGACGTCGTTCTTCTTGAAAGATCGGTCGAGTATTATACCGAGTTACGATGTTTTCCAAGCAGCCATGGCTCAAGACGATCTGAATGTTGATGACCCAGCGCCCTTCCAATCAACAACCCAAGAGTGAGATTCTCTGTTAAAATTGAAAATCTGATAAAAAAAGACTTCACAGCAAAAATTTCATGACGTCTGAAACTAGAAAAAACAGTTTTAAAATCAATGGTATGCTAGGGGACGTTTTTTACCTCTCGGTTGAACTTTTGGTGGAACTTTGTAGGAATGTACTACAGATTCTGCTGATTGCAGCACAAAAAAAATTTCTTGCTCTAGGTCTGGCTTTCGAACTATGGAACTTCAAAGTCTGCAAAATACGCAAAATGACGAAAAGGCGCTATTTTAAGTTGATAAAAGTCCTTTAGTGAATCAGTTTTAATTTTGTACTCATCGAAAAGACACTTATTTGTGACAATAAATGGCATTGCTGTTTCAGAAAGTTTGTGATGCCTTCCAAATCAAAATAAAAACTACTTTCACGATCTGTTTCAGCGCTGTTAACCAACTTCCAACGTTTGCATTCACCAACCCGCCGGGAGAAACTTGTCTCGTCTTTTTCTCAGCCGCGTGAGTCTTCAACGAAAAGAAATTGAATTCAAATGCTTTTTCAGGCCTGATTGGACTGATATCACTCACTTGAAGAACAATTACAACGGATTCTCTTACGTCGTTGGAGCGCAGTTGAACTGTGAATTTGAAAGAAAAACGAAAAAAAATATTTATTTTACAGCAACAACGATACCCGACCTCACGAACTCTGTCTCTATTTCGAACGACTTTTCAGATGATGACGTCAACGCTCTCGTGACAAAAATCATTTCTTCGTTTGTTTGAAAGGTTTGCAAGAGGTTTCAAAGTTATAGTGTTTTCGATATTTCGGTTAAGCTATTTTTCAAGCGATAGTAATTTTTTTATAAGTCAGAGAATGTTTTTGATCAATCTTTTTAATTTTTTTAGGTCCGTGAACTTATTTTTTTGAAACTGAAGCAAAAACTAAAATAACCCTTTATGAAACTTTTTTTCTGAGCATTGAATTACGACAAAAACTTCTTCCGATTAGGCTTCCTTAAAAAACCATGGAAAATTTTTTTTTTGAATTTAAAGCTTGCTAGGAGAAACAAAAAAAGGGATTTTCTAAAGTTTAATGGTTGGTTATAAACACTTTTTCAGGTTACCTGATAGACCCAAGTCTTACGAGTACTAAGACGATATCGCTCTCGCAAACCTGCCATTTATTCCGTTCCGGTTTTCTTTCTCCCTTTTTTGAAAGTCAGTGAAATCGTGGTTTCAGATGTTATGTCCACATTGTAGAGCTTTTAGAAAAAAATCTGCCAGTTGCTAGGTTCCGATAAAAAAATTTAAATCAGAAAGAAAATGAAGATAGAAACTAAACTTAAGCCCAAAATTTCCGTGAAAAGCTTTGTTTGAAAGTTTTTGTTGGGATAAGTTTTCATTGAAAATGATGGGAACTGTCGGAAATTTTTTTCCAAAAAAAAACCCCTACAATGTGTGCCTAGCCTTGCTGTTTCACTGGTATACAGTACCGTCAGAAAAGATACGAAAAAACGGGGTTTCGGTCACATTTTCTTGTAAGGATTTCAATCTTTTTGGATTTTTCTGAAGTCGTGATGATTGTTATTTTTACCCCTCTAATGAAGTTTCAGTCCACAAAAAAAAGAACGCAACTTCAGAAACTTTCAGGAAGGTTCCTTACAAAAAAGTTGTCCACAGTCGTTTTTTTTTCGTAACTTTTTTGACGGTACTGTATGTTTCTGAAAAATATTGTTTGGTGTCCGATTTCATTAATAGCTTCTTCAATTTGTAATTTCTGTTGAACCGATTCCTTCCGATTGTTCAGTTGACCTTTTTATGGGTTTATTTTCTCATTAATTTCAATTTTAATGTAAACGTTGAACTTACTCAATTACTTGTATATCTAGAACGAGCTGTTCTAAATCTTTTTTTTGTTCTTTTTCCGAAGCCAAGAAAAGATTGGAAATAGTTGCGGAAGCTTCGTTTTGCTCTGTATAACCGGTTGAAAGAAAAAAAAGCAAGCAAGATCATTTTGCGCGCAAGGAAATCCCTCGATCTTCTCTTTTCCTTGCCTTTACCCGCCTTCCTGTCAGATTCCGCGCAACTTTTGCCTTTGCAATTACCGAACTTTCTTCACTTCAAATATTTTCAAAGTTTGCCGTCCGTTCTCTTTTACCCCCGAAAAGACGTGTCATAAGTTGTTTATTATGTAATTTCGAATAAAGTTTTATCCTCAATTTAAAAATATTTTTTTAAACTGAAATTTTTTTCTTCTCAGAGTTGGTTGGTTAGTAGATCTTCATCTTATAAAACGATTTTTCGTGTTTTTTTTAGTTCGAGAAAGAAAAAGCAAAAAAATAGGTTGCGATTCTAAAAATTTTGTGTTTCTTACCCAAAATCTCAAAAAAGGGACTGAAAAATTCGAAAAAGGTGTCAAACTTATCGTCGCAAAAACCAACCCTTTTTTTTAAATTTCGCATGTTACAGATCAGAAAAAGGAACAATATTTCAAACCGAAGTAAGAAAATAATTTTTCATGATAGAGGAAACTTGGCTGATTTTTTACTTTAGGCGGTTTTTCATTGCATTTGAATGCATCTCTGGAAAAATCTCTTTATGTATGTTTTTTTTTTGAGCAGATCAAAGCAGAATGATCCAGGTACCCCAGGTTTTAAGTGATCCATCGTGTAATAAAAAACTGTCAAAAAAAGAGGATTCAATAGCCGTTAATTTTTTCTTTTGCTGGTCGTTTTTTTGAGATTTTCTCAACAAAAGTCTCCGAAAACTTAAAAATTTGCTTTGAAGAAGTTCAGTTCCAAAAGACGTTTCTTTTTTCACCATCCGGTCACACATGTTGGATCCCAGAACCGCTCGCAATTTTTTGCTCCTGTGGAATTCAGAAGCTGATATTGCGTCTAATCTTGATGTGACTTCGAAGCCGAACGCCTTCAAAAAAGCGATTGTTTGCACAAATAGCCGTGGGCGGATAGGCAAAAAAAAGACAGAAGCGTGGCCGAGTGAGGTGGACAGTGGAAGGCGGTCGAGATGCGAACGAGAGATAAGCAGGAACCGTTGCAAATGGCGTTAATTGGCGAGAAGACGTGGGGTGAAGCAACAATTCCGAGGCGCTGGCCGATCGCTTACCGCCTCCAGGGGCGTCGTCTTTGCTTCTTCGACCGGCGTCTTACAAGCGGTCGGCCGCCTCCCCGCGTACCGAAACCCCCACACAGATTGATTAATCTTATACGCTGTCCTCAATTTCTAGCTCTCCTTTTGCGACGTCACCTCGTTATTACCTGAAACGTCGATGATTTTTCTTCCATCGCCGTATCAAAAGCCCCAAACAGTGGTTGTCCCTCTTATAACTTTTCTTTATTGTCTTTATTTTTCAATTTCATGAATTATCAGTTTCTCACCTCTAAACAGTTTCCGATAAAATCCTTGTTTCTGTTAGGAATAGACAAATTTAAAAAAAAAAAGCTAGTCCGAAATTTCCCAAAACCTTCACCTGAGGACGTTCTAAACGATTATCATTTATTCCACCTTTTTTTCTAATAAAAAAATTCTTTCATCAACTCTAATAATATTTTTTTAACCTAATTTGTTACCTGAATCTTCTTGCTTCCTACCTAAACTTTTTTTAACGAAAAAGCATGAGGTTTTTTTCTTGATCTCTCTTGTCTTAAAAAAATTACCGAGCTTATTAAAAAAATAAAACGATTATCTTGTTACCTCTTCAATAAAAAAATAATCTTATAATCCTTGAAAATTTGTTTAATGCAAAATTTTAGCTCGAAGAATCTTGTGAGACCACTTTTCAAAGTCAAACTCATTAGTATTTTCCGGAGGCTCTCTTTATTTTCATCCACCATCTTTTTCAAACATCGCAAAAAACTTAGATCCTTTCAGCTCGTTGAACGGAATTTCAGAAACTCCTACATCTCTGAATATTTTTGTGTATTCATTCAAGTTTCGATTTGGATGTTTTCCCGTATTTCTCCCCATTTTTTTATCTCTCTGTTTTTGTCATATTCTCTATTCTGCTATCATTATTGATTTTTTTATTTTTTTCTAGCAGAGCGCTTCGAATGAAAGCATTGATCGGTATATTTATTCCGTTGTTCATCCCTTGGACGAGCGCCTCGTTCTGCGGGACTAACGGCGTTCCTTACAGCTTAGAAATCCTATCCGATGGTGAGTGAAGACTTGAAAGAATGACACACTGATCGATTCATTTTTTGTGTTTTTTTTCCTAAGAGAGGTATTTCCGAAGATCGTTTGACAGCGCGTTGACCTTGCAGACGTTATAGCCCGTCAGAACCCATTAGCTGGCCTAAACGACCACGGAAGACTTCCAAAATACTTAAATGAAGTTGAGAGAAAGAATTCCATTCAGGCTCACCTGTACTGGGATGCGCTCAGCCGACGTGCATGGCCGAGGCGCCAGAAGACGTTGAAGACAGTTCGTTCATTGCCAACGCCGCCGGACAGGAGGATGGCTTTTTTCGAGAAGGCGACCGGCAAAGGAAGCCTTTTTTCCGCACCAATAAGCCAAAAGCGGTGAGTAAAGTTGGAAGATAGAATATCTGGATAGTCAAGATTCGGAATGTGTACATTACTCAGGGAAATCTCACTTTGCCTGAGGGACTTTGCAACTTTGACGAAATCCTTGACACCTTTCAGATTTTCATTCATAATTTCAATAGTCGGAATAAGTTCAATCTTGAAGATCTCAGATAAAAATTCCTATCATTGGGTTTCGAGTTGTGGCAGACGCATTATGTAACAGGAAAATGAGCAATTTGACTCAACTTTTGATTAAATAACTAAAAATTGGGATTCTTGGGAATCTTACTCAGCTTACAAAGTCAATATCACCGAGTATTTCAAAATTATGATTTAATTCACTTCACTGTTTCGAAAAAAAGGTCAACCTTAGGGATTATTTACTCAAAATCTTCAGCTTCAGCTTCCTGATTTTTGAACTTTGGTTGTTTATGATGATGTACCAGAAAAAAAGGTTAAAATTTAGCATTTTTTTCACTTCATAACAGCTCACAATTCCGAAAAATCGACTTTTTTGTTTTGGAAAGACCATTTTTTTTCGATCTCTTCGAATCCCAGCTTTGCCATGTCGCTAAGCTCTCTGAGAAGTGAGGCTTATGTGTTTTTTCGGCATCTCCTCAGCACAGTGAATTGTCCGGTTGGCGGCTGAAGGGTACAAATGGTCGCCTAATACGTCGACCAATTTTCTCTTCGCCGACTACCTTGGTGCACCGACTAGTTGGCTAATTGTCAAATATATCTGTCGGGGTGAACGGCTCATATTGTGTAAGGACAAAAAATGTCCCTAGAAAGAATTTTCATAAAATTGCCCAACCATATTTCTTGTATTGAGGGCATACTCCTTCCGTAAACGGTCTCAATTTTGAATGATGTGTTTTTTTTTCTTTCAAGCGTCTTCGACATTCGGGAAACTCAAAGCTCATAGTTTCGAAGGAAAAAATGATTTTTCAATAGTAAAGAAAAACGTGGAAAAGTTCAAAAAGTTCTGGATTTATTTGGCAGACCTCTCAAATTATTCAAATGTACAGTAACGAAAATCGATGAGTATTTTTTTAGTTTTTTTCATCCGTTACTTAGTTAAAAATCTCTTTGATCTGAAAATGAACGAAAAACCAAAAAAAACTTGACCATTTTTTTCCTACTGAAGTTAAAGCTCCGATTTTTTTATTGACCCGACCAACTTTTTATTTTTTTAGCGTTATTCAAAAAAACCTTGAAGATTCCTAATCATCATGATTTTTTTGGAAAGTTCAAAAAGTACAGATTATTGATACGTGATAATGAAATAATCAGAAAAAAGGTTTACTTCAGAAGGGAAGACTTACCGATTTCCCACTTCATTATGATCTTTGGATTTCATCTAAGTTATCTTCAGTTGTTTTTCGCTTTCCAAGCAAAGAAGATCGGAACATATCAGCTGTCACAAAAATCAATCAAGCGATTTTCAGCCAAAAAATGAACGACCTTAATTTTTGATTCGATTGTTCGAGTCACTTGTGGAAATAAATTTACTCATTCTGATAAGGAGTTTAGGACTGCCCGGGAACGTTTTCCGAGTCGGCGTGCACTAAGAAGAACCAATGGGTCGGTGGTATCGATTTCGTCGACCACCCTCGGGATCCGTTTGTTCGATATCTAAGAATCTGAAACAGTGATCATACTTTAGGTTGGTCTTAAAGTGCTGCTCTTTCGAAGGACTCCGTTTTTCTCAAGATGTTGGTGTGACGACTATTTCTACAGGTTTGTGTCTTTTTTCTTTTGGGTCGGCAAAAGCTGGAAGATTCTTTATGTCACAGTTTTTTTTTTGGTTTGTGAGCCTTTTTCATTCTCTGAAAAACTAACGGTTCCATAAATAACAGTTTTCAAATCATACTAAGTAATAATAACGTTTAATTAAGATTTAAGTTGTAAATTTATCATCACATCTCCCTCCGAAAATGCTCATTTCTTGATGAACTCATCCTTTCTCAACGTCTCTGAACTATTGAAAAAAAATGAGGTCCTTGAAAAGTGTCATCTTTAGGTGAAGCGGTAACCGGAGGCGAAGTGATCCGAGATGGACGCCAGATATCGTTTGACGTCATCGCAAACGTTCGACATCTAATCGATCCAGACGACCCAAAGCGGTCCGTTTCATTCGTTTTTTTAGCTACCTGTTTTTGGAGAAACAATATTGAAATAATATCGTCGAATGTTGAATATTTGTGAGATCAACTTTTTTTAAATATTAGTTCAAAGATCGTTATTCCATGCCATTTCCTGCTTAAAGGTGTGATTTTAGAGGTTCATTTATTTACTAAAAAAATGCGAAGAGTAGGTCTTTTTTTCAATGAATTCTCAAAAAATGTCCTAAGTTGAATATTGCCGGACTATTTATTCGGTTCAGTGAAAAAAAAATGAATAAATGAAAAGAAGGGACTTTTCCAACTTTTGATTAACTTTTTAGTCTTTTCTAAGATTTTAGAAACCGGCTACGCTTGTTTTCGAACCAAAGCCGTCCCCTCTATCAGTCGTGTGGAAAGTTTAATTAATTCTGCTTAATTAAAAAATCGCAAGGATTCAGAAGCAGCTTCATTTGAAAACTGAAAAAAGCGGGATCATAGAGAATGGGTTATTGCACGCGGGCGTTTTTGTAATTCGGTCATGGCGATATTAATCTGCAATCCTTGGGCGATGAGATCTCAAAAAGTCGACAGCGCGATTCCAAAACATTTGCTCGTAATAGGAAGAAAAAGCAACGTTTTCCGAAAAATTCCAGCGTCGTCGCGTTTTTAGACAGCAAAGGTGCCAAGAACAGGAAGCCGTTTGTTGGTGTTGGCGGCAACAATATCGCCTGCGCCGATTTGGGCAGACGATGATAAGACAGGTCGAGTTGCGTGACATGCATTCCTCGGTTGTCGTCGCCCGACCGTGAACGAAAATCGCCAAGCTGTCGTCAGCTTGATATTATTTTGCCGGAAATGAGAAAGCCAGCTCATGAATCATCGCACATCCCTTGAAATAATTTTTAAATGAAGTATTTTTAGAGAAAATTTTGGTTTACTTCTTTTTTTTAAAAAATAATTGTTAGCCCTCGAATCGATCACAGTTAAAAATTAGACAGTGTCGAAAAAAATTCACTTTTTTGTCCCCTTGCAAATTATAGTAAATTCAAAAGGCCCTAATGACAAATAGGCCTATTTGATGTGAAAATAAGAAGATCCTGATTTTTGTCTGTCATGTCTTTTCCTCAGTAAAAAAATTTTTTTGTATTTTTTTGTGAATTTTTTCCGAAAGACTCCCCCGTTCTGGGTGAATATTTTTTTCATGACTTCTACAAATTGAAGCAAAAAAATTACCTCTAAAAAAACATAATTTTTTTCTTTTTGTGTTCACTACAGTAGGTTTGCAAGCAACTCTTCACTGGTAATGATCATGAGTCAGTCTTACATCGAATTTCAAAATTTTCTTGGTCAAATACAGATTCACATGCAATGAAATAGGCTCATACGAAATTTCAGCATTATCTGAAAAAGAAAAATTGCTTTTAGCTATAATTTGATTCATTCAAGTTTTCTAAACTTTCAAAGATAACAGCGTTCTTCTAAAACCGGAACTGAAACTTCAAAATCAAATATAGTTATCTCTTCGATAAACTTGTCAAGTTGCTAGTTAAAGTTTGGCCTAAATGCGGGAAAGTTCGACACAGAGAAAATAATTTGGAACAGGTCACGGAAAAAAATTAAGGGAAAGAGCACAGAAGTTTAAACTTACTGAAAGCAATCAAATAACTTCAGGGCATACTACGAAGTGACAGTTCGACGAATGAACTGCCTGCCAGATCCACCAGAGCTTGAAGTACACTGTGAGTGGAGAATGCTTCAGAAAAAAGGATTGAAAATTCCTTTCAGATGACGAAGAGGTAGAAAGCGAAGTGATCCGAGTACTGTCAAACGCGAGTAACGCTGCCATGCAGTGAGTTCTTTTTAAGATCCTGTCTTCACCTCTTGCGAAATTTTTGAGCTCATTCAATTTCCAAGATTGAGATAAGAAAAAAAGAACTTCAGGTTCGGACACGACGGTCACCCGCATATGGATAAAGAGAAGAAGCCGTTCCACAACCGGACTCCGTTCAAGCGGAAGCCAAAAACTTCTTCCACGCACAAGTAAAAATTAGTATCCGGATTCCAATGGTCCTTGCTTTCAGTGTCATCTCGCCAGTTCATGAAGACCAAGAAAAAAAGCCAAAAGAAGCATTCATCGGAAGTTTTGGAGCACCAATCTATAAGTGAGTGCTGAATTTTATTAACGTTGAATTAGTCGAACAGATTCTTAGGAGTTTTAGAGTGGTCCCTAGAGGGTTCAGGTGGTGAAAAGGCCACTTCAAGGGCCGATAAAGTGGCTTCTATAGGGATTTAGGGTCTGTAAGGGTCGTTCAGTTTTGTTCAAAAAAGTGAATTTTTTTGTTTTTCGCATGAAAATGGGTCGCAGAAAGCTCATAAAAATTATCAACTAGCCTGCCTCCTATAGGGACCACTTTTGCAAGCTTTAGTGGCCCCTATAGGGGTTGATAAATGGTCCCTAGAGCAGACCCTCCAAGGGCCCCTAAGGTTGCCCCTATATGGACCCCTCTGGGGTTCCTAAATTTAGATTGAGTTGATCACAATGATTTTATTGATTTGATCGATTGGTTCTTCACCAATTTATAAACTGAAGTGATGATAAACTGAAAAAAAACTTTCTTTTTTTTTTAGTTTCAGGCGAAATAAAGAACGATCCGTCACTCTTTGAACACACATTATTTGCTAAAGCCGAACAGAAAGAATATATTCAAAGTTTTCAGCCCCACAGCAAACGAAATCGAAGAAGTGCCAGAAGAATCAAAAGCAACAGAGACCACTGAAATCACGGAAACCACTGAAGTGGTCACTGAAACACCGACGACAGCAACAAGCAGACATCCTATTCCCTACACTCGTAGGATATTAACTATAAAGCCGAGAATTCCCAAAACGACTCCGGCTCCCTCGGTCAGACCTCCAGCTCATGTTCAGGTCAGTTTCAATGATTTTTTGATGAAGAAGTCTTTTTTTTAAATTCAGATAGAAGCAGAAACGATTGCACCTGTTCATGTACAGCCTCACGATGCTCACAATCCTTTCTCGTTTGCTCCGTTGCCTCCACTTCCGCAGTTTTTGATGGCTCCTTTCGCACCGCCTGCAGCTCCAGCTCCACCAGTTCCCGTACCTCAACAGCATCCGGCCTTTGGTGTGAGCCAGTCAGCGCAGATCGTGCCACTGCCGCCACCATCGCCCTTTGGACTTTTCCCTCAGCCACCGGCTCAGTTCGGTCACTATGGCGTCCAGAACAACGCTGAGCTCGACGGTCTTGATGGATATACGCGCTCTTTGCTCACCGATCCTGGCAGTCCGTTCATGCTCCAGCCCCAGAATACTATTGCTTCTCCTCCTGCTCCCGCTCAGTTCGTGCTCCCGCAACAGCAGTTTTTCCTAGCGCCGCCACCGCAGCAACAACCTTACCAGAACGCTTTCAATCCGTTCGCTCAACAGCAATTTCCACAGGTAGCTTTTCTTAATTTCCAAACTCCTAGAATGAAAAGCTTGTACAAAATTTTGTATCCGAACTAAAGTTTTTGTTCGATTTTTTTTAGTTTTTCAGCCAAATTTAAACAGAACACTCTTCTAGGACTGGCTATGAAACATTACAAAGCCCCCCATCCCTCCCCCCTGTTTTTTGGAAAACCTCTTCTCTTCATCTGAAAGAAACCCTTTAGTCTATGATTTGACGCACAATAGGCTGTAAACCAATGGCGAAAAATAAACAGGCTGGCGTCAGTCAAAAAATGACAGCTCAATAATTTGCATGACCTCGGATTAATAGCGGTCATTGTTGACGGCATTGAGATTTATAGCTCGAAAATCCAGGCTGCGAAATTACTAATTGTTGGTTCTTCTCTGACTATTAAGTTCTTTTTTTCAGTTGAATCGAGTGATGATTCCGGCGCCTCAAAGAGATCCTCAACTGCTGGGATACGATGATCAGCCGGAAATAGTCCATCCGGAGATGTCTCCGCGACAACAACAGCTTGGCCACATCTACCGTCCCCCGCCGTTTGCAGCCCTCGGCACCACTATCCAGAACTTCAATCTTCACAACAGACGACAAACGGCATGATTCTTCTTCTCCAATGTAACTGAAAAGTGCTCACATTCCCAGCCGGTGCTCAACTCTCGAATCTTCATGATAATCTGCTTTCTGTTAAGGAAAAATCTACCCACATTTTCAATCATAACGTTGCAAGAAGCTACCTTCTATTTGAATGTTTTCACGGGAAAAATCTTTAGAACTCATGAGATATAAATTTTGAGATTTCCTGGTTTCAGATTGAATTTTCCAATTTTTATTTTTTTGCTGAGTTATTGTCCCTCAAAATATCTTTAAATTAAACCCTTCAAATGTCGATTTCTTGAGGCCAAAAATTATTCTTTTTCAGACTTTTTCTCAGTTATTGAAAGTTTCTGATTTTTTATTATTATTGTGCTATCGTAATTTATTTGATCCGTGCAATCGGAAGCTGCTCTGAGAACCGTGTTTCTCATTCGAAAATTTTCCATGAACCAAGTCTTTCTCAACTTCCATCTTTCCCCATTGCAATCACTCATATTTTTTCCAGTTAATCCTAATATACAGGTATCTTTTTTTCATAATTTTTTTCATAGAAAAAAAGCCACTGAAAAAAACTAGTTTGAAACCTTTGTTAGATGTTCTAACATTCAAGTTTTTTTATGTGTTTCAAGAATTTTTTGACAATTATCTCATGGTTATGTTTCTATGTCTTTTTTTCCTTCCGTAATAAAAAAATTAAAAAGTAATCCTGTCACATTTCGCTTTTTCATTTACTACCTTTTCACCGTCTTTCTGAACTTTCAAATTGAGTGGTAAAAATATTTTAGCATTCAAAAAGAAAATAAGTGGTAAAAGGGTTTGGAAGTTGAAAAATTTGAGTTTTTTTTTAAGTTTTTCATACCACATTTTCAACATGAAATGATGGGAACTCTATGAACGATGAATGAACTAATCCTTGCCTTTTTAGCCACTTCTCAATTGAAGCTGCAATTGGACAAAATTGGGTTTGTGTTGTAGTTGTGCTGCCAGAAAAGAAGACGAGCAATGGATCGAATCCCATGAGGGTCACTCACCGACCCATCTTCTTGTCAACCATATTGTTTCCCCGAAGACACAATCCTTTTCGAGCCTCGTTCCAGCTCTATCCTATCAGCCTCCGCGTGTCTTTCTTTCAAATATGCAGATTTTGAAGGTCAGCACAATATCATTGGAAAATTACGAAACTTCAATGGAATATCCTTATAGCAAATTCCAAAATTTCATTCTCGAAAAAAGAAGTACAAAAATTAATTTATAGCAGTCTGAAACTTTGCTGAGGTTACCTTCGAAGTACCTGTTTTTTTCCCTTTTGCAATTTTTTGTTCACTTTACTATTTCAGTCGGGTCATTATTTTTTTTGTGGTTTTTTATTTTTCGATCTTTTCAAGACGCTGTAACAACTATTAAATCTCTGATTGAATGAATCTGAGTTTTCGCTTTATCTCTTTTAGTTCCATAGACTTAAAGAAATTTGAAAATATAAGAATCAAAAATTTTCCGCTTTTTATTGCTCCAGTAATTCCGACACAATTGCAGTTGAATGTTCTCTATTTTTCAAAAAACCTTTCCACGTATTTTCTCCAGTGATTGTAACTTTTCAAATTCACCAAACGCGAACCTGCCTAAACTAATTAATTAATAAATCATAAAGAAGTCAATATAACATGTTAGACTTCACTTTGTGCACACAGCAAAAAAAGCTGAGCCTTCAAAAAAATAACCGATTTTTGTAAAAAGGAAAGTAGGAAAAAAAGTATAATATTATTTTCCAGCGCTCCTTCCAAAGAATCCTTTTCATTTTTTTTTCCTTGCAAACAAACCCTTCGGGAACCAATTAGAAGCCGAAAATGAGGGCATAATGGCCACGAAGCCGCCGTTTCCTGGAATCTCGGTCTAATTTGCGCGTCCATCCTTTTTTTGGAAATCGATGCTCGGCCGTGTGTGAGTGTGCTCATCTGTTTAGACATTGTTCGGCTACCCTTCATTTTTGATTCTGTGTACACTAATTCTCGCATTGAAAATTCAGTTACTACAACCGTTTGTCGCAATTTTTCTGTCTCAATCCTAACAAGGTAATTTTATGATCATCGAAACGCTTTTTGAGACTTCTGCACAGCAAGAACACTTCGAAATTCGAATATTAAAGTAATATTCAATCCGAATTTTTTTTTCAAGGAAAGTTCAAGAAATTCGTTTAGAAGCTTTCAAACACCCTCCGAGCCTTTGTGACTCGAATCTAACTATTTTCACATCTATAACCCATTCGCCTGTTATTTCACACACTAGCGGTCTCAAAATGGGCGGCACGACGTGCGCCGCTCCACACGAACATCCGGTAACTCAATCTCGTACTGTTTGACCTTCCTCAACAATATTCCCCACCACTCGCTCAGCCCATTCCAATTTGTCTCTTATTTCAAAGAGAAATCTGCATCCGATGGCCTCTTCTTCTTTTTTTTTTCTGTTGGGAAACCCCTCTGCTCTTCAGATTAATGTATAGTTCTTCGATTTTTGGATAGGAATGACCAACTACTTTTGTTTTGTTGAACTTTGTTTCGAAATTTGAACTTTCTTGAAGAGATTTAAAATTATACTTTCAAGATTTCTTATAGTGGGATAGCATAAATATAATGTTTTCGAGACTATGATATGAATAATCTACAGAATAGCGCTCTGGGATAAAAATTATCCACTTTTTTCCTTTCAAAACTTCGAAGTTCTTTTTTGTTCCTACAGAGACCAAACAAAAAACCTGTTGAAAATGAGATTCCATGTGGGCGGTTGCTCGTTAGCCTCGTTCCATCCTTACTCCAGATGAAAACCCTCTTGAAAGCCTGCTTCTACGGTTAATTAGATCATCACAACCCTCAATATACGCCTGAACGAGATGGCAAATTCGCTCTCGAGCTCAATTCCCAACTGTTGTGTCTTGGAGAGCAACGATATGAAACGTGAGTCTGAACTTGAAATTGAGAAATGAATAATTGAACTGGCTGCTAAGAATTTTGACGAGAAAGGGCAAATGGTTTTCAATTTTTTCTTGAATCAAGGGAGGATTTTTTCCAGAGTTTATTTCCTCAAGTACAGCTGTATTTTTGATTCTAGAGCAGATGGGAAGAGAAATGGTTATATGAAAACAAGATTCGTCTGAACTCAGAATGAATTTCCTTGAGCGATTAGAGAAAAATATAAGAATTTGAAAGATTGTTGATTTTTGCAGCATAAAATACAGTCCATCTTAACCGGGTTCAAAGAGAGGGAAATTATTAGCCTCAAAAAGGCACATACTTGAACAGGAATTTTCTCAAATCTTCTTTTTCAAGATTTCAAAACCTTTTTGCCCTTAGATCTGTTCATTAACCTCAAAGCGTAACCTTCAAAAACTCTGATTTCTGAATTTTCAATCGAGCATTTTGATTTCACAAGTTTTTGACCGTGATGCGGAATAAAATCCACTGAAACTTCCCTCACATATCCGGCCAACCTAAATCTCCTACTTTTCCCGTTAATTGATTACCGTACCTAACGGTATTGAGTCATTATGCTCACCATCGCGATGGAACTTGTTTCACAACACTTTTCGAGCCTTTGAATAGGCCAAGTGGGCGACCACTTAAAATAGCCACCGCGCACACCTTGGCCTTTTTCCTCGTCACACGCAGAAAAAGTCTTTCTGAGATGTCACTTCTCCGAAGTCTCAATAAAACTTAATTCTTCTTTTTCCGATTTGAAGGATTTTTTCAACTGCTTTGTTTTTCTGATCGTATTTTTCGCTATTTTCGAGAGAGTTTCAGAAAAAGAGAATTGAGGCAAAACGAGACTCAAACATATCCGATTTCACTGTTCTTTTGACGATCCTACATGCCATGAGCCTTCAGTTTGTCTTTTGTTTGTTTGGCGTGAGGGTTTTACGAAAAAATTTCAAGCCATTGAAAGTTCTAAGTATCGTTCTGAAAAATGTGTCCTTTGCTGATAAAAAAAATTAACCAATGAAGTTTTTTTTTCCAAAAGTGTACAGATCATTCATCCAGAAAAAACTCGCTTCTCAAAGAATTTTGCTCAGATTAGACATTTGTTTACTGGAAAACGGTCGCTACATCCATCCGTCTCCAATCTTTAATTTCCTTTCATTGCTTCCTGCTTAGAATTACGATTGAAAAGCCTCTATCCTCGTATTCCACACGCAATACTTTATAAATATCCAGAGGTTTCCTTTTCACTTTTTTTGTCAAAAACCCCGCATATGCTCTTTTCCGAGCCGCCGCCTTCTGCCCCGGACTCGAGCCCGCCCTCTGTCGAAACCTCATTTAAATTTCGTTTCCTGCCTCCTTGCGTCGCCTCCAGGAATTCCCACAAAACGCTGTACTGGTGCCCAAACGTCCTAAGGCTTCGTTGCAAGCTTTTTGGCTTCTATACTTTCTTTTGCATCCTTCTCATGTCCTCGCGAAATTTGCAAAAGCAGCTTGAGTGCATTCACACGTTCAAAATGAGCGGTTTGGTCCAGATTATTGGTTGCCGGAGTCATTCTCACACTCACAGGTGCAATTTCTTTGTTTGCCCTGGAGCGAGCAGTAGAAATTCGTTCAAACTTTGGACTTTCAGATCTTGGTAATTTTAATATTTTTCTTTCTCTTAGTGTAACTGAATCCAGAAAAAAATTGACGATTCACAAAATTATACCTAATAAAGCGATCATTCAAACAAGATTTGAAAGAAATTTCAAAATTGTAAAAAAATTGCAATTTTTTTGTGACAAATAATAGTAAAATAATAACAAAAAAATGCAGAAAATTGGTAATATTCTTGGCGCATCTGGCTTCCTCGTGAGGCTTGATAACCATTTCCAGCCATCTGTTACATGCTTCTCTCAACCGGCCACTCAACCTTGAAATTGGTCTTATTGCGCGTTCCGATCCAAACAATGAATAATTTGATTTGTTTTTCAGAACGACTATAAAAATGTGTTGAAAAATGGACGTCCGTTGACCCAGGTAGGTTTTCGGTCTTGTTCAGAACGAATGGAGACCCATTTTGTATGGAATCCGAACCTTGAATGCGAATATAAATAAAAAGGAATGGATCTAATGGAAAAGGGCAGTCGTGACGCCAAGCGGTTCTAAAGGCACGGCTCGTTTTCTCATCCCCTGCTCGTTTCCTACTTAAGCCGACGTTCTGAAAAATACTGCGGAAAGTGGCTGCCGTCAAAGAAGAATTTTCCTCAACCATTTATTGTTGTCACCGGCACTTGCAGTCCTCCGATGTGCTTAATTAAGTTATCGATTTGCAGGAGGTATTTACTCACCCTTGTTACCAAAAAGACACATATTCTATCTTCAAAAAAATTGAATCAAACTAGGCTTCTAACTCAATATGAGAAGAATTTCATTAAATTTTTTTACAAGTGTTCCAAACAAAAAAACAACATTTTTAATCAACTTTACTTTTTTTCGAAACACCTATATAAGAAAAATTTTTTTAATTTGTTTTTTTGAAACAGATTCTTTCTTTCAGCTTTTTTTGCCATTTTTTTAGTATTATTTTTCCACAAGGACGCACCACGTAACTCTGAAAAATAATTAAACTTTGCGATAAGCAAAAAAAAAAAAACATTTTTTTCTAACTTCCAACTATCGATCACGATATCTTCATTACACTTGCAGGTTCCCAAAAAAAAAAAGTAAAATATCCTTTTTTGGATTCCACCGAGTTCAGAGGAAATGAGACTTTCTATTTGCAGTTCCGTGTAACGCGATACTCAATTTTCCGACTAGCAATTTGAAATTTTGTTACACTATAAAAATCCACTAATATTATCAGTACATTTCCTCAGCTGATTAACGCCAAAAATATTTCAGTTTTGTTCATTTTATATCTACTAATCCTATAAAAAGCTGTGAAAAATTTGCTCTTCGTTCCGGATTATAAGCCGCCAGAAAGTCATGCTATTTGCTCCTATTTGAAAAATCATGAAAAAAATTATTTTTTTGTTTTTTTCTCGATTTTTTTCTGATGTATTTGATTTGCCGCTGGCTATAGACTTCCCTAAAAAATCAGTGAACAAAAAAATGACGTTCGGAGGTCTCAACAGTTTTTTTGACCGAAAGTACCACTTGATCAAAAAATGACCAGAGACACTTCAAAATCTCCCAGAATATGGAAAAAAATTAATAGCCTTCCGTTCTCAATAGGTGAAAGACTAATTACCTTTTTTTCCAGAAACAAATAAATGATTCATCAGTTGCTTTGAGAGAATGAAACATTTAACTATCTTTATATTTTGAAAAGAATTTTTTTTTGCTCGTTGAAGAAGATCAGTTGCATTGTAATTATTCCTCCTAACGGAAAAAGCAATCCACCGGCCTAACGCTTGGCCTTTGCAACAACAGCGTTTGCTCCTCCCCCTCATCCTTAAACGTGAACGTTTGGCGCTCGTTACGCCCCGTCGACGAGTGCAGCCAGTCCGCCAAGCCAGAAGCTTAGGCTGGAAACTAGGCTTCGCTCTGGTCATTATCGTCATTTCCCTACAGCTTGCTGGCATCTACGCAATTCTTACTGCGACTTTACGTTGCTACCTCATTGAAGGATCAACTACCGCTTTCAGGTTTTACGAAGACCAGTTGTTAGAAAAAATCAATGTTTGATTGCCAGCTCGTCGGACAAATCAAAGAACTTTCCGATTTCGAAAGAAAATGGTCCTGACACGATTATCCGGAAAATGTTCGAGAACATGCAAGAATACAGTGACTCATCATATTTGGCTCGCGAAAAACATATTTTTCAACAAATCGTTTCTTTTGCATCCCTCTCTGAAATCGATTTTGAACCGAATTTAATGATTATTGCTCTCAAACTATACGCCAAACAACAACTGCTTCTTGGTTTAACAAAGTTTTTGTTCTAGAAGAACATAAAAATTTTCATTCTCTATCCGAAAATTTATCGATTGAGCTAGACATTTTTTAAACCCTTTCTTCATTTTTTTTTTAGCGAAAATTCCAATTTTTCATAGCTTGGCTTCATCTTTTATCCCTACTCCAGCTAACGAGTCAATTTTTGATCGATCGCTATAGCTTTATGTTTATCAGCTAGTACACTTTCAGTGCTTTTTTTAGGTTTATGATGTCACTAAACCGCAAACACGTTCTCAAACAACCACTCTAAAGAAAGATAATGCATCGCAGTTTTATGTGATATGTGATTGTTTATTGGACAGGATGGAGGTTCGAAACAAAACCTCTTTGCCTTAGGCTTAAGTGACTAACTTAATTTGCACAGGATGTTGCGAATTGTTAGGGAAATCCTGAGAATCATCTCGATTTTCACTAGTGTCTTCGGCTAACTGAATTTACGGGGCGAACCCAACAAACACGGCTGCCCGCGGCCAGCTCTTTGTCCTTCTTTTAATGAATAGAAATTTCGCGGTCTTAGAAAAAATACGGAATTTTCTGATCTTATGAAATATTGTATGTTGACTGTTGATAGAATAATACATTGCTTTCCTGTTTCGAAATTTCAATTTCTTTAAAAGTTCTTAGCATTTTTTGAATCATAAATGACAGATTGAAAAGCGTTCCGTTCTATCTAATATGATTAAGGGAATTGAACTAAAACATCAAAGTGCATATTGATGTTTCTGAAAAATTTTAAAAGCACGTTCCAACATTCACGAGCATTTTCCTAAAGTTTTTCCTCTTCATCCTAATCTTTTTTCTTTTTCTTTGATTTATGCGCAATTTTCCAAATAACTATCTTTCATCGAGTCTGGATTGAAAGTGGCACCAATTTTTGGGGCCTCAAGGTGTTGCAAAAGTTTGATGAACGCATTCCCATTCCAACTATTTCAAAAACCCGCCCAAAATTCAACATTTATGACACCTACTAAACTTACTATTTCTTTTTCCTCGGCGTTATATCCGAAGGACATTGGATTTTGAGCGTAAAAAACCTTCTGAACATTTTTTTGCACTTTTCCTCCGTAATCACCTTCCCATAATCCCATATATGAGGCGCCGGGCAGCACGAAAAGTTGAAAGCAGCAGGTTGCCCATGGTGATAATGAACAAGTATGCGAGAAGCCGGACGTGTGCATCAGTCTCGCCCTTTTAGCTCAGGCGTTCGTCCTCTGCTTTCCTTCGCCGCGCATAAATCTCAACCAAAAAACGTCTTTCCTTGCGTCTTTCGCTTCCTGACTCCCAAGTTGAATATTTTCTTCCCTCCATTCTGTATCACATTCCCTTTTTCTTCGTTTTCGCGTATTGATATTTAAAAGATTTTTTTCTTTTTAATGTAAAATTTACAGGTAACCGGGTTATTCGGGTTTCAACAGTTTGCTCTCCGAGTTTCCAAATATACAGGTGATTTCATCATTTTTGTAGTTTCCTTATAAATTCATGTTTTCCAGGTAGATCAAGATGGCGGAAAATCTTCTAGACAACTACAATCCGCTCTATGATATCCATCTGCGGCAATACTTCGCCCTGCCGCACATGCAAAAACATCTGCAAAAAATGGGATTGGTGAGCTCGAGTCGATTTATTTTGAGAGTTTTTAGTCGGGGAGCAACAAGTACGGAAAGGGCAGTTGAAAGACTTCACATAATCCCCTAGAATTACGGCACAACTATTTATTTTATCGCAGTCGACTTTTAGCCGAACGTCATTGAACGCGAATCGTTAAGCTTCTGCTAGAAAGCTTCGAAATTCGGGCGACACTTTAGAAAAGGAACACAATGAACATTCATGGCTCCGTTTCTTTTTCTCAGCTCCCGTGGGAGTTTGTCATCATAATTGAACGACGGGAGAGGCTTTTTTGCCGCCGCAGGGGCTGTCCTTGAAAATGACATTTTGCCGAAAGAAGAGAACGGCTCGAGAAGCTTGCGGAGCGCATGAATAATATAGCAAGGGTGTCGCGATTTCAGTTACTTCAGGTTACTGTAACAAGTAATCTTGGGGATTTTGTTAAGGGCCTTATCCACAAAAGTCTCATTGGAAGGGAAAACTTTGAGACTGCGGATAGAACAATAATTTGACAAATATCAAAAAATTATCCTCACTTTCCAACAATTCAAAATTTAGTTTGAAAACCTGCCTGACTATGATTTTTTGTCGACCGAGGGGCGCGGGAAATTTTACTTTGCGGTTGAGAAGTTCTTGAAAGTGGGCCAGATTGCTTCTTAATGTACCAATTGAAGAGCCTTAAATTCTCGTTTTGTAAAACTTCGCAATTTTTTGGAAATAAGGGCTTAAAGCACAAAAAAAACCTTTTTTTTATGAGTTTTGAGAGTTTTCTCTGTCTTTTAGGCGTATTTTCCCAGAACCGCTGAGAAAATTGACCTCCTTGTAAGATTATTGAAAAAATTCAAGTTTTTATAGTAAAACCACAAAAAATCAATTATTTTCATGAAAATGAGTTTTGGCTTGCAAATTTTCTTTCAAGCATTGCTAAAAAAACACTTTTTATCATATAAATAACTACAGTCAAATTGGAAATAGGAGAGCGTTTCAATATCTCCCCAAAGAAGATTGCCTGTTCATTTTATCAAATTAAATCCAAAACAGCTTCATGTAGGCTTTCGGCACGCCTATTGGCGGCAAATGACAGACCCAAACAGGGAAGACCTGGCGAAAACGCCCAGAAGAGGACGGATTATTTATTGGTGCAACACCTGCGTCAATTAACTGTTTGTGCACTGTTGTGTGGGTTCCGTTCATTTACCGCGACCACCATTTGTACTGTGAAGAGTGGCCTTGTAAATCAAAGAGCCTTCAGCGAGATAATCGCGGGCCGGATTTGGCAAACACATTGGACAGTTATACCAGCCGTTGGTCTGTTAATTGTTTGATTTGGTCGAGCAACAGTCGTGGGGTTCCGAGCAGGTCAAAAAATTCAAAAAATTCATTGAAAAGAGGGGAGAAAACTTGCTGTAAAGCTTTTCTGGATTTTTATTCAAATCAATTTCAAAGCATTCATTTTGTTGGTTTAGTCATAGATTTATCGACTAGGCGGTGAACAAGAACTTTGAAAGCTATAACGAACAACCGCCTTTGGCGAGCTAGAAGTCCAAACGTGTAGTTGAAAGAGTTAAAGGAATGGTCTTACGGTCCTTCGCCACGTCCTTCTGCGCGTAGTCCATCCAGTTGCGCCTTGACGAGCTCAAAATGTAGTGGATGGTGTAGCTGGAGCCCGGAGACCCTGCTCTAGGTGGAAGCCTCAGAATGAGAGTGACCACTTCGAGTGAAGATTTTACACGGAATTTCATCTGAAAGTTTGCGGTAAATTCCAAGCTCAAAATATTCTGAAACTCGGTCGAAATATACATGAATCTACTCTGAAGCAAAATAAACAAAACATTTGTTTTCGATTAGTTATGAAAAACCAGTTTGAATTTCATTATTTTTTAAAAAAAAAGTTGCTTTTTTTGAAAACCAGTTAGGATAAAAAAACCAAATAAAAATATCAAACCTTGAATTTACTAAATCAGTTCTATATTGATTATAATCCAAATTTTTTTCAACTTTACACTGCTTTTTTCTGAGTTTTTATCTGCTACTAGTTTGTTAGTTATCCAGGTTTCAATTCCAAAAAACTGAGCTAATCTCATATTTCAATTTTCGGCGCGAAAACCTGCGTATGATCACAAAAAAAAAACGGAAATTATAATCTTGCGAACCAGCAATTGAAGCTTTTTTGAAATATGTACTTTCGCATCGGGAGTCTGTAATCAAAAATTCAATTGGCTTCCGCCTCGTCATTAATCTACTCTTGCCTCGGAACCAACCTTTTTCTCAGGAACAAAAGAGCGTTGAAAGCAATGTGGTGGGAACTGAATATTTAGTTTCACTGCATGAAAATGGAAGAAAAAAAAAGAAAGGTTCATCAGAATTTTTCCAGCTGGAATCTTCGCTGAACTTGAATGGGGATGAAGTGTATGCTCGACACCACGCAATGATGGATATGATGCTGAAAAATAGGTTTCCGAGACGAAAAAAAGGCAAAGTTGGTTTGAATATATTCAGAGAAGCTCAACTGATGAAAATGGCTGAACTGCGAAAGAAGCTGGATGCGGCGGAAAAAGTGGAGATCTGTCGTCGAATCCGCAGTGGGCAAAGTCCGGAATCATATCGACGTGGGAAACCGAGCAGAAGCCTTAGCCGAGGTCGGCGATTCGTCCTATTTTGAACTCTGAAAATCATGTTTAGGACGTGGGGCGCAGAAAGGAGGGAGACAACGTCGTTTTTCGAACAGTTTCGAGGACAAAGACTTCGTTGTTAAGATCGAGAAGGTAGGTTGTTAGCTGAAAAATTGGTATTTGACTGTGGATGGATCCTAAACTTTTTTTTTGGTAGATCCTGTTGAAATGTTGAACGGTTCTACATGTTAAATTCTTACCTGAATCCAGCAAAGTTCGCTCTAGAAATGTCTTACCAATCTTCAAATTAGCTGGGAGCTTTTTCCATTCGTTTTTGTATGAGCTATTTCAATGCGGTCAAAAAGGAAAATATGGCTTTTCTGGACCAAATTTATGAAAATTTGAGACAAAAAAAAACATAGAACGAGAACTGTGATGAAATTTTTTTTAACCTAGGATTTACAGGACAACGCGGAGCCAGTTGATTACAACACAAAAGATCCATACAGTCGATTGTCTGCCAATGCAAAACGTTTCAATTATCTTCATAAGGTACAACTGAATCAAAATTCAGCTTTTTCACATATTCTTACACTTGCAGCTTGATGACCCAACCTTGATTGCATACAAAGACAACCTGAAGAAGCAGCTCCAGAGGCTGGAGCGTTTCCGCGAAATTTCGTTCGGACCGCATTCTGTAGCTCGGCAGCCAGCCCCGTCTCACACTTCTTGGTTTTTCAGACGCAGGTACATTGAAAACATACTCCTCATCTTTCACCGACTTTCTTTGGTGTGATCCTACCGAAAAACTCGCTCAACACACCCTGTTTTCTTTAGACGATTAGAATACTGCATTCGAGTGAATATTGTCGTTCTCTCACAGAGATGGTTGGTATGAATGCTCGAGGCATGCCTCTACCATAGATATCATTTTGATTTATCGAGTCAAAGACGTTTTTTTAGAAGTCTCAAGAAAAAAAGGCGAGAACTTTTTCTCAATTTTGACGCGACTTCCTTGCTCAGAAAAATTTAATGAATATTTTATAAGAAAAGAACCTACGAGAAAAAAATTTTTCTTCCTTTGAAAAAAATAGGAAGATGAAGGAATCAGCTTTGTAAAGGAAGATATCAAAATGAAATCATACTGTAAAAGGAAAAATCCTGTTTTCAATCAAGTGAGAATAATTTTTTTTTTCTTTTAGATTTTTCGTTTTCGTGGTCGCAATCGAAGCGTACAAATTTTTTTTCATTTTTTTTTTCATTATTAGTGGATTTCTGACTGGACGAAAAGTAATAAAATCGAATTTCTCACGTTCGTGGAACCGTTCAGAGGAAAAAGTGCAATGAAAAAGTTGTACTTATAAATTGAGTTTCTCGGGAGACACGTGTGAATTTTGTCACCTGTCTAAGGACAAAAAAGGAAATTGCTGTTTACTGAAGTATTTGTAATCAGATAAAGAGTGATATAGCTTGGGAACAACTGAAAGTAACTGATTGTTGTTGATAATCGTACCATCGGGGCACCGCTGAACATTCAGGTCTCTTCCTAGCCTGACCGCTTCTGCGCCTGGACACACTCTCAGGGACCCGCTAAGGTACTAACTGCACGATTTTGTGGGTATGACGGTTGGAAACTTTCTTGGTCTTCAGTTTTCGTTTTTGACTAGAGATAAAGTAGTGGAAATGAAATCACGGCATTGATAGGAGCTGAATATCCTCTTTTTCAAAAAAGGTCGTCTGAAAATCAAAAAAAAAACTGTTGAGCATTAGTAAGAAAAAATATTTTTATGACTCCGAGCTGTTCTTTCTGAGAAACGAAGGTTTTACTGGACAGAAATATGGTTTTTTTGAGCTGACTTTCTGGAAGTTTTGAATTTGTAAAGGTGCTCTGTCGATAACAAGTTCTTTTGACCAAGAAATCAGTCACGTCGTCATATCCACACAATGTGTCCGTGTTGTCTCACCGGTCGGACTCCTTGCGGTCCCCCGATGGACGACTGACTTCTGACAGGCGTTCCGGAGAATCAGGGCTGCGCTGAACTGTGTTTCATGGACTGGACACTTTTTGATTGGAAATTTAAAAGCAGAAGTTAAAATTTAAAAAAAGTTTCTCTGCATGAATGATGCAAGCTTCGAAGAATTCGATTGAATTGGGCAGGAAGTGGCGCAGCATATTATTGAATAAGACAGATACTTTGAATTATCGGAAAAAAAGTGAGATTTCCATAAACTTCTTCCGGTACTTTTTGCCTCTGCTTAACTTGAAAAATAAGTTCTTTGATGTATATTTCTTGAATATTAATCAACCCGTGTAATTTCACTTGAAAGATGGAAACTGCTTCATCCCTGTAGTGAGCGACTTAACGTAGAAAAAGAGACTTTACTCAAAAAAATAAAAAAATAAAAAAATCTTAGAAGTAAGTTAATAACTTCCCAAAAAAACTTTCGCGCAGCTCCTGCCCTGTAGCACTCCACCCTAATCGTGTAATCGTGCTCCTCTACCTCTATCCAGTGTTGTGCTTCCTCTTCAATCTCATCAAAGCCCATTTTATTTGATGCTTCGCTTCATTTTCAAATGCGCGCTATCAAGGCGTTCTTTCAGTGCATCTGTCTAAAACTATTCTTTAAACAAAAATGTAGATTTTTTCCCGTAAACAGCTTGCCTTTGAAAAATTACTTCTTAAATTTTCTGTTTGCCGCAACGCTTATTATTTTTTGAAGTGAGAAAAACTAGAGATTTTGTGGTGCTAGTGATTTCAGTGCAACAGAAACGGCTATTATCGATGATGAGCGCTTCTCTTGATTTCATAGCTCTTTGTGCATATTACCAGCCATTTTCTTCTCGAAAAGAAAATAATTTTCAGGAGCATTCTGAACATGCGTGGCCGCAAGACGTCGCCCCACACCGGCGCCAAACTCAACGCAAGCCACGACAGCCGAACCAGCTGTCCTCCAACCACTCGCAAACGCCGAGGTATTCCGAAATCATTTCGATTCTTATCTAAAATCATCATCATCATCATCATTTGTTCAATACGAATAATAATACAGTTCAAGAGCCGAAAAATCCAACCGATAGAACCCCTTTTTTCAGAATCCAACCCTCGCCTTCCTCCCATTTCTGGCAACAAAGCGAAAACTCCTGCAAAAACGCCTAATAGCAACAACGCAGCCATGCGCTTACCACCTGCTTATAAAAAGTAAAATAGAAAATGTAGATTCCTAAAAAAAAAAAATGTGTTAACAGGCCTTCACCAAGCCGCGGCCGACCTGTGACCAAAAGAACAACTGCTTCGACAACCGCCAACTCTGAAATCAAGAGTCCTTTGCCTTCTGTAACAGGTTCGAAAACTTGCGCTTAAAAGCAAAGTAAGAATTTTTTTCCAGGAACAGCAATCGTTGCTGGAGCAGCGGCTGCGGCAGCCGCAGCGACCGCCGTAGCAGCTTCTGTTTTAACTGATGACGCAGAAAAACCCTCGTCTCCGCAACCAAGCTCTCCTCCAGCTAAGATCGCTTCCCCAGTGGCGTCTCCAACACCCGCTGAAGATGAAATTCCATCCTTGGAGAACGAACAAGAAGAAACCGCTCATGAACCTCAAGAAGCTTACGAGCAAGACTACAAAGAACCATCTCCGCGGGAGTCCCCAACTGATGAATATCGGCACGACGTTCCTTCGGAACCTCTTAGTCCGGAGCCTACCTTGGACAATCGAAAGGCAACACCGGCTGCAAGTCCAGTCGCGCTTTCAGAAGCTTCTGATCTTGAAACTGACATGCAAACTAACGTGGAGATCAGTTCCGAGTACCACCATCATGAAGAACAACGTTCGCCAGTCTCAGATGTTGGATCTGAGCGTTCCCAACACGCACAAGCTGTCGACTATCACGCTGACGATGAACAGCACGTCCGACCTCCTAGTCATCATTCCGAAGATTTCGAAAAACGTTCAACGATTAGCGACTTCCATAAACCACCTGCGGAAGCCAAGAGGCACGAAGACGATGAAATAATGGAGCGCACAATTGTATCGTCTAACTTGGGTCAAGCGCCTGCTCACTCAGACTCCGACGACTCGGAGCCCGAGTATGCCGAAGAAGACAAAGAAGTAACGAATGAAGATCAAGGAATTTCTTCTAAGGATGTAGTTGCTTCTGAAGATGAGCTTCACATATCAAACACTGCTTCTCACAACGATGAAGTCTCTCAGAAGTCCCCATCATCTGAAGATGAATCCAAAATCACTCTCCTTGAACACTCTCCTTCTCAAGACGGCAATCCTGCAGTAACTATCGAACAATACGACGTGAAGAACCCCATTGAGGAGCCTGAGCAAGCTGAAGAACAAGATCATCACAAACAGGAAACACAGGACTCTTCGATTGCCGCTGAAGAAAAAATTCATGAGTCGGAGCAGGAATCGAACGAAACTGACAGTCATTCTCATCATGATGAGTCGGAGCACGACGTCGATCATCTAGGAGATATTGCCTATAAAGAACACGTCCATCAGCTTCATGACGAACTTGGACATGTTCCCGATAACTTGCCAGCTGATGTTATCCAAGAAGAAATGCAAGAACACAAGTCTCCTGAGCACTACGCTCCTCACGATGAGGAAAATATCGAAATTTCTCATTTGACAGAAGAAGAGAATCATCATTCAGTGCATGCCGAAGATCATCACGAAGAAATTCACAACGTTCCTCACGAAGATGAAAAAAGTCCTGCTGCTTCTCCTGTGAACGATTCTTATGACCAGAATTCTGCCCAATTTGACAACCATCACGAAGAGGAGCACGACAGTTCTGAGAAGGCCGATGTGCACACTTTTTCTTCTGAACCTGAAGGTCGCGCCCAAGATGCCCATGACTTCGAAAAAGATGCAGAGAATACGTATGAACAAGAAGAACGGGAACAACACATTTCTGAACCCGAGAAGTCTGAAGAATTGCACAATGTTGAAAATATTGAAGAAAAACAGTCGGAGCTAACGAACGATTTTTCTCATGAGCCTGTGCACGAAGAAGATACTCACCCTCGTCCTGAAACACCTGAATCGCAAGTGAAAATCCACGTGACCCACGAAGAAAACTATGAGCGCAGTGATGATTTGGAATCTGAACCAGAGAAACAAGTTGAGCACGAAGAAATCACTGTAGAGCCGGAAAATGAGCGTCAGGTTTATCAGGACCATGAAGAAGCGCCCGTTTCAGAGGAGGATCTTTCTCAAGACAAAAACCCCGAAGAGGCTGATACAGTTGAGAAAGAACATCACGTTCCTGAAAACAGTGAGACTTTCGAGGAAAAACCTTTGAATGAGCCCAAACTTTACGCCGGCTATGTTCAGCAGGATCAAGAAAATGAGCCTGCACACGAGTTTCTCAACGAAAATGGAACTCATTCTCCTACCGAACATCTTGAGCATGAGGAACGTTACCAAGAAAGCGACCACGGATCTCAACAAGCTGATAATCTTCATCTTTCAAACGAAAAACTACAAGATTCTGTAGAAAAAGATCATGAATTCAACCACGAGCATGAGACTTTGGATCGAAACTCTCCTACTGCCTTCGAGACTCGCTACGGAGCAGAAAATAGCTCTCCAACTGAAGAAAAAATTGACCACATTCACTACGAAGAAGAAGAACAATCTCAGAAGCACACTTCTCCTGTCCAAGATCGCTTCGAAGGCAGCCCGATGTCTTTCTCGACGAACCAAGAAGAAGACACCCAATCCGACCGTTTTTCTCATCATCATGACGATCAGCAGAATGAAAATGGCTCCACTGATTCTCTGATAATCCACGACGACGTCTCAGTCCAAGAGCATGCGGATTTAATGACTAAATCTATTTATGAAGAGCGCGACGATAAATCCGAAACCGCGTCGCAAATACTGCACGATCAAATTGAAGCTCTCCAGTCTGAGATTCCCGTCACAACGGAAGAAAGGGAGTGGGACAACGATGGGAAGCACATCCACGAGACGGTCACCTACGGCGAGAAGACTGAAGACGGCACTGTCACTCAATTCAAACACACTGAGACCACCGTGAGTTTTTCGTTCAGTTCAATTCAATAATGGAAGATTGAAAATTTGGTAGGGCGACGGAAAGTAGGTTGAAGTAACTTAAAACTTGGATTTACAAAAAAATTTCGCAGTTTAGATTCTGGAAAAGCTGATGAAGGCTGAGATTTGAACCGTCCTCCAGAAATCAACTCTAAATTTTGACCGCTCTGGAAACCTTAATCAATTTTAAAAGACTTTAACCAGTGATTCCACAAGAAACAGTTGTGAATCTTAATTATTGGGATGAATTTTCCAGCGCCAGATTTGAAATCAAATAAGCTTTGACGATTTTTCACCCATTGTAGTAGCAAATCAGCGGCTCTCAGCAATTTTTACTACCAAAGACCTAAAAAAAGCTTCAATAAATTGCTCTGCAGGTGACATACGGAAACGGAATAGAAGATAAAACAAACAACAATGACGATGACGACGACAAAGACCTCAGTCTCAAGCACGACAATGCACCGTGAGCTCCAAAATTCATTTAAATCATCAAAAATTCTTTTTAGAGTCACCCCTAATGGAAACGTCGCACACGAAGATTACACTCCACAAGCCCATCCAGTGGCTTCCAACATTCCCAGCGGTGTGATCGTCGACGACCACGACGAAGAAAACATTTCCAATCTGTAAAAAACTGAGAAAAGATCAATTCTTTCGAGATCTCTCAAAAAATACAAAGAAAAAATCAAAAAAATTTGAATTTGTTTAGTTTCTGCAGCACGCCAGTAGTATTTTAGCATTTTTGAGCCTTGTACCGGTCGTTTTGCGCATGAAGTGTTGTAGTTGGCCCTTGCATCGTGAAAAGCCTCCTTAAGATCTTCCTTGCTGCGGCTAGTGCGCATCCGTTTATTTTTGTGATCACTTTCGCTGGGTTCCCCCCTAATACTTCATTAGTTACTCTATCAAAGCTTTTTATTGGACTTTATAGACATCGATGTTTGGAAATTTTGGAATTTTGACTCGCTGAAACGAGTTTAATACATTTCCCACTATTTTTGACTGCACTCGCAATTTATAATTGCTTCCGTGGTGTTGCTGTTCTTTTCATGTATGCAATTTTTTGAAGTAGATTTTTGGAAATGCATAAAGATTTTATTTTGCAAGCTCAAAGGGAGAAAGAAAGATGATGAAAGATTGAGAGAAAGGTATTGTTCCCATTTATTCAAATCTTTACAGTTGGTTAATAAGAAAGCTTAATAACAATTGTTACAAAATAAAGTACATTTTATTCACTATCTGACTTGCGAAAATAATTATTCGAGCATTATTGGATAATAAATCCATCAAGCACATTTCGCAGTATATTGTTCAAGTTTGGTAAAGTTCGATCACAATTTAATTTGGAGAAATTCCTTTTTTCAAATTTGCAAAAGATTTAACAAACGGAAGTTTTTTTCAAAATTTTTCCAAAGGTGTAGTTGAAGGTTTCTTGTAGGAAGATTCTTCAACTCCAAGATTCGAGACTTCAATTTAATTTCTGTCGATATTGGCATTTTGAAAAACTGATAACATGCTCACGCAGGTTTCTTTGACCTTTGACCCGGAGAGAGGCTACATCGTAGCCTATAATTCTCTCGTTCTCTTTCCAATACGTTGCCCCGATTTGAACTGGGTCATGGCTTTTTTCCTTTCCTTGTTGGCGGGTTTTTTACGATTTTAGAAAAGGCTTTTTTTCTATGCAGATGTCATTTTTCAACATATTTTCATTGCATTTGAACGAAAGAAGTGAATTCCTAATGTATAAGAGCTTATTTTTTCCTGAAATCCATCTGATGTGCAATCAAGAGGGAAGATGATTCATGAATCTATCGGCATTAAATATTATATTAATATAAAAAAAACGCTTGTCAATTTTATCGAAACGCTTATTTTGAAAGTTTTCCTTTCTCGTCAAAGTTGGGCGGACGTAAAAATTGGATGAAAAAGGCATTTTCTCCTGTCAACTTCGTGCAAAAACATTCCTCAAAGTGAAGAGAGCAGACTTTTTACGAAAATTGTGTTTGAAAAAATTTTGTCTGACATTCTTCTGGTGATTTTATGATGATAAGAACTCACTACAACGATTTTTTTGAATTATACGCTTGCTCGAAAACTAGTATTCAGAGATTCAGATGAAACCGACAACAGTCTTCCATGTCTTCATGTTCTTCGCCTTCGTTTTCGTGTGCTGGAAGGACTACTTGATAGTTTATGGAGATTTGCTACCTATGCCAGGCCAATTTCTATCCAAGTTCGTCTGGCTGACAATGATCAACTTAGTAACTGAAAAGATAAATTCAAACCATAAGAAAAAAGTTTTCAGTACCTTCATACCTTCTACCACTTTTTTGGAATATTCATCTCTCTTGCTGGGTCCAAATCGACAACTTTTGATTACGCCGCCCGCGCTTTTGTTGGACCTATTGGCGTAGTAAGTTCCAAAGTCCAAGATTAAAAAAGAATAAAAATTTTTTTGAGACCGTGACTGTACTTTTCTGGGCGTTGTATTTGGCTGATCCTGCCAACATTGCTGACGACATTCGAGGGAGACAGATTCTTGCCATCCAATGGTTCAATCATGGATTGGTAAGTTTTTTTTGACGAATATTTGTGATTGGACTTAAAAAAATACGAAGAAAATATTTCCATTCAAATCACATTCTGTTAGAATATCCGGTTATCTCTCAAATCTTTCTGGCTGATTTCAGGCTAACACAAACTGAAATGCTTCAAAATGATACGTCAAATTTTCATAATCTGATTCAATGGCAAAAATCGCATAGATTCCTGACCAAACTTTGGATTTTCTCAAGTTTCGCTTTTAGGGTTTCATGTCCTTTTGAATTTGAGATTAAACTAAGCCCCGCAGAAATTGAAATGTGTTCCCAATGCAGTTTCGTTCTGTCAAAGAACTTTCAATCAATATTAAAATGAAACGGGAGAAAATGACTATTCCAGAATGGCCCCACTGGTGTAGGAAATAGTCCCACCCCCAGCCCCGTAAAAGTAAAATTTCCAGTAATTTCTTCAAATTTTCGTTAATCTGGTGATCTACTAATTTGTGGGGGCAATTTTTGAGTTGCGGGGGGCTATAAAAGAATAATAGGGAAAGGGGAAGGGCGACTCTGGAATGTGGGAACTGATTCGGACATGGCTTGCAATGCTCATTCCAAAGTTGGGTGGGGGCGATTCTTGAAGACTTCCTAGGCTTTTTGAGACTCGTCTCCCTTTTTAGCGCGGGGGAGGGGTTAGAATAAAATACAGCCCCCCAGTTAAAAATTTGCCTTGGGGGAGGGGGGGCTGTTTCGAAGTAGGGGGCTGGGCGATTCTAAAATTCTCACGAAATCAATTTTCCATTAACAAAAAGGTTTCAGCACACTCTGCCACTGGCTTCTTCCGTTCTCGACCACATTGTTTGGAATCACAAAGGCTTCCACACGCGCCAGATCCTCCAGGGTATCGCCACGTTCTGCGCTTTCTACCTCGCCGAGTGAGTTGCCATGGAGAAGGCGTGGTGATAAAAAGAAAGGGAAATTTCGCCTTTTTCAGCATTCACATTGTGCATCACTACACTGGCTTCTGGGCCTACCCCATCATCGGCGATTTGTCTCCGCCGCTCCGTATCGTCTTCTTTGCCGTCTGCATTGGAGTCTTCTATTTGTCATATTTGTTCCAGAGCTTGGTTAGTATTTATTTTCTTTCGGGCGGACTTTATGGTTATTTTCTTCTGAAGGACACTAGGTCTTGTGAACGGAACTTTTTGAAACGCGGTCAGAAATTTTTGCAATGTATTATAATGACGTAAGAATATCAATCAGCACATCTGTATCTTTTTTGAGGAAGATAGACAGCCGAAATTTGAAGAGGAAAAGTTTTAAAGATCTCTTTTTCATAAATAGAGATCCACTCTCTTCTAGCTTAAGGCATAAAAATACGTTTCGACCTTTTCAAACCAGCGGCTAACGATTCATTGGTAGTTGTGGCAAAGAAAAGTTGTTCTATAAAGCGGAAAATTCCGCACAAAGGCAGATTTGAGGCAGAAAAACTCTTTTTATTCAGAAAATTAACCATTTTTTTACAGTAATTGTCCAAGTCTAACGTTGTTTACTAAAGCAATCGAGATATGAAATCAAGTAAAAAAGAACTGGTTTTTGTTGGATTTTTTCAACGAATTTTTAATCTAGGCCCATAGTGGATAAAAAATATGGCGATTAAAAAATTTAAAAACATCCTTTTTCGAAAAATACAAAAGATATGTACCGACATTATTGTAGTATCAGAAACTTTCAAAAATGAAATCCTTCAGGTTCACACAACCTTCCATCGCCGCCAAGTTCGCAACGCTAGCAAGAAGAAGTAAGCGATGAACTCGTCATCGGAAAATTTGGAAGAAGACCATGACTTCTATTATACTTTTTGAGCAATAATGACATAGCTTTTATTTCATTTTTCGTTTATATTGTTTTTATTTGTACTCTTTGAAGCGTCAAAGCGGACCTGTGATCATTGTATATAGGTCTAAATAATTTCTTCTCAATTTGCTTTGATACATTTCTGGACTCTAACTTTTTATTCAGCAGTGATGAATAAACTTGATAAAATATAATAAGTGAAATCTGGGAAAGGAAGTTGGCTTTCAACAAGAAGTTAAAAGCACCGTGACACTAACAAAGACGGAGATGGAATGTTGGCAAATTCTACTGGGGAGAAAACTGGTACAGTTTAATCTCTCTTCATTCTGGTGGTCGTCATGCGGTAGATGATCGAATCCTTTCCGGGGTCCATCGTCATCATTCCAACGACAATGTAGACCAGAGCCTGCAATTCGAAGAGGATGAGTGCAAATTGTGTCAAGTTACAACATGATTCGAAAAAAACTCACAACGACGAGGATAACGACAAGACCGAAGAAAATAGCGAAGATAGCAGGGTAATCGGCATAAGTGACCGAGTAGACCATGTAGCGTTCGCGATAGGTTTTCAGTCGCTTGTCGGAGTCGCTGACTGGCTCGATAGCGCGCTTCACGATGTGGTGGCCTTCAGTTTCCACGACGAAGCTTGAGACGGCAACAACCTCCACAAGAGCCTGACCTCCGTAGGCCTCGACCAAAGCCTCGTTCAACTGCAAATTATTTTTCTTGAAATCCTAAGAGTAATTTCCCAATTCCACCTTTTCCACAGCACTTTGAATGTCCTTGAGAGCAACTTGACGGTCTTCCTTGCTGATTCCAGTCGCTGTGGCAAGTCCTCCAATCGTGACTCTGTCAAAAATTGATCATCTTCAAACTATCAACTAATACCAACCTGTAGACATCGGCAGAGTTGCTAAGCTTGGCTCCCTGCGACTTGATGGCTGAAGCGAGTTGGAGAACAGCTTCCAGTTCAGATCTCAGTTGGGTCAGGGACGTCTTGATGGCCGAAGTGTCAACCTGAATATCTTCTTGAAATGAAGAACAATTTCAATGACAAACCGAAGCGCTCTGAGCTTTCTGAGCCAGCTCGGATCCGGTGATTCCGCCAGCATTCAGCTGGACGACTTGACGGTCGGCTCCGAACACCAAGGAGAGGTCCTGCTCGAGTCCGACGTTGTCGAAGCCGTCCTGAAGGTGATTCATACATTTGATAAGGGGAATAACCAAGTACCACATCGATCTGATAAGACTTTGCGGGGTTGGTAAGGGCATCGACGCCGTTGACACGAACGATGGCCAAAGCGCGCGGGCGACTGAACAAATCGGTTTGGACGTTGAAACCTGCAATATTTATTAGGTTTTCAAGGAGCACAACAAAACTTGTATCTTTTTCTGAAAGCGAAATCTAGAAATCTCACCTTCGACTGGTCGTGCGGAAAGGCCGAGAAGGTAAGCATTCAGAGGAGAGAGCTGAGTGCTCCTGAGGGTAGAAGCTGAGGACGGGAAGACGACGTTCGTTGGAGCAGACAAGATCTCCAGCGAAGACCCGCTGCAAGTCGCGATAAGAGCTGCCAAAGCTAGAATAACCCGCATTGCTCTGAAAACAATCATAAAAACCTGCAAGACACAAATTCAAAAGGTATCAATCCGAGAAAAAATCGGTGAAAGAACAAAAAAAAAGGGAAGTTCATCGAATGATGCTTTATTTAAAAATTAATTATGATAGAAGCGTGGAAATCGGACTTTGGTGCCCGTTCAGTAGAACTGTATAAATTAATTGATTTAATTACTTGTTTCAAAGAACCCAACGGTAAATCGAGTGATTGTTTCTGTTTACCCATTCTTATCACATCTGATATTTGATTGTCCGTTTTGAAGGGGGAAAGTGTGCAAAAGATCAGACCTATGAAACCCATAAAAGCTCAGCGCATAGATTTGGCAGATCAACTTGAAGTGAACAAAAAAAGCAAAAGAAAAAAAATGTAACATAAATTGCATGACAATAGCAGATGGATTATTATGAAGAGGAAGAAGAGAAGAAAGTGCTTTGGCCGGTTTTGGTCTGTCGTGGTCGGTTCACCATCACCTTTATGCAGCCGTTGAGGTCGGCACTCACGATCACCTGAAAATTTCGCCCATAGAAAACACCTTTGAAATGAACTAACCTGTCCCGTTAGCACAGAACCATCGTTCTTTTCGGTTTCCGAGACTTCACGGCCAAACTTCTTATCGAAACGGTCCATGATATCGAAGAAAACCTAGAATTTGAAATTCCCCAATTTTTATTTTATATTCATACTTGAGGCCTTGGCGCGAAAATAGCCACAGAAACGGGAGAGTTGTGAGCACGCACGCGCTCCCACAAAGAGTTTCTGTCTTTCCGAACACTCATCGTTGACGGCAAGTCGCTGGTTCTCCAGAGGTAGACGAATCTGAACTTTCGTTTATTTGAAGAGATATCTGAAGACAAGCTCACTTGTCTTCAGATCCACAGACGATGTGACGCCCGTCGGGGGAAAATGCGGCGCGAATCTGGGAATGTTCGTTCTGCACGCCTCGGAATTTGCATGTAAGCGCCTTATCGCGAACATCGTACATTCTGATACGCGAATCGTTTGAAGTCACCTGAAAAATTTGTGAAAATTTATTTTATTGAAAGACGAGGATTTTTTTTTTTGGTTCTGAACTAGTACATCGCGCATTTAGAAATTGAATTACTCACCAAAAGCTTGTCCCCGTGGACAGCCAGGCCAGTCACTTTGTGGCCTTTTGCATTTCGTCCCCGAGAAGATCTGACATCGACGACCGTGTGGTACTTCAATTGCTGAAGTTCATCTTTCATTAAACATATAACTCCCAAAAAACTTACGTCTGTCGTGTAGAAATAACAACGTCCATTGTAAGTGCCTACTACGGCAAACTTGCCATTTTTCACAAAAGTTATGGCGGTTATGAACTTGACCTGAGAACTTTTTTGATGACCTCCTAAAGAATATGTCTTCAAACCTGGACTTCATTCCAAACGGCAACTTTCTTGTCAGGAATGTGCCAAAGCCTCAATTTTCCGTCAAGAGAACCGGAGAGGAAATATCGATCGTCCTAATTCTATCCGTTTCACTGTTGTAATTTCTCAAATACCTTGGGAAGAAAAGCCACGCAGGTAACAAAATCAATATGTTGGAAGCAGCATAAACATTCGCTACGAGATATGTGCCAAAGTTTCACAGTCCGATCCATTCCAGACGATAAGATGAAGTAGTTTTTCGACCACGACATGTCCAGAATGTCGGCAGTATGTCCCTTTAATTCAATTTTTTTTTATTAAAAAATGAAAGCAAATGAAACTTTAAGGACTGCAAATGGTTTTGATACGAAGAGTTTTGAAGCGTCGTCGCTATCGGTCGGAGAATCGTCTGAAAAAAATTTGAGTTCTAATAAATCTGTCATGCTCACTATTGACAACGCTCTCGAGAGAACTTGGAGGTCGGAAAGCATCGATATTGTCCAGAGGACTCATCGGATCATCTACTGAAGACTCCATGTTGGCGTGGTATCTAAAGAGAAAATTGTCTAGCGACAAGAAGATTTCGATCACTTTTCACGCATTTCGGAGAAATACTTCAGATGGCTTTTTATCACCCAAATCCGAAGAATAGAATCTTGTCCAGCTGTTGCTAGAAGACGTCCGCAAACGCTGAAGCGCACACACCACACAGCTCCTGTATGTTCATTGTCGAGTTCCTGAAACTTTCAAGTAAGGTTGGTCAACTTTTATTAATACCTGTTCAATTGTGAGCTGCTCAAAGTCAAAAGGTCCTTTTTTGGTTTTTCGAGGTCTCACAATTGTTCCGACCGCTGGAGCGACCCCGTCCTCACTTTGCTCACCTTCACTCGTCTCATCGCCAATTTCTTCTCGAGCACTTCCACTAAAATTAATTTCTTAGTTTTGTTTTTATTTTCTTGACTGTACCCTGTGTGAGTGACGTTGCGTACTTTTTTCAAAGCCCCTCGAAAGAAACCGCTTGCGTACATAACGGAGTTCCGAGCAAGCGACTTAGCGTGGTCAATGCTTGATCTAGCCATCGAATACCTTGAATGAGCGTCGTCGTCGCTGAAATATTTCTTTTTTCTTGATTTTCATTCTCATTGATTCTACCTCAAGCTGATGCTGGTCCTGTCGTCCGCCGCGGCTGCTTCTCTTTTCATGCTCAGTCTTCGCTCAACATCCTGAGCTATAGGATCGAAAGACGTCGACAATTTGTTGCGGACGTGTTTGTTGAGGTTGTTATCCGACATACTTCGACCTTCCTGCAAGAAAGTTCTCGACTTTTGTTTGTGTTTTATAAAAAAGTCACCTTCTCCGTTTCTCTTGCTGGTTTCATCAGACTGTATCGCATGGAAGAGAAGGAATCCGAATGATCTTTTGTTGTACTTGGGAAAGTTGCGTGGGCTTTCGTTTTCCAAGCGTCATCCAGAGGTGATTCAAACTTTTGTAGTCTGCTTGAGGATTCACATTGAGCTGATTGTTGCTTCTCGGATGAATTGTTCGAAGGAGAGGAGATCGAGGATGATGCGCATGATGAAATCGGTTCCAACTTCCGCTGTAACGATATTTTGATGTTTTAAACAGGAAAAAAAGATTCATACATCGGTATTTTGAGAAGTGGCTGCAAGGGTGGTTGTTAGTTCTCGAATGACGACCTCGGCGTCATTGTTCCTTTTTTCTTCTTCGCCTTCCGCTTCTTGTCTTTTCAAAGAATTCGATTTGGAAGCCGTTGGAGGAAATGGACCGGACTATAAAAAACATTGTTATTAAGTAATACGAAGATTAGTTACCTTGAGTGATTTAGCCAAGGTCAATCCTCGGTCTAAAGAGTTTGATTTGCTATGTCCTTTTTTGCGATTTTCCTCTCCGTTTTGAGCTTCACAAATAGTTCCCACAGAGTCATTCGATTTCGTTGAAACCCTCAAATTTCGGTTTTATTCAAATTGCTCTTTCACTTTTATTTTACCTGTTGCATTGAGAAACGCTAGCTGGTAGTTCCAGAGGTGATGATATTGGAGTGGACGTTGAGTTTTCTCTTAAAAAAAACTTCAATGGTTTCTGCTTCACTTTCAAAGCTCACTTTTCGTCTTCCAAAATTTTCATCCTGTGAGCTAGTTCGAGCGACACCGGATCAGGAAGGCGCATATTCGAGCTTCTCGGAGGCAAAGGTGGAGGCACACGATTAGGCGTCTGTGAAAACTTGATTATTCAAAGAGAAAAATTATAAAAAAAACCGGAATATTTCTCCGACTAGGCAAAGGAGGTGGAGCCTGAGCAGGAGATCGATCAATGGGAGACAGACTGTTTCTTGTTATATTCATATCGTTGTTTTTGACGGTAGAACCCCAAGGAGAAGTTAGTCTTTGCTGAAAAAAAAAGAAAATGTTACGAAAGTAGTCATCCTTCTCACCTCGGACTCTGTGGAGGGTGGGTCAGGACTGAAAGGTATGCGGTTGGGTTGTGGCGTGAATCGGGCTGGATGAGATGTCGCACACGTACTAACGCTGTCAGAAGCATGGACGACCTGAATTAGAAGACGAAAAGTGCTATTTATTATTTGGATAGAAAACCATGGTTTCCGGACCGGAAAGCATGTGACGATGCCAGGAATGAAGACTGGTGGCTTCACTCAAAGTGCTCAAGGCGTCGTCGCCTTCGCTGCCAAGGACACTACTCCCTCCACTCGCTTCTCGACCGCCGAACTCCACATTCATTCGTCTTCTCAGCGCCAACAAACGATCTCGATGGGCTCCACTTTCTCGCCCAGTTACCTGTGAGTCCTTTTCAGTTTTCTATATGCATCCCAAATGGCTTTAAATTAATTCTTAGAATTCTCTCATATCAAAAAATGTTTCAAGAAAATGTCACCAAATTTTTTTTGATTTATTCTTAACCGTTTTTCAAAAAATTTAAAGTGTGTGATAAGTTCACAAATGAAAAAAACCGGAAAAGTAAAATTATTAAACTTTTCTTTTATTTTCTTGCTGGAACTTGACTAACCGCGGGTGAAGCAAAAGCGGAGCCTGTGGAGTGGCTGACGCTAGGAGAAGCAAAGTAGTGTGACTGGCTTGATGTCGATTTAGCCAGCGGCGTGTTTCGGCTCCTATCGGCGACATTGAGATCTTTCGGACGTCGGGGAGTATTTTCAGGCTGAAATTTACAAATTATTTTTTGCCTAAAAAAAGTCTTTACCTTAGGAGTAACAGGTTTGAGGACTTTTGGCGGAATTTCTTCAAACGCATCCTCAAATTCGTCGTCTTCATCGATTGTTGCCATAACGCATTATGGTGGTGAGAACCGCCAAAAATAGCTCAACAAATAAAATTCAGTAGAAATACAGTTTTGAATCGGTTGTAATAGCATTTTGGCAGCGAATGAATCAAATGAAAATGTGGAGAACTCGAAAAAGTGTGGAAACCAAAGACCGATAACCGCTCGCACTCTGGTCCAGAGAAAGGGAAAAGACGCAGAGGGAGGTGGGCGCGAAAAATGGGTTCTCACCCAAAACTCTATTATCAAATATTATAACGGTTTGAAACCATTATTTGAAAAAATAAAAGTACGATTCATCCGTTTACAGTATATATTTATAGCAATATTTAGAATTATCTGCAAATCTCTGACATGGTTGACTATCTGGCCAATCTCCTGCTGTAATACACATCAAATAGTTTCTGGGAACATTTCCGAATAAAGCACGGGTTGGAAAAAGAAAAACTAAAATGAATGAGTCACCAGAACATACAAAACGCGCCACGTATGGCAAATGATATTTTGTCCGAAAAAGAACAGATGGAAGGCAAACGTAAGGGAAGGCCGCTTCTCTTATGCAAACGAACAAGGCACGGGAAAAAAAAACTGAAGGCAACTTCTATGCACAGGATACTACTTGGTTCTAAGGAAGCACGAATATTGTGGGGAATTTAGACGACGAGGTGATTAGATTCGGAATTTGTCGATGACGGCGTCAGCAAACTGGATGGTAGTCGCGTAACTGGAAATTTATTTCAATGTGAAAAAAATTACGTATTTTGAGTAAAAATTAATGTTACTGGGAAGATAAATTACAGAGTGAGCTTTCTTGTGAAGTTTGGGTTTTCGTAAAAAAAAATTTTAAAAATGCTTTTTTTAATGGGATATTTATTATTTTGTAGGTGAGAAATGTGGAATTTGGCAATTTTTAATGCTCGTTGTAATTATTTTTCAGGATGCTGAATTTTTCGTGACTTTTTTGTGACACGTGGTTTGATTTTTGTGATCTTTGAGAAGTTCAGAAAAAGACCGATTTAGGTTGAAAAGTCGTTTCTTATTTAATAAAAAAATTTGAAAAAAAGCGGTTTCTCAGCATTTGGGTATCTCAGCGTGAGGACTCGATCAATTTCCAGAAACATACCCTCCCAAATCGCGCGTGCGGACTTTTCCCTCTTCGATGACGTCATTCACAGACTTTCTCAAAGCATTTCCCCAGTCGTCGAGATGCAGATGGTTGAGCATGTTGGCCGCGCACAAAATCATGGCCGTCGGGTTGGCGATCGATCTGAAGTCGAATAAAAACCCTTCCACCACTCATATCCAAATCAAAGAAGCTTCGTCAATTCTTCACTTCGTAATAATCAAATAAAAGCAGATTGATACCTGCCCATGGCCTCCTGGAACGAGTGTCGGCTTCCTGGTTCAAAAATAACAAAGTCTCTGCCGACCGATTGTCCTGGAACAACTCCGGCGCCACCGACGAGACTGCAAAATTAAGGTAAAGGATTATTCGAGATTTTGTTGTTTTCCGTTGTGTGAAAAAAAAATTTTAAACTTCAAATATTACCCTAAAATTCTGATTTGTCTGATTAAAATTTTTCTGAATTCTTATTCACCCGGCAGCCAGATTGTCGATAATGTTTCCGTAGAGGTTAGGCATGACCATGACGTCGAACTGCTCGGGCTTGCTGACAAGCTGCATGCAGGTGTTGTCGATGATCATCGACTCGAACTGGATCTTCGGGTACTGCTTGGCCACTTCTTCACAGGTACGCAAGAAAAGACCGTCTCCCAATTTCATGATGTTGGCTTTGTGGACGGCGGTAACCTGAGGTAAGATTTATTGAAAATCAGCCGAAAGCTGGAAACCTTCTTCCTGCCGGTCTTGGTAGCGTAATCGAAGGCGTACTTGGCAATTCGTTCGCATTTTGGCTTGGTCGAGATTTTGAGACACTCGATGACTCCTAAAATCAGTTTTATGATGGAGGTTGCGGTTTCAAAGGTGAGATTACCAGGCACAAGTTGGTGCTCGAGACTGGAATATTCTCCTTCGGTTTGCTCTCGAACGATGACAAAGTCCAGTTTCTTGCCGTGTCGCGTCTTGATTCCGTCGATAGTCTTAAAAGATTTTATTTAATTCATTATTTCATTGTGTTTAAATGTTTTGGGTAGTTCTTCTGAAGCGCATTACTGATAACAGTGTAATCACCTTAATGTGAACAAGATTAGCAAAAAGATCGAGAGAGCGTCTCAGTCTCATGTTCAGTCCTTGCAGCTCGCCTTCAGTGTGAAGAACCGCCGATTCCTCGATGGCGCCTAAAAAAATAATAAAGAGAAAACAGTTGATCGATACCTTTCAAGGCAACGTGGTTGTTCCGTCCGATCGATTCAACAGCATTTTCGATCGATGAAGAGCGCGTGTAGTGAACTTCAGAGAGGAAAACTTCTGAAAAAAGATGTAAGGAGTTTCGAAGAATCTGTGATGATAGTGGTGAGACTTCTTTTTGTCCAGAATTTGATGGAATTTTACTGAAACACGTTTTATTAATTTTCAATTCTGGTCAACAATAAAGTTGCATTTTTCGCTTACTTCCTAAATTATGAGAAATAACAAAGGCGCGCCATTGCGAATAATAAAATTGTCAAAGCCCAGAGTGACCAAAAAGGCAGTTTTTCTAGTAGCCTAGTAATAAATAAATTCTGTGAGGTTTGATAAATAAGTATCCTACTTGAAACGGAATTAACTCTATTTCTGATAAAGTTTTTATCATTTGAACTCGTATTCTTGTGGATCAAGAAAAACCAAACCTTCAAATTCCAACGGGATACCCGTCTGTTTGACGATGTCTTGGACGCAATAGATGAGCTCAGGTCCGACGCCATCTCCAGGAATAATTGTTACCTACAAATGAAATTCGAACAAATAATTCAAGCAGAAACAAGACCTTCAATTTCTGGGCGATTTCTAATGGGCGAGGAGCGGTGATGGAGTATTGTCGGGCAGAAACGACGTTGCTGCCGGCCAGAGCCTGCGGGCCGACCCTCGCAATCGAAGACCACGTTCGCGAAAGCATCTCAAAACAAATTTCAGGAACGGCTGAGAAACAAAACATAGATTCTCGAGAAAATCAAAAGATAAGATAAAAGGACAAACAAAAACAATTACATGAGAATCTCATAAAAAGTCTTAGTTACATTTTTTTGAAAGAAAACGTTTAATTAATGAAAAGGCAACAACCATGGACAAATTTTTAGAAAGAGTTTTTTTACATTTTTTTCGGTTCATTAAGAAGTTTTTTTGCAGCACTTTTTGGATGCGCTACATAAAATAAAACTATTGAAATTTTTTTGCATTGAAGTTCATGTGGAAACAGTCCCTGAGCCTCTTTCAATTTGAAAAGAGTTTTCTGATATATTGTAAACACCCCATTTTATACTGAACTGTTTCATTTTTTTGCTCAAGGATTTTTAAACTTGAATCTATGAATTAAGCATATTTTTCGGATAATAATAAGTATTTGAATGAATTAAAACATCGTCATTTAACTATTCATATGGCAAAAACAATATAAATATGTACAAGATTACAAAAACTGTTTTGAAAACTTCAAGAAATTTATACGCGTAACGGAAAAACCCGAACAAGAACGAAAAAAAATTAAACGTTGTTCCAGCGGAAATCAAAAACGGACCTTAAGAGCTAAGACTTTGACTTGAACCTTGAAGATTACTTGTGAAAAACGAAGATTATCAGAAAAACAACAAGCCGAGCTAAGGTGGATAATAATCACGAGAGTTGCGCCAAGTCTCGACGGGCGGGCACTGCGAATACAGTGGTGTGTGTTGTGCACGCACACTCTCGTCCTCACAGACGACGCGACAAATCGATGCGCGTCTTTCGAATTTCCCGCTGATCTCCAGTGGTCAAAGCCCATGCAGCTCCAACTGAGGCAAGTTTATTAACGTCTTTTTTTTTTTTTTCTGTTTTGTCTTTAAATAATCCATGATTCAGCAGAATTTTTTTGTTTGACAAAGGCTCTTTTTAATCATTCACTTTGTGTACCTAATAATAAATTAAAGATGTGTCATTAGAAATTTAATTTAGCATTTCAACTCCAGCTTGAAAACCCAAAAAAACCATACGCCGTTACTTTTCACTAAACAAAAACTTTCTTCAGATTTGATATGTTTTCGGTTTCAAAATCAGTTTTTGTTGTCTTAGAAACCTCTTGATTCAATTCATTTTTTTTTTCATTTACGCGAGTAACAAGGTACATTTTTCAGCTATGAAGCCTAAGCCGAACCGTCGGTATTTGATGGAGGAAGAGCTTCGAGGTGTTGTGAGCCGATATCAGAACGGCATACCGATAAAGGATATATCGCAGCAATTTGGCATCACCGTCGGTGGAGCAAGGAACATTATAAAACGATATGAAGATGCGGGAGAATCACTCTTCACAAAAAAGCGACGTGGAGGCAAGAAGAAAACGACCGACGTCGAAGATTAAAATTTAATGGAAACTTTTGTTTGTTTATTATGTTTTTTGTGATTTGAATAAACATTCAGAAACAAAATGTCTTTTTGAAGTTTTTTTCTTTGGATCGGTTCAAACCATTTTTCAAACTTTCTACAACATCAGTCTATTTGATTGGTTGAAATTTCAGGTTAAAATGATTGACAAAGGTACGGACAAAAAACCAAAAAATACTACATACGAAAAAACGGAATTTCGGTCATAACTTTCTTGTGAGGAATTCAATCTTTCTGAAACTTTCTAGATTTGTGATGACTGTTATTTTAGCACTATCATAAAATCTCAGTCTATACAAAAAAAAACCGCAGCTTCAGAAACGTCAAGGAAGACTGAATTCCTTACAAGAAAGTCGCGACCAATGTCGCGTTTTTTAAAATCTTTCCTAACGGTTCTGTAAATAAATTATCCGCAAAACCAAAATTGGAGCTTTGAAGATCTGTCGATGTACATCCTTCTCGTGTCAAGTTTATTTTCGGATAGGTACAGAATGTTATTTCGACAACTGCTTTTTTTTATTGAGATGAGTGTAACAGGAAAGTAAATTAGAAAAAAAGATTTTACCAACATTTTTTTCACCACTAAAAAAATGAAGATAATTTTTCAAAACGAATCACGACTGAAAAAAAATAGTCAAATTAATGTTTTGACAGAGTTTTTAATGAAAAAAACTCCAATTATAATTATAATTGTATTTAAATCGGGCATACGATACTAATTTTTTTATTACAGCCATTAAAAAAATTAAAAAAATAAGTTTTTTTGATTTTTTTGAGAATCCATTTAGCCCTTATATATTCTTCCCATGTGTCGACTTTCTTTTTTTGAAAAAAATATAGTTTCTTGGTTCTAAAAATCCAATTTAGCAGAAAGATTAGTTTAATTTCGTCTTTTTTTCCTCAGAAAAAGAATTTCAGTGGTTTTTCGAATTCATTGAATTGGAAAAAGAAATATCTCTCTCAATTTAATTGTAGTAGAAATTGAATTTGGGGAAATTTATGAGTAAGCCAGAAAACCGAATGTTTTTGCGAAAAGCGTAACAGAACAATCCAATTGGGCGATTCAAATGCTCAAAAAAACAAAAAAAGGATAGAATAGCATAGTGAAGGAAATTGTCGATAAATTTCAAGAAAATTACAGATCGGTAGTTCTGAAAAAAATTTAGTTTTTTTACTTATAATAAAAAAACCTCATTATTATTATTTTTTTACAAACGCTGCTGTTAGACTTGGGAATTTTTTTGTTTTTTTACAACTGAAATAAACGACGAAATTTATTTTTTTAAATTTCACTAAGCAAGATACTACTGGAACAATAGATTTGAAGGAAAATAGAAGAAAACAATTTTTTTTGAATAAATCACTTTTTCAAGTTTCCAAGGATGCGAGGGATATTTTTATAGTGTTTTTTTCCCTAGATTTTATGAGAATTTTATGGAACTGAAATTAAATCATAATTTCTATATAACGACTTGAGCTTTCTAAAAATAAAATTTGTAGAATAAAAAAAGTTTCCTCAGCTTTTTTTCAAATACTTTCTTTCAGACTGAAAACGAATTTTTCATTTTAACGAGAAATCTTTGAGTGGAAAAAAAATTTTTCATATTTCATTGAAAAAAATAAGAGAAAAAAATAGTTATAAAGTCAGCTTAATTGTTTTCGCGCCAATGAACTTGAGCTTAAACCAATTTTTTTCAGACTTTCCTGAGTTTTTTTGTGAACGTTTTTGCTAAGTCTGCAATAAATACGACGATGATTCAACATATTTCGCATTGAAAAATATTCTTTGACAGAAAAAAACAAAAATTGTGATTCTGCGTCGAGGTAAATGGCGATAGAACGCTCAAGATGTTCTTGTTTGGAGGTGACAGAAAGATGCCCAAACCGACAAGAGTCTCCTCAGATTCGCCAGCTATCACCGGATGAGCGAAAATTTCAGAATGTAAAAAAAGTAACAAAAAAAAACAAGTAGACACTTTTAAACGTCAAACAGTTTTTCAAGAAGTTTCTTGACAGTGCAGAAGGTTGTTTCCTGTGATGAATCAACCATGATCTTTTTTTTTCGATTTCCACAGGCCATTCGAAAAAAGATTCTTACAGGTTTTTCCCAATGTACGCTTGATGATTTTACGACTGCAACAGATTTTTTGGAGATGATTTTTATCCGGAAGAATGATTCCATGACAACCGTTCGACAGAAAAATTTTAGCAGAACAAAGAAACAAATCTTCTAGGAAAAATTCATCAGCTTTTACTAAACAAAAACAATGATTCGAGTATGTTAAAGTTTCCGTCGATAGTCTCACGACAACGTTCGGAAGATCGAACAACCGTCTGTGGATATAAGCCAATCGATTGAGAAGACGAGGGCGACGTTGACGAATGAACTGAGAATGAAAATGTCTGTTGGATTCTTCACAGGGCCGCTTTTATCACCAGAAGAATGCCTTTCGCTCCTGTTTGCCTGAAAAACAAAAGACCACAGATAAATCCAGAACTTCCATCAACTCACCCTAGACGACGTGAAGTGGGAGGACTTTTTCGAAGAAGCGGCTTCTGGTGCAGGCCGTTCGCTGCCCACCCTTTAGCACCTGTGGAAACATTCAAAGTTGACTTCAGAAAAGATAAAATTACCTGCACCACCGCTTCTCCTACGAGCGAACGCCACAGGAATCGACGCAGTCCCGAAGAACTGAAAGGACCACGTTATTCTGAATTCTGAGGGTTTTCGATACCTGTGTCGAGATCCCCTCTTCGGTTGTCCCTCCTTCCTCGATCGATCGCTTGAGAAGATGAGGGCGACGTTGACGAGTGACCTGTGAATGGAAACGTCAGTTAGATTCTTCAGAAGGCGATTTTTATCACCAGAAGAATGCCATCCGCTCCTGTTTGCCTGAAAAACTAAAGAACACAGATAAATCCAGAACTTCCATCAACTCACCATAGACGACGTGAAGTGGGAGGACTTTTTCGGAGAAGTGGCTACTGGTGCAGGCCGTTCGCTACCCACCCTATGACACCTGTAGAAACAGTTAGAATTGACTAAAAAAAGACAAAAGTACCGGCACCACCGCTTCTTCTACGAGCGAACGCCCCAGGAATCGACGAAGTCCCGAAGAACTGAGAGGACCACGTTATTCTGAACTCTGAGGGTTTTTGATACCTGTGTCGAGATCCCCTCTTCGGTTGTCCCTCCTTCCTCGATCGATCGCTTGAGAAGATGAGGGCGACGTTGACGAGTGACCTGTGAAAGAAAACGTCAGTTAGAATCTTCGCAGGGCGGCTTTTATCACCAGAAGAATGCCTTTCGCTCCTGTTTGCCTGAAAAACAAAAGACCACAGATAAATCCAGAACTTCCATCAACTCACCCTAGACGACGTGAAGTGGGAGGACTTTTTCGGAGAAGTGGCTACTGGTGCAGGCCGTTCGCTACCCACCCTATGACACCTGTAGAAACAGTTAGAATTGACTAAAAAAAGACAAAAGTACCGGCACCACCGCTTCTCCTACGAGCGAACGCCACAGGAATCGACGCAGTCCCGAAGAACTGAAAGGACCACGTTATTCTGAATTCTGAGGGTTTTCGATACCTGTGTCGAGATCCCCTCTCCGGTTGTTCCTCCTTCCTCGATCGATCGCTGGAGAAGACGAGGGCGACGTTGACGAGTGACCTGTGAATGGAAACGTCAGTTAGATTCTTCAGAAGGCGGTTTTTATCACCAGAAGAATGCCATCCGCTCCTGTTTGCCTGAAGAACAAAAGAACACAGATAAATCCAGAACTTCCATCAACTCACCCTAGACGACGTGAAGTGGGAGGACTTTTTCGGAGAAGTGGCTACTGGTGCAGGCCGTTCGCTACCCACCCTATGACACCTGTAGAAACAGTTAGAATTGACTAAAAAAAGACAAAAGTACCGGCACCACCGCTTCTCCTACGAGCGAACGCCACAGGAATCGACGAAGTCCCGAAGAACTGAAAGGACCACGTTATTCTGAATTCTGAGGGTTTTCGATACCTGTGTCGAGATCCCCTCTCCGGTTGTTCCTCCTTCCTCGATCGATCGCTGGAGAAGACGAGGGCGACGTTGACGAGTGACCTGTGAATGGAAACGTCAGTTAGATTCTTCAGAAGGCGGTTTTTATCACCAGAAGAATGCCATCCGCTCCTGTTTGCCTGAAGAACAAAAGAACACAGATAAATCCAGAACTTCCATCAACTCACCCTAGACGACGTGAAGTGGGAGGACTTTTTCGAAGAAGTGGCTTCTGGTGCAGGCCGTTCGCTGCCCACCCTATGACACCTGTAGAAACAGTTAGAATTGACTAAAAAAAAGACAAAAGTACCTGCACCACCGCTTCTCCTACGAGCGAACGCCCCAGGAATCGACGAAGTCCCGATGAACTGAAAGGACCACGTTATTCTGAACTCTGAGGGTTTTTGATACCTGTGTCGAGATCCCCTCTCCGGTTGTTCCTCCTTCCTCGATCGATCGCTGGAGAAGACGAGGGCGACGTTGACGAGTGACCTGTGAATGGAAACGTCAGTTAGATTCTTCAGAAGGCGGTTTTTATCACCAGAAGAATGCCATCCGCTCCTGTTTGCCTGAAGAACAAAAGAACACAGATAAATCCAGAACTTCCATCAACTCACCCTAGACGACGTGAAGTGGGAGGACTTTTTCGAAGAAGTGGCTTCTGGTGCAGGCCGTTCGCTGCCCACCCTATGACACCTGTAGAAACAGTTAGAATTGACTAAAAAAAAGACAAAAGTACCTGCACCACCGCTTCTCCTACGAGCGAACGCCCCAGGAATCGACGAAGTCCCGATGAACTGAAAGGACCACGTTATTCTGAATTCTGAGGGTTTTTGATACCTGTGTCGAGATCCCCTCTTCGGTTGTTCCTCCTTCCTCGATCGATCGCTCGAGAAGACGAGGGCGACGTTGACGAGTGACCTGCAAATGGAAGCGTCAGTTAGTATCTTCGCAGGGCGGCTTTTATCACCAGAAGAATGCCATCCGCTCCTGTTTGCCTGAAGAACAAAAGAACACAGATGAATCCAGAACTTCCATCAACTCACCCTAGACGACGTGAAGTGGGAGGACTTTTTCGAAGAAGTGGCTTCTGGTGCAGGCCGTTCGCTGCCCACCCTATGACACCTGTAGAAACAGTTAGAATTGACTAAAAAAAGACAAAAAGTACCTGCACCACCGCTTCTCCTACGAGCGAACGCCCCAGGAATCGACGAAGTCCCGATGAACTGAAAGGACCACGTTATTCTGAATTCTGAGGGTTTTTGATACCTGTGTCGAGATCCCCTCTTCGGTTGTTCCTCCTTCCTCGATCGATCGCTGGAGAAGACGAGGGCGACGTTGACGAGTGACCTGTGAATGGAAACGTCAGTTAGATTCTTCAGAAGGCGGTTTTTTTATCACCAGAAGAATGCCATCCGCTCCTGTTTGCCTGAAGAACAAAAAGAACACAGATAAATCCAGAACTTCCATCAACTCACCCTAGACGACGTGAAGTGGGAGGACTTTTTCGAAGAAGTGGCTTCTGGTGCAGGCCGTTCGCTGCCCACCCTATGACACCTGTAGAAACAGTTAGAATTGACTGAAAAAAGACAAAAGTACCTGCACCACCGCTTCTCCTACGAGCGAACGCCCCAGGAATCGACGAAGTCCCGATGAACTGAAAGGACCACGTTATTCTGAACTCTGAGGGTTTTTGATACCTGTGTCGAGATCCCCTCTCCGGTTGTTCCTCCTTCCTCGATCGATCGCTGGAGAAGACGAGGGCGACGTTGACGAGTGACCTGTGAATGGAAACGTCAGTTAGATTCTTCAGAAGGCGGTTTTTATCACCAGAAGAATGCCATCCGCTCCTGTTTGCCTGAAAAACAAAAGAACACAGATAAATCCAGAACTTCCATCAACTCACCCTAGACGACGTGAAGTGGGAGGACTTTTTCGAAGAAGTGGCTTCTGGTGCAGGCCGTTCGCTGCCCACCCTATGACACCTGTAGAAACAGTTAGAATTGACTAAAAAAAGACAAAAGTACCTGCACCACCGCTTCTCCTACGAGCGAACGCCCCAGGAATCGACGAAGTCCCGATGAACTGAAAGGACCACGTTATTCTGAATTCTGAGGGTTTTTTTGATACCTGTGTCGAGATCCCCTCTTCGGTTGTTCCTCCTTCCTCGATCGATCGCTCGAGAAGACGAGGGCGACGTTGACGAGTGACCTGCAAATGGAAGCGTCAGTTAGTATCTTCGCAGGGCGGCTTTTTATCACCAGAAGAATGCCATCCGCTCCTGTTTGCCTGAAGAACAAAAAGAACACAGATGAATCCAGAACTTCCATCAACTCACCCTAGACGACGTGAAGTGGGAGGACTTTTTCGAAGAAGTGGCTTCTGGTGCAGGCCGTTCGCTGCCCACCCTATGACACCTGTAGAAACAGTTAGAATTGACTAAAAAAAGACAAAAAGTACCTGCACCACCGCTTCTCCTACGAGCGAACGCCCCAGGAATCGACGAAGTCCCGAAGAACTGAGAGGACCACGTTATTCTGAACTCTGAGGGTTTTTGATACCTGTGTCGAGATCCCCTCTTCGGTTGTTCCTCCTTCCTCGATCGATCGCTTGAGAAGATGAGGGCGACGTTGACGAGTGACCTGTGAAAGAAAGCGTCAGTTAGAATCTTCGCAGGGCGGCTTTTATCACCAGAAGAATGCCTTTCGCTCCTGTTTGCCTGAAAAACAAAAGACCACAGATAAATCCAGAACTTCCATCAACTCACCCTAGACGACGTGAAGTGGGAGGACTTTTTCGAAGAAGCGGCTTCTGGTGCAGGCCGTTCGCTGCCCACCCTTTAGCACCTGTGGAAACATTCAAAGTTGACTTCAGAAAAGATAAAATTACCTGCACCACCGCTTCTCCTACGAGCGAACGCCACAGGAATCGACGCAGTCCCGAAGAACTGAAAGGACCACGTTATTCTGAATTCTGAGGGTTTTCGATACCTGTGTCGAGATCCCCTCTCCGGTTGTTCCTCCTTCCTCGATCGATCGCTGGAGAAGACGAGGGCGACGTTGACGAGTGACCTGTGAATGGAAACGTCAGTTAGATTCTTCAGAAGGCGATTTTTATCACCAGAAGAATGCCATCCGCTCCTGTTTGCCTGAAAAACTAAAGACCACAGATAAATCCAGAACTTCCATCAACTCACCCTAGACGACGTGAAGTGGGAGGACTTTTTCGAAGAAGCGGCTTCTGGTGCAGGCCGTTCGCTGCCCACCCTTTAGCACCTGTGGAAACATTCAAAGTTGACTTCAGAAAAGATAAAATTACCTGCACCACCGCTTCTCCTACGAGCGAACGCCACAGGAATCGACGCAGTCCCGAAGAACTGAAAGGACCACGTTATTCTGAATTCTGAGGGTTTTTCGATACCTGTGTCGAGATCCCCTCTCGGTTGTTCCTCCTTCCTCGATCGATCGCTGGAGAAGACGAGGGCGACGTTGACGAGTGACCTGTGAATGGAAACGTCAGTTAGATTCTTCAGAAGGCGATTTTTATCACCAGAAGAATGCCATCCGCTCCTGTTTGCCTGAAAAACTAAAGACCACAGATAAATCCAGAACTTCCATCAACTCACCATAGACGACGTGAAGTGGGAGGACTTTTTCGGAGAAGTGGCTTCTGGTCCAGGCCGTTCGCTGCCCACCCTATGACACCTGTAGAAACAGAATTGACTAAAAAAAGACAAAAGTACCTGCACCACCGCTTCTCCTACGAGCGAACGCCCCAGGAATCGACGAAGTCCCCGAAGAACTGAGAGGACCACGTTATTCTGAACTCTGAGGGTTTTTTTGATACCTGTGTCGAGATCCCCTCTTCGGTTGTTCCTCCTTCCTCGATCGATCGCTTGAGAAGATGAGGGCGACGTTGACGAGTGACCTGTGAAAGAAAGCGTCAGTTAGAATCTTCGCAGGGCGGCTTTTTATCACCAGAAGAATGCCTTCCGCTCCTGTTTGCCTGAAAAAAACAAAAAGACCACAGATAAATCCAGAACTTCCATCAACTCACCCTAGACGACGTGAAGTGGGAGGACTTTTTCGAAGAAGCGGCTTCTGGTGCAGGCCGTTCGCTGCCCACCCTTTAGCACCTGTGGAAACATTCAAAGTTGACTTCAGAAAAGATAAAATTACCTGCACCACCGCTTCTCCTACGAGCGAACGCCCCAGGAATCGACGCAGTCCCGAAGAACTGAAAGGACCACGTTATTCTGAATTCTGAGGGTTTTTCGATACCTGTGTCGAGATCCCCTCTCCGGTTGTTCCTCCTTCCTCGATCGATCGCTGGAGAAGACGAGGGCGACGTTGACGAGTGACCTGTGAATGGAAACGTCAGTTAGATTCTTCAGAAGGCGATTTTTATCACCAGAAGAATGCCATCCGCTCCTGTTTGCCTGAAAAAAACTAAAGAACACAGATAAATCCAGAACTTCCATCAACTCACCATAGACGACGTGAAGTGGGAGGACTTTTTCGAAGAAGTGGCTTCTGGTGCAGGCCGTTCGCTGCCCACCCTATGACACCTGTAGAAACAGTTAGAATTGACAAAAAAAAGACAAAAGTACCTGCACCACCGCTTCTCCTACGAGCGAACGCCCCAGGAATCGACGAAGTCCCGAAGAACTGAAAGAACCACGTTATTCTGAACTCTGAGGGTTTTTGATACCTGTGTCGAGATCCCCTCTTCGGTTGTTCCTCCTTCCTCGATCGATCGCTGGAGAAGACGAGGGCGACGTTGACGAGTGACCTGTGAATGGAAACGTCAGTTAGATTCTTCAGAAGGCGATTTTTATCACCAGAAGAATGCCATCCGCTCCTGTTTGCCTGAAAAACTAAAGAACACAGATAAATCCAGAACTTCCATCAACTCACCATAGACGACGTGAAGTGGGAGGACTTTTTCGGAGAAGTGGCTACTGGTGCAGGCCGTTCGCTGCCCACCCTATGACACCTGTAGAAACAGTTAGAATTGACTAAAAAAAGACAAAAGTACCTGCACCACCGCTTCTTCTACGAGCGAACGCCCCAGGAATCGACCAAGTCCCGAAGAACTGAAAGGACCACGTTATTCTGAACTCTGAGGGTTTTTGATACCTGTGTGGAGATCCCCTCTCCGGTTGTTCCTCCTTCCTCGATCGATCGCTGGAGATGACGAGGGCGACGTTGACGAGTGACCTGTGAATGGAAACGTCAGTTAGATTCTTCAGAAGGCGATTTTTATCACCAGAAGAATGCCATCCGCTCCTGTTTGCCTGAAAAACTAAAGAACACAGATAAATCCAGAACTTCCATCAACTCACCATAGACGACGTGAAGTGGGAGGACTTTTTCGGAGAAGTGGCTTCTGGTGCAGGCCGTTCGCTGCCCACCCCTATGACACCTGTAGAAACAGTTAGAATTGACTAAAAAGACAAAAAGTACCTGCACCACCGCTTCTCCTACGAGCGAACGCCCCAGGAATCGACGCAGTCCCGAAGAACTGAAAGGACCACGTTATTCTGAATTCTGAGGGTTTTTCGATACCTGTGTCGAGATCCCCTCTCGGTTGTTCCTCCTTCCTCGATCGATCGCTGGAGAAGACGAGGGCGACGTTGACGAGTGACCTGTGAATGGAAACGTCAGTTAGATTCTTCAGAAGGCGGTTTTTTTATCACTAGAAGAATGCCATCCGCTCCTGTTTGCCTGAAACACAGAAGAACACAGATAAATCCAGAACTTCCATCAACTCACCCTAGACGACGTGAAGTGGGAGGACTTTTTCGAAGAAGTGGCTTCTGGTGCAGGCCGTTCGCTGCCCACCCTATGACACCTGTAGAAACAGTTAGAATTGACTAAAAAAAGACAAAAGTATCTGCACCACCGCTTCTCTTACGAGCGAACGCCCCAGGAATCGACGAAGTCCCGAAGAACTGAAAGGACCACGTTATTCTGAACTCTGAGGGTTTTTGATACCTGTGTCGAGATCCCCTCTTCGGTTGTTCCTCCTTCCTCGATCGATCGCTTGAGAAGACGAGGGCGACGTTGACGAGTGACCTGTGAAAGAAAGCGTCAGTTAGATTCTTCAGAAGGCGATTTTTATCACCAGAAGAATGCCATCCGCTCCTGTTTGCCTGAAAAACTAAAGAACACAGATAAATCCAGAACTTCCATCAACTCACCATAGACGACGTGAAGTGGGAGGACTTTTTCGGAGAAGTGGCTTCTGGTGCAGGCCGTTCGCTGCCCATCCTATGACACCTGTAGAAACAGTTAGAATTGACTAAAAAAAAGACAAAAGTACCTGCACCACCGCTTCTCCTACGAGCGAACGCCCCAGGAATCGACGAAGTCCCGAAGAACTGAAAGGACCACGTTATTCTGAATTCTGAGGGTTTTCGATACCTGTGTCGAGATCCCCTCTCCGGTTGTTCCTCCTTCCTCGATCGATCGCTGGAGAAGACGAGGGCGACGTTGACGAGTGACCTGTGAATGGAAACGTCAGTTAGATTCTTCAGAAGGCGATTTTTATCACCAGAAGAATGCCATCCGCTCATGTTTGCCTGAAAAACTAAAGAACACAGATAAATCTAGAACTTCCATCAACTCACCATAGACGACGTGAAGTGGGAGGACTTTTTCGGAGAAGTGGCTTCTGGTGCAGGCCGTTCGCTGCCCACCCTATGACACCTGTAGAAACAGTTAGAATTGACTAAAAAAAAAGACAAAAGTATCTGCACCACCGCTTCTCCTACGAGCGAACGCCACAGGAATCGACGCAGTCCCGAAGAACTGAAAGGACCACGTTATTCTGAATTCTGAGGGTTTTCGATACCTGTGTCGAGATCCCCTCTCCGGTTGTTCCTCCTTCCTCGATCGATCGCTGGAGAAGACGAGGGCGACGTTGACGAGTGACCTGTGAATGGAAACGTCAGTTAGATTCTTCAGAAGGCGATTTTTATCACCAGAAGAATGCCATCCGCTCATGTTTGCCTGAAAAACTAAAGAACACAGATAAATCTAGAACTTCCATCAACTCACCATAGACGACGTGAAGTGGGAGGACTTTTTCGGAGAAGTGGCTTCTGGTGCAGGCCGGTCGCTGCCCACCCTATGACACCTGTAGAAACAGAATTGACTAAAAAAAGACAAAAGTACCTGCACCACCGCTTCTCCTACGAGCGAACGCCCCAGGAATCGACGAAGTCCCGAAGAACTGAAAGGACCACGTTATTCTGAACTCTGAGGGTTTTTGATACCTGTGTCGAGATCCCCTCTTCGGTTGTTCCTCCTTCCTCGATCGATCGCTTGAGAAGACGAGGGCGACGTTGACGAGTGACCTGTGAATGGAAACGTCAGTTAGATTCTTCAGAAGGCGATTTTTATCACCAGAAGAATGCCATCCGCTCCTGTTTGCCTGAATACTAAAGAACACAGATAAATCCAGAACTTCCATCAACTCACCATAGACGACGTGAAGTGGGAGGACTTTTTCGGAGAAGTGGCTTCTGGTGCAGGCCGTTCGCTGCCCACCCTATGACACCTGTAGAAACAGTTAGAATTGACTAAAAAAAAAGACAAAAGTACCTGCACCACCGCTTCTCCTACGAGCGAACGCCCCAGGAATCGACGCAGTCCCGAAGAACTGAAAGGACCACGTTATTCTGAATTCTGAGGGTTTTTCGATACCTGTGTCGAGATCCCCTCTCCGGTTGTTCCTCCTTCCTCGATCGATCGCTGGAGAAGACGAGGGGCGACGTTGACGAGTGACCTGTGAATGGAAACGTCAGTTAGATTCTTCAGAAGGCGATTTTTTTATCACCAGAAGAATGCCATCCGCTCCTGTTTGCCTGAAAAAAACTAAAGAACACAGATAAATCCAGAACTTCCATCAACTCACCCTAGACGACGTGAAGTGGGAGGACTTTTTTTCGGAGAAGTGGCTTCTGGTGCAGGCCGTTCGCTGCCCACCCTATGACACCTGTAGAAACAGTTAGAATTGACTAAAAAAAGACAAAAGTACCTGCACCACCGCTTCTCCTACGAGCGAACGCCCCAGGAATCGACGCAGTCCCGAAGAACTGAAAGGACCACGTTATTCTGAATTCTGAGGGTTTTCGATACCTGTGTCGAGATCCCCTCTCCGGTTGTTCCTCCTTCCTCGATCGATCGCTGGAGAAGACGAGGGCGACGTTGACGAGTGACCTGTGAATGGAAACGTCAGTTAGATTCTTCAGAAGGCGGTTTTTATCACTAGAAGAATGCCATCCGCTCCTGTTTGCCTGAAACACAGAAGAACACAGATAAATCCAGAACTTCCATCAACTCACCATAGACGACGTGAAGTGGGAGGACTTTTTCGGAGAAGTGGCTTCTGGTGCAGGCCGTTCGCTGCCCACCCTATGACACCTGTAGAAACAGTTAGAATTGACTAAAAAAAAAGACAAAAGTACCTGCACCACCGCTTCTCCTACGAGCGAACGCCCCAGGAATCGACGCAGTCCCGAAGAACTGAAAGGACCACGTTATTCTGAATTCTGAGGGTTTTCGATACCTGTGTCGAGATCCCTCTCCGGTTGTTCCTCCTTCCTCGATCGATCGCTGGAGAAGACGAGGGCGACGTTGACGAGTGACCTGTGAATGGAAACGTCAGTTAGATTCTTCAGAAGGCGATTTTTATCACCAGAAGAATGCCATCCGCTCCTGTTTGCCTGAATACTAAAGAACACAGATAAATCCAGAACTTCCATCAACTCACCATAGACGACGTGAAGTGGGAGGACTTTTTCGGAGAAGTGGCTTCTGGTGCAGGCCGTTCGCTGCCCACCCTATGACACCTGTAGAAACAGAATTGACTAAAAAAAGACAAAAGTACCTGCACCACCGCTTCTCCTACGAGCGAACGCCCCAGGAATCGACGCAGTCCCGAAGAACTGAAAGGACCACGTTATTCTGAATTCTGAGGGTTTTCGATACCTGTGTCGAGATCCCTCTCCGGTTGTTCCTCCTTCCTCGATCGATCGCTGGAGAAGACGAGGGCGACGTTGACGAGTGACCTGTGAATGGAAACGTCAGTTAGATTCTTCAGAAGGCGATTTTTTTATCACCAGAAGAATGCCATCCGCTCCTGTTTGCCTGAAAAAAACTAAAGAACACAGATAAATCCAGAACTTCCATCAACTCACCCTAGACGACGTGAAGTGGGAGGACTTTTTCGGAGAAGTGGCTTCTGGTGCAGGCCGTTCGCTGCCCACCCTATGACACCTGTAGAAACAGTTAGAATTGACTAAAAAAAGACAAAAAGTACCTGCACCACCGCTTCTCCTACGAGCGAACGCCCCAGGAATCGACGCAGTCCCGAAGAACTGAAAAAGACCACGTTATTCTGAATTCTGAGGGTTTTTCGATACCTGTGTCGAGATCCCCTCTCCGGTTGTTCCTCCTTCCTCGATCGATCGCTGGAGAAGACGAGGGCGACGTTGACGAGTGACCTGTGAATGGAAACGTCAGTTAGATTCTTCAGAAGGCGGTTTTTTTATCACTAGAAGAATGCCATCCGCTCCTGTTTGCCTGAAACACAGAAGAACACAGATAAATCCAGAACTTCCATCAACTCACCATAGACGACGTGAAGTGGGAGGACTTTTTCGGAGAAGTGGCTTCTGGTGCAGGCCGTTCGCTGCCCACCCTATGACACCTGTAGAAACAGAATTGACTAAAAAAAGACAAAAGTACCTGCACCACCGCTTCTCCTACGAGCGAACGCCCCAGGAATCGACGCAGTCCCGAAGAACTGAAAGGACCACGTTATTCTGAATTCTGAGGGTTTTCGATACCTGTGTCGAGATCCCCTCTCCGGTTGTTCCTCCTTCCTCGATCGATCGCTGGAGAAGACGAGGGCGACGTTGACGAGTGACCTGTGAATGGAAACGTCAGTTAGATTCTTCAGAAGGCGGTTTTTATCACTAGAAGAATGCCATCCGCTCCTGTTTGCCTGAAACACAGAAGAACACAGATAAATCCAGAACTTCCATCAACTCACCCTAGACGACGTGAAGTGGGAGGACTTTTTCGAAGAAATGGCTTCTGGTGCAGGCCGTTCACTGCCCACCCTATGACACCTGTAGAAACAGTTAGAATTGACTAAAAAAAGACAAAAGTACCTGCACCACCGCTTCTCTTACGAGCGAACGCCCCAGGAATCGACGAAGTCCCGAAGAACTGAAAGGACCACGTTATTCTGAACTCTGAGGGTTTTTGATACCTGTGTCGAGATCCCCTCTTCGGTTGTTCCTCCTTCCTCGATCGATCGCTGGAGAAGACGAGGGCGACGTTGACGAGTGACCTGTGAATGGAAACGTCAGTTAGATTCTTCAGAAGGCGATTTTTATCACCAGAAGAATGCCATCCGCTCCTGTTTGCCTGAAAAACTAAAGAACACAGATAAATCCAGAACTTCCATCAACTCACCATAGACGACGTGAAGTGGGAGGACTTTTTTTCGGAGAAGTGGCTTCTGGTGCAGGCCGTTCGCTGCCCACCCTATGACACCTGTAGAAACAGAATTGACTAAAAAAAGACAAAAGTACCTGCACCACCGCTTCTCCTACGAGCGAACGCCCCGGGAATCGACGAAGTCCCGAAGAACTGAAAGGACCACGTTATTCTGAATTCTGAGGGTTTTCGATACCTGTGTCGAGATCCCCTCTCCGGTTGTTCCTCCTTCCTCGATCGATCGCTGGAGAAGACGAGGGCGACGTTGACGAGTGACCTGTGAATGGAAACGTCAGTTAGATTCTTCAGAAGGCGATTTTTTTATCACCAGAAGAATGCCATCCGCTCATGTTTGCCTGAAAAAAACTAAAGAACACAGATAAATCTAGAACTTCCATCAACTCACCATAGCCGACGTGAAGTGGGAGGACTTTTTTTCGGAGAAGTGGCTTCTGGTGCAGGCCGTTCGCTGCCCACCCTATGACACCTGTAGAAACAGAATTGACTAAAAAGACAAAAGTACCTGCACCACCGCTTCTCCTACGAGCGAACGCCCCGGGAATCGACGAAGTCCCGAAGAACTGAAAGGACCACGTTATTCTGAACTCTGAGGGTTTTTTTGATACCTGTGTCGAGATCCCCTCTCCGGTTGTTCCTCCTTCCTCGATCGATCGCTGGAGAAGACGAGGGCGACGTTGACGAGTGACCTGTGAATGGAAACGTCAGTTAGATTCTTCAGAAGGCGATTTTTATCACCAGAAGAATGCCATCCGCTCCTGTTTGCCTGAAAAACAAAAGAACACAGATGAATCCAGAACTTCCATCAACTCACCCTAGACGACGTGAAGTGGGAGGACTTTTTCGAAGAAGTGGCTTCTGGTGCAGGCCGTTCGCTGCCCACCCTATGACACCTGTAGAAACAGTTAGAATTGACTAAAAAAAGACAAAAGTATCTGCACCACCGCTTCTCCTACGAGCGAACGCCACAGGAATCGACGCAGTCCCGAAGAACTGAAAGGACCACGTTATTCTGAATTCTGAGGGTTTTCGATACCTGTGTCGAGATCCCCTCTCCGGTTGTTCCTCCTTCCTCGATCGATCGCTGGAGAAGACGAGGGGCGACGTTGACGAGTGACCTGTGAATGGAAACGTCAGTTAGATTCTTCAGAAGGCGATTTTTTTATCACCAGAAGAATGCCATCCGCTCCTGTTTGCCTGAAAAACTAAAAGAACACAGATAAATCCAGAACTTCCATCAACTCACCCTAGACGACGTGAAGTGGGAGGACTTTTTCGGAGAAGTGGCTTCTGGTGCAGGCCGTTCGCTGCCCACCCTATGACACCTGTAGAAACAGTTAGAATTGACTAAAAAAAAAGACAAAAGTACCTGCACCACCGCTTCTCCTACGAGCGAACGCCCCAGGAATCGACGCAGTCCCGAAGAACTGAAAGGACCACGTTATTCTGAATTCTGAGGGTTTTCGATACCTGTGTCGAGATCCCCTCTCCGGTTGTTCCTCCTTCCTCGATCGATCGCTGGAGAAGACGAGGGCGACGTTGACGAGTGACCTGTGAATGGAAACGTCAGTTAGATTCTTCAGAAGGCGATTTTTATCACCAGAAGAATGCCATCCGCTCCTGTTTGCCTGAAAAACTAAAGAACACAGATAAATCCAGAACTTCCATCAACTCACCCTAGACGACGTGAAGTGGGAGGACTTTTTCGGAGAAGTGGCTTCTGGTGCAGGCCGTTCGCTGCCCACCCTATGACACCTGTAGAAACAGTTAGAATTGACTAAAAAAAGACAAAAGTACCTGCACCACCGCTTCTCCTACGAGCGAACGCCCCAGGAATCGACGCAGTCCCGAAGAACTGAAAGGACCACGTTATTCTGAATTCTGAGGGTTTTTCGATACCTGTGTCGAGATCCCCTCTCCGGTTGTTCCTCCTTCCTCGATCGATCGCTGGAGAAGACGAGGGGCGACGTTGACGAGTGACCTGTGAATGGAAACGTCAGTTAGATTCTTCAGAAGGCGATTTTTATCACCAGAAGAATGCCATCCGCTCATGTTTGCCTGAAAAACTAAAGAACACAGATAAATCTAGAACTTCCATCAACTCACCATAGACGACGTGAAGTGGGAGGACTTTTTCGGAGAAGTGGCTTCTGGTGCAGGCCGTTCGCTGCCCACCCTATGACACCTGTAGAAACAGAATTGACTAAAAAAAGACAAAAGTACCTGCACCACCGCTTCTCCTACGAGCGAACGCCCCGGGAATCGACGAAGTCCCGAAGAACTGAAAGGACCACGTTATTCTGAACTCTGAGGGTTTTTGATACCTGTGTCGAGATCCCCTCTCCGGTTGTTCCTCCTTCCTCGATCGATCGCTGGAGAAGACGAGGGCGACGTTGACGAGTGACCTGTGAATGGAAACGTCAGTTAGATTCTTCAGAAGGCGATTTTTATCACCAGAAGAATGCCATCCGCTCCTGTTTGCCTGAATACTAAAGAACACAGATAAATCCAGAACTTCCATCAACTCACCATAGACGACGTGAAGTGGGAGGACTTTTTTTCGGAGAAGTGGCTTCTGGTGCAGGCCGTTCGCTGCCCACCCTATGACACCTGTAGAAACAGTTAGAATTGCCTAAAAAAAGACAAAAAGTACCTGCACCACCGCTTCTCCTACGAGCGAACGCCCCAGGAATCGACGCAGTCCCGAAGAACTGAAAGGACCACGTTAATCTGAATTCTGAGGGTTTTTCGATACCTGTGTCGAGATCCCCTCTCCGGTTGTTCCTCCTTCCTCGATCGATCGCTGGAGAAGACGAGGGCGACGTTGACGAGTGACCTGTGAATGGAAACGTCAGTTAGATTCTTCAGAAGGCGATTTTTTTATCACCAGAAGAATGCCATCCGCTCCTGTTTGCCTGAAAAAAACTAAAAGAACACAGATAAATCCAGAACTTCCATCAACTCACCCTAGACGACGTGAAGTGGGAGGACTTTTTTTCGGAGAAGTGGCTTCTGGTGCAGGCCGTTCGCTGCCCACCCTATGACACCTGTAGAAACAGTTAGAATTGACTAAAAAAAGACAAAAAGTACCTGCACCACCGCTTCTCCTACGAGCGAACGCCCCAGGAATCGACGCAGTCCCGAAGAACTGAAAGGACCACGTTATTCTGAATTCTGAGGGTTTTTCGATACCTGTGTCGAGATCCCCTCTCCGGTTGTTCCTCCTTCCTCGATCGATCGCTGGAGAAGACGAGGGCGACGTTGACGAGTGACCTGTGAATGGAAACGTCAGTTAGATTCTTCAGAAGGCGATTTTTTTATCACCAGAAGAATGCCATCCGCTCCTGTTTGCCTGAAAAAAACTAAAAGAACACAGATAAATCCAGAACTTCCATCAACTCACCCTAGACGACGTGAAGTGGGAGGACTTTTTTTCGGAGAAGTGGCTTCTGGTGCAGGCCGTTCGCTGCCCACCCTATGACACCTGTAGAAACAGTTAGAATTGACTAAAAAGACAAAAAGTACCTGCACCACCGCTTCTCCTACGAGCGAACGCCCCAGGAATCGACGCAGTCCCGAAGAACTGAAAGGACCACGTTATTCTGAATTCTGAGGGTTTTCGATACCTGTGTCGAGATCCCCTCTCCGGTTGTTCCTCCTTCCTCGATCGATCGCTGGAGAAGACGAGGGCGACGTTGACGAGTGACCTGTGAATGGAAACGTCAGTTAGATTCTTCAGAAGGCGATTTTTATCACCAGAAGAATGCCATCCGCTCCTGTTTGCCTGAATACTAAAGAACACAGATAAATCCAGAACTTCCATCAACTCACCATAGACGACGTGAAGTGGGAGGACTTTTTCGGAGAAGTGGCTTCTGGTGCAGGCCGTTCGCTGCCCACCCTATGACACCTGTAGAAACAGTTAGAATTGACTAAAAAAAGACAAAAAGTACCTGCACCACCGCTTCTCCTACGAGCGAACGCCCCAGGAATCGACGCAGTCCCGAAGAACTGAAAGGACCACGTTATTCTGAATTCTGAGGGTTTTTCGATACCTGTGTCGAGATCCCCTCTCCGGTTGTTCCTCCTTCCTCGATCGATCGCTGGAGAAGACGAGGGCGACGTTGACGAGTGACCTGTGAATGGAAACGTCAGTTAGATTCTTCAGAAGGCGATTTTTATCACCAGAAGAATGCCATCCGCTCCTGTTTGCCTGAATACTAAAGAACACAGATAAATCCAGAACTTCCATCAACTCACCATAGACGACGTGAAGTGGGAGGACTTTTTCGGAGAAGTGGCTTCTGGTGCAGGCCGTTCGCTGCCCACCCTATGACACCTGTAGAAACAGTTAGAATTGCCTAAAAAAAAAGACAAAAGTACCTGCACCACCGCTTCTCCTACGAGCGAACGCCCCAGGAATCGACGCAGTCCCGAAGAACTGAAAGGACCACGTTAATCTGAATTCTGAGGGTTTTCGATACCTGTGTCGAGATCCCCTCTCCGGTTGTTCCTCCTTCCTCGATCGATCGCTGGAGAAGACGAGGGCGACGTTGACGAGTGACCTGTGAATGGAAACGTCAGTTAGATTCTTCAGAAGGCGATTTTTATCACCAGAAGAATGCCATCCGCTCCTGTTTGCCTGAAAAACTAAAGAACACAGATAAATCCAGAACTTCCATCAACTCACCCTAGACGACGTGAAGTGGGAGGACTTTTTCGGAGAAGTGGCTTCTGGTGCAGGCCGTTCGCTGCCCACCCTATGACACCTGTAGAAACAGTTAGAATTGACTAAAAAAAAAGACAAAAGTACCTGCACCACCGCTTCTCCTACGAGCGAACGCCCCAGGAATCGACGCAGTCCCGAAGAACTGAAAGGACCACGTTATTCTGAACTCTGAGGGTTTTTGATACCTGTGTCGAGATCCCCTCTCCGGTTGTTCCTCCTTCCTCGATCGATCGCTGGAGAAGACGAGGGCGACGTTGACGAGTGACCTGTGAATGGAAACGTCAGTTAGATTCTTCAGAAGGCGATTTTTATCACCAGAAGAATGCCATCCGCTCCTGTTTGCCTGAAAAAAACTAAAAGAACACAGATAAATCCAGAACTTCCATCAACTCACCCTAGACGACGTGAAGTGGGAGGACTTTTTTTCGGAGAAGTGGCTTCTGGTGCAGGCCGTTCGCTGCCCACCCTATGACACCTGTAGAAAACAGTTAGAATTGACTAAAAAAAGACAAAAAGTACCTGCACCACCGCTTCTCCTACGAGCGAACGCCCCAGGAATCGACGCAGTCCCGAAGAACTGAAAGGACCACGTTATTCTGAATTCTGAGGGTTTTTCGATACCTGTGTCGAGATCCCCTCTCCGGTTGTTCCTCCTTCCTCGATCGATCGCTGGAGAAGACGAGGGCGACGTTGACGAGTGACCTGTGAATGGAAACGTCAGTTAGATTCTTCAGAAGGCGATTTTTTTATCACCAGAAGAATGCCATCCGCTCCTGTTTGCCTGAATACTAAAAGAACACAGATAAATCCAGAACTTCCATCAACTCACCCATAGACGACGTGAAGTGGGAGGACTTTTTTTCGGAGAAGTGGCTTCTGGTGCAGGCCGTTCGCTGCCCACCCTATGACACCTGTAGAAACAGTTAGAATTGACTAAAAAAAAGACAAAAAGTACCTGCACCACCGCTTCTCCTACGAGCGAACGCCCCAGGAATCGACGCAGTCCCGAAGAACTGAAAGGACCACGTTATTCTGAATTCTGAGGGTTTTCGATACCTGTGTCGAGATCCCCTCTCCGGTTGTTCCTCCTTCCTCGATCGATCGCTGGAGAAGACGAGGGCGACGTTGACGAGTGACCTGTGAATGGAAACGTCAGTTAGATTCTTCAGAAGGCGGTTTTTATCACTAGAAGAATGCCATCCGCTCCTGTTTGCCTGAAACACAGAAGAACACAGATAAATCCAGAACTTCCATCAACTCACCCTAGACGACGTGAAGTGGGAGGACTTTTTCGAAGAAGTGGCTTCTGGTGCAGGCCGTTCGCTGCCCACCCTATGACACCTGTAGAAACAGTTAGAATTGACTAAAAAAAGACAAAAGTACCTGCACCACCGCTTCTCTTACGAGCGAACGCCCCAGGAATCGACGAAGTCCCGAAGAACTGAAAGGACCACGTTATTCTGAACTCTGAGGGTTTTTGATACCTGTGTCGAGATCCCCTCTTCGGTTGTTCCTCCTTCCTCGATCGATCGCTTGAGAAGACGAGGGGCGACGTTGACGAGTGACCTGTGAAAGAAAGCGTCAGTTAGTATCTTCGCAGGGCGGCTTTTTATCACCAGAAGAATGCCATCCGCTCCTGTTTGCCTGAAAAACAAAAGAACACAGATGAATCCAGAACTTCCATCAACTCACCCTAGACGACGTGAAGTGGGAGGACTTTTTCGAAGAAGCGGCTTCTGGTGCAGGCCGTTCGCTGCCCACCCTATGACACCTGTAGAAACAGTTAGAATTGACTAAAAAAAAAGACAAAAGTACCTGCACCACCGCTTCTCCTACGAGCGAACGCCCCAGGAATCGACGAAGTCCCGAAGAACTGAAAGGACCACGTTATTCTGAACTCTGAGGGTTTGTGATACCTGTGTCGAGATCCCCTCTTCGGTTGTTCCTCCTTCCTCGATCGATCGCTGGAGAAGACGAGGGCGACGTTGACGAGTGACCTGTGAAAGAAAGCGTCAGTTAGTATCTTCGCAGGGCGGCTTTTATCACCAGAAGAATGCCATCCGCTCCTGTTTGCCTGAAAAACAAAAGAACACAGATGAATCCAGAACTTCCATCAACTCACCCTAGACGACGTGAAGTGGGAGGACTTTTTCGAAGAAGTGGCTTCTGGTGCAGGCCGTTCGCTGCCCACCCTATGACACCTGTAGAAACAGTTAGAATTGACTAAAAAAAGACAAAAGTACCTGCACCACCGCTTCTCCTACGAGCGAACGCCCCAGGAATCGACGCAGTCCCGAAGAACTGAAAGGACCACGTTATTCTGAATTCTGAGGGTTTTTCGATACCTGTGTCGAGATCCCCTCTCCGGTTGTTCCTCCTTCCTCGATCGATCGCTGGAGAAGACGAGGGCGACGTTGACGAGTGACCTGTGAATGGAAACGTCAGTTAGATTCTTCAGAAGGCGGTTTTTTTATCACTAGAAGAATGCCATCCGCTCCTGTTTGCCTGAAACACAGAAGAACACAGATAAATCCAGAACTTCCATCAACTCACCCTAGACGACGTGAAGTGGGAGGACTTTTTCGAAGAAGTGGCTTCTGGTGCAGGCCGTTCGCTGCCCACCCTATGACACCTGTAGAAACAGTTAGAATTGACTAAAAAAAGACAAAAGTACCTGCACCACCGCTTCTCTTACGAGCGAACGCCCCAGGAATCGACGAAGTCCCGAAGAACTGAAAGGACCACGTTATTCTGAACTCTGAGGGTTTTTGATACCTGTGTCGAGATCCCCTCTTCGGTTGTTCCTCCTTCCTCGATCGATCGCTTGAGAAGACGAGGGCGACGTTGACGAGTGACCTGTGAAAGAAAGCGTCAGTTAGTATCTTCGCAGGGCGGTTTTTATCACTAGAAGAATGCCATCCGCTCCTGTTTGCCTGAAACACAGAAGAACACAGATAAATCCAGAACTTCCATCAACTCACCCTAGACGACGTGAAGTGGGAGGACTTTTTCGAAGAAGTGGCTTCTGGTGCAGGCCGTTCGCTGCCCACCCTATGACACCTGTAGAAACAGTTAGAATTGACTAAAAAAAGACAAAAGTACCTGCACCACCGCTTCTCTTACGAGCGAACGCCACAGGAATCGACGCAGTCCCGAAGAACTGAAAGGACCACGTTATTCTGAACTCTGAGGGTTTTTGATACCTGTGTCGAGATCCCCTCTCCGGTTGTTCCTCCTTCCTCGATCGATCGCTGGAGAAGACGAGGGGCGACGTTGACGAGTGACCTGTGAATGGAAACGTCAGTTAGATTCTTCAGAAGGCGATTTTTTTATCACCAGAAGAATGCCATCCGCTCATGTTTGCCTGAAAAAAACTAAAGAACACAGATAAATCTAGAACTTCCATCAACTCACCATAGACGACGTGAAGTGGGAGGACTTTTTTTCGGAGAAGTGGCTTCTGGTGCAGGCCGTTCGCTGCCCATCCTATGACACCTGTAGAAACAGTTAGAATTGACTAAAAAAAGACAAAAAGTACCTGCACCACCGCTTCTCCTACGAGCGAACGCCCCAGGAATCGACGAAGTCCCCGAAGAACTGAAAGGACCACGTTATTCTGAACTCTGAGGGTTTTTTTGATACCTGTGTCGAGATCCCCTCTCCGGTTGTTCCTCCTTCCTCGATCGATCGCTGGAGAAGACGAGGGCGACGTTGACGAGTGACCTGTGAATGGAAACGTCAGTTAGATTCTTCAGAAGGCGATTTTTTTATCACCAGAAGAATGCCATCCGCTCATGTTTGCCTGAAAAAAACTAAAGAACACAGATAAATCTAGAACTTCCATCAACTCACCATAGACGACGTGAAGTGGGAGGACTTTTTTTCGGAGAAGTGGCTTCTGGTGCAGGCCGTTCGCTGCCCACCCTATGACACCTGTAGAAACAGAATTGACTAAAAAAAGACAAAAAGTACCTGCACCACCGCTTCTCCTACGAGCGAACGCCCCAGGAATCGACGAAGTCCCGAAGAACTGAAAGGACCACGTTATTCTGAACTCTGAGGGTTTTTTTGATACCTGTGTCGAGATCCCCTCTCCGGTTGTTCCTCCTTCCTCGATCGATCGCTGGAGAAGACGAGGGCGACGTTGACGAGTGACCTGTGAATGGAAACGTCAGTTAGATTCTTCAGAAGGCGATTTTTATCACCAGAAGAATGCCATCCGCTCCTGTTTGCCTGAATACTAAAGAACACAGATAAATCCAGAACTTCCATCAACTCACCCTAGACGACGGGTAGTGGGCTTCATTTTCGGAGAAGTGGCTTCTGGTGCAGGCCGTTCGCTGCCCACCCTATGACACCTGTAGAAACAGTTAGAATTGACTAAAAAAAGACAAAAGTACCTGCACCACCGCTTCTCCTACGAGCGAACGCCCCAGGAATCGACGAAGTCCCGATGAACTGAAAGGACCACGTTATTCTGAACTCTGAGGGTTTTTGATACCTGTGTCGAGATCCCCTCTCCGGTTGTTCCTCCTTCCTCGATCGATCGCTGGAGAAGACGAGGGCGACGTTGACGAGTGACCTGTGAATGGAAACGTCAGTTAGATTCTTCAGAAGGCGATTTTTATCACCAGAAGAATGCCATCCGCTCATGTTTGCCTGAAAAACTGAAGAACACAGATAAATCTAGAACTTCCATCAACTCACCATAGACGACGTGAAGTGGGAGGACTTTTTCGGAGAAGTGGCTTCTGGTGCAGGCCGTTCGCTGCCCACCCTATGACACCTGTAGAAACAGTTAGAATTGACTAAAAAAAGACAAAAGTACCTGCACCACCGCTTCTCCTACGAGCGAACGCCCCAGGAATCGACGAAGTCCCGAAGAACTGAAAGAACCACGTTATTCTGAACTCTGAGGGTTTTTGATACCTGTGTCGAGATCCCCTCTCCTGTTGTTCCTCCTTCCTCGATCGATCGCTGGAGAAGACGAGGGCGACGTTGACGAGTGACCTGTGAATGGAAACGTCAGTTAGATTCTTCAGAAGGCGATTTTTATCACCAGAAGAATGCCATCCGCTCATGTTTGCCTGAAAAACTAAAGAACACAGATAAATCTAGAACTTCCATCAACTCACCATAGACGACGTGAAGTGGGAGGACTTTTTTTCGGAGAAGTGGCTTCTGGTGCAGGCCGTTCGCTGCCCACCCTATGACAACTGTAGAAACAGTTAGAATTGACTAAAAAAAGACAAAAAGTACCTGCACCACCGCTTCTCCTACGAGCGAACGCCCCAGGAATCGACGAAGTCCCCGAAGAACTGAAAGAACCACGTTATTCTGAACTCTGAGGGTTTTTTTGATACCTGTGTCGAGATCCCCTCTCCTGTTGTTCCTCCTTCCTCGATCGATCGCTGGAGAAGACGAGGGCGACGTTGACGAGTGACCTGTGAATGGAAACGTCAGTTAGATTCTTCAGAAGGCGATTTTTATCACCAGAAGAATGCCATCCGCTCCTGTTTGCCTGAATACTAAAGAACACAGATAAATCCAGAACTTCCATCAACTCACCCTAGACGACGGGTAGTGGGCTTCATTTTCGGAGAAGTGGCTTCTGGTGCAGGCCGTTCGCTGCCCACCCTATGACACCTGTAGAAACAGTTAGAATTGACTAAAAAAAGACAAAAGTACCTGCACCACCGCTTCTCCTACGAGCGAACGCCCCAGGAATCGACGAAGTCCCGATGAACTGAAAGGACCACGTTATTCTGAACTCTGAGGGTTTTTGATACCTGTGTCGAGATCCCCTCTCCGGTTGTTCCTCCTTCCTCGATCGATCGCTGGAGAAGACGAGGGCGACGTTGACGAGTGACCTGTGAATGGAAACGTCAGTTAGATTCTTCAGAAGGCGATTTTTATCACCAGAAGAATGCCATCCGCTCATGTTTGCCTGAAAAACTAAAGAACACAGATAAATCTAGAACTTCCATCAACTCACCATAGACGACGTGAAGTGGGAGGACTTTTTTTCGGAGAAGTGGCTTCTGGTGCAGGCCGTTCGCTGCCCACCCTATGACAACTGTAGAAACAGTTAGAATTGACTAAAAAAAGACAAAAGTACCTGCACCACCGCTTCTCCTACGAGCGAACGCCCCAGGAATCGACGAAGTCCCGAAGAACTGAAAGGACCACGTTATTCTGAACTCTGAGGGTTTTTGATACCTGTGTCGAGATCCCCTCTCCGGTTGTTCCTCCTTCCTCGATCGATCGCTGGAGAAGACGAGGGCGACGTTGACGAGTGACCTGTGAATGGAAACGTCAGTTAGATTCTTCAGAAGGCGATTTTTATCACCAGAAGAATGCCATCCGCTCCTGTTTGCCTGAATACTAAAGAACACAGATAAATCCAGAACTTCCATCAACTCACCCTAGACGACGGGTAGTGGGCTTCATTTTCGGAGAAGTGGCTTCTGGTGCAGGCCGTTCGCTGCCCACCCTATGACACCTGTAGAAACAGTTAGAATTGACTAAAAAAAGACAAAAGTACCTGCACCACCGCTTCTCCTACGAGCGAACGCCCCAGGAATCGACGAAGTCCCGAAGAACTGAAAGGACCACGTTATTCTGAACTCTGAGGGTTTTTGATACCTGTGTCGAGATCCCCTCTTCGGTTGTTCCTCCTTCCTCGATCGATCGCTGGAGAAGACGAGGGCGACGTTGACGAGTGACCTGTGAATGGAAACGTCAGTTAGATTCTTCAGAAGGCGATTTTTATCACCAGAAGAATGCCATCCGCTCCTGTTTGCCTGAAAAACTAAAGAACACAGATAAATCTAGAACTTCCATCAACTCACCATAGACGACGTGAAGTGGGAGGACTTTTTCGGAGAAGTGGCTTCTGGTGCAGGCCGTTCGCTGCCCACCCTATGACACCTGTGGAAAAAATTAGAATTGATTTCAGAAAAGACAAAAGTACCTGCACCACCGCTTCTCCTACGAGCGAACGCCCCAGGAATCGACGAAGTCCCGAAGAACTGGAAAGACAACGTTATTCTGAACTCTGAGGGTTTTTGATACCTGTGTCGAGATCCCCTCTTCGGTTGTTCCTCCTTTCTCGATCGATCGCTTGAGATGACGAGGGCGACGTTGACGAGTGACCTGTGAATGAAAGCGTCAGTTAGAATCTTTGCAGGGAGGCTTTTATCACCAGAAGAATGCCATCCGCTCCTGTTTGCCTGAAAAACAAAAGAACACAGATAAATCCACAACTTCCATCAACTCGCCCTAGACGACGGGTAGTGGGCTTCATTTTCGGAGAAGTGGCTTCTGGTGCAGGCCGTTCGCTGCCCACCCTATGACACCTGTGGAAAAAATTAGAATTGACTTCAGAAAAGACAAAAGTACCGGCACCACCGCTTCTCCTACGAGCGAACGCCCAGGAATCGACGCAGTCCCGAAGAACTGAAAGGACCACGTTATTCTGAACTCTGAGGGTTTTTGATACCTGTGCCGAGATCCCCTCTTCGGTTGTTCCTCCTTCCTCGATCGATCGCTTGAGAAGACGAGGGCGACGTTGACGAGTGACCTGTGAATGGGAACGTCAGTTAGAATCTTCGCAGGGCGGCTTTTATCACCAGAAAAATGCCATCCGCTCCTGTTTGCCTGAAAAACAGAAAAACACAGATAAATCCAGAACTTCCATCAACTCACCCTAGACGACGTGAAGTGGGAGGACTTTTTCGGAGAAGTGGCTTCTGGTGCAGGCCGTTCGCTGCCCACCCTATGACACCTGTAGAAACAGAATTGACTAAAAAAAGACAAAAGTACCTGCACCACCGCTTCTCCTACGAGCGAACGCCCCAGGAATCGACGAAGTCCCGAAGAACTGAAAGGACCACGTTATTCTGAATTCTGAGGGTTTTTGATACCTGTGTCGAGATCCCCTCTCCGGTTGTTCCTCCTTTCTCGATCGATCGCTTGAGAAGACGAGGGCGACGTTGACGAGTGACCTGTGAATGAAAGCGTCAGTTAGATTCTTTGCAGGGAGGCTTTTATCACCAGAAGAATGCCTTCCGCTCCTGTTTGCCTGAAAAACAAAAGAACACAGATAAATCCACAACTTCCATCAACTCACCCTAGACAACGTAAAAAAGGCATCTTTTTTTGTTTTGAAGAAGTGGCTTCAGGTGCAGGCCGTTTTCTGCTGATTCGCCTGAAAATGAAAAAAAAAAGTAGATAAATTTACAGATTTGTTCAACTTACTTTGAACAGCGTCCAGCAGTAGTCCTCTTTCAGAAGGCGTTTAGCGGAAATCGTTTCACAGAAGACGTGCGGCTGAAGGCAGTGGAAGCGACGGCAAGAAGAGAGGAGAGGTCCCACATTCGAGAGGAGCTGTGGATATCGGCCGAGGTGCTCCTTATATACGCGTTTTTTCGCGCGCTGCCGTCGTTCGCGGTCTTCGACCATGCGTTGACCGCCTAAATATGGTCAAAAATAATCTTCGGGTCTACTGTATCGTTGTCAGTCCATTTTCCTATGAAAATATTTTTTCGTTCAATTCGTATGTGGTTTTGAAGGGATTTTCCAACTCATGATGGAAGTATCATCAATAGCGCCTTTCCTTGCGAAAAATTAATCAAAAATATTTTCTTTCTCACAAAGCAATTTTATTGTAGATTTTCTGCCTTTGGTGTATCAATTTATTTTTGATATGATTTGTTTTATTTTTTTCCTTATAGTTTAAAATCCGCAAAAAAAAAGGTATTTTTGGTACAAAAAAGTGGTTTTTGAGAATGAGTGCCTTCTCGGAAGCTGCTATCGGATTGTAAAGCGGAATTTTGATTATCGATTTTCCACCGTTATGTTCATGATATTCTTACTATTGTGGTTAACTTGAAGTTTTCATTGGGTGCATGGAATTCGTATTCGTTAAGTTTGGAACTTTCGTTTCGCATATTTTCCGCTCCAGTTTTTGAAACCACATCTTAAACTTTTGGATCAGTAAAGATTCAATAAGCTAGATAAGTTGTCATTATTTCAGTCAGAAACAGCGTGTTAAGACTTTTGAAATGAGTCGTCATTTTTTCGCAGTCGACGCTTGAAGTGGCTTCTTCTCAGGGAAATTCTGAGGTGTTGGGAAGGTAACCAACAGGTGGTCGGAAAGTGAATAGAAGCTAGCAAATCTTGAGAATGCCCTGGTAAGGTATTAAGGTGGTAGTTGGAAGGTCGTTGAAGTGAGAAACATGAAGTTTCCTGCCAACAGGCTTCTGGAAAGTCAAAAGAAGTTGTGGAAAGCTGTATAGAAGGCGTTTGTTCACTTGCCGGAAACCTTCTTAACCCCTTCCGAGGAACCAAAAACAGAAGTTTGCCAACTTTTACCTGAATCATTCTTGTAAGAAAAACTGCGTCTCAGCCACTTACCAAATTTCGAACATATATTCTCACAGATTTATTTTCAAAATTACCACTTTCGAAGTATTAAGTCAAAAATCAAAATCATAGTTGATCAAAGGAATCGTCACCGAAAACACATGTTGACGTTGGAAGTTTTGCTAAAACTTTTACTCCGGTCAAAAAAAAATTTTCTACCGGTCACTTCAAATCAAAAAGGTAACTTCATCATAAAAATACTGTTGGGAGCGGGTGACCAAAAAACCAACATCGTATACATTAAAAAGCAAATCTTAAAAAAACTCTACAGTAACCCGAAAATGAATTTATAGAAAAAAATCCTGAACTTATTTTACTCATCGATGGATACACAACATGGCTAGGAAAAATTAACAACTTGTCAAGAAAAAAATTGTCAATTCCTAGACAAGCGCGTTGGGGAAATGGCTGGAAACATTTTTTCCGCAATCCTTACGATATTTGATAACGCTTTTCAAAACCACAAAAAAACTTCTGTCTCCATTGTTTCGAGAGCATTTTGAAAATAACAGCGAAATCGTGTTTTGAAAATTGAATAAAAGCACAGAATAAGTAAGAAATTAGAAATCGCGGTTAGTAGTAGCCTTTTTTCGTTTGGAGTAAGAACAAATTGATCTTTTCGCTTTTTCATTTGAAAAATAGAGCTTCTAGGAGAGTTTCAAACATTGAAGGGAGTGTTAATCGTATCGGCTTGAAGAGTGGCCAGCTAAAAAAAGTGAAAAAAACGGTCAGCATGGCTGATTGTATCAGAGAAAGTGGGAAATCGTGTGCCCGGTGAGCTTCAACAAGCTCGAAGCGATGGTGAGGGGGATGACGGGAAGAAGACTCGGGCGCCGTCTGAAACGTTCTTAAAAGCGTCTGGAACACCCGCTTCAATTGTCAGAGCTAAGAATCTGACAGAGTGGTTGAAAAACGTTTGGAACATTTGCCGAACCAGGCTGCCTTCTATTAGACAATTTTGCAGATTTTCTTTTTGTCGAGGTAATGCATCTAATGAACTTAGAGATGATTTTTGAGTGAAAGGTTCCAGAAAATTAGCCTCTTTTTCCAATAGATTTCATTTTATCTTTCAGCTTTGTTAGATGAAGTTGACAAGCAACATTTTTCAAAATTATATCTAACAACTGTCTTCTGCGAACTAGATGTCTAAGCGTGTTTGAAAATGCGATCCCACGGTTCTTCGCATCGTACTTCTCCGGATCGTCCATGTAGATGCGCCTCGATGAGGTTTTTCGCTTGTATTTCTTCTCAATTATTTTAAATTTCACAACACCATAGGATCACTGCATCTGACTGTATTGAAAAAAAGTTTTCGCTTTTTATTTTTTTAGAAGCACGCCTTTTTTTCAAATATATTTTTTTATTGGCAAAGTCGGAAAGGGTGGGGAAAGGCTTCACAGAAGTGTTCTTTTTCGGTGAGAATGGCTCCTTTTTGCTGCCTCTTCCGTTCTGCACCATTTTTGAGCCTTTGAAATCCCACAAAAAAAGGCTCAATAAAGGAACTCTTTTTGTGCCTTTCTGCGCCTTTTCTTGAGCCTCTCCCTTTCAGCGTCCATTATCCACCATTTCGTCTTCGCCCGGGTTTGAACCTTAATAATTAGTGTCTTGCAATTAAAATGATTTTTCATTTTTTTTTACCAAATATGACAAAATTATCAATATGGGCACTTACGTCTCTCATTTTGAACTTTTTTTAAATTTTTGAGACTTTTTCAATTTGAATGCGAATTTTTCTTTAGCTCTTTTTCTCAGAGTTTTTTTATGTGTGTGAAACTCAGAGGAGTGGTCGGGAAAAAAATGAGCACAATGTCCAACACATTTGAGACCATTTTGGTATTTCGAAAAAAATTTTTCGTATTTATAACGAAAACTATTTTTCTTCATCATTTTTTGGATGATTTTGAGACCATTCCAGGTCGAAATGCATGTGATATGAACGGTGGTAAAATAGCCCGCTATTGTATTTCGTGTTTACAAAGCATCGTGCAAGCTTTTTCGGCTGACATTATTGATTTTTCTGATCTGCGTACTAGTTGTAGCGCGGGTCTCCAATTCGACCTTGGACCTATTTTACGTTCCTCTGACCTGGCCATTGTATGAGTTTTGGTTTTTAAGTTTGACGTGTTCTAAACGCTATATAACTACGCGCTCTGTCCTATGAATGAGGCGTTTTTTTTTGTAATACTCAGCATTCTCATGATTTAGTAAACAACTTTCCCTGATAATTGATTTTTTTCAATTTTCAATCTTTTCTTTCGTTTTCATGAAAAAATTTTTTTTTAATTTCAGGCTTTCATAAATTCGAATGTTCAAGTTTTTGGCATCATTGATATTATCGTCGGTTTGGGTATACTCTGTTTATTTCGATGTGACGTCACAGCCTCGTTTGGGTCATGAATGGTACATCTATAAACTCGTCATGCTCACTAACTTGAATTTGGTAAGAATTAATTTCAAAAAAATCGAAATAACTCACTTTTTTTGGGAAACGAAGTGAAAATTGTAAAAATTGAGGTTATGATTGTGGAAAATTATTCTGAAGACGGATTTTGAATTTCTGATGGATTAAAAATGTTTACGCTCCTCCTGAATTATACACGGTTTTAGTATAGTAAAAAAATAAACCTCTTCAATTTTCAGGGTTTTTTTGCGGATTATAACTATCGGATAACATGAAAATATTGAAAAAGCAATTTTTCCACGAGACCGTGAGTCAGAGAATAAGTATATAAACTTCTGTATGAGTATAATATTTTTCTTTCATTTCAATCAAAAGGATCAAACTCCTAAAAAATAGTGTAAGAAAAATTTCTTAAATCGTTTATCATTGTTTAATGTTTCAGATATTGGACACTGTATACTCGGTTCTTGTTGTCCTGTCAATCTTGTGCCCAAAAGAAGGAAAACTCCCGAAAATTGTCGACTTCATATTTCACACTTCCGTGTACCCCACTGCAGTGGTAATCAAGTTTCCAATCTACCTTTCTATTTTTGAGCTTCAGATAACTTGCGTTCTATTCTGGAGTCTATATGTCTTAGATCCAGGATTGGTGATGCCTGAATGGATAGCCTCTCTGATTCCGAACTGGCTGAATCACGTTACTCACACTTATCCGGTTGTATTCGTTCTTTTCGACAATATTCTACATGAAAGGAGATCTCCGAACCTGGGAAGCAGTCTGACAGCGTCAGCGATGCTCGTCCTGATTTATTTTGTGATGTGGGTTTTTATTCGAAGTTTGGATTTTCAAAAAGGGAATTCTGAGAAATTGAAACGTTGAATTTGAATCTTGGCAATGGCCATAAAAGCCTGTGAAAAAATATTCGATATTGAATTTTTAAAACCAATCGGAATGATTTCGCTTTGGAAACCTTCATTCAAACTTCTGTAGTAGCAAAATTTTATTTTTTTATCGTATTTCCAAATTATTTAGACAAAACTTTTTTTCATCAAAAAAATGAAGAAAGACCAATCGAAGATTGAATTTTTCCCATTCGACCAGAAAGGTCATTTTTATTTCACCGCTCAGAATCTCCTGAAAATTAGCCAGAAAACTCCTGGACGCGCCAAATGAAGTTCCTGAAAATTTCAGCTTGCATAACTTTGTAGATTTCGAGAAATAATGGCTGAAATTCTGAAAATGGCCTATTTTAAAAAAATTTTGAGGGTTTTCTCAGATTTTGAACCAAAATTTCTTGTAAACTAAGAAGATGCACAGATTAGGACTTCCAGAGCGTTTCTCTGGTACATTAGGAGTGTTCTTTCCAGCTTCCGGAAAATCCTAACCCCAAAGTAAACTGATCTTCTTTCTGAGCCACTATATCTTTTTTCGAATGTCGTTACTTTTGAGTTAAGGCTGGGTGAATAAAATTTATTAGTTTTTTCTATTCACAAAAGTTTCATCATTAGTCGAGCCGGTTAGATTTCTGTACTTCAGATCCCCTCAAGAATTGGTTTTTCCCGATCTCTTTGATATCTTCATTCTCCAAATGACTAACGCCAATTATGATAAGTGCTTTTCAGAATCTTCTACGTGAAATACATGGATGGCTACTGGCTTTATCCTCTCTTATCCTTCTTATCCCGCGAACATTTTTTCGTGGCTTATTTCGCAGCAGTCGTCGGATACTTCCTCATTTCTCAATTTGCGAAATTGCAGAACAATTTCATTTGGGGTATTTATCATTAAATCCTGACAACGAAGAAAAATGTCTTACAGGTCAGGAAACAATGCGGAAATGGAAGAACAAGTGAAATCATCTTGCCTGAGAAATCCGATGAGCTATGTCGATTTTTTTTTTGTTTTTTTGATAATCGTTTCCTTTTCGAGCAATGTCCTTGTGAAAAAAAGGCTCCACTTTTTATTTTATCAATGTTTAATGAATGGCAAGTACGTAAAAAGGAGATTAACCCCGGAAATGCAGATTAGAGAACCCAGACAAAGACGAAATTCTTCCCAATTTGGTCAAAATCGAGAGTTTCGAGATTATTCAGTCTTTTCGATTCCATATTGCTGTGTTGAATTCAAACTTTAACTTGGGTTCAAATTTCCTTCAACATCAGATCGGAGTTAATTAAAAAATATTTTTTTTGGCTTTAGGTTTAACTTTGGATGAAACTTTACTGAAATGTATTTTAGGACCTCCTGATGCCAGAACACGAATGAAGTTTCTTGCAGTAGATCTGGTTTTTGAGCTTGGACGTTCAAAACGCTTGAAATAGCGCTTTTTTTTTATAAATTGATAGTTCAACTATTTCTTCAGAAAACTTTTGCGTTGTGAGACCTCATCATCCAAATGAACTATACCCGGTCAATTTTATTTGATGGCTCTACTTTTCCTGTTTAAAAGCTTTAAATATCGTCAAAAAAACTATTTGAGAAGGTTTTTTTCCGTTTTTCCGATTTTATCCACCCTTCAGAGCTCACTAACTTCAGTAGGTCCAATATGAAAAAATATTTTTTTCGACTTTCAACAGAAAAAGTCTCCATTTTCCCTGTTTTTGTTTTTTTTTTTTTGCAAGTCTAAGCAAATGCGTAATGCTTCTGGGAATGAGTTACTACATAAAGGATTGTCAAAAAATATACGAAAAAATCGGATTTCAGTCACAACTTTCTTGTAAGGAACACCGAAACGCAGCTTTGAAAACTATTAGGAAGATTGGATTTCTTACAGGAAGTTTGTGACCGATTTCGCGTTTTCCCGAATCTTTCCTGACGGTACTGTAGCCATTTGAAACAATTTTAACCATTTTTAGCGAAGTTAGACTCAAAAATCCACTTTGAAATGCCCTCATGGCGAGTACTGTAATTTTAATAAGCAGAGAAGAGTAAGTAAGCGAAATCTGAACCTGAACGGTTTCCTGGCTCCGACAGAATAAACAGGCCAAGTATAGCGGTAAAGGCAAATCAATTCAAATGCCATGTACGGCGGAGCAATTCGGAGGTTGCGCAACTTTTGTTGACCCGCCGGCAGTTTGTCAAATGGCTTACGAGGGCGTCGAAGGAGATGCCGACCCGCTTGATACACCAACGAGTGTGTCATGATATCCGCGTCGGTGTCCGACATCCTCACGCTGTTTGCTCAAATGCCGCACGACACTTTGATTGGGTTCAACTGCGTGTGGAGAGCACGATCCGTTTCCTTGCGTTCACAAATGGATTGAGTGACTTCATGGCAGCTGAACACTTTGAAACTCTTATGAATTCTGAATCGCTGCTCCCTTTTCACGTGAAAAATCAAATGACGGGGAAATCGTATGCTGGAAAAGTCGGTCGGTTCGACCACCTTCTTAAGACGTCTTTTTTCCGAGTTTTTAACAGTTTTTGGCAAATAGCTCTCAAATCTAAATGAACATTATTTACTATTCGACGAATTTCGATTTCAGGTCAGAATGTAAAGTTTTAACGAAATTATTGAAAAATGAAACACAAAATCTTCTATTTTGAGACGCCAATATTTGGTTTTTTGAAATATAAAACCTACCACAACCGAAAATTCTACGCATCGTTACCAAAATAATGAAAATCTCACTTTCTTGTGATTAGATGATAATTTCTAAGTTCTACTTTGAACTTCTTCATTTTGAGTTTCGTAACTTCTTTGTTTTGATTATTTCAAGAAAAAGATTAGAAGCAGAATCTACGTAAGATGATGCACTTTTTTCATTCGCAAGTTATATGAAGATGAAAATCCATTACACTTTTTTTTTCATAACATCCGACAAATAGGCTGATAAATTCTGATCATGAGACTGCCATTGTTACCGCTAAAAGCTTTTATCGCGGTATTCTTTTGTCACAATTGTCTTCTCAACTCATGGGATTAGCGTAGTGTCCCGGCGTCAACTCTCGGCATCTCTAAGACCTTTATCACCATCCGAAGAATAGAGAAAGAAGTGATGGACTGATGACAACTTCAGAGAAACGAGACAGTTACCGTAAACTTTATATGAATGAGCTGCATGAAAAATTTAAAATTGACAATCGAAATTTTTATTTTTCGAAAGTAGCAAAATGTCTTGAATACAGACATTTTCCTCCCTAAAACGTGGTTTTTCATTATATGAACCTTTTTCGGGAGGAATGGTAATATGCCACAACTAACGAAAAACTAAATTGACTTGAAAATTTCCCCCACTTTCTTCATAATATTTAGAAATCTTGGATTTGTTTACTTCCAACTTCAGTATGGCTTCCATTGCTCTCTTTTTCGAACGCAATAAAGATTGGAGACCGCAAAAGGTGCTAGGTTAATAAAGAGGGTGTTTCTCGACAAGGTTTCAAGTGGCTTACGCCACAATCCTTCCCTTTTTTAGGCCGCCGAGCAAATACCGGCGCGGTTAGACCAGGCGCGACCTGAAATGGTTTCCCGTTGGGAGACGAGTGGTCCTCCACGTGTTGCGGCAAAAAAGGCGGCACCACGCAATTCTTTTTCAAAGCTATGAGCCGAAAAACCAAAAAACAAAAATACCTTTATTTTTGACGTTTTGTCGAAAATGTTTAACCAAAGTCATACAATGACACTACGAGAAATTGCGATTGTGACGGGCACGGATGAGATCAGTTGTTAGCCGTGTGTAGGGAAAATGAGAACGGATGCAATAGAAAATGTTAAGATTTGAAGATTTGTACAACTTGTACAAGTTTAGAAGTCTCAGTGAGCCATTTATCATGCTCAAAACAAGGAATTCCATATAAAAATAAAAATGCGGTTCAATTCAAAAGCCGTAAATAAAATATAACTACCGAAGTCTACCAGTCATAATTTAGAGCCAAGGTAGTTGGTTGAAGCTCTTAGAGGAAATATCTGTCAGTATCAAAAAAGGCAGTAAGAATGAGATACTGATTTTTAGCCTCATGAACTGCACACCAACTTGGAATGTACTCGAAACGGTTTCAGAGATGGCCAAAATAGGCAGCGTTGTTTGGCGTGTAGTCGTTTCCATATCCGCCGTAGTAGTATCCTCCAGGAAAGTAGCTGTTGAAGTAGGAAGGGTAACCGGAAGCGTAGGTCCAATCTGTAACTGAATATTTGATAGTTTTAGAAAAGGAGAGATAAATTTTTTCATGATGAAGTTAATAAAAGCAAGTCTTTCTACTCTTGCATAAAACGAATAGCAGAAAAATGCAACCAATTTTTCTGATTGAAGCTCAGCATGAAACATTCTGAACATAGAAACTCACTAGTTTGGGGCTGTGGCGGAGTCAAATCGTACTTTATCTCTCCAGCTTCGAATTTACTATCCTCGTTCTCCATTTTGACTGCCATACTAGGCAGCGGAGTCGTCTGAAATCTTTATGAGAAAAAGTTGGTTTCAACTTTCTTACCTGATATTTTGTCTCATTCTGTACGTTGAATTCTTCCGTCCCTGGTAAGGGAATCAAAGGAGCCGGCGTTGGCTTGAGGACTTCAGTTTTTGTCTCAAGAGGCGGCGAGTCTGGAGACGATCTCGAGTTTCTGAAACAGAAATGCTAATTAATAACAACAAAAAAAACTCAAGAGGTTGTTTTAAAAAACTTACGGCGTACACCTTTGACGTGAGCGATCTGTCAGCTTTTTCTGCGCTCGATCTTTGGCTCTCCGATTTTTGAACCAAACCTGGAAGATAATTGAAATTATTAGTCAAGTTCAAAAGTAACATACCGTGATTACCTGAACCCGTCCTTCAGGCAACTGAATGGCTTTGGCCAAAGCTTCTCTTTTGTACAAGTCGGGATACTGTGTTTCTCGGAAGACGAGCTCCAGCTGTTCCAACTGGAACCTGTTGAAGGATGTCCTTTCGCGACGACCACCCCGGCGCGAGCTGTTTTCGCAACTAAATGAGAAAAATTAAGCTTCAGAGCGGATTTCCGTCAGGCCTCGCCGCGACCTACTAATACCGTCTTAAGCATAATCGTCTTAACACTTCTTAATCTTGATATCGGAACAACGAGCAGAAAAAAGACAAACCCGGGGTTGGAAGCCTGCGGTGTCGAGTTAGACGACGTCGTGGCTGCGTTGATCGGAGCCGGCGGCGGGAAATAAGTTGGAAAAGCTGCGTAAGGAAGCGTCGCCGATGGAAAAGGCGAGAAGCTGGGGTAGAAGGGAGGATTTACCATTGGGACGACGAGGGCGGTCGCTGCAGGGCCTCGACAATCCTGATAATGCATATCACTTGCTATTATGCTCTTGTGCGCGAATCCGGCCCTAAGCCGGATTATCAGACCAAACGAACAAAAAATATATATTAGAAGAAGAAGCGGAAACGTTGACAACTGTCTTGAAAGGCTTTAAGTGACATTCATTATTGTGCGCCGAAAGGTTACGATGCGTGCACTTTGCGAATATGGCTCAAGAAAAGTACTTGATGAACTTTATCATGGCAAAAGACATTGGCAAATTCGATTAGAAGAGAATTTTTTTCAAAAAGACCTCTGGCAAAAAAATAATCAATATCATCGAATTTCAGACTACAAAAAAATGATAACCAATCTGATTTTTTTCAAAAAAATTCCAAGAAAAAAATAAAGTCAAAAGTAGTGGGAATCGTTCTTGAAACTCTTCTGTTATGTATAAGGATATTCGAATAAAATACTTTCAAAGTAGCTTCCAGTACACCTTACTCCATTTAATTACCGCAAAATTCCACTAAAACCTTTGAAATTTGAAAGATACTCCCACATGTATCTCAGCTTCTTTTTCAACTATCTCATTCATTTTATCATGGAAAATCGCGTAACAAGCAGAAACGCACACGAGAAGCACTTGCGAAACAACGCAACGCTACCGTAATCCCTTCCTAGCGCCCGTTGTTTTTGTACGGCTTCTTCTAGCTTCAAATTGAGTCAGAATGTCATCTCGGGATTAGGGAATTTCAAAAGAAGGGGCACTGTCGCATGAGCACAACGTTTTATTACATTAGTGGGGGAAGGTTTCGGAGAAAAACTTTGGAATCAGGAACGAAAGGAAAAATAATGGAAAAAAGAAATTTATGGATCAATACTAACTTCCAATATTCCCACTCAAAGAATAAAATGATTATATGAGTTGAATATTTAGAAAAAGAACTCAAATAATTATTCCTTTTTCAGGTAAGGATGGCTACTGAAGTAGTTTGAGAAAATTGCTCCTATCTAAGTGATATGAATTCGAATTATGAGTTTTTAAATTTTCCTACAGGTTCCATGACTAAGGAAAATTTTTTGAGAAAACTGGAATTTCAGAATAAAATACTGAAAATGACATTTGGTTCTTATAATGATGTTTGAAAAAGTATGTGAAAACTTTTTGAGAAAAAAATTTGGACTCCTCGAAAATCGGAAGAAAGCTAACATGGAGAAATTATTATATGATTAGGAATTGATAAACTAACAAAATATTCGTTTAAATTTGATCAAGATGAAAAATGTGCCCAAGCTTAGGTACAATATAAAATCGATATCTAGTCAAGTCTAAAAATCAAAAAAATTAGACTCACACTTTTTTTAATTCAAACTACAAACTGAGTGGATAACTTTTAGAATAATTCATTGTAAAAAAATCCTGGATTAAAGACCACCAATTAGATTAGTAAAGGATTATAAAAGAAGTTCGAAAGAACTACCAGTAAGAAAACTCGAGATCAAACTGAGAAAATCTGGGATTAGAAACTACCAATTGGATTAGCTTGGGAATTAGAGGAGAAAACAAAAAAGGAATAAATAAGATCAAGATTGCTGTGAAAACAATCGAAATCGACGAATGGTACAATAGGTAGCAATGGGGGCGGAGTTGATGGTAGAGCTCTCTCCGCCCAAACCTCGCGCCTGTGGAGTACCACCTCCTCTCTTTGGAGTCTCCATCTTGCCGACAATGAACTGTATTAGCTGTCAAGTTGACATGACATGCATACAACGACATATTGCAAATTCTGGAGCATAAGGGATGGTCGTCTTAGCGAAAAAAAAAAACAAGTCTTTGTCATGAGGACTTTACTCGGCCTTGCGGCGCCGCCGCCGAGGATTTGGGCTCGATTGACGGATCGCGTGCCTCAGGCGTCCTGCCTCCCAAATTCAGGTTAATCTTCTGAGAAACCGCACCTCCTGTTCGAGCTTTTTTGAAGTATTAGTGTCACCTTATGAGTTGAACTTTCATGAAAAATGAGTTACCATTCTGAAGGAAAAACAAAATTTTTGATAAAATTAGTTACCGTTTCAATTCTTTCGTTCGAAGAAACATTTTTATGGATTTTATAAAGAAAGGGTTTTCTAATTTTCCACAGGATCTGCAATTTAGTTGTAAGTAGAACTTTTTATTGAAAAATGAGATTTCAGTTATAATTTTTCATGTAAGTCAGGTTTACAAACCTATAAAGTAACCTCAAGAGAAAGTTTTCGACAAATTGCAAAAAAATCTGAGGTCAGTATCTTTTTCTCATCTTTTTTTCCGAGTTAAGAGAAAGTAAATTATATCAATTTTAACATATTAAAATTATATCAATTCTAACAAAAAAATTATATCAATTTTTAAGTGATATTAAAATTAAAATTATATTTCAGAGATTTTTTTAAATCACGATATAGCATATTTTTTTCTATTGGTTAGACCAAAATTCTTGAAAATGAAAAGTTAACTTGAAGGTTTTCATTCTCAGGAGCTTAGCAAAACCAGAGGAGGTCAAAAATTTATAGAATATCTTGATAAAGCAAACTAATATGTGACCTCACCTTGAACCACAAGTATTTTCGATTACCAGCCACGTTTGAAAAGGGAAAATCAGGTAAAAATTTTCACAAAAGTGAGAAGAATAAGCATTTTTTAGAAGCCGGAAATTCCAGCCGTTCTCTGGAAAAAATAATGTTGAGTGTAAGGAATATCAGCGGCTGTCATCAAGATGGATTATAACATGGTCAGGAGCTCCTCATCCCACACAGAGACAATAATCCAAGGCGGCCGAATATGATTTCACCTGATCCGGAGTTAATCACGCCAACCTTCGGCGACGACCTCAGCCGTTGGATTACGGTAGACCGACCGCAACCCGGAATTAGTTGCACCATTCTGGCCCAACGACACGACCAACAAAATGTTTGTTCAAGCCCACTGGTTGCATCACTTGCCAGTTCACTCATCTCTGTTGCTTCACGATCCTACAATTATCGGAGAACATGCCTCAGATACAGTTAATCTTGTTTTAGTGGGTGCGAAAAGGCTTTTTGTTTGATTAATTCAAATTTCGAGTTACTTGCATTTATGACAAGGAAAGTCATTTCATTTTTTGCGGTTGGAAATTCTTTGAAGTCTGCAAGTACACTTTTTTTGCACTACGATGAGATCCTATAAGTTTTAAACTGCACAACCTCCTAGTTTCCGAGGAATAAGGGCTCAAAACCCGAAAACAGCCTATTATTCGAGTTTTTTGGTTTTCTCTAAGTTAGACGTGTTCTTTCTCAAAAACTAGAATGTTGTGCAAGTTCAGACTTTCAGAAGCTTCACGTGGTTCATCAAGGAGCGTTTTCACCAATTATCGTAAAACTCCGAATCGCAAAGTAAAATGACCTTCTTTGTGAGGTTACTGTTTCGGTGAGAAGCCAAAACAAAAAAACTTCGAAATTTTTTCACAAACCTCGACTGCCTGTATAGGATGCATTATTTGGAAAATTCAGAGTATTCAGCTTCCAAAAATGTTCAACTTCAGATTCAAGATCTTCATTCCATAAAAAAAAGCTATGCCAAATTTTTCGAAATTTTTCAAAAAAATGCTTTTTTTGAAAGTATTTTTAAAAAAATCAAATTTAACTTTCCAAAGTATCTTATCCAAATTTATTTTTTTCTTGATTTTTTTAAGATATAATAACTTTCAGCTTCCAACTTTATTCTTATTCTACAGAAAAAGTTTGAAGCATCAATATTACCTTACTTGAAAACTAATCAAATCTTTCTGGAGAAAAAAACTCGAGATTCAGCTCCTTTTCCCTTTTTTATGTGTCTAATCAACCTATTCTCTTTCTAACTAATCAGAAAATTAACTAATATGCATCTTCAAAAAAGAACTGGAAGAAGATTGCAATTATAAATATTAATGCAGATTTAAACCACCTGCCTCGCCTGCGTTAGAAATTTGACCTCAAGTAAAACTGAGCGTACAGAATAGGGGTCTTTAAATATCTCAGGAGAGTTTTCCAGAATATTTGAGGAAAAAGTCGAAATAAAACGATGTTACTCTTGAAATCTGCGTATTGAAATTTTAATTTGAGAAATTTTTGGAGAAAGTTTAGTGAAATCGATTTTTTGGGGTTTTCTCGCTTCCGCAAAGACTTGATCTTTATGATCAAGTCTCTGAGAAGTTCATGGAATTTACAATAAAAAAATTGAACCAATAGATATATTCAAATTATTTTTTCTTGATCCTGCATGCGACGGAAGATGCAAATAAAATCTTCGAGTCCACGATTTTTTTTTGGTGCGCCTAAATTTTCAGTTCAATCAGTTGTTTTTAAACAATCCACTATTTTTTGAGTATTCTCGAGGCTGCAAAAAAAAAATTGAGGAACCGTTGTGAACTCAAAAATCACAGGAAAACAGCCTCAAAAATCGTTCCCCATGTATGAGATCATTTTCCTGTCATAGAATGAGTTTAGATTCGCAGTCCCAGAAAAGTAATGTGGCTTAAATTTCCTTCGTGCCGTAATTGGAGCTTGCTGCTTCGTTTTTTTTCGGCTTCTGTGAACCCGTCGGTACTGCAAATTGTTTTTGGTCGGTTAAAAGCTTAACCTCTGCCGAGGATTACTGTTGGTACAAGGGTATAGCGTGGAGCTCTAATTCGAATCGGAACCAGAGCCATCGAACAAATGAGCGACAGTCCTTGGTCGGCCGATAGTGATCTGGAAAGGACCGAAACGGGTCTAATCCACCAAGAGGCCTTCTACGCGCTTCGGCGTTAATTGTCGCGTTTCACCTGTCACCGGTGAGCTGCTCCCTATCGTTTCGGGATCTCGCCACGCGTCTGCTGCACCTTTTCTTCACGCCATTTTGTAGATCATCATCTCGGATAGTTAGAAATATGAACCGACCTCAGGAAGGAGGAGTCATTTTTTGGGTGGGTCCTTCTGCAAAGTTAAAGGCTTGAATTTATCAAAAGAATTTGACTATTGAAGGATTCATTGAAAAAAAATTGTACGAAACCATCTTCAAATTGCAATTTTTCAACCTGTGAAAAAGTCTCAAAGTTTTATTTGGCTTCAAATGAACTTTTATAAATAAAAGGAAGCATGGAAACTTTTTCTGCTCAAAAAATCGACAAAAAAAAACAGTTTCAAAAGCTTCTTAAAAAAATTTTTTTCATTTTTTCAATTTCTTACTGATTTTTCAGAGTCAAGGCTAAGGCATTTCCATAATTTTCATATTTTTCCCATCCTAATCGTGTAGTATATATGAAAACATATGTTCAGAATCAAAGACACCGCCAGGTTTCCCAAATTTGTTGTACATCAGCACCTCGTCTCGGCCGCCTTTTTACGGCTGGTTGCTGCCACCTCGTCAAAAAAAGGAGTTTCAATGGACTCCCACGGAACAGTTGAAGACAGTGTGAACCGACTATGGCTGCACAATGCGCGGGCAATTAGACATGATATTGAGCCTTTCTAGTGGCCGCACTCAATAGCGTGACAAACTTGGCGGCGCCATTGTTGCGCAGCGGGATCCTTTACGAAAAACTTCCAGCTGTGAACTTTCGGGTTCAGAACCTCAAACAGTTTTTGTGTCAATAACTTCATGGGGTCTGCTTTTTTTTAATTTCCGACTCATTTTTTGCGTTAATGTAATGAACTTTCTTTTTATCGAATTTTTGTGACTTTTCGAGCCATTCTTATTTTACTAGATTCAAGGTTTCAACATAATGGGAAGCTAGCTAATGGGAGTTTTTTTTTCAGGCGAGTAAACTGAAATCATAAATTGCCAATTTTGATGAGAATTCTTCAGAAAATCTTCAAACAGGAGGAAAGATCCGAAAAAATTCTAAAAGTAGCATTTTTACATAAAAATCCACTGAAAAACTACACAAAAGAAACTTTTTCCATGATTTTCTTTTTTTCGTTCGATGAAGAAAATTTGATCTGAGTTCATCTTTTTTAATTTTTCTTAGTAAAACTTTACACAGTTTTTAGAAAATTCATCTGCATTTTTATGAAAAAGTCAAAATTTATCCAATTTTCCACAAATCACTCGTCCTTTTCTGGGCATCTGCGAACTCTCGGCGAGAGTTAGTGCGCAACGATAGCTTTTATGTAACATCCGGCAGTCGTCCATGTAATGTTTGCTTCCGTTTCCGCGTCGTCGTTTGACCTGCGCTCTTCTGCATGATTTTAGTTCGAAGTTATTTTGTCCAATCAAAAATATCGCTGAAAACTTATCAGCACTTCTGCCGTTTTAAAAAAATTTTTTTGAAATCCAGTCTTATTTAAAAAAACTGACCCTTTGAGGTGAGATATTTGAATATAGTCATCAGATTTTTGTGAATATTCCTTTCAGAAAACAAGCTTAAACTTCCGTAATTATAAACCAATGAACTGAATTGTGATGAGAATCCATCGAAAAATTCAAAAATATTTCCGTCCATCAGCAAAAATCCCAGCAGAAAACTCCCGTGAATGAAATATAGTTCTTTCAATTATCAATAGCGCACCTTTCTGAACTTCACAGCCTTTCAAAAAAAAATTTTCACATAAGGTGAAACCTTAAAAAAAATGAAACTGTAAACTAAACCAAAATTTTTTCAAATTTTTTCTCTCGGTCCATTATTTTGATTGGAATATACAAGATGTCAATCTTTGAATTGTCCGAAAAAAAAACTTTATAAGCAGCTTCTGAGGCGTAGCTTACATACGAAGCATGTGAAAAAAAAACTAATCCCGGAGAAAAGTTCATTGAACACGCAAGTCCGTCTTATAGTCTGTTGCTCAGATAATCATCTTGTGATTTGTAAAAGGGGCGTGTTTGATAGATATAGCTTTTTTTTGAGATTTATTCAAGTGTTATTCACTCACGATCGTTAGAACGATGATAAAAAGATTCTTGTCTTTTTTAAGGAGAAATCGCTCCACGCAGCTGCAATCACGTGGCGTACAATGATTGCGACGGAAAGAGAGGCGCGGCGACGTTTGATATGAACGCGAGTACGGTATTAGCCATGCAACGCGGCTGAAGAGCCCCTCTCGAGTCCCTCGGAAACCTTTTTGAGTATTTCAGCGTTCTATTCGACCACGCGTTGCATCCCACGAGGAGGGCCAGGTGTTCCCGTCAAATCTTCTTTTTTAACCTTGGGTCTTTTTAAATCAGGCTTTACTTCAAGAAATCGTTCAAGGGCGGTTTTCTTCCACTTGAAGTTTTTGATATCAGGAACTCTATTCCATGGGTTAGAAGTCTGAAATTCACTGCTTTCTAAATTCTTTATTTTTTCAAAGAAATTTTTCTTCAAACTTTAAATGTGAGCAGAAACACTAATATCAAATTTGACCCATCACCTTTAAAAAAATAAGCGTTCTCGAAGGCTTTTGAATCTCTGGAATTGAACTCAATAAAATGGAATTTTTTTCAATGGTTCATCTTTCATCAAACTATTGAGCATGACTGTATTTGGAATAAAATTTAGAGAACTTGAAAAAAAGTTCTTCATGGTCTCAAGGCGCAAAAAATCAACCTGCAAATTTTTTCAAACAAACATTCCCAATGAAACGGTTATTAAAGAAAATCAGACAAATGTTGATTGATTTCCCGACAGTGTGCTGTGTCGTAGAATACTCGGGCAAAATGTATGCGCCTCTAATCACTTCAGCAAGCTTTTTTGAATTGAGCGCTCTAACTTTCATTTCACTAAAGATTAAATTAAGTTATTCCTAAAAGTTCATTCTTACCTTACTCTAACCGTTCTGAAACGATTTTGGCCATTGAAATCAAAAAAAAAAAAAACAGACATTAGTCGTTTCTAATGACGTTGTAGGATTTCAAACCAATTTCGCTAACATTAACTATTCATATTTCGAATGAAACCGACTCGCCAAGATAGCCCCAGCCGGACACTTGGTAACATCAAATTTTACATTTAGCTAAAATTTCGATTACATACAATACCGTCAGAAAAGATACGAAAAAAAAGGGCTTTAGTCACAACTTTCTTGTAAAAGATTCAATCTTCCTGAAAGCTTCTAAAGCTGCGTTTTTCTGTGTACTGGAAATTTCATCAGAGTGTTGAAAATAACAGTCATCACAGCTACAGAAAGGTTCAGAAAGATCGAATTCCTTACAAGACATTCTTGACCGAAACTCCAATTTTCCGTATCTTTTTTGACGGTACTGTAGCCCATGAGAGACCGTTTTTCTCAACGGTCTCGTTTTTGACGTTCAATATTTATTTAAAGGTCTCTACAATACAAATAAATGATGAAAATCGTCACGCGAAATTTCAAGACAAATGATAATCAGTCCGGAAAAAATTGAGAGAATACGAAAGAAAGAACTTGGTCAAAACTTCCAAAGAATGTTTGACCTCAAAACTGACATACAAAATTAAAAATTAAATTATTGTATATGGTAGATATACAACCAAAAAGATGCCGTAAATGTCACACGGAAATAGAGAGATAATAAAAAAGCGTACCTAATTTGCTAAGGAATAAAACACTGTGACCTGCCTTTTTTCACTAGAGATTAAGAAAAGATAAGGTATAGACAGGTAAGATTGTTTTAAATCCAGGCAAAGGTACTTTGCAATGACATTATTCGTGAAACAGTTTTCTGTACAGTTTTAAGAAGACACAATACAGGCTAGACATAATCGGTTAAAAAAATGAAGAATGGTTGTTCAAAGTGGCAAAAACAGAATAGAAGAAATGTATATGCATTTCCACAGAAGACAAGAGGACTTCAGATGAAAAGTTATCATTGCTACAACTAATTTGGCACTTTGAAAAAAATAGAAAAATAGGCACATAAAAACTAATCGAAATTTCACACTAACGGTCAGTGGAAAACATTCATTTGGTTGAGAACAACTTTATCTAATCAGCTCTGTCTTTTAGAAGATTATAGGTAACGTTTACATATTTCAGCCAACAAAAAATTAAGTCGTGGTCGGACCGCCAATGCAAGAATTCCTCACGTTTTTCTTTTTTTTTTTGCTCAGAGGGATCCACTGGGGAAGAAGTAGGGATTGCTTTGGTATGGATTCATTCCAGGAGTGTAGGTCGGAGCGTAGTAGTAAGGGTTGTTGCCGTCGATCATGGAGTAGCTGGGGTACAACGGGTAGGAGTTGTACACGACCGGGTTGCTCAGAGAGACGGTGAGCGTCGCGGGTTGCGTGGAGGTCGAAACGCTCGTGGGCAACGAAGTCGGCGCCGGAGACGAAGTGACGCTCTGAATCAATTAGGAGAATTAGTGAGACTACTTTGTGCTCCATAGATAAATTTTGCTTTTTGGTCGTCGTTTTTCAATTTTTTTTTTGTGACTCATAGTAATTCCAGATATGTAATTCTGTCAAGTGTTCAAAAAAAGACAAAAAAACGGTAAAATAACAATTTTTTTCAGAAAAAAATCTGCAGAAATAGCGATTTTTTTGTTTAGAAAACAGTAGGATTAATGGGCGCAGGAAAATCCGGAGAAAATCGGATTCAATCTGGGGATTTTTGTTCAAAAATCTTTCCCGAATGTTTGCCTCAAGCTAAAATTGAAACCGAATCTCTGTTGTCAATTTTTGAACTTGAATCTTTGAATATTGGTCGTTTTGATAAGGGTACTAAAACTGTTACTAACTCGAATGCTTTCCTTCTCAATTTGAATTTCAAAATAGGAACCCAAAACAAAAAATCATAAAAATAGCAGTTCGGAGGATCTTCATTAAAAGTTTTTCAATTGTTAGTACCGTGTTGATTGTGTCGCTTCCGGTCCAGCTGTTGTCTCCAGCGCCGGAGCTGCTGTTGCCACTGGCCGGCGTCCTGACTGGAGAAAGCTCTTTGCGGTTCGCCAGCAACGACGGCTTCGACTCACTGAAAAATCAAGATAAGAATATTCAAAATGTACTCCACCAACACAAAGATCGAAGTTTTTCCTACAGTACTAATGATAAACATGAGATTGACAGAATAGGGGAGGATAAATTTTGAATTGAAGAGGCAAGGCTTATGATTGTAACGGTGGTTTGTGGGAAAGCGTGTTGTTATCAACCTGTCAATCAAAGTGGCGCTCGCCAATCAGCGCGATATCACCGCTCTACAGTAACCTTTTTGCGCAGGGTATACTTGATCTTCTTGATCAACAGACCAAATTCAATCGATAATCGCTTCAAAATTCCATGAAAAAAGGTGTTTTTTTTTACACGTTACGAGCTACCTCTCTGGTTCGCTGTTCATCTGAGGCTGGTACAACGGAGAAACGTTGCCTTTCACGGCTGCCGCAAGTGCTGAAAATGTTATTTCGGTTAGTTTACCTCGGAAATCCTTACTTTTCTTTTCCGTTTTCGGCTTCTGTTTCTCCTGTTGCCGATGCTTTGCACGACGATTTTTGAACCAAACCTGAACATTTAGTATAATGAATAACTCTTTTTACAGTTCATAAAACGAATTAGTAAAGTCGTAATTATCCTTCAATTAGGTTTGATAAGGATTTAGTTATTATGATTGAAGTGGAAAAATCCAAGGAGTCCAAAAAAAAGTACCACCACTAGCTCTAGTTAATTTAGGCCGGCCAATGGTTTCATAAAGTACATTCTATCAAACCTAGAAATAAACCAACCTGAATTCGGCTTTCTTGGAGTTGAATCTGATCAGCGACACGTTCCCGAGCGAATACGTCCGGATAATGAGTTTCTGCGAAGAGAGCCTCCAGAACGTCGAGCTGCTGTCGGCTGAAGGTCGTCCTTTCACGGCGATTTTTCCTCGGAATCATAGCTGAAAATATCATTTTAAAGCCATTTTGTCTTCATGGAAAACTGTCGACAACTCGTCAAAATGCAAATTGAAATGCGATTAACACCCGCCGTGACGCGCAATACCGTGTGCGCAGGACAATCAGTTTTCCTCTTGTGTTGTGTCGGAGTCTCGTGAGCGCGTTCCCGCGACGTTGATAAATGGAAACCTGATGTATATGTAGAGCTGTTGAACATTCCGATCGCCGGGACGTTGTTCATCGCGTAAGTGAATTGAGCAGGAGTTGCAGTCGACGGAAGGGCGTAGGACGGCAGAGCGGCGAACGCACCGTAGTTGTTCATATCTTAAGCGATATCAAAACTATGAATGATTCTGAGGAGTTTCCAAAGTCCATTCGGGTTCAAATCAAACTATGAATGTAAGTTCACAAGTGAGAAAATCAGAAAAATTATTTTTCGTGCGGTTCAACAACAAGACTAAAAATCTTCGCAATGTCTCCTCTAGACACATTGAATTCCTCTTGCTTGTGTGCCCTGCAGAAATGCTATGATATGAGAAAATTTTTGAAATGCTGGAATATTTTTAAATTTGAAGCTGGTTCTGTTTTTTCTTGTTGAAATAATTATATGACACATTTTATAATTTTCTATTCTGAATTTTTGTTAGTTTATGTTAAAATCATAGTTTTACGACATTTGAGATGAAATCAAAGAGTTTCGAATACATATTAGTTATAAAAAAATAATCAGTTCGAAATGATCCTGGAAGATTCATGAAAAGTGTTAGTATAAGCCACTGATTTCACGGAGTTCAAAAAATTTGGTCTTTGCGATATTTTCGAAATCTTAAGAAAATGCTTGTTGAGTGTGAACTTTATCAAGAGGAAATGCGCATGAATTACATAATTTGCAGGAAAACGGAAATTTCTGTCTGCGAAAGGCTATTTTATTATAAGACATGTGACCTCAAGCAGGCTAGATACGCTCAGATATCGAAATAGTGCTCGAAAAAGGGCGTTTCAATTACGATTAATGGAAGCCGTGAAACGGTCCTTATTCTCAGAAGACGTAGCTTGAAGAAAAGAGGATCAGAAGAGGTGTGATGAAGCTAATCAAGCAAAAAAGTGAACAGTATCCGACTGATCCGCTGCTAATCGCTTTTGCCCCGGCGGAGCAGACGCATGGCGCCGCCTCCGGCTGTCGCAACAGAGACAAGTGAAGCTAAGCGGTTTATTGTCGCCTCGATAAAATAACACTGAAAAAGTCCGTGTCAATGGCGCCGGAGAGGATGGCTCGAGAAAGAGTGATAACTGCACGCCTCGCGCGCCAAGCACGCCCATTTTGTCGACCAAGGGTTACGGTAGGTTGGTTGGACGAGTTTCCGAAAGTGATCTTCATGCGAATCGACTTGCGCAGAACGTGGTGGGAAGAGGCGCTACTCTACTACCTGTGAACTTCTCACGTCAACTTGAATTAGTTTTCCGAAGAAATTGGGATGAGGAAAATATGAAGGTCTAATTGAGAATTTCAGAAAAAAAATTGGAGTGAAGGAAACTATGAAAAAAAATTTTTCAATCCAAGAGCTACGGTTAACTACGGAGATTTATCAGTTCATCGAGTAAATTTTTGAGAAAACTCTGATGATTTTTATCTACATCAGCGTTAATAGTTCAGTCTTTCTTCGCAAAAAGGAGTTGTTGGAACTATTGGAATAATTGGAATAATTAGAAAGATTTTTAAACTAAAATGCGCATTTTTTTCTGCTCTGGAAGCCATGTTCACTTTGAACTATTGAAAAAAATAATTTTTAAGTTTAAAATTGAAATTCTCAGATTTCATTTGGAATAACTCAGAGTTCCACAGTCGTAAAATTTCGAACAGTCCAAGATATTTTTCAATCACCCGCAAGTAGAAAAAAACCTTGAAGTAAGTCCAATTCGTCAAACTTGTACAAAAACAACACTTACATACATTACCGTCACAAAATATACGAAAAAACGCGATTTTGGTCAGAACTTTCCTGGATAGAATTTAATCTTCCTGAAAGTTTCAAAAGCTGCGTTTTTTTTTCGTGAGCTGTAACTCCATCAGAATTTCAAAATTAACAGACTTTAAAACTTCATAAAGATTTAGGAAGATGGGATTCCATACAAAATTCGGACCGAAACCCCGTTGTATCTTTTCTGACGTCACTGTATGTAGTTCTTCTCTGAAAGTTCTCTGAAACCTTGAAAATCAGAACAATAAGCCTTCCATACTTTCGAAAGTAACATAAAAGTCATTTTTGCTCAAAAAAGATCGAACTAATTAGAAATCCTCCCGAATCGTTGAGTAATCCGCCCGTGCCACCCTCGCAAATAAAAGCGGCTGTAAATGGAAGCCTAATTATTGGGGTTACACAAGATCGGCTGTAAACGTCACCATCATGACCGCCAATGTACAGTAATTGACTGAAATCGTTTCCGAGGCTCTCGCTCTGCACAAGACCGTAAAAGTTCTAAGGAACGGCCTTGAAATTTCGCTGCGCACAGCTTCAAATTTAGGAAAGTTAAAAAAAAGGTCAAATACATTTTGGTGAGAATTTTGATGAGTCTATGTTTTTTGATGAAAATGAAGATGATAATATGATGATTAAGAAAAAAACATTAATTTCGGACTTAACAACTTTGGTTGAATTAATGAATTTTGAGGCTTATTAAAAAATGGAAAAAAAATATTTTTGAAAATTGTTCATGATCTTTACAAATTGCCAGAGCATTTACAAAATTAATGGACTTCAAATCTTTTGGAAGTTGGAATTTGGGTGAACATTAATCATATTTGAAAAGGATTTGAGAGAAGGGAAAAATGTACTAAATGTACTGTGCAGAACAAGAATTCTTAAGAGATACAAGTCTGAGGATCAGAAAATCGATTTGAAGGACAAGATAAAAATAAAGATGCGGCAAAAGTAGAAAAAAAAGATACAAATCTTTCTGAAAATAGTAAGTTTTCGTTGAAAAATTCATCAAAAAATTTTGCCAACAGAACAAAATGAAAACTGAACACAATTGACGCAGAAAAAGTCTGAAAAAATGTTGACAAAAGAAAAAAAAATGTTACAGAAGGGTATCTAATCAAGGAGCGCGGCCTCGGATGGCCTCATAACTAGATACTGAGATGCGGATCCGGACCGCCCCCTCATATCAACCTGGACAGTTAATGGCGCTGTCAAACCGGGGTCATTATCAGTTTTCTGAGTTACGTTCACACCTGAGGACACGGTATTCGACACGTGGGGCACGAGTACGCTAATTACCGGGTCAATTTAAAACCTCTGGCATGGTGCCAACTTTGGCAGCTACTTGAACTTGAACTGTAGAGGGAACAATAGAATAATCGTTCTGATCTTACCTGGAGGAAAAAAATGGGTTGAGTCTGTACTTGTTTTTCTTGCTTGAATTTTTTTGAACTTTTTTTCAATTTTTTTGGTTTCTTAATTTTTAATTATCTCGAGACAGAAAGTTACCAACAAAAAAATTTTATGTACTTTTCTTCCTAGAAAGTAATGATTGCGAAATTCTTTTTCTCTCGGGATTCAAGGATATGTCTTCAAAAAAACCTTCTGCTGCTTATCTTCTCATTTTTCGGCGGCTGATTTTAACTATAAAAAAAACATATCTTTCAAAATTTTAGAATTGAAGCTTATTATTTTTTTAAAATGCGAAAATTGAAGCATTTTTGAATATTCCTCTAAACTCATATTTTTTTCAGATTTTTAGCAACATAAATATCATCCTATCAAAATCAGATGAGCTGGTTAAAAAAAAGCTAGGTAAAATGAAAACTCTACTACTTTTCAGGTGTTAATGAAGCACCTAGCAGGTGAGTCAACCTTTCACTTTCACGTCAATCGTGAACTTCAGAAAATGTCACACTTTGCCTCGTTATAATGTTAATTGGAACTGATTTCCTACAGGCGGAAGAAATATCAAGCTGAGATTTTAGTTCTTGTTATTGCAAAGAATTTTTGAGGAAAAAGCCTATTCGAATAAAATCAAACTGGCCTCTCAATTTCCGCTGAAAAACGCCAAATTCATGACTCAGAAGTACCGTACCACTCATTCCTGTGTGCGCTCCGCCCGTGAAAACGCTGATAAAAAAATTGATTGACAGATAATTGTATTATGCAAGACGTTAGAGCGCGAATGTTTGTGTAAGATATCTTGGCAGACGCGCGAGCCAATCAGTTCTTAAGTCCAAGCGGAACAGTGTAGCAGGGAACAAGACCTTCGAAAATCTGTGATATGAGGGAATTATCAAAGAATTCGATGCTGAGTGCAAAAGAAAAGAAAATACCGCAGGACAAGTCCTATATAATAAAAAAATGACCGCGAGGATTATGTGCGCTTTAGAATTTTTCAAAAATCAAAAGATTGACTTGCTATGCCTCTATAAATGTAAAAACAACCAATTTTCAATATTTTGAAGGTTGATTTAATCCTATGAACTTTTCTCATAAGAAAATTTTCAATTGAAGCTTTTCAAACCTCATCCAAACGGATCGAAAACGCTACAATAGATATTTCGAAGCTCTGAAGCTCTTTTATGGTCCTTTTCTTTACTTTTTTTCTCAAACTTTATAACAAACAGAGCTTAAAGAAAAATTACTTTTCACTATTCACAATAGAGAGACGCCAAATTATCGAATTTCAGGTCAATCTTTTAAAACAATACAAAAATATTCAGGTAAAGGTTATGACAAACCGTACTTAAAAGCTTGCTAAAACAATTATCAGCTCCAGAAAACTTGAAAAAGTACAAAATTGATTTGATTAAACTATTTATCCTCCAAGTAAAAAAAAATGCGACAAAAGATGGCTCTTGTACGATTCGAAATATCGAAACAGTGCGAACTTCTGCAAAACAGTATTTTCGGAGATCTCAAGACACCCCACTCGCTAATTATAATTCTTGCGACTTCAGTCTAAGAGGGTAATTAGAAAATGATCGTGAGTTGGAGGAAACAAGGGATTGAGGGGCCTGCGACTCATCGACGCATCTGCTGATCGGCTGTCTATTGTGTCGTTTCACAGGCACTTGACACTTTTGAGGTACCTTAGGTTAACTGAGGTGAACTAGGTGACAATTCATGTCAACAATGTAGCACAATTATATCAAATGTGATGAGATTTGTGTTGATTTCTCTTGAAAATACGTCTGTTTTTGAAGGATTGATTTTAGTTCACGGGTCCTCACGGAGCCAAAAAAGGGTCGAAAACTTGTCAAAAACTCATAAATGTTTCACTTTTGAAAAATATATGAAAAATAAGCGAAAAATGGATAAACTGTCTCATAATAAAAATATAACTTTTTCTTCGATTTCTATAAAAGACAAATTTTCCAAACGATTAAAGTCATTTCTAGCTGGACAGTCTAATAAAAAATTGTTTATGATCATTTTAAAGGAGCATACAACACTGCCAAAGTCGGAAGCACGGGTGCAAAAAGGGAGTGACTGCAAAATAGCCTCTAAAAGGGTTCCGTTTGCAGCCTTTATTGAGCCTTGGTGATAAAAAGCCTGAAAAAGAGTGAGAGTGCAAAAATTGAAAGTCTCGGCCATTAATGATTTCCAATTTCATTAGAGCAACACTTTTTAATTCATACACAATCACTGGTGAAGATCATTTTTAAAAATTTGGTGTTTCTCAAAGGGTCCAGAAAGGGTGGATGAAGGACGGAAAAAGACAGTAAAGAGGAAACCGTTGCCATCCGTTTAAAAACAGAAAAATGAAATGGAAACTTTTTTGATTCATACCGGACGCTCGAAGGGCCCGTAAAGGGTCCTTCCGACTTTGCCTATGCGATTTCGGCAGTCAGACGTACAGCAATAGAGGAATAGTTTCTCAGCAATATTCGAACAACCGGCAACAAACGGCGTTATTTACGATTGGAGCAGTGGGGCAGAAAATGCATCATTCCGTTGAACTTGGTGAGTCCATGAGAATCTTACTTTTTCAAATCATCATGGCAACTTTATTGGATTCTTCGAAGAAACTTTTTTATATCACGCTATCCAGAATCAAATTTCTGAAGCCTCTGAAAAAGAGAGTAACTATCTCAATGAAGAAAGAAAAATGATTTTTCATCGAAACAAGAATGACAAAACAGGAGCGCGAAATTTTATTGCAATCACGAAAAATTTGCATTTTGACGAGTGTTGTATTCATGAACTCATGTCGATATTTTCTAATGCAAAACAGTTGTATCGATTTTTTGAATGTGCAAAAACGATGAAAAAACATATGGAGCTTAAAATAGCCTGTCCGTCAAATTTCAAACACTAACAAAAATGAACTAGTTTTATTTTTCAGAGTTATTTGTTCATCATTGAGATTTGATCTTGTTTGAAATACAAAAGCGCATTTTGACTTCCAATATGATATGTGTTAAATAAATTATCTCCGATTGTGAAATAACACGAACGTTTAGTTTTTTTTCATTGTACAGTCATAGAAAATAATATCTTTCTCGATTTTCAGGAAATTCTATTTTTTGCGGTAACTTTATTCATGGAAAACTTGTCTCTTTAGCCTCGTTTCTCTAGAGAAGTTACTGTCGAATTTGCAACATTCGATGTCAAAGATAAAGAGGAGAAGCGGGTGTGAAAATCAGCGACAAAAAAGACAGCTTTGCTGATGATAAAATTAATCCGGCGCCAGTGTTTCGAATACAACTGTAAAAGAAGAGCGAGGCAAACGAGCAGCCAGGGAGGAGCAGATAAGGGCGCGTGGGTCGGCGCCACAACGCCGCTTTTTTCTTCTTGCGAAACTACCGTCACATGCGAACCAACCACCAAAATAAATACATGTTCAATTTGAAATTGTGAGCTAGGAAAAGTTGGTTCTCAGAGGCTTTGCGCTTCAAAGTCCAATTGTTTCAGGTACTAAAAAGATTTCGCTATCGTCCAGTGATGCTATTCGGCAACTGTTTTTCAGCAATTTTTTTCTATTCATATAAATTTCAAAAAATCTCTTGAAGAACCCCTTTGAAAAAAAATTCCAACTTTTTGGACATGTGACCAGATACAACAAGAAAAAAAAAAAAAAATTTTGACATGCAAAGCTCAAAAAAATTGGTTCATTGAGATATGAACCTCTAAAGTTCTTTTTTTCTAAAAAGAGAATAGCCAAAAAAATTTTTCGCGTCAGGAAACTTCTTAATGTAGTCTCCCCTGAAGCTACAAATTTCGAAAAAGTTCTCGAAAAATGCAGCAAAGTTTTTATGTCGGAAAGCTTTCCATTTCCATGAATTTTTGAACATCTCTACAAACTGTTCAAAATCATTTATATCATCATTTCCTGGGTCGAAGTCCACCTCAACTGCTCTGAAAGACAGCAAAAGGAATTCAGTACAACGTGGCCAGCCGCTAACATTTTTTCTGCCATTCCAGGGACGATGCCTGTCCCTCGTCGAACCTCGTGCTATTTGTGACTGCACCGTCTTATCGACAAGACGACGATAAATCATTATCACACGTATTCGCCATGTCGTATTAGCCGAGTGGTGCCAAAGAGCAGTCAGAGGGTCGGGCGCTTTTTTTTTTCAAAGACCGTTCTTTTTTAAGACTTGAGAAAACAAAAAGAAATGCGAAAGGAATTGTAAGAACTTGAAAAAAACAATATGTGGGAATTTTTTTATAAGCAAGCAACAGCTTTGGTTTGAATCAACAGAAAACGTTTTTTTTAATAATTTCATGCAATAGATCTGATTTCCGAGGTATGGAGCCTCAAAGTCCGCAAAATACACAAATCATGAAAAAAAAAAACGCTATTTCAAGCTTTTGAAGCGTCTAAACAGGGGTGCGAGATCTACTGCAAGCATTTTTTTGTGTTAGAATCAGGAGGCCTTGAAGTACACTATAGCGAAGTTTCGTCAAAAGTTCAACCGAGGGGGGTCGACGCTGCCTTGTGAAAAAGTGTTTCGATGACCATTTGACAGTGTGAAAATGACCGCGAAATTTCATCAAGAAAGTTTTTTTCTCGGAAAAAAATAGAAATATTTCAACTTTCAAAAAAATTTTTCTCAAATGGCCTTGAGATATTTGATTATAATAGTTATTGAATTTTTCTTCTATTCTTGTTTTTGAGGAAATATTGAAACAGGAGTTTTACTTTTTCCACTCAGTGTAGTTCATATTTTGCAAGTTGGTTAAGTTAGAAATTTACATTAGTCGAAATGAAAAAAACCAACTAAAAAAATTCAACTCGATTTCAAAAAAATTTCGGTATCACAAGAAATCCTCGTAATGCTTCGAAAATATTTATTTGAGAGGAACTCACATCGGACCGCAGCATGTTGAGGAGTTGAAAAGTATGTGAACTGCTCGATGTGGAAGATTTCTGAGGTCGACAGGATGCGACGCATTAGCGGCGTTATATCCGAAACGCTTCCATCTTCTACATTCTGATCAGGAATAAAAATACTTCTTAGATGAAGGAAAATGCATGACCTGCAAAGGTCAAAACTGAGCCCATTGGCGCCAGTCGAAAAAGCCCGCGAAACTGTCAATGTCCGCATCCGCTATCATATCCCCTGTACTAAAACCTCTTCTCTCGCCGGCTTGCAATGAAAATCAATTACTTAAGGTTTGACATTTATTCTAGATTTTCAAGCAAAAATTCTTTTTTTCAGTTTCTTTGAACCGACCTTTACTTCGACGCAGTTCAAGCCCGATAACATTTTGCCGAAGGGAGTGCGGCTGGAGGAGAAAGATGAGGTAACATACTTCGGCTCAACCAAAAAATCAATTTTCATTTTGAGGTTATGTTGCCAACGTTGATCCTGACGGACACAATCTTTTTGATTTATCTGGTGGCTTTTGCTAGTGAACCGGGCTTCTTCGGTGATTACGTGGGTGGCTTTTTTTGATTCAAGAGGATAGAAATAGTTTATAAATGATAAATCGACTTGAGGGATTTTTGAAATTATGATCAAATGAATTTTCAATATTTTTCGAGTCTAACGATTGCGCTGCAGGAAGGATTTGATTACGAGTGTTCGGTGTCCTACGTAGTCTTTGCCGGGTTGCTGATCCTTGCCGCTTCTGGTTGTCGCAACCGTAATCCACATGTCATCTTGCCTCTCATGCTCGCAAAGGTTTAATATTTCCTTTTTGAAACAGAAAACCTGTAGAAATAAGAAATAATTTTCATTTTACCAGTTTTTTCAAACACATCACCAGCGCATCAAAGTATTATCTAAAATGTCCAAACTATGTTTATCGATTTTTTTGTACTGGTGTCATGGTTTTAACGCATTTGAGCCGCTGTTAGTGTGGAATCTCTTTTTTTGCATGAATGAATGACTCGAGGGATATTACCCAAAATATAAGACAAATAAGAGTAGTGAAAAACGTGTACAGATCATTTAAAACTGACGAAAAAATAAGTGAGGTTCGATTTCAGGTATTCTATTTCCTTCTCTGCACCTCTATGACCGGTTATCAGATGTATTTGGCTCTTCGTGGAGGATTCGAAGGTTTGGATCTGGGAAATCTAGATTTTTTGAACAGTTACTTTTTACGGACGAACTGGAAAAATATCTTCGATTTATCTTTTTGAAACAGTTTTGATCCAAAATAAAATTTTTTTTTGATTTTCATATTCAAAATGATAAATTTCTTCTGACGAAACGCTCCTTGAACGCAAAAAAAACTTTTTTGCTCCCCATAACTTCCAGTTTTCAGGAGCGGACCAATCTTGGAAGAAAATCCTTCTGATTGCTTTTCCTTACATTGTCTACGCCTGGACGACGGCCCTTTTGTATTGCGACGTTATTTATCGATTTTTTTCATCCATCAAATGGAAGAAATGATGACAAAAGATAGTTCTAATGAAATTATGGTGAGTTTTTCGTGAATTGCTTCAAAATTTAAACTTCTCATAATTATGCAACTATTTGAAATATGATAGATTTTTGCACATAAAAAAAGGGTCAAGCTTTTCAAAAAAAATGAACTTTTTTTCTGGACACTGTTTGAATCTTTTTCAGGAAATAACCGTCGTGCCGAACCGTTACTTCCCCGAACTTGCAAGGACAGTTGACTTCTCGAATCCGTACAATATGGCATATTTTCAGTGATTTTCTTACTACATTTATCTTCTAATAATTTTTCTCTTTTTCTGAAGAAATTCATCTGCATTCATTATATTGATAATACAATTGTTTTAGGCGATTTCGATACACTTACCCTGATCTCCATTCATAATACTAAATTCTTCTGAATTTTATATAACACGCATGTTTCAATAAACGCTTCAACTTTTTTTTGTTTTTTGTCAATAATTAAATTATTCGATCCGTGTTGAATGCTTTTGGATGCATTATAAAGTGTTTTAAAATTATTCAAACTTGAAGAAAATATTTTTGGATTGTTTAAAAAAATCACAGAAAGCTTATTTTTTTCATGGAAGTATTTTTTTCTGGTTATTCCGTTCGAATTGAAGAAATTAATATTTTTTGACGACTTCTTTTTTTCTTAGGAGTTCAAGTCTGAAAAAAACACCGTTATAAAAAAAAACAAGTTCACGGTCGTCTAGCTCCAGAAAGAGAAAAAGTGAAAACAACCAATTTTTATTTCATGAAATCATCTTGACCAGTGATCAATTTTCGGCTGCTTTAAATCATTTTTTAACGAGGGAGTGAGATTTATTAGCATTTTTTCCTATTTCGACGATGTTTTTCTCTAATTGGTTCAGATATTCTTTGAATAAATAGTAAAAGCTCAAAATTAAATAGAAAAATCTCTGGATATGTGAGATTGGAAAGTTGCTTTGTGCGAAATCCTTCCTTAAAACTTTTTTAATAATTTGTATAATGTGATATTGATCGAAATATATATTACTTATTATAAAAATGCTACATTTCTTGCGTCAGACGTTGTTTTGATATCAAAAACCCATACAAACTTTGACGGAAGCTACAAGAAAGCTGAATATCTAGTTTACTGATTTTTGAAACTTTTGCAAAGGTTCTTTGCGATTTTTTAGGAAAAATCTAGTAATGACAGCACTTTTACGTTGAAACGTTTAAAACAGACTTACTTCGAAATTCATGGCAAAAGTTAAAAATCTGCTCGAAATGGAAAAATTTTCAGGTTGAAAAAAATGCTAAGCAGAACTGCCATCTCAACAATAATGCGTCCGTTTTGCACAATTTGATCAAAAACAGAAATTTTTTCAGAAAAGGAGGTCCATAAGAGTGCAGGGATGAATGACCTGGAGAGGTCAAAGTTGGGCTCGTTGGCGCCAGTCGAAAACGCGCGCGAAAGTCTCGATATCCGCCGGCCGCTATCACATCCACATTCACTCCAACCAAACGTCTCATCCGCGCTACCTCGTCATGAACCTGAGTGTTTTGAGGTTGTTTTTATCTCCTTCTGAACCAAAATGAATTTATTCCTTCAGTCCTTTCAAACCCATTTTCACTTCAACGCCGCTGAGGCCTACAAATGTCCGCCCTGAAGTTGAATTTGAATATCAAGAAAAAGAAGTTTGTGTGAAGTTTGAAAACTTGAAAACGATCAACTTTTGAGGTAAAATTGACGGTTTTGATCTTGATGGACGTGGCATTCTTGGCTCTTCTCATTGTGTTTGCCAGTGAAGACGGCTTCCCTGGTGACTATGTGGTTGGTTTTTTTTAATGCTTTTTGATTGAGAATGACTTTTTTACCTTTTACAAAAAAACTGATCGCCTTCTCAAACCAAAACGAATAGTTATATATTTGAACTTCATTTGAGGTATTTTGTAAAACCTATAAAACCATTAACGTCAAAATATCGATTTTCACAGGATCAATTCGACCGAGAGCGCTTGGTTTCCTACTTAGTTTTTGCTGGATTGCTGATGCTTGCGGTCCTTGGTTGCCGGAATCGCAATCCCATATTCATCGTCCCACTGACGTTCGCAAAGGTGAAAAATTTTGTATATCGAAAAAAAATTGATTAAGCAACAATTTTTTTCTGTTTAAGGGAAGAGTGAGCTATAGCAAGTTCTAGAGCGCTTTCAGAAAATAAGTAACTAATGGAAAAAAGAACATGAAAAAGTTTTTTAGCATTAGCGTGAGGCTACGATCTTTAGTATTCACCTGCTCGTTGTTGCGACGCGGGCGGTCGCGTAGCGTTTTTGCTTTTCTTCGCCAAGTTGTTCAAATATTTCTAACCTCACTGAGAAGCGAATAACTTTGGAACTTACTAAAATTAAACGCATGACGACTAAATTTACAATTTTTTTGCAGGTTCTGTACTTCGTTGTTTGCACCTGTTTGGCCAGTTACCACACTTATTTGGCGCTCAATGGAGAGCTTGAAGGTTCGATTTCTTTCTTTAACTTTTTGATTTGATTCATATCCTTCACTGTAGCCAGAATTTTACAGTGGAAGTAAATTCCATTTAAAAATCCTATTATTTTATTGGAATCGGATGGATCGCTCAGAAAAAAAACTGTTTCAGATGTGGATTACGCGTGGTACGAAGTCGTCTTGATCACCTTCCCGTACATCGTTTTCGCCCTGACGACCTCCCTTTTGTACTGCGAAATCATCGTTTGCTTCTTCGATTTACGTCTTCAGATGATTACTATGGAAGAAAATTCTACGGAACTCACTGTCAGTTTTTTTTTCAATTTTCCAGTTGAAGAACTCGCTTCATTTCGCCTTCAATCGATTTTTTTCAGTTTTTTTTTACTTTTCAAAACGAGTTTTGCACATAAGGTTTTTTAAGGGCGTCAGCGTTGTGGCTCCCCGCACCGATCGCCCGTCTCGTTCTTTCCCCAGCAGCGATTTCGACACACTCACCTTGTAATTCCCAAAATATTGTTTATTTCTTGTAATTTTGATTTATTATGCATGAAACAATGAAAACTACGACAATTTGTTGTTTCAATCTGCAAAGGACATAAGCCGCTATTGATGTGTCATTAAGCAAACATAACTTCCGTCGGAAATTTCTCCAATCGGTGAAGGTTTCAAGATTACTTCAGCTTTCTATAAAGATGATAGTTATTAAAAATCTTTCTGGACTTTGTACTTGCGACAGGATACGCAGAAAAAATTATTCGGAGAAAACGTCCCGAGGACGATTGCGGTCAAAAATCAAAGAATATGCTTTTGATAATGTATCGATAATGGAACAAAACAATGAGATGTTCATTTTTTTTGTGAAGCAGAGTATGAATACGTAGTATTTGAAAAGTAGCATTTTGGTAGAAAGTAAATTCTTCCAATTTACGTTTAGAAATCAGCATTTGATGGCACTTGAACCACATGACAAATCGGGGTTTGCGTTTCAAACAATAAAAAGTCGAATTTTCTTCACACAGAAGTTAGCAGACGTCCTCGTAATAAAAAATGATCTTTTAAAAAGGTTTTCTGCTTGAAAAACTGCAGAAGGTGTAGATGAATTACCCTAATACCGGATAACTTTGAAAAATTTTAAATAAGATGTTCAAAAAACGTACACAGGTGGAACGTTTGTTTTTTTGGTAGTCCGCGTTAAAGTGACCGATTCTGAAGGTTTTGATTTGTACTTTCAAAAAATGTTTCATTAAAAAAGTAATCAACCTGATTTTTATTGATCATATAATCAAATCAGAACACCAAAAAAGCACATTTAATCAATCAGAATCAAAACGAGTGTTTAACTCAATTTAATGATGGATCTGTATTTTATCATGGCTGACGTCATCATTAGACTTCAACGCTGCGTTCTTTTACAGCCACTTATCACGTCGAGCAACTCTTTATCAATCTTTTTCCACTGAAACGCGGCAAAAGACAAGCGAGAAAGCTTTATGTGCAGAGACATAAGGGGAAATAAAACGTTTGGATAGATAAGCAACCGGAGAGCCGCGCCCACAAATTCTTCCACCGTTACGGAATCACAACTTGCAATACCCTCCTATTTACTTATATCCATACTTCCGTTTCTTCACTTTTTTTACAGGGTTCACTCCATCGAAAAGTTTCGGAGAAGAAGAAACTACTACTTAAAATGCTCCGGCTTCTTTTTTTCTTGGCTTTTCTGACTAGCACAGGTTCGTATTGCTGAGAATAATCGTTCAAAATCTTTTTTTTTTCAACTCTAAGGAAGGAAATATAAAGAAAAAAATTGGTTTTTTTCATCGTTTTTTTCGAGACTTTTTTTCCTAGCGACTGTAAATAGAGACCGCAAAGCCCCGCCCCATTTTTGCGATAATCATTGACTTTGAAAAAAATACATATGTGATATGAATCTTCAAGCGCGTTTGAATTTGATGACTTCGCCGATAGCTTTAAAAAAAATAGAAACCAACTCTGAAAAAAACTGGGAGAAACTTTTTAGTCGAATTATCGTTGAAAAAAATATCAAACACAAAAAAATTATTTTTTTCAAGTTTACATGTTAATTTCTTCATCAGAAACTCTTTTACATGCACTTCGAAATTTATTTTTTTCTCAACTTTCTGTGCTAAGTTATTATTTTTTTAATTGATATTATGTTTTCTGTTGCTAAGAGAAGGAAATTTATTAAATAATAAGCTTTGATCTCAAAAAAAGCCCAACATTCAAGGAAAGACGGTTTCTGCAAATACTTCTGATTGTGAATTTTTTTGAAGAGAAAAAAAGAGCCATTTTGATTTTTACTTCATCAAAGAAAAAAATTGATTTATGAAAAAAATTTCAAAGCTGCACATGTATTTTTATGAAAAAAAGGACAGTAAGTCTGGAAAAAGTTTCAGCTCACGCGGCGGACTGTGAATGTACGAAACCCTTGACCGGCAAAGGCTTGGGAACAAAATACGTCACAAATCCACTCGACGATGGTTTCCAGGCATGCATCACGCCTTGCACCTACGATTTCGACTCTGGAGATCCGACATACGGATGGACAGTCCGTTTCTTTTCATTTATTTATTTTTATTCAAAAGTATTCTCCATTTTCTTACAGGGTTTCACTATCATCTGGACTAATCCTGATCCTATCAGTGATGCCACCATTACCGTCAAAGACAAAGCAACGAACGCAATAGTTTTGAGGTGGTTTTGAGGAAATTATGAAAATATTCTTCTTTCTTCAATCAGTTGATGTATTTAGCGATTCTGACTTCTCGTGAGTTGGAGTTTTTGTGATCTTAGGTTGAAACTTTAAGGATCTTTTTTGGTACCTCGAAGAAAATCCTGGCCATTTTCCAGGAAAATCTCATTCGCAAAGTTAAATGACCTTCCTTGTTGAAATGTTTACGAATCATTCTTCTTGACAAAAAGTTATCCTGGCTTCTTCTGAATATTTTTTGTGCTCATGGAAAACGCCCTTTCCTTTAGTTTTTGTAAGAATATGATAAATTCATAAAGAGCTTTTTTTTCGAGATTGTTTTTGTTGTTTTGGCAATTGTTCCTAGAAAAAAATTTCAGTCATCTTTTTTTCCTACATGATTTTTAAAAAAATTGATAGAATAAAAAGATAACGTTACGAAATTGTAATTATCAATGCTATAATTTCAGCGTTAAATCTGGACAGAACGTGGCGGCTGGAGATCCCATCAATAAGGCTCTCAGTGGAACCCAAGAAATCATAATCACTGTTTCTCAGACCAAAGGAGCTCCTGGTGACCTTCCATTTTCAAGAAAAAATAATCATTAAAAATTTTCAGCGATTTTTGGCTCTCAAATTTCGACGACCAACGCAATACAAAAACCAACAACTGCTGCTACGACGACGAGGCCCCCAACCACAAAACCATTCATTCCGGGCGATTTTCTGAGAGATCCGCAGCTCATCTCACACGATCTTTTTATTGCTATAGATGCCGGAAAAAGGCCAAGGAAGGAGTATTTTTCACCCAGGTTCTTTCAACTTTAAGAGAATCTATCAGAAAAAAAAATCGTGTATTCATATTATTCATAATGTGAAGTGTTGAGAAAGGTTTTTAGGTGTTTTCAAGCACAATCTATATTTTTAAAAGTTCATCGTTCGAAAAAAATTTTTTTTTAACTTATCAACAGTTTCACTTTTTTTAAGGGATACCTCATGAGATTCAGAACGACAATCTGGTGGGCGCATTATTTCCGTAGAAATAGATAAGTGAATAGTGTTTAGAATAATAAAAATGATAATGATAATCCCATCACTAGGACAATAAAAAATATACTTTAAAGAACATTTTACTTTGCCAACTTTTCAAAACCTCAAATTGAAGATGGGAAATGCGATCAACACTGTGGTCAGCCAGTTGACAGTCACTACGGACAACAGAACCGACTCCGGTACCCGCCTCGGGTTAAGCACCTTGTCCCCTTACGCTCCTTATTATGCCCTCTCCGGACAGGTGAACTGCAAAGTTTTACTGTCATCACTCTTTTCTGTTTTTCAGCCCTGGGAAATGCTTGCGAGCGATGTAAAAACAGCTTTGACCAGTGCCTCCGGCTTCTCTCTGGATGTACCTAACGTTCAGCAGTGAGTATATCTTTCATTTTCATGAAAAAAAATTGTATAGTCTGTGTACCATAACTTGGAATTTCACCAAACGAGATTCCGCTGTGCCGCTGCGCGCCTTTGCGAACCTTGGTCACGCTTCTTATTTTTTTTTAGTTTTTATTAAGGTACTTTACTTTCATGTGCTCCCACAGCAATAAAAATCAATCGAAATCGTGATCTAGATTCGAAAGACGCTTCGCGAACGCACGCAGCCTAACAGCGGAATGTCGTTCGGTGAAATTTCAAGTCGTGGCATACAGACTATAAGATATATTTCAAATGACAGTGAGAACTGTGCGGAAGTTAAAGGAAACATTTTTAAACTAGTGTTTCAAAGCAAAGAATGAGAAACCATAGGTAAAATCGGAAAAGGTGGGAAAGGCTCCAAAAAAAGGCTCCATAGAAATTTTCCTATTACAAGGGGGTCATTTCACTTTGCGGTTGAGACTCTCTTGAAATATGGTCAGAACGCTGTTCGGTGTACCAGAAGACTGTTCTGAAAGGTTCATTCTACACAACTTCCTCGTTTCTGAGACGCCTTAAGTCAAAGAAAACGCTTAAAACCCATCTAAATGGGCTGTTTTGTGGCCTGAATCCCCTTATTTCTCGAAAAGTAGAAAGTTGTGCAGGTTGAGACTTTCAGGATCTCTACCTGGTACAACAAGGATTGTTCTGGCTTATTTTCGAGAAATTCCCAACAAAAAAGTATAATGTTTTCGTGGCCCTTGTACACCATTTCGGCTTCCTCTCCCTTTTTGTATCATTTCTTGAGCCTCAAAAATCTCAGAAAATGAAAGGCTTGATAAAAGGAACTCTTTTTGCTGCCTTTTTGCGACCTTTTTTGAGCCTCTCTCTTTTAGCGTTAATTTTCCACAATTCCGACTTTGCCCGAGACAAGAAATTTTCTAAACAAAATAACAGAAAAATGTTTTGCGTTGTAGAGCTCTAGTAGGGTTGGCTAAATTGTGCTTCAACGTGAGCAACGACGACGCTCATTCTTCTTTAAACAGTCGTCCTAAAGCTCAGAGAACGCTTCTCTATTTCACAGCTTCAGTGTGAGTTTTTATTCAAGAGAAGTAGATTTCATGAAAATCTGAAAAAAAAAAATTTCGGTACATAATTCCGTTTCAGAGCGCAGGATATCGATAAGTTACCACAAGCGAAAGACGATTTTGCCGCCCTTGGAGCAAACCTTTTGATTGTTGGCTTCAATCTTGCAGACACTGATGCTGTGGGTAAAAAACCTAAATTTTATCCTGTTAGAATAAATCCCTTTCTCAAGAACTTTCAAGCGTTTTATAGTCAAACTGCCCATTTTTCAGAGTAAATACTACAACAACTGGTACGGTTTCGTGAATATTAACGACACCACCACGAAAGCTGTTGCCACTTTTGTGAATCCATTTTTCCTCAACGTCGGGGACTTCTCCAGTAGTTCGACGCCATGTAAGTGATGAAATTATTTCCATTATTGATAGAAGAGTTGAGTAGTATGCTATTCCAAAATACTGTTAAAAAAAGTAGATATTTTCTTTAAATTTGATCGAATTTTCACGACTTCTTTACCATCGATTTTCCAAAAAAAAAAACTCGCATTTGTTATGGCTAATATCGTCGCTTTTGACAGTTTGTTATCATGTAGAAGTCGCTTTGGGTCGGGCGAGCTTCAATTCTCGAGAATTTCGCTAACTTTTTAGATTTCATACAACAAGTTTTTTTTCCAGTTTGCGCAAACAATCTTCCCATGACCTACGATGCCATCGCCGATGCCCAATTTTTCTATGAACCCACTGATTACAACGGCATGTCCACAACTGTAAATGCCTGGCCTAGTGCGTTGGTCGACTCACAAAAAGCGAGATATTGCAACTTTGGAGACAAAACCTACACGATTAACAATGTGGTACGTACAGAAACTCACAGGGAAGGTCATTACATTGCCTTTGGGAATTTCTTAAAAAATCGCCAGAAAACTCTCTGATGTACCAGAGGAACATCATCAAAGTCTCAACCTGCACAACTTCCTAGTTTTCAAGAAATAAGAGTGCAAAGCCACGAAGCAGCTCATTTAATGGATTTTAAGCGTTTTTTTTTTGAACTTGAGGCGTCTTTTTTCAAAAAGAAGAAAATTGTGCAGGTTGAGACTCTTCTTTTCGTACATCAAAGAGTGCTCTAGCCAATTTTTAGAAAAATCCAAACCCAAAGTAAAATGACCTTCCTTGTTACTTCCGGCTTTTAAGTTCAAGTTTAACTTGGAATATGTTGAATAAAATGATTTTTTTAATCTTTGAAAAATCCGAATTGAATTAAAAGTTTTTAAGAAAATTTTTCTGATTACCATGATAAACTGAGTCCTATAATTTCTTAGCCTACAACGGATTTCTGTGCTTTCAGAATTCTCTTCAATATTTAGGATGGTAGCCATTTTGTCAGACTTTTTTAACTGTGATTTTATTTGGTAAAATATAATTGTACTTACGCCTTATTCAAACAAAAAAAAATGTTTTCAGGGGTCGGACACAGGAAACAAAGTGTTGGCGTTCACGGTTTACTATGAACTCGAAATTGAAAAAGATTGGCTAAGATTCTATGGCGACGGAGTTGAAATTGCTAGGTGGGCAATAATGTAAAAATCGAAAATATATGATGTTACAGTTTCACCGGTTATGACGTCTCAGCTTCGTATTTCACTACCAACGCCACAACCATAACGGCGAAACTCACAACGGACAACAAGGGTGTATACGGTGGCTTCTACGTCTCATTTAATATTGCAAATTGACACCGATAATTGTAAATTTTCTGGGAAAGCATGTTCACTGCAAATTTCTGACTCCGTTTGGCACTGCAATAAACGTGTGACTTAAATCGGCTGCTGCAGCAAAACCAAACAAGGCGTTTGTAATCCAGGCGTTTGTAAACGACTCGAAGCACCAAAATCTAAACAAATTATTTCCCAGTTTCTCGCGATTTCAAGAGAAAAAAGAGAAGAGGATAGCGAGTCTAAAAACGAATACAGAATTTTTCATGGTGTTATTGATTCAAATCTTTTTGATAAGAAAGCTCATTTGAACTGAAATTTTTTTCCTCATTTTATTTTTTTATTTCTTCTAAATTGTGCAAAAAAATCACCAGGTATCCAAAGAATTCTATAAAATAAACAATTTTTTTCGATGGTCTGAAAGTAGATTTTTCATATTCGGTACCTAAATACCATTTTTATGAAACAAAGTTTGTGAGGACTCCAAAATTTGCACAGTTAGTGACTATAAAATACTAAAACTCCGACTTCCAGTGAACTTCAGAAAATCAAAAAATCATGTTCAATGTCTTATTCGATTTAGGCCCACAAAAAGAAGAAAAATACGTTTTAAAGCGATGAGAACATATCCGAATATAAAGCAACGGTTCTTTCTGGTTTTCTAAGACATAGTAATAACGAGAAAATTTGTAAATCTCTTCTCGAGCAGTTTCTTCGCTAAAAAAAACATCTCACAGACTGAAAAAAACCTTCAAAAGCATTTTAAACCTCTAGATGGTTTTTTTATAAAAACTTTTTGACCTTCAGAAGATTCATTTGGTTCATCTCTAGACTTTCATGACATTCTTCAAAAATGATAAAACGGCCTTTTTTGCGAGAAATCTGTTGAAGTCAAAATACGTTCAGCAATCAAAATAAATTTTAATACCCCTCAAGTTTTTTTCGATAGCTCAGTGACAGTACCGTCAGAAAAGATACGAAAAAACGGGGTTTTGCTCAAAACTTTCTTATAAGGAGGTCAATATTCCCATTTGGTTTCTTAAGCTGTGTTTTTTTCTGTGAACTGAACTTCATTAGAGTGTAAGAAATAACGGTCATTACAGCTCCAGGAAGTTCAGGAAGATTGGAATCCCTACAAGAAAGATCTGATTGAAACCCCGTTTTTCGTCTCTTTTCTGACGGTACTGTAAAAAAATAGTAAAATGTCGAACTCTTCTCATTTTGAATTTTTTTTTGCTTGCTCTAAAGATTCTTTGGGAAAATTTCATTTTTTATTTCTTTGCTTTCGTCAGCTCGCTGCCATTCATTCCAGTGATTTGCGTTCATCCAATATTCGCATACGCCGTTGATGATGGGAAAAAACGATCGTTCTCGCAACTCCTATCAATCTGCCACCGTCTCCGTATAGCGCACAACTTTTCACAATGTTTCTTTCTAACGTGGACCACATTCTTAATGAATATTTTTTGTTTTGTCAAACCGAGACGTCGAATAAAAAAAGAACAAAAAAGAAGAAAAAAACGGGTTGAACCGGCTCCTGTTGCGTTCACTAAATCACGACGTGACAGGTACAACCCGTCCCAATTTTTTTGTGTTCGAAAAAAGACCTTCAAATTGTGTGACATTTGTCTATTTGATTTGATCACAATGTTTTGCTCAACACTCTTTGATCTACAAACCTCAGACGGAATCAAAGTTTCCGACTAGAAAAATGACAGAGAAATTGAAGGGTGGGCTTGAGGGTATGGGTTGGCTCTGGATTTTCATTCACTTGTCAAACTGAGAATGAAATTTCACATAAGCCGTTCCAAGCAGAAATGACTCTTAAAAACCTCAGAAATGAGCAGAAAACTACAAGAACGCCTACGGCTCATTTTTCGCATATTTTTACTGAGATCTTCTATTTTTTAAGCCATGAAAAGAAAACATATTTTTGGAATCATTTATACATTGACGTTCTGAAAATATTAAAAATGAGCTGATCAGTTTCAGGCCTCAAATATCTATTTTCTTAACATTTTTGACAAAAAAAACCATCACTTCCTAAGAAATCCCACGTTACTGTTTCTCTTTAGAACTACAGCAAGTTTGCGACTTTTCCGATGAAGCAGTGCTAGATTTAGACGTGTCCGTTCAAAACCGATATTACGACGAGAACCTCGGCATCTGATCAGAAGGATCAGTCGCAAGCCAGCGGCCGAGGAGGCGTGGCCTAGGACGAACACGGCGGCGGGACGGTACGGTAGGCCAGCCTGCGACGTGTGGCGGCACACCGACCGACTCTCGGCTGCGAAGGCGGTCCTTGCATGTGTTTCGTTTTTCGTTCTTTCGCGCCTCTGACTCCCCCGCCTCACGGCTCTTTGCTCCTCTTAAAACTACTGATGACAACGATCGCTTCATAAATACTTACCTGTTACTTGGGTTCCGAGTATGAAGTTTTTCAGCGATTCTATGAATGGGACAACATTCTTATCTCATATCTTTTTTCTCAATATGATCTTCAATTTTTCGTTTTTTCACATTTATTCTTCAAATCATAATGCATTTGAAAAGTTTTGATTCTGACTTTTTTTTCGACTTCTCTGCTCGTTTTTTTGTGTTAAATATCATGCCTAGGTGGTTGAACTCCTGTTTCTATAGTCTAGCAATCGATTGAGATGAAGTTTCCATCACATTTTTTCACACTCTTATTGCCAATCTCATTTCGAAGCTTGCAATTTTCGATATCATTTTTTCAGAAAGCTACTGATTTTTTTTCTCAAAAAATAGACTCATCCATCTGATAATTTATGATGTTCAACATTAACTATTTCTAAGAGAAAAATGTCATAAATTTCGAAATTTTCAGGCCAGTCATGGCCCAACTGCCTTTATCGTTTTTCGACACGGATGCAAAAGCCATGTTGAATACTTTGAACGTCCGCTTGAACGACATTGATCTGAAGCTCAGCATCGTTATTGAACTATTGGCTACTCGTTTGCCTGACCAAAGGTGCTTGGATTTTCGCTTTCCGCAAAAAATTTACCGATTCAAGACTCACATCGATTTTCACTTCTCCTCCGCAGACAGTTATTTCTGAAGCTCCGCCGCAGTCTTTCACACCGACGGTTGGCAATTCGACATCGGAAAAAACAGCTTCACCTAAAGTGAGCCATACTTGGAAGTTATTATCATGGAAGAATGTCTCAGACCGACTGCAAAGACGACTCTGACGGCGAGTTGGACATGGAGGGTGAAGAAGACACCGAAGAAATGTACGAAAATGAGAGTCAGCCAAGCCATCGGAACTCAACTCCCAAGGAGACTGAGGTGAGCTATCCAGCTTTAGAAGGAAAAAATAAATGAATCTTTTTTCAGGAAGAGAAGGTCATGCAAGATGGTCCTTTTCCGGAAGGTGCCGTCAAGAGAGCTGCTGAGAAAGCCGCTCGGAGTTTCCAGAGCACTCAGCCTAAGGTCAGTTTGATATTTTTCTACAGTCAGTATGTATAGCCCAAAAGTATTTTTTGATGAGAACTCCATAAAGTTGCGAAAAAATACCAACCAATTCAAAGTTTCACAAACGATTCGCCTCACCTTTCCAATGGGAGGCACAGGCTTTTTTTTTTCTTACCTCTTGTCCTCCAGCGTTCCTTTGGCACTTTGAAAGATTTTATCTTGAAGACGCTGTCGGTGAATGCGTGTTCGTTACTTGCCAGTGTTTTTTTTCCGCTGAGGGTGATCCTCGGCGCGTTTTTATGGCTATTGTACGCTGCAAGTGACCTCAAGACGTCGCAAAAAACGGCTCGAATCAAACGAGTTTCAATCTTTTTTCAAACGGCCTCGCAACTTATACACACGCAACGTTTTTTTTTTACGCGCCCACTGGGCACATGCTGGGAGGCCAACAAAACGGAACGCCGTTCCAAATTATCTCCTTTTGGGTTTCTTTTTTTGAGGATTATTTGGAGGATTAGAAACTGCACTTTGCGCTAAAATCTAGAAGACGTTATGGTTCCGGTAATGCAGACGACGAATAATAAAAACTTTCTGAACCCTTATTTTGAGAGAATGGAACGCTTTTTTGAATCGCTGAATACTGGAAGCTGCGGTGGAAAGAACGGCTAATCTAACGCAGATATCAGGTTCCGAACCTCGATCAACCTGTCCTCAAGTCGGACTGAACGTTAATGAAGCCTCAAAACTTGAAATACTTTTGAAAAGTTTAAAGTTTCGGATAGATTTTTGAAATTTTAGGGGGCACTTGTTTTTTAATCTGCCTTAGACAATAGAAGAAAATTATTTTTAAAAAAATATTTCGGACCCATGAGTTCCTAGTGAGAATCTCAACTTTTGAATAGCTTTTTAGACAAAAAATTGGGAATGACAAAAAAGTGAAGATAAAAACTTTTTCCCAATTTTTTCAATTGCTTGTAGGTTTTCAATGATATTTCTTAAAATATGTGAGAAAAACCCTATTTCAGCACTCGAAAATAATTATCAACATTTCTAAAAGTTGTGAATTCATGTTCCGACTTGAGGTAAGAAAGCCGAAATTGTCTTGTTGTTGTTGTGACAGGCCGATACTTTGACTTTTCGTGTCTTTACACGTCTCGACTGTCGCATTTCAGCGCACTGTCTCTTTCCAGCTGGCGCAATGCCAAACCGGTGTTCATCCATTTTGATGTCGAGGTTGAGTTAGGGTCGCTCTCTTTTTTTTGTCATTCAGGACAATCCTTGCCCACAGGGTTTCCAGGTGTGTTTTACCACCATTCCTCCACTCCAACCAGCAAAATTTATGCGCGCTAAGCGTAGCCTAAAAATGAAAATATGCAAATTTCAATAGGAATAGGCGGAGGCGGTCGGTTGCACAAACTGAGGTGTGGTCCATGCAAAAGGTTTGCTCTCTGGACAAGCCAAGGACTGACCATCTTTGAATTTTCTTTCGAATTCTTCAGTTTTCGAAGAAAGATCGTGGGAAAAAATTTATTTTTTCTTGATCCGAAAATATGGCGGCTGTTATTCCAATCAACGTGTTTTGCCGTGTCATCTTCTCAGCAAAAAATTATGTAGAAATCAAAAGAGCTGTTTTGAAAACTTTCCGATATTTTGACAGACCCTGGGAAAAATCACGAACTCAAGTTCTCAGGCACGGTTATTTGCAATGTTATTCGGGAGAAGACGGCCAAATCACAGCAAAAGGGCCGCGATTTCACAATCGAAAAGTTCCCACGACTCCAGTAAAATCGGATCCACACATACTTTTTCCGGAGCCTCGGTCATAACAAAGTCTTGTCCGAAACAGGAAAAAAACTATTGAGACTGGGAAAAGTCGTTGCTGCCGGCCGATCGGAGCCGAATGCAATAACTCGTGGGAGTACCTCCTTTGCATCAGTCCGGCGCTTTTCACATCGTGCCATCCACAAGAAATATTAAGCGTCAGCCTACAGTAACCTGTTCACAAACGTTTGTTGCCTAATGGCTCTCGAAAATGAACGACTAGACAGAGTAATCGAAGGAAACGATAACAAAAGTACAATGTACTTGTGCGTCGGCAAGTACAGTTGCGACAACGTTGGCTGGAACGTTACGCTCTAGGAGTTTGTAGTGTTGAGAAAACTGAGATCAGGAAATAATAAGTCCAGTCGGCCACGTCTTCTCGAAACTCCAGAGGTACCTGAATAATTTCAGCCTCACTCAAGGCTTCCTGGAAAGTTTCGAAAAACTTCGGAAAAAAAGAGCTTGTGCTGGTCACTGGCATGACGCTTTGCTTGTTGCGAGCAACTCGCCGCGCAAGCTTATGGAATGCAAACATACGTTTGTGTGGGACATTGACTGCGCGAACCGGTATACGAGAGCTGACCATGAAGCTCTCCGATGCTGATGCATGGATTTTTAGGTACGGGGTGAGAAAAGTTTTGAAGAGCGTTTGGAAGAAAAATTTTGTTTCTTCAAATACCAACCCCGCTTTGAACAAGGCTTTTAAATTTTTCGAGCTGTTCTAGAAACGTTTTTTTCCTCACTAGATCGGTTATATTTCATTTTGAAGGACAGGTTTAGCTATAAGGACAATTAAACCTTACTCATTTGTTGAACAAACTGTTTCGCAAGAAACCACGCCAAAATCAACAGTTTTTTTTCGGAGAGAGTTCAATGAGTCAACAGGAGGGGGTTTTTGACAAAGCCTTTGAAGTCTGGACACTTTCATGTTGTTCGAATTGATCAGTTATTCACCGATAGTAAAGAGCAAAATGGGCAGACCCTTGCCAAGCTTGAAAATTTCGCAGTTGAGATTTTTTGACTTTCCTTCTATCCGAACTTTTCGCAAGTTGAGGGTTTTTCGAGATATTTCGGATTTATCGATTAATGGTTCACACTAAATTTTTCTTGGATTCATTTCCCAAATGTGAAATTATTGAACCACAAAAACTGAGTTGATTCGAAATTCGATCGAAGCATTCGAGTTAGATTGGGAATCATGAGCAAATGTTTTTTGGTAGAGTCAGGAAAAGCTGTTTTCGCGTGGCGACTGCCATTGTCTACCGACGCGGTTTTTCCATGAGCCACGTTTCCCGCCAACAAACACGGAGCCCAGCTCGTAGGCACGGTAGTCTCGCAAATCCACACGCTGACTCGCTGTCGAAACGGTCCAGGCAGCGGAGGGAAGTACCTGTTTTTCCACCGGTCTATTCAAATATTTTCTACGCGAGCATCGCCGGCCGGTCGGTCGGTCGCACCGACAAACACGCGTCTATGTTATCCGGCACTTTTTGCCGCCACCATGTCGTGGATTGAAACCGCAAAGATCACAATAATTTTTCGGGCATCTGGTATCGGTTTCCGATCCGTGAAGCCTTTCAGGAAATCTTCTTTGGAGGAACCAGAAATGACGCACTGGTATTGGAATTCTGTTGAATGCTCTTGATACGTAGGATACACCTTGAACGAGTTCAGATCATATGTAATTGATTTCTTGAAAGGCTTCTCGGATTGGAAACCGATGTTCTGCCTCTACGTGGAAAAAATCAAGTTTTTGGAATATTTAGGCTCTCAGGTGGCAGCTTTCCGTTATGAGAGCAGTTCATGAATTCGTAGCTTTTTCAAGAATAATCGAGCGAGTCTATCTAGTACCTTGGAAATCTCCAGCGGTAGGATGGAATAGGCTGTAATTCGATTATTTTAACAAATTAATTATATCTTTCAGAAGCAGCTCGTTTTAGCCACAATCCATTATTAGTCAAAACTGATTCTAAGCTCCAGTTTTCGTTTCGAGCATCAATTTTGACACATTTTTCAAACATTTTTTTATTATATTTCAATACTGCTTGAAGGAAAACTTGTTTGGCTTTTTGTATCATTGTAACATTCAGAAGTTCTTACCCCATACTGTTTTTCAAGATCGCAAAAAGAGAAAAGAAAAAAATTGTTTGGTCGCAAGGACACAAAAAACCAAACGAATAAGACATTTTATTCTTCGTTCTAACCTTATTTTTGCGTTAGAAGTGTTGTTATGCTGTCGGCCTTCTAACCAGTTCTACTTCGTGCTGTTTTTGGCAACATTTCTCAACGTTTCGAAACCGGAAAACGGGCCTTCGTTCACGCAAGAGCGTGTGTGCAGACGCATCCACAAAACAACTCCAGGCGTCCACCGCCAAAACAATAGTCATCATGCATAGATGTAGCATAATCAATGTGACAAATCGACATACAAAAAACTTGGCGAAAACAGTACAAAAAACAGTCTAGAAGTTAGTGCGAACGGCACTTGACTTTGACTAAGAGGACGGCAAAAATAAACGTCATCCAAGGCTTGAGGAATGCATTTTCGAACTCACAGTCATTCTTGAAGTGTCTGGAGACAAATTCAGATTGTGAAAATAAAAAAAAAACGTTTTGTTTCAAGTTGGAGGTTCCTCTTGTTTTAAGCCAAGAAAAAAGGAAAGAGCGTTATCGTCTTACAAAACGCTCCAAGAAAAAGGCCTCAAACGGAATTTTTTTTTCGAAAATTTTTTTCTTTAAATGTCATCAGTTCTTCACATAGGAAGTTTTCTCTAAGTGATGAAACTATATTTTGAGAATTATGATAAATTGGAGATCAGAAAGCATTCTGAAAACATGTTTCATTTTTCGAATTTTTGATTTTCTTGGCACAGTATTCCTCATAGGATTTTTTTATTTTTTTAACTTAGCAAGCTTTCATTTAAACAATACCGAATTAAGAAAACTCAAGAACTGTTCATTTTCAAAATCACAGCCGTTTTCCGCGATTTTCCGAGATTTCAACGCAACAATTTTTTTCTAACCAACAGCACCGTTCTTTTTTTGATTGAGAACTGTTTTAAATTCATGCTGACTGATAATACGTCTGAAAAAACAACTCAAACAAAAGTTTCGTATTTTTACCCAAGCGTTCTTTCAGGTTTTCGCTTGGCAAATACTGCGAGAGTCGGTGACGGACGAAGAACTTCGCAACGTGCAAATCTCTTTGCGGACGTTCCACGGCGAAACCGCCGACCACTTGTTGAGTCGCCAGTTGCCCAAGGTATGTTTTGAGAAGTTAGGAAAAGGACAAGGTGTTTCGAAAGCGCTGAGAAGCTTCTCTTCAAGTGAAAAGTTCAGAAGTTGATATGAGCCTGTTTCGTAAGAAGCTATAGTAAAAGCTTTTTCCCCTCGAGTTGTGTCTGAAGTTGATTACAGTTTCAAAAATTAATTTTTTTTCAAAGTTCTATTTTTTTGTTCACAGTTCGAGGGAAAATCTATCCTTTGAACTTTATCTCATAAAACCCCATGTCTTACTTGAAATAATTCATTCACAGATCTATACTGCAAAAATTTAAGCTTCAAGTTACGGAAATGAAAACAGTTGAAAGTAGATCTAGAACATTTTCCGAATATGATGATCAGCAGTAAAACTGTAGTGAAGCGTTCCCGATCAATTCTAAGCTCACATTTTTACAAAGATGTTCAATCAACTTTTTACTACTTCTATGAACCGGAATGTGGGATAATACCTAAACTCTTGCCGAAAACGTTTTGACTGTAAAAAAGCAAAAAAGTCAATTCTAGTAACTCGTGTTGCTATCTGTTTGAGGCGTCACAATATTTGGCTTTCGAAATAACACAAACACTTAGAAAAACCACCAATGTACAGTAAGCCAGGAAACAAGCTTAAGTTGATGGATTGCGCAGTCTGGATCAGAAGTTGATCCAATTTTGCTTCATGACCAATTTAAACCGGGTGGCAAAAGTGCAAACGGGCGGCGACGTCCGATGACAAGCCTTTTGGAATGGGACATCCTCGGTTCTCACAAGGTTCATGCGTCACGTCGCGCTATTCTAGACATCAATTCGAAACGAATTATCGTAGGAAGTCACGCGTTACAGTGACTCAAAAAGGCTTTTCCTTGTCGGTGATTGGTTTATTTGAATGGTGGAGTGGAAAAATATGATTTAATACCGGAAGAACCATTTTAGGGGAATGAATCAGCTCAGTTAAAAATTTTACGTTTTTTTCGGCTTTGCTTAATTATTGACTGGCTTACTTCTTGTAGAAGCTTTCCAGAAAAATATTTCACTGTCAAGATTTTAAAGCACTTCACGGTTTCATGAATGAAACGTTTGGAAACCTATTCTGTATAGAAAGTCACTTTACATCACTTCAGGATCTTCACTCTCATAAATGCTACTTTCAGATTCGCCTCGTTGTCGAAGCTACCATGAGATACTTCAAGTGGGATCTGCTATCGGTCGAAAGCCAGCTGAGCAAGGCCAAGCTCATCCTGAGCCATCTCAAGAACAACGCCAAAGTTCGCAATTGGACGCTCCGTGAGGGTCGCCCCAATAGGTATATTTCCTTGCCATACTTGAACCAGTCCTTTCTGAGCATCAAAAACACAAACGACGTGTGCCAAAAGACCATTCCAATGCTGCGCCTTGCGGGACCAACAAAAACCGCCGGCAAACAAAAAATACAAAAAGAATGTTTGATGGTCAGCTTCTCGTGTTGCTGTTACAAAACCTGCTTCACCGCAAAACGCATTCCTGTCACAAAAGTGTCAAATTCATATGATTCGCAAAAAAATTCAGAAAGAAATTTTCATCGAGCATAATTTTTTTAGTTTTTTATTCATTCATATAGTAGTTAAAATGGGCAAGTATTGTTCTTGGTTTTCTCCCACAATTTGATTAAGAACAATTTTTTGATCTGAAGTTTGAATGGGCTTTTAAGAAAGAGCTAAAAAACGTACAGGATGCCGCAATCGTGCTCTGTGGCAAATTTATTTTCGAAACTTTTCGAAATTCCAAGTTTCATCAATTACGGACGAAAAACTGGAAAAAATACGCCCATTTTTGCTACCGTAGGTGTGAAGCCTCTGAACGACAAGTTATCGAAATTATTAGCCTAATTTCAACTGCATAATGGAACCGACATTTCAAGCCATTCCAAGTGGATTTTCACAATGTTTCGTGTCGGAACAAAAAAAATATTGTTTCAGAGTTGCTGCTAACACGCCTCCGCCGAACATGGATATGATCTGGAAACGTTACGTGGCTCTCCTCGGTCCAGCTGGCCTCGCCGCTGGAATCCTGCCTGGCCTCCAGCAGCCCATGTGCGGCGTTTCCGTCAACTCCAACATGCCCACTCTGGATCCCTCTTTGTTCAAAATTGAATCTTAATTATTAGATCTTCTTTTTCTTCTAAATCTATTGTAACCTTTCTGACAATCTCATGACCCGTATGCCATTAGTGACTTTTAAAACAAGACCTTAACTTAATGACGAATTGAGCTTAGTTTCCTTATTTTGGAACTTCTTGGACCTTTTTGATGGCAGTCTCTTATTTGAGTTTTTTGTGTCTTTTAATCGAAATTCGCTGTTTCTCAGAAACTTACTACAATCTCAAGAATCGCTTGAACTCATCAATACTGTAAATATAGTTTTTTTTCCAGCCTACTTCATCTGATAATATCACATTGATCATCAGCAATTATCGAAATTCTGCTTGGTATCTTTGGGCGAGACTGTCCTTTTCTGAACTTTCTCGTCGAGAATTTCGATACCAACGTCCTTCATGCAGAAGCTTCATCTCACCGTCCAGTCCGACTCCCCGGTACTTCATATTTCGAAATAACCTCAGATTTTGCAATTCTTCTACCGCTTTCCTTTTGTTGGCAGCTACCTCATTTGTCTGTTTCGAATCATGATTGAAATTATCACTCGAAATTGACTTCAATCGTTACTATCGAATTCTCAAACTTCCATTCCTTCACTTTCAAAATGTGTTCCACTCCCGGAAAGATTTTTTTTTTTTGAAATTCTAGCTCCCGCAGAAACTTTCCACCCATTCAGTCTCCTCAGAAAAAGCCGACTTGTCACAATACAGGACCCATTCATATTTATCAATTGCCGTGATTGACTTTAACTAATAATAAATAGACAGTGCGTTTGAAGACAAGATTCTTCGATTTGTTTACATGATAAAAATGAAACAAAAAAGAATATGCTTTCAAAATTTTGCTCAAAATGAAAAAAAACTTCAAAACCACAAAATGAATCCCATCTATGTTTTTTTCTTCTTCAGTTCAGCAGTTTCAGGCAAGCATAACAAAGTGAAAAACTGTGTATAATGAAAAAAATTATCTAAGTTTGACTTTTTGAAAAATTTTGAGAGCATTGTCTGAATCTTAATGGTTTTTAAAACTTGTTGAAAACCAAATTTTTAAAAACTTTTCAAACTTAAAACTCAATTTTTTTAGCCGCATATTCTAAACGGTCGTTCTTTGTTCTAATAAAGCTACCTCATTTTTAAAAATTTTTCAGTTTTTTGAAAAGAATTTCGGTCTAACAAACCGCTTCGCAACCGCGACGCGTTTGAAAAACTATTCGTAAGGAAAAGGGTGAGTAAAGTTTTTCATTGAACCAACGAAGCTGCCGAAAAATCGCACTTCCAATGTAAGGTTATTTTTTGATGGCTCGAATTTTTCTGAATAAATATCCATAAGGCTCGTGTGAAAATTTCTTCCAATGGCTTTTGAATGGAATTTAAGTTTCAACAGAATTTTTTTAAGCTTGTCTCGACTTTCCCAAACACAAATTCAGCATAGGTCGCCACTTCAAAACACCTTCATCAACCTTTCAGAAGTATTTTGATGGATCACCTGAAAATTCTGAATTTTGGAGCTTTTCTGACGCCATTGCCAGCCTATAGCTGGACAAAGATCGCAGTGGATTATCATGCCTGGACTGTTTGTTGTGAATAAACGGTTCGGATAAAGGCGTCAGAGAGAGGTCATGCCCGAGGCTCAAGGCGCAAGCACTAAGGTGTAATACCAACACACAAGCGGAAAGCGTCGTGACATAATAATCGCCGTCGAAGGTGCGCAAACACGAGCATGAACCGCCAAAACATCTTCATGCTGGGCTTCGCTCCAGGCCGTTCTCCAAAGAACACGCGTGGCCGGGGCCGCTCACTCGGCTTTTCCAGCATCCACTCAAATATTTGCGCTCTCCACTCCCACATTAGTTTTGTATTTTGCATATCAGCTATGGCACGGAGGTCTCGAAAACCGTCTCGAATTCCTCGACTTCTTGAGGGTCGTCCGAGAACTGAGGGACCGTGTACATGATTTTTTGGGTCGAGGCATCCTACTCTATCTGAAGGATTTAGTGAGACCGGCTCTACTGTTAAGATTACTCTGTTGCTGCTGACAACTGGCCTGACATAAAAATATTACTGACATCAAACTTTTGATTCCTCAACTTTCCGCAATTTTTGGAGAAAATAAAAAAAGAGAAGGTGCCAATTCTTTCGAAGCATTTGAAGAAAAGTTGAACTAATCAATATTACCAAAAAGTTCTCTTTATCTGTTTTTCCGTGAAGCAATTTTTGCGAAACTGAAAAGTTGCAATTTCATATTTCCAAGCAAGTTTGATTTCAAATGACTGAAAAAAATTTTTAAAAAAATCTTTTTGAACTTTTTTTCCGACCCAAAAGCGATCTGCGCGACAGCGCTGGTGGAAGCCTGAAAGGTCGTCAAGTAGTTCAGTTTATCAGTAAAAAAATTCCATCAGTTTGAAAAAAATAATGAAAATTTATTAAATGAGATCATTAAAAAAAGTTTAAAGCCCACTCCAACACTGAGATCATAAGTGAAAAAAATTGAAATGTACAAAAAAGTTTTCACAGCTCCTTTTCAGTTGGAACTTGAAGACATGATTGATCAGAGTTTCGCAGGACTCTTTGTCGACATAAAAATGTCTGGAAGAAAAAAATTATCAAAGAAGATGGTGAATGGACTCACTTTGATGTCTTTTCCAGAACGAAGAAACCAATTCTCTAGTTGGTCCTCATACTGTTCTAGCATTCCCTCACAGCCTTGTTTTATTTGAGTGATCTAAACGAGGAAAGTTTTTGATTTTGTTTATATATTTCAGTTCAAACTTCAGCCGATGGTTGTTCAAACATCTCGAAAGGCATTCCGAGCTCTACCTGAAATCAATTTTTTTGAAAAATAAAAAGGATAACTTTCAAACTTTTTTTGAGGTTTTCAAAAAAAAAATTGCTGATCAGAAATTTTGTCACGCACTTTAAAGCTTCCAACCTAAACATTAGTGAAGGTACCTCGAAAAAATGCGTTTACTGGTATTTTTCAAATTGTGTGGTTTTTTTCCGAATATATAGTACCATCGTAAAAATACGAAAAAATGGGATTTCGATCACAACTTTCTTGTAAGAAATCCAATCTTTCTGATTTTTCTGGGGTTGTGAAAATTGTTATTTTAAACTCTCTGATAAAATTATAGATCACAAAAAACAAAACGCAGCTTCAGAAACTTTCACAAAGATTGCATTCCTTACAAGAAAGTTGTGACCAAAATCTGTTTTTCCGTTTTTTTTTCGATGCTGTACATATCCAAGCTTCAAGACAATGCAAGGAACAGCTTCGGAAAATAATCTTCCAGATCTTCAATTTGAGAAATCGAAGCAATCTAGTAAAGTAAAAGAAATCGAAATCGTTCTCATTCCATCAACAGCACGCCAATTACTTTCGCCACTTTTTGAACTGGACAACAAAAACGGTGAATGCGCCATTTCGACGTTTCGAAGAGCCGCCTGCCCATAATTGACCGTTGCGCGATGCGACTGAGTGGTGTCTGTTGAGACGCAAAGTATGGGAAAAAACTCGAAACCCATGTCCGTTGGTGCGGAAGCCGACGAATATCGTGGACAACCCCAACCGATCCGGCGATGCAAACCAGTTCAGTTGGCAACAACCGAACATGGGTTGAGAGGCGCGAGAAGTCCATTATACTCATCATTATAATCGTTCGCCCGTACCGGTGTTGCGAGTTGTGAAAACTTCGGCCATTTCGGCGGCTCTTTGGGGATGATCCAATGAAGTCTATGAACTAGTCAGCAAGTCAGGGATTTGCGAGAACTTGCGAAAAAAATATTAATGGATTATTTTTCTTATCTATGAAAAAACTTTATATTTAAACTTATCGAATGAGTAACTTACGAGAGGAGTCATTTCACGTTGCGGTTGGGAATTCTCTGAAATTTGAAAGCCCCTTGATGTGCTACAAGTAGATTATGAAAGTCATAACCTGCACAAATTTCGAGTTTTTAAGAAATAAAGTGTCCTTCCCTATAAACTGAAAAGTTTTGCGGGTTGAATTTTCATAATTTACTTTGGTACATCAAGAAGCTTTCTCTAACCAAAAAGGAAAATGACCTTTCCTCTCAGATCCGAATTCAGGATGTATTAGCTGGAAGACACCTACTGAAACATGAAAATCCTTTTTCATCCGGAAAAATTTCTTATTGCGATTTATTAAGCTCAGTAACCATAGCAAATTTATTGTGTCAAACCTTGAAAATTTGCCGTTTTTTCAAAATGTACAATCTTTTTCATCAAAAAGCAATCATTTCAGTTTGAATTCTGAATTTTTCGAGATTGCCTCAAAAATAAGATAGGCGCTCTAGAATCCTTTTTGAATCTCTCAAAGGCCTGTCAAAAAAATTTTTTTCAGTATAAAAAAATTGTCAAGTTCAATAAAGCGAATTTTTCTAACTGTAATAAGTCATATGAATAGCTCATAACTATGAAGGTTCCGTTATTTACAACAAAACGAAGACCTAATTTTCATAATGAAACACACGAGAAAGTTAGGAACTTTAGTAAAAAAACGGTCTGACTTTTTTTGAATAATAGTATTTCTAATGAAGACAGACAGTTTTTTTCTAATCATCAAGACTGGATTACCGATAAAAAAATTATTTCTAATTGTAAGATCCTATGCTCTCTCAGAAAAATAAGAAAATTGAAGAACCATAGTTTTTATTTTCACGGAGCCTTTGAACGTTCGTTATAGACAAAAGGTTTTCATTTAACTGCCTTTTTCCGTCCTTTCACCGGCCTGCATCTACCTTTTTTTGATCCTTCAGAGAAACAGAAAATGTTTGAAATCGAAAATAATCTTTACCAGTGACTGTGTATAAACCGAAATTTGCTACTTAATGGAATCTGAAATAATCAATGTCCGAGACTTTCAGAACCCTTTTTGCACCCTCACTCTTACTTTACCCTTTTTGCAGCCCCTCACTTTTTTTTCAACCTTTTTTCGAGGCTTTTTAGCCTACCAAGGCTCAATAAAGGCTGCAAAACTGAACCCATTTAGCGGCCACTTTGCAGTCATTACCTTTTTGCACCCGTTTTTCACACCCTACTTTAGCAGTGATATTTTCTTAATATATTTCAAATTACCGCTCCAAATAAAAGCATGGTATTACATGGAAATAACAAACCTGAACTCCTCTTTCTTTCAGTTCCTTGATAGTATTCAAAGTTTTTGACTGCTCTTTGGAAAACCTTTCAACTCCTTTCTTTTCTTTGTGAATCTTAACATTCGTAAAATTACACGATAAAATATTAAAAATTTGAAAACCTTATATTGATTCATTACGTTGCAGAAACCATCAACTGCGTCGATAAAATTAGATGAAGTTTTCTGAAGCTTCAAATGAAATTTTAATACGATTTTTAAATACCGAATAAACACGCGATAAAGCATTTTCAAGCTCATCTGAAACGATTGAGCAGATTTCGCATTTTGTGGGGTTGAACTCGCTGTCTGAAACTCAGAAGCTCAAAAAAATATTGGAACAAACACTTACCAGTGTTGATTTCATCCGCAAATGCTAATGAAGAAATTATTGCCAGAAAAATTTATCAAGAGTCGCATAATCATTGTTGGAAAAAGCATTTGGAAATTACCTGAAAAAAATTTATTTATTGTTTTCTTGAGAAAAAAATAAAATTTTTGAAAAAAAGAAATACCATAAAACAAGCGCGTTAAAAGAACTTCCGGCGTCTCATCGTGGCGAGACCTTGCGACAGATGTGCGTGCGCCTTTAATAAGAACATGGGATTAGGAGTCATTCCGATCCGTTTTTTTGAGTGGTTCAAAAAGCTTTTTGTTTATTAAAGTGTCGAAATAAAGAAAGAAAAAAATTTATATCGCTAAGCGGAACCCGTGGAAGGATAGAAACACGTTGAATACATCAAATTTCATGCAAGGGTCACTTTTCCGCCAATTCGGTCAATCTGAGCCGTTTTTCGCTTCGGCTGGGATTCGACAAAGACGGCTTTTATTGATTCCATATCGACTTCAGCAAAATCTTCTCCTGGAAGTAATTTTCATAAAATTCAAATAATTCCCCACCAAGTTTTTTGTTCCTGGACACCAAAAACTGAGCGTTGGTCAGAAGATGTTGAAGATCAGCCCCGGACCAGCCTTCTGTATGGTTAGCGATTCCATTGAAATCAACGTCGTCGGATATTTTGATTCTACTTGTAAGCACTTTCAAGATACTAAGACGATCTTCCTGGAATCAACGGACTATTTCAACTTCGAAACAGTAAAACAACCTTGCTCGGGTAGCTGCACTCAATGTGATGGTCGAATCTTCCAGGACGGAGAAGAGCTTGATCGATCAAATCGATACGGCTTGTGCAACCGAGGACGATGACTCCTGTGTACTTTTGTTGACAACTTTTTGCGATTTAATCAGTGAAAAACAGTCTTACGAATGTCTCGGCTGCACAGTAAAAACAAAAACTGGCCGATTTTTATTTTCCATTTTCCTCTATATATTTGAAAAAAACCTTTCATATTGCCTTCAGCTCCATCGAGTTCCGTCAAGAACTGATTTACGACCCGGTCAGTGACTCCAGTAGAATCACTTCCTCGTTTCGGGGCCAGAGAGTCTAATTCATCGAAGAAAAAGAATACAAGGAGCGCAGGATTTGGCCCTAAAAGAATATTGCAATTTTTTTATTTGGAAATATTATCTCACTTCTCGAAAACGGCTCTCACATTTTCTTCACTTGCTCCAATGTATTTTGAGAGAAGCTCGGGACCCTGTGAAGTAATCAATTACAGAACTTTTTTGGAAACTCCTGTTGAGTTTTTTAAATACCAGAATCATTTGGAAAAGTGAGAATTGCAAATTAAAGTGAAACAGTGAAGTATGGCAGAGTGTTGAAAAGTTGAAATTTTTTTATCCTTGAAGGCTTGAGTGAAAAATTGATTTTTCTTTATGTGTTTTTTTATTTTTTTATATGTGTAAATCCACTTCTTGTCGTTTGTAAAAATTACAGGTAATTAGCGAATTTGAGTTTTCTCATTTTGTTAGTCAGTTCTTTGAAAATGGTTTTTCCGACTTACCAAGCAAAATGAGACAAAAATGGTATCAAAGTTTATTTGCTGAAGTTTCACTAACTAGGGAACGTGAACTTTTGAGGAAATTTTGCTGAAGTGCATTTCTGGGCCTCCTAATTGCAGAAAAAAAAAATTTCGCAATAGATCTCGTCTTTGATTTGTGAAGCTTCAAAGTTTGTAAAATATTCAAATCTCGACATAAAAGCGCTATTTCAAGCTTGTGAAGCGTTCCAACTTAAAAATCAGTCCTCTAATGAAAAATATTTTTTTAAATCTGTGGGTCCTAAAGTTCACTTCAGCATTTTTCAAATTTTATCAATTTTTATGCCTTCATCACTGAGAAAAAGTTCCTGACCAGTTTATACTCACCTTCACATTAATTGTATGATACTTCGTGAAACCAATAATAGCATTGGCCAAAAGTGTCTTCCCACATCCGCTCGGACCATACAACAAAATTCCTTTGCTTAGTGGAATTCCTATCTCTTCGAAGAGACTGGGGTACTGAAAAAAAAAACGATTTTTTGTGAAGTTGAACACGTGTTTTTCACCTTTTTCGGCCATACTATTATCTGTTCCAACTGTTGTTTTTGCGCGTTCATTCCCCCAACGTCATCCAAAGATGGCAAACTGTAAGCAGCATTCTTCCAAAACGCTCTTTGTTCATAATAACTAACATTTCATCGACTTTCTCCTCGTCACCCATTTTATTTGTCACAAACGCTTCCAAGGCGTTTTTCACGTCAGCCTTTGAGATTTGTTTTGATCCTGAAGATTTTTCGATAAAATGATTATTTATTTCAAAAATATCACCTCTAAGACTTGCTTCGACGCTCGTCATCTGGGCAATTTTGCGGAGTTCAGCAATATTGTATCCGTCAGTTTGACTCGAAAAATATTCGAAATCGCATGGTTCATCAATCCACTCCCTTAAGAGCTCCCCGCGGTCATCCTGTAAGCATTTGGATGTGGAAATTTTTGGTTATTTTTTTTTTGCTTCCGCTTCAGCGCTGATACAGCAGAATATTCGATTTTTTTTTTTAATCAAAAATTCTAACGCTTCTCAAAATTCTTATGTGATGGTAGGAAGAGTGAAAGCAATTACTCGGGCAAAGTCGGAACTGTGGATAATGGTCGTCAAAAAGGAGATGCACAAAAAAAAGTTGCCGAAAGACAGCAAAAAAAAGTCCCATTATCGAGTCTTCTCTTTTTTCCAGAACTTTGAAAGCTCAAAAAGTTAAAAAAAAGGGAGAGGCAGCAAAACTGGCGCATAAAAGCCGATGAAACGGCGCTACAATGCCGCAAAAAAAGAAATTTTTGTGACCCTGAAAGAAGCATTTCTATGGAGCTTTTTTCCGTCTTTTCCGACTTTGCCTATGTAATAAGAAAACTTGAAACGGTAAGATGAATTGAGCAGAAAAATTTTTTTAATTGAAAAAAAGGTACCATGATTTTTTTCTTTTTGATTTTGAGCTTTCGAATTTTTTTGTTTTGAAAGACGGTAACTTTTTAGAAAATTTATAAGAAACTTTTTCATAACTTTGAAATCTTTTGAAAACGGGAAGTTCCCCTAGCACAAATTGGATTGAGAGCAGGATCAACAAAAAAAAGAATGAAAAAAATAAAGTTTTAACTTTCTCAGAAAAACCACAAAAAAATTAGAAAAAAATCAATTGATTCAAAAAAATTCTTCCTTTTTTTAAATTTTAATTTGTTGTATTCGTATTATTTTTTTCAAAAAAATTACAACTTCGATGACTTGAAAAAAATTTGAAATGAAGAAGCATAATAATTCCCAAACACAACACAACTATGATGAATTGATTTTTTTATTCTTTTTATCTTTATTTCCTATCTAAAAAAATGAGCATTTCTACCGCGAAAATTTGGTCCAGCCGACCCCCGATGTCCACTAATTCGTACAGGTAGCGCTAGGCGACGTCGCCCTTACGCCAAACGAGGTCAGTCGGACCGTCGAATGGCCTGACGCCACACGGACGTCTCCTCACCATTCTTGTTCTCTATTCCACTCAGACTCTTTCATACTCCCATGGTTTGTCTATATCCAACGCTCACACAGAAAAAAAAATCCTTCTAATCCCATGGCAACCAATTTGAAGTTGAAATTTGCAGAAACATTAGAGTGAATCAAAATTTGTTTAGTTTCGTAAAGATTCATCCGGAAACTTTTCTAATCGTTGAAAAAAACTGTAACTCTTCTGCATTGACACTGCTCAAGTGAAAACTTTTACCATTCAACTTTTATTCTGTTTCTGATTTTTTTTTTTTTCTTGTACCCGCGAGTCTGTTTTCCTACTATTTCGACAGTGATTTTAGAAAAGTTTTTTTTCAGGATTCATCATGACTAAAAACGTCATATCGCCCTTTGGCGAGCCTCTGAACGAAGACGCAAAAAAACTAATCAAAGAAATCCGCCTAAAAATCAACCAGCCGATTCACCCCAATGTGATATTCATAACATTTTGAGCAAGTCTAATCCTAATTTTTCAGTTTGACACAGATTTTAATATCTATCGCTTTGCTCTAGCTGCAGAAAAAGTCTACAAAAAGGATAAGGAGATCATTTCACATGCTTCGAAGGCTTTGAACAATCATTTGAGAATCAGAAAAGCTCTCAATTTGGTAGACCTTTTTAGATGAACTAAAACGAAAGCGTATAGTTTTAGGATGCTGAGAAAATTCTGAACTTTGACGAGAATCCGATTTTTCAAAAGAAACTCATGCCCAGAGGGGATATTTCTGACAAATGTGATGGTCACAATCGCCTTCTTTGGTACATTGAATACGCGACAATAACTGTCGAGGTTTGATTTTCTATTTTTTCTGGACGTTTTTGGATATCTTTCAGAGCATCGCCCATTCTATCCAAAGTTCACAGGCTTGTAAGTACCAATTCTGGCAGTTTGAATATATGCTACGACGGGTAATGGAACAGGTTCGTTTTTTTTTTCAAAAGTGAGGCTGTAATTTCTTTCTTAGGAAGAGAAAAGTGGAAAACTGAGCTCCCTGAGGCACATAATCGACATGAACGGCTATGAAATAAATCCATTCACGATGCTTTTTGTAACGAGCGGCACTTTGGCCTACTATTCTCAGTTGTTTCATTACGAGAACTATCCAGAACTGGTTATTTTCTCAAAACCTGATTTCAAAAGTTTGTCTTTTTTCAGGTGACGCCTGTTGACATGGTGAACATTGCCAAGTGGATTCATGTCCCTTACAAACTGGCCAAATCTATGATGCCAGCTGGATTTGCTGACAAGTTCCGTCTGCACGACAATCAGTATTTGAAAAATCTGACGGAAGATATTCCTCTCGAGTACATTCCTACGAGTTTAGGGGGAACTGATAATGTGAGTTCACTTTTTTGAAGAGAGTCCTTTTATCGAGCCTTCCACTTATCTGGGATTTTGAAGGTTCAAGAAATGGTGGAAAAGGGAGAGGCAGCAAAAATGGTACCTAAGAGCCTATGAAATGGCGCAAAATAGCAGCAAAAAGGAGCCTTTCTCACCCTAAAAAGAGAATTTCCATGGAGCCTGACTCTAGCCTTTTCAACTTTTCCTATGAAAGACAAGTTAAAAATATTGAAAAAATCATAAATGAACACAGTCTAGAGCTTCGAATTCCCTGTACTTCTAACTTGAACCTCACTTATTCAGACTTACAAGTGCATCGGAGCAGAGAAAGTCGAGCCAAAAGATTACTGGACCCCAAGCAATACGGAGTTAGTAAACGCTTTGGAAACTTTCCACGTTCCTGCGAGAAAAACGCGACACATCACTTTGAATTTGCAAACAGCGAAAACCCTCAGCTGGTACTTCCGAACAGACGGAGACATTTATTTTGGAATTTTCTATGAGGTCGGTTTTTTTCTCAAATTTTTTTGTTATATAATTTTGAAGGACGAAGAAGAGTTCAAGTCGCGCAAAGAATCCGAACTGAACATCGACGCTTTGGAAATGGTTTACCCGTGGTTGAAGCTGAGCGCCAAACTTGTTCACGAAATGGACACTTTGAAATGTGAACGCGTTGGAAGGTATCGTAATTAATTTTCTCAAAGGTTGCTTTAGTGAAAAAAAGCGTCCACTAGGTCGAAAATACCTAAAAACTTGATTTTCAGAAATTCAAAAAAATTTAAGATCTGCTCAAAATAAATTCGGACACATTGAGAATGGATTTTGAAATCCCTGCTGCATGAAACTTTCGGATATAGCCCTTCAGTCTTTTCGAAACCAGTTTTCCAAAAAAAAGCGGATTCTGCAGTACAAAAAAGGTGTTCGAAAAATTCCCGCACTGAGTCAAAGTTTATGAATATTTTTCTCTTTGCAAAAAAATGGTGTAAGAATCTCTTCGTCAAACTTTGGAAAATAAATTAAAACTATGAAAGTCACTCAAGTAAAGTTTCCAGGTACCACATTGTATTCTGCAATAAACATTCATGGATTTCTCGACGCAACGTTGATTTCTTTGCCCAGGTGAGTTTCATTAGTTAATTAAAAAAATTCAGGTAATTGATGAAGAAGGAAACGCTAAGCGACTGCATTCTGATGAAACTCTGTCATCCACATCCGTTCGAGTTTTCAGCTAATCCCAAGAAAAAAAATTGCAAAAAAATGAAATTTTTTCGAGTTTTATATTATGCTTTCATTGTTACTTTAATGGCCTAGTCAAGTCATATTAAAGTCCAGAAATCTTCTAATAAACTGTTTAAGTTCCGAGTGTATGCCGAAACAAGGGTTTTGCATTTTTGTAAAGAAATATTTGAGTTAGTTCGAATAATTTTGTCTTGAATTATTGAATTTTGAATTTTCATTAATATGATTTACTCAAAGTAAGCAGATTTCATTTGCCTTTTTTGGCATTACTCAAAATTAGATCAGAATATCTGAAGGCTCAATTGAGTCATTTAAAAAAAGATCCAGACTGAGAAAAGAGACAGGCCACGCCCTTTTGCGTTCCAAGTTAGCCATAAATCGGCCAGAAAGCTCGTTGAACTGATGAAACATTTAACTAACCGCAGTAAGGGCGCTCAACTCAAAACGAAATGAAACGAGCGGCCGTGAACGGATGGCGACGTCGACAAAACGTTGATTCAGAGACGAAAGCCGTTGCGCCGCCATCACCACACTCACTTTCGTAGATTGCAATTGCCGGCATACCGCTGAAACTGTTGAATATGTGAATTGATAGTGATCAAATAATAGATCACGTGAGAGATATCCCAACTAAGAGTATAAAAGAAGTCGGGAACTCAGATCTTGATTGCTCGTACCGCCCACCATTCGCCTCCAGCTCCTCCGTCGCTTCCAGCTACGGACTAATCGACAACTACCTCTCCAATCTCCACTCTCCATCTTTATTCACCACTGATAATAAATAAGTGGCGAGTACTCTTCTTTCTGACACGCACACAAAGATACATTAAAGTGGCGATCAGTAAGCGGACTAACTAAAAGAAAGAAATAATGACGGAAAACCCTGTTGTGTCATCAAACTCATACCTGACGAAAGGACCCGGTGCCTACGTACCGGGCACGTCATGGGAAATATATGAGAAGATGTTCAACAATTTTCTGAAGATGCGTAAAGTAACTGTTGATACGGAAAAAGCGTGCATATTAGTATGCGAAATAGGTGTCACAGTTTACGCAGAAATAGAATCCCTGTCTGATAAACCTATAGAAAATCTGTCGTACGACGAGTTGATAATTTTGCTCAGGAAGCGTTACATGCCAAAGAAATTGACGCTGGCAGAAAGAGTGAAGTTATTAAACATTGTCCAAACAGAGGGTCAAACAGCAGAGGAATTCTATACGGAATTAAGAAAGATCGCAACCCACTGCGAATTTGACAAAGTAACAAATGTATTAGATATGATGGTTACAATGTTATTCGTAAGAGGGTTGAGAGAGGAAAAGGTCAGAGCGCAGTTGTTGAACAAAGTTAAGCTTACGGGAGCGGAAGCACTCGAAGAGGTGGCTGTGTTAGCAGCCGCGAAAAAAGAGAGCCAAAAGATGACTAAAAATAATGCCACAGTAAAACATTCACTTCTCACGGTTAGTCAACCGGTAAGACGAGATGGCCAATACAAAGATAAGGCTAAAATGAAGTGTTTTTACATGTGGAAAAATTAGGTCATATGTCCAGAGATTGCTATAGAAACAAAAAAAGTCAAGCAGTCAACATAGTAAATCACGTTCCAAAATGCAAGGAAACCATAAAAGAAAACATTTCCAAAGTAAAAAATCACACTATGTCACTAATGATCGAGAATACGACAGTGAATCAGTGGATTTCGTAAATTTAGCGGAAATGGAAAATGTGGTTAATGCCATTTATCCGGCATGCATGGTACCTATAAAAAGTAGACGGTACGAACGTTGATTTTTGAACTGGACACCGGCGCTTCCATGAGTATAATTGGTATCTCACAGTGGGAACTTCTGGGAAAAACCAAGACTCACACCCGTTGCGTATACCGCGAAGGCTTACGGGAACTCTCGAATTGAATTCAAAGGAAAGTTCAGTTCGTGGGTTGAGTTCGAGAATAAGAAAGCGCACGTAACACTGCATGTGTTAAACACCAAGGCCGTTTCTCTCTGTGGCAGAGACCTAATATGCCAATTAGGACTCGATGTCACAAAACTGTTAAGAAATCTGGTAAATGAAATGCCTAAGATAAACTCTGTTCAAGAGGTTGAGGCAGTGTTAACTGATTACCAAGAGATTTTCGAAGACGGCCTGGGTACGTGCACAAAAGTCAAAGCAAAATTACATGTGAAAAAGGGGGCAATGCCAAAATATTGTAAAGCCCGACCAATCGCATTTGCTTTGAAACCACAAGTTGAGGCAAATATCGATGAAATGGTACAGAAAGGAATCTTAGTACCAGTCGAACATGCAGAATGGGCCTCAGCTGTGGTGGTGGTTCCGAAACCAGGGGGTAAAGTAAGAATCTGTGGAGATTTCAAACAGACAATAAACCCCTGGCTAGACGTGAACCAGTACCCGCTTCCGAAACCGGAAGAGTTATTTCATGCACTAAATGGTGGGCAGAAATTCTCAAAGATCGATCTGAAAGATGCGTATCTGCAGTTGGAATTGGAGGAAGAATCTAAACAGTATTTGATATTGAATACATTGAAAGGACTGTTTAGATATGAAAGACTTCCTTTTGGCGTAGCATCGGCTCCTGCAATATTCCAGAAAACAATGGAAACGATGTTGCAGGGGGTTCCCGGAGTTATAGTCTATCTGGACGATATCACTATAACCGCGCCATCCGACGAAGAGCACATAAAACGATTAAGAGAAGTGCTAAAGAGAATTAAAGACTATGGTTTTCGGGTGAAGAAAGAGAAATGCGAATTTCTCAAACCGGAAATAGAGTACCTGGGACATATAGTAAACGCCGAAGACGTAAAAAACGTCCTCAAAAAAGGTAGAAGCCATAGTCAAGATGCCACCACCAAAGAACTTAAAAGAATTACAATCGTTCTTAGGCATGATAACTTATTACGGGAAGTATATACCAAACCTGTCATCGGAGAGCGCACCGTTAAATCGGTTGCGACAGAATGACGCTGAGTGGGTTTGGGGAGAAAAGGAGCAGATGGCCATAGATAAAATAAAGAAAATACTGGTAGACAGTGGAACACTGGCACACTACGACCCTACAGAGCAGATAGTGCTCGCGACGGACGCGTCGGATTACGGGCTAGGTGCAGTGATATACCACAAGTACCGTGATGGTACAGAGAAAGTGATAGCGTACGCATCTAGAACTCTCACCGGATCCGAGAAGAATTATGCGCAAATTGAGAAAGAAGCGTTGGGCATTATCTATGGCATTGAGAAATTTAACCAGTATTTGTACGGAAGGAAGTTCCTCCTGTTGACCGATCATAAACCGCTCCTAAAGATTTCGGTCCGAAGGAAGGATTGCCGGTGATTGCAGCAAAAAGACTGCAACGCTGGGCATTAAAGCTGATGACATACAGCTACGAAATAGAATACCGAAACACAGAGAAGTTCGGTAACGCTGACGGATTATCAAGGTTGCCCAACCCAGACGAGAGAGTGTCTGAAGATAGTCAGCAGGTAGAAGGCGAAATACTCGCTCTACACGAAGAAGCCATAGCAGGTTTACCTGTAACGGCTGAAGAAATAGCTAAAGAAGTAGCTAAGGATTCTGCACTGCAGAAAATTTTGCCTTATGTGCAAGGTAGAAAACCGTGGCCAGAAAAGTGCACGGACGAAGCGCTAAAACCTTACTGGAGAGTAAAGGATTCGTTAACCTTGCACGACGGATGTATGTTAAAAGGTACGCGAGTGATTATTCCACAGACCTTGAGAGAAAGGGTATTAATGGATTTGCACAGTACACATGCAGGAATAGTGAGAATGAAAGGTCTTGCTAGGATGTACATGTGGTTTCCCGGAATTGATGAAAGAATAGAACGGGAAGCTAAAACTTGTACACAATGTGCTGAAACCGGGAGAGAAGAAACCCGGGTACCATTAAAGATGTACACAGGAAAATATGAAAGTGATGGAAAATTACCGTAGAAGAACTACCGAATACCATGACAGAAAGGCCAAATCGAAGGAGTTCCAAATAGGAGAAATAGTCTTTGCCCGAAACTACCGAGAAGGAGAGAAATGGGTAAAAGGGGCTATTATAGAAAAGAAAGGAACTCGATGGTTCGTAATTGCAGTACCGGGTTTAGGCAGGTGGAAGAGACACTTGAATCAAATGAAGAAGTCTGTGTCTAAAAGGGAAGGAGACTCCGGAAATACCGAAATAGTAATAGAAAAGCGTACAGTAGTACAGCAGAAGGAGCCGCTAATAAAACCGACCTTACCAGTCAGAACGTCTATCAGGAAAAGACAACCACCAGCCCATTTAAAAGATTATGTGACTACGTTACCTCAAAGCGCGAAAGACAAAGTGAAAAAGAGTGCGTTTTTGAAAATGAGATGATCCACCACGTAAAAGGGATCTGGAATCATCGAAGTGGAAATGAGAGTAAAAAAAGTCGTAGTAAATCCGCGTGAAGATGGGAGGTGGATAAGAAAAGGGTATAAAAAGACATGATGGAAACAGATAGACACAAGAAGATGTCGGACAAACCATCTCGCAAGAAGAGCAAGCACCACGAAGGACGACCGCCGGCCGCGAAAAAACCTCGCGAACAAACGCCGCCGGAACAGCACCAAGAAGAGTTACCTTTCGTGCCTACATACTTAAGACTCCACCGGATCCAACAAAGTTTGAACAGCTTGAAAGATCAAATGGAGGTACGGTCATTTCCTAAGATAAAGATATCTAAAAAAAGGAAAGGAGTGTTGAATATGTGAATTGATAGTGATCAAATAATAGATCACGTGAGAGATATCCCAACTAAGAGTATAAAAAGAAGTCGGGAACTCAGATCTTGATTGCTCGTACCGCCCACCATTCGCCTCCAGCTCCTCCGTCGCTTCCAGCTACGGACTAATCGACAACTACCTCTCCAATCTCCACTCTCCATCTTTATTCACCACTGATAATAAATAAGTGGCGAGTACTCTTCTTTCTGACACGCACACAAAGATACATTAAAGAAACTCACACAATTTTTCCTTTCTTTATCAAATAGAAAAAAATGAACGACTTCGAAGCAAACCTGCGACGACCTTCTCGACGTGAATTTGCCGCTGTTCAAGGTCAAAAAACGGCAAAAAACTGTCCAGATCGTCCATTATAAGAACGCTGGGACTTTTCTGGCTTAGTTTCCCCAAAGTTGCTGATAACTTCTTCTCAACATTTTCTGCGCTTTTCCCTGAAATTCATCTTTGAAAAAGATCGATAAAAGGGATTAAGGCAAAATGCTTACCTTTCAGCTGAGCGCAATCCAATCTTTGGCTATAAAAGACCATTGAATTGTGGGCTAGACGTCTGGCCAGTCTTTTCAGTAAGCTTGTCTTTCCATACCCTATAAGAAGCTTTTTACGTCTTTCACTTTGCTGTTTCACCTTTCCCTCCCAGAATTAAGCAGTGAACTCGTTCTTGATGCTCTAAGAGAGAAACTATATCGTGCAAATGTTGAGAGTGGCCTCTGAAAAAATATTCCTCATTTGTTTTCTGATAAACTCACCCAATATGAACTAGTTTTATTTTGCTTTGTAACCCGTAGTTTTCTTGAGGATCTGTCAGTTCTTGTTTCCGTTCTTTCTCTCGTATCTTCTCAGATGAAGGATCTTTTGATTTGCTCTCGATCTCCTCCTGAAATCTCTCATAGACAAAGAAAGGAGTTTCAGATCACTTTGATGATGACTTCGCAATTTTCTTGTACCAGAAAACATGCTCTTTTGTAGTTGGAAAACTTGAAATCCGACTTTGAAGGTCGGACATGGACTTTGACAGCGCTTCCTGAACCGGTTTCCATTCTCAGTCAGTCGGATCTTTTACCTCCCAAGGGTATTTCGACGGTCTTTCCCGCGTATGATAGTAGAAGTGGATGAACTGTCGTTTTTGCTTTCAGAGATTTTATGATCTTTTCGTTTGCAGCAAAACGTCGCATCCAATCGTAGGTCTGACATGGTTTTTTGATCAAATTACTCAGAGTTCCATCCTCTAATATGATTCAAGAATTGTCATACCTTCGAATCAATTGTTACTATAACACTTTTGGCTTCTCGAACGTAAGAGGCTGGTAAACTTGTTAGCTCCACAGTAGTATATTCTTCGAGGTTCAATCCTCCGTCGATGGATTGGATCTTATCACCCAGCTAAAATCAGTATTGAAACTTTTCATTTCACTCAATCAACCTGAAGGGACTGGAATAAACGCAAAAGCGCGCTGTTGAAAGAATCAGACCGTCGAATTTGCCTGGTGGGAGTCCGGTACAAATAGGCGAAATTTGGAGGTTCCTCCTCATTTTGGTCGGCATTAATTTCCACGACTCCGAATTCAGGAGCAACAGTGTTTTCTGAACTGCTTTTTTTGCAAGTTTTGAAAGTCTAACTGACCTTTCCCGATGCAGTAAATTGTTGACGGTTGAATCAGAGAAACTTGATTTTTGATCCATGCTTCCACAATTTTCCTTGGTAGAATCCTGGTTTCAAGCACAGTTTGTTCACCTTCCATAACATATTTGGAAGTGAAAGCGTCAGTGCTGAGAGAATCGATAACCTAAAAAAATTTTTTTGATTCGAATGAATGCGGAAAATTACCTTTGAAATTTGGTTTTCAAAAACTTTTCCGGTGGTAGAGACGACTTCTGCTGTTTGTACATGCAATTCAGAGTCTTCGTTAAGTAGAACCGGATGTGGAGTAGGTGGCGTTACACTTACTTCAACATGAAATCGATGAGAACACTGTTTCAAGTTTTGCTGTGTTACCTATTCTGAGCTGTACGTGAATTCCTCTGGATACAAAATAAGGTAGAATCATGTTTTTTGAGACCAGCCGCACTTGATTCAAAAACTCATTTTCTATTGTAGAGTGAGATTCCAACTAAATTTTTATTATATTCGAAATTAAAAAAAACGAGAACTCACAATAATTGAGTAATCATTTTCGGAAAGAGGGCATACTTCTACATGAGTACAATGCGTCGTATTTTCGATTTTTTCGAGAATCACCTGAAGTTGAAGGACGACTTTATATATTAGTCAGTTTACTGGAAGCAACCTCTTCACCTTCTCCCAAGCCAGAACTGGCGGCGAGGACGGAGTTTATGTAGACATGGGAGAATGGAAGTTTACCGAATAGTTGAACGTCGCAGTAGAGTTTTGGGTTCCGGCAACTTCTCAGCCGAAAATTGTCCACGAAGCTTCCGCCAAGTGGCTAGAAATTGCTATTTTATAGAAATTGATATCAAGTTTTTATGATAAATCAAACCTATTTGGTGGAAGTCTGAGATTGGGAAATTTTCTTAAAACCTTCATGGCCAGAAAAATAGTTTCTTTTCATTAACCGCAGTCTTTTTCAACCATTTCTATCCTAAAAAAAAACGTCGCAAATGACCGATTTTCAAAAAAAAAAAAAGCCTGTCTAAATTCTTGCTGTAAAGTCCAAAAGTGCAAAAACCCAGGTGCTGCGACGTTCCCTTTTGGATTATCGCGCTGTCTATCGATTCATTTAGGCGATTTGTCAGCGAGTCCTTGCGCAAACTCATTGTAAAGTCGGTTTTATTATGAACTTTGTTACGCTTTTTTTGCTTCTGAATAACTTGCCAAGCTTTTTCGAAGTTTCATAATAGTCATAAAGTCTTTTTTTCTGATTTCCAATTTTTTTAATATGAAATCAACCTTCTGAATACTCTAAAAAAACGATACGAAATAAATAAATTCCAGAAAAAAAAAAAAAAGTAATATGAAAAAGTAAATAAAAAAAATAAAAAAACCTCGTTGTAACTTTTTCTCTCGTCGATTCGTGAGTGGTTCAACAAATTTAGCGTAGGCGAAGCAATTATTCAGAGAGTGAAACTTCAAAAATGCTGGAGTGCTTTTCGGCATCGAACCTGAATTAAATGAAAATTCAAAATTTACCAATGAATGATTGAAAAAAAGATTTATTGAACGAACCAAGTACAAAGTCGCTTTGTACTATCGTTTATCTTTTGTTGTTACGCGCGGGCAACACTGTAGCCCAGTCGCTTTTTCGTAGTTTAGTAGCGTGTTTCTTATCTAAAATAATACATTCTCACGTTATTATTTGCCAGAACTGAGTGGATATGCCTTCAAACACTAAGGTTTTCATTTTGAATCCCAAAAAAAACAGAAGTTTTTGGCGCTTGCCAGTGTTTCTTTTTTTTATTCCGTTCTCCCATATGAAAATGACAAATTTTATTTTTTGATTAGTGTGAAAATTGTTTTCCACCTTGAGATAACTTTACATTTGCGTTATTAGAATCATATACTTAAGCAAATCGGAAGTTGCGCGCCACCGCACTCGGACGCCACTTCAGAGAACACTCAGAACTGAAGCTTTGTCAAACCGGATCCTTTTTTTCTCTATGTTCTTTACGTTTCTCTTCACTTTGCTTCCTTTTCGCTTCATTTTACTGTTATATAAAGTCCGGGAAAAAAATCTTTCTCAATACTTGCATTAATTCGGTAGTGAAAAAAAGGCAAATCAGTTTAATTTATTTTTTTGAAAGTTTTTATTGTATTTTTTTCAATTTAAATATTGATTATCATAAAGCAAATCTGTGGTATCAATTTTTTTGAATAAAAAAACTGGTTACAGGGAAAAAAATCATCTTCGGTTGAGTTTTTAATACGATTTCCTAAGAAAAAAAGAAGATTTTTTTGTCAATTTTTTTATAAGTTTATTTTTTTCCTTAAAATACGATTTTTCCCTGTTTCACTATAAAAATATTAAAATTATCGACTAATACTCTTTCCATTAAAAATCGGTTTTTGAATCCAGTTTCCCTCATTTTTTTAAAGTTTATTAATTTTTTTCTTTCTGAGCTCAAACTATTTTTATTTTTTTCTTGTTTCAATCGAAAAAGTTTATATGAAAATCCTAATTATTTAAAAAAAGAAAAACTTTCATTTTTCAGCAATGGGTCAATTATCTAGTACGTTTTTCACGCCGGTCCGCTCAACCCGTGAGGCGAACAGCCACGGATGAAGAAGATCCCGAACAACAACTGGCTTTTTCCAACACTCAAGGTGAAAAAAAAAACTTTTCTACATAGAAAATTCCATTTCTTTGTCAATTACCATTTTTCGAAGCAAAAAGGGATTTTCAGGATCCTACTTCGGCTCACATTTTTTGATGTGCGGGTGCCGGTTCGATCTGGCAAAACCTGAGGCGTATTTATTTGGAGAGAACAGTGACTTAGACTTGTTAGGAAGCAGAGCGTTAACGGTATATTTATATTTGAATTTATTTTTGTGATTTTTCTATATTTAGTATCCTTACGCTTGCCCGTTGGGAAGCGATGAAATTCGCCCTTTGAATGCACTGGTGAATGTTCGGAAAGAATCCGTCAAATTTGTAAAGTGAGTCTGTTTTTTTATATAGCTTGAAACGGTAAAAAAATAAAAAAATAAAGTTTACTCTTTTTCCAATTAAATACCTGCCTACAAGTAAGGTCATTTTACTTTTTGGTTCGGAATTTTCTGAAAATCATAGCTTTTCTAGATGTACAAGAAGAAGATCCTGAAAATCTCAATCTGCACAACTTTTCAGTTTTCGAGATATAAGGAAATCAAAGCCTGAAAATAGCTCATTTTAACAGACTTTCATGGTTTCCATTGACTTCGGGGTGCTCCTTCTCGAAAACTAGGAAGTTGAGCAGATTGTGATATTCAGAATTCATATCTGGTACATTAAAAAGCGTTCTGGCCAACTTTCAGGAAAATCTCAACCGCAAAATAATATGACTTTCCATGTTAAAAACTTTTTCTATCTTATCCTATGTCTTAATGCTCATCATGGTCTTTGAAACGACAGTTAACCAAGCTAAAAAAATTAATTTGCAGATTGAAAAGTGAGAATGGAGCGGTTCAAAACAATTTGTACCAACTTCACTTCATTTTTGACGCTGATTGTCCCTGCTACGTCCAAATCCATTTCAACGCTCGCGAAGTTTATCAAGATGGAGATGTTCAGTACGTTTCTTTTTTTTTCCTTCCGAAGAACATTTTCCAGGTTTGTCTACCGGAATAAAAGAGTCACCTGCTCGGAGAAATTTGCTTTTGGACTGGGCAGTGATCAAATTTTCAATCATTTCACTTTCAATGCAAGTCAGTGGGAAATCGCAGAGGTTTGAATTTTTTTTACTTTTTAATTGCAAAAAAAATTTTTTTCAGCTTTCTTATGTTGGAGGTCTTTTTCTTTCCTGTAGTTATTGCTGTTCACACCGAAAATGTCGAGGGCGTTGTACAAATGCAAAGTACGATGTGCACTGTTGAGGTGATAATTGCGGTTGTAATTCCGAGTAATTAGATTGTTAATTAGCACGCAAACGACAGCAGCCGTTCTGTTATTCTGAAACCTCTGCGACAGAAGATTGCAAGCGACGGAGTTGTTTATTTGCTGCAGGTACGTTTTTTGACTTTTTTGACTTGCCTTTTCTTGACAAAAAACAATTTTTGACCCTGGTTGAAATTTCGAAACCTCCCTCCTCTCTCCCCCAATGTCACAAGTTTACTTCAGAACCTTTTGATTTAAAAAAAAATTGTTCTCCTTTGACTTTTAATTGGACTAATGAGTTTCAAAGTTCACCAACTACTTGAAAAAAAGGTTTTTTTAAAGGTTTTTTTCAGCGTTATGACTAGAAAATGAAAAATTATCGTAAGATTTTTTTCGACTCCGAAAAAAATAGTAATTTCCTATTTTTTTATTTGAATTTGGACCTGAGGTTAAAAAAACAAATATTGTGAAAAGTTTGGCAGCATTTTCAGGATTTATGATAATATTGATATGATCCTTTTATCACAAAAAAAAACTTAAAACGTTGATTACGTTGAAAATTTTTTTGCTCTAAATTTACACAGTTACATTTTGCATGGTTCCAGGTAATTTTTTACTGTTTCCTTGACATCCACGAATTTGCAATAATAAATACCCAATTTTCAGGAGATTTTCGGCATCGAAAACAAAGAAAACCACATCAGCGATGGGGACGACTGTGGTTTGGAGTGCATTATTTGCATGTCCGACGTGAGAGACACGGTTATTCTGCCTTGTCGGCATCTTTGCATCTGCAGCAACTGCGCGGACACACTTCGTTACAAGGTCTTTTTTTATTCATTCAGGATGTTCTCGTTGAAAAAAGTGCAAGTTGGTTGGATATTTACAAAAAAATCGGTGGAATTAGGCTCCATGGAAAAGAGTGGCACTCTTTCCAGGATATCCTGACTATTTTGAAAATGCCTTTTTTATATTGGAAAAGCCATTTTCGCATCATAACTTCAAGAGACTTGTCTAAAATAACCATTGACTATTTTTGGAAGCCACTGTTCAATATAACCATAAGTTTAGATAATTTTTTTTCAGCTCAACAACTGTCCGATTTGTCGATCACCTTTCCGTGCACTAATAAGATTGCGTGCGCACAGACAAACTCGGAGTCAAATGTAACTTTTTTTTTGAAATTTTTATTTTTCACACACGATTACAAAAATTTCAGATACGAAACTGTAAGTCTGGTAGAAGGCTTGAATGGTCCTCATAATGTAAATTTGAACGACGACAACTTGGACTCTGCGTTACAGGATTCAAGAAGAAGACATTCCAGTAGAAGCGGAGGAGCCCTGCATCAGGTAAATAAGTTATCAATTGGCAGTTTTCTGAATTTCCAATTTTTAAGGTTATCGCAATGGAACCAGTACTAACAGAGGATCAGGCTTCTCTTAGAAAAGACGGCGGACTTGATGGAGAATGCATTGAAATGACTTATATTTCTACGGAAAATGTCGAATCAGTGGTTGACGAGGTTTGTTTTGGATTTTTCAGCACTGAATTATTAAAAATTGCTTAATTGTTGTAGTAAGAGTATCGGAAAATACGGAAAAACGCGGTTTCGGTCATGATTTTCTTGTAAAAAATTCAATCTTCCTGATAGTTTCTGAAGCTCCTTTTTTTCCTGAAAACTGAAACTTTATTAGAATGTTCAAAATAACAGTCATCACAATTCTAGAAAGTTTCAGAAAGATTGAACTACTCACAAGAAAGATGTGACCTTTTTTACGACCTGTGTAGTTTTTTTCAAAATTTTCGACGTTTCAAGCTAAGTTTTGCTGAAGAAACGGGCAGTGTAAACAGAAATCTTTTAATTTTTCCTTTGAAGAGAAAATCGAAAAAGATGATCGACGGCGAAAATGGAGCAGACAGCTGCGATGATTGCGACGACTCCTCTCAGGTTTCCACCATTTTCAAGTCTTTACGCGAGTTTTTCGCATTCAGACAGAGTCATCCACCTCTACAGCGGACGAAGGACGCAAGAACTCCCGTGGCTCGAATTCTGACGACGATGATTTCGCGAGGGATCGACGACGCTCTCTCCAGCCAGGATCTCGAAGCTCCAGTTCCCAGCTTTTGAACAGAGCCAATACTGTTCTATGATTTATTTATCTTTCCGAATTTCTACTTTGACTTAAACACATTTGACTACCGATTTCTTTCAAGTATATTTATAAGTTGCATTTTTCCTTAAATGAGAAAAAAATTACAACCATAAGTGCTTTCTGAGTAAAAAAAAAACACAAATCGCTCTCTAAATACGTTTTTTTCTTTTTTTCAGCCAAATGTCAAAAAAACTATTGCTTAATTTTTCGGACATTTTTTTGAAATGAGGAAAGTTTTTCCATTTTTTTAAAGATTACCAAACAATTTTTTTGAGTGATAGGCATTCAAAACCTTACTCCGTAACTTTTTTTCATTAAATCAAAAAAAGCATCAAACAAAATTTGCAAGTTCAAAAAAACCTCAAAAAAACTTATTTTGGTTTCCCGTTTCATAAATAAAAAAACCAAGAAATCAAAAACCCGTTTTTGAACAATATTTCTTTCTGTAAATTTGTGTTGTAAATAAGAAAAACTTTCATTTCGCCCCTGAAAATCTACCCTTTTTCTTATGTGTGATATTAAATCGACCTTCGGGTACCTTTGCATAGTCTTAACAAAACTTAATGTCATTGTCCATTTCACTTGCAAGAACTTATTCAAAATGTTTTCATACGTTACAAACCTGTTTCCCAGCAAAAATATCTATAATCATTGTCATTTGTTTCACTTGTGTTCTGATTCTTTCATGTTATTGAATAAGAGCTTACGGCTTGATAACTTTAGGGGCTTATCATTTTTGGTGTTTTTCCTTTGCTTTCAGAGACCGAATAAAGATTTAAGAAATTTGTTGGTTTGTTTGAAGTTATGGTTTGTTTCCAAAGAATTGCAGAGATATTTTGAAAATTTTTTCGAAGGAAGTTTACGGTTTCACGTGAATAACTTTTAGGCGAAAGTGAGATAATACAAAAAAACGCAAAAAGATAATCGAAAGAATTAAGAAAGAATAAAAGGCGTTATCTGACTTTTTTTGTTCACTTTTTTTCACTCTTCAAAAAAATCTTTTCGTTTCTCATTGTGTCCGATTTTAAAAACATTTGACCAATAAAAACAAAAATTTTCAGAGGTTTCAAAGAGTAACTGCCGATGCTGATGTTAACTGAGTCAGAAGATGCAACTGTACTAGTCGGATCTCTGGTTTGAAATATTTCAGTTTTTCGTTAAGTTATTTATTTTAGCTTTTGTTTTTTACCTGCGGTTGGGTTTTCTACGCAAAACAGCTGTTCCGTAATTATGAAGTACGCAACAGGTAACTTTAAAAAGTTTGTATTAATAAGAACGAATTTTTTTCAGAACTGTCCAGATTCTGTTTTCTTTTACGTTTGCATTCTCTTGCGCAATGTTCGAGTTGATTATTTTCGAAATTGCAAACATCATGGCGCAATCGTGAGTATTTTTCTATGTACAACTGGAATTTCGGAACTTTAGATCTCGGTTTCGAGCTTGGAAATTTTGTCTCACGGGTGTCCTGATTATATTGATTGGCGTTCTTCCTTTTTATTTTTGTTTCTCGATCGTCCGTGCTTTAGGATTGGGTTAGTTTCAACTTCCAGGAGTACAAATAAAAAAATTATTAATTCAAAAGCGGAAACTATTTATCAAAAGCTAATTAGTTCTTAAAATTATTTAGTTGAAAAAAATAGTTGAAAAAAATTCAGTAGCAGTTTAGAAATATGAGGAAATCCACTGTGTATTGGTAAAATGTTTAAGAGGAATTTCAAGGTTCGAAGTGTTCAGAAAGTTTTTTTTCGAAATAATTTGAAAAGTCTCTTCGGATTCATTTTCAATAACTTTTCCCAAAAAATTAAATTTTTTCAGTCCGGTCTCGTTATCATTTTCCAACAGCAGTCCTGGCTTGGTTGACTTTTATCTTCTTTTTCTGGAGATCTGGAGAATCGTTTCCTATTCTCAGTCACAAGCACGGTTTGAAAGCACCAAAAAAATTTTAGAATCATGAAAAAATTAAGGAATTTTCACGATCGAACAAGCGATTTCTCGAATTGGCGTCCTTGGCGTCACCGTGATGGCTCTTCTGTCCGGATTCGGTGCAGTCAACGCGCCTTATACTTCTATGACTTTTTTCATGAAGCCTGTGAGTGGGAAATTCTTGGAAAACTTATCAACTTTAGTTTTTAGGTTGAGAGCAAGGATATTGAAACAATGGAGCATCGCCTTCTCCAAACGATGGATATCATTGTATCCAAAAAGAAAAGAATCGCTCATTACTCCAAGGAACGCGACCGCTTGGCTCCCACAAGAGGTGAGATAGAAATCTGAGAAAGGAAACATAAAAGTCTTTTTCAGTAGAAAAAGTAGAAGACGACAGTTTCTTCGCTAAAGTTATGACGACTGTTGGATATTCCCCATCGATCAGAAGTCGGAACATCAACGACGTCATCGAGTACGATTTTTGATTGTAAAAGTTGATCATTCGTTTTTTTCATGAACTTTCCCACCTTTTATCCGATTTTTTTCAAAAGATTTCAAGTTTGGAGAGAAAAAAATATTAAAATTTTGATAAAAAAACCCAAGAATAAATTGTAATGGCAGAAGATGCTTCTCATGTCTTCACATGTATATTTGCTTCAAAAATTAATTAATTTTTTTAAATATTTGTCATCTTTCACATTTTCTATTGAATTATCCTTTTTTTCAAGAATTGGAAGATTAGATTTTATTTATGAATTCGCTCAAATAGTTTGCGAAAGAGAAACTTTTTTCGTAGATAGAAATTTACTTGATTTTGAAGGACTTGGGAGATAAGTTCAAAATAAATGATCCAAAATCCACATTGAATTTATCTTGTTTGTAAAAAAATATAATACTAAACTTTTTTAGAGGATTGGAAAACGAAATAAGACACATGGAAGAACTGAGTCGTTACATATTCACGGGTATCGCCGAGCTTTACGAACTTCAGAGTCGTCTCGAATTCAGGTAATTTGCGGTTCAATAAAAATAAAACAGCTTCTAAAAGGACCGAATAAGTAGTTTCTATAGCAGTAAAATCAAAGTGGTCCTTATAGACGTTTGAGGGTCGTTCAATTTTATTCAAAAAAGTCACTTTTTTTGCTTTTCGCATGGAAATGCTTCTTCTCTTAGAGTTCATAAAAATGGTCGGCTAGCATGCCCCCTATTAAAGCCACTAAGGGAAAATCCTAAAAGGAAAATTTCGCAAACTTTAGTGACCCCTATAGGGATTGTTAAAGTGCTCCCTAAAAAAAACCCTTCAAGGGCTCTTAAAATTGCACCTATAGGGATCACTCTGGAGTTCCTAAGATATTAAAAAACGTGGTTACAGCAAAACTCTTCTCGGAAAATACTTCAACTTCATTGGCCACTTCTTTTCGCTTTATTGCGTGTGGAAAATTTTTATCTCGCTTGTCAACATTGTTTTTGATAGAGTCGGAAAGGTGAGCTAATAGGAATTTTCATGAATAGAAAACATAATTACAGGTTGATCCTGTCACTCGAGCAATGGAAATCGGGGTTCATTACATGGGTTTTGAATTAGACGTGAGTACCAATTTTCTCATTTTGAATAAAATTTTCACTTGAATATTTTCAGGTTCGTTTCTGGTCACAACACATATCTTTCATTCTGGTTGGAGTTATCGCGGTCACTTCGATTCGAGGTGAAATTTACATCCCTTTTCTATAAAGTTGAAAAATTCGAAAGGTTTTTGAAGTCATAAAAAAGAAAAAAGGAGTTTCTGAATGCTTGAAATAATTTCAGGCCTTCTGATCAACCTGACAAAGGTTTTCCAAGCGATGTCCAGCCCAAAGACGTCGAATTTTGTCGTCCTGATGCTTGCTCAAATCATGGTTAGTACAGTTTCTTCCATTTTCTGTTTGGGAAAATTCTAGTTGTTATTGCTAAAAAGTTTTTAGCTTGAATGTCTTTAAAAAATTAGTTTTTCAAAAATATCGGAGCTCTGAGCACATCAATTGAACTTTAGGGTTAGGAAAAGAAGCAATCTGAACACCATTTCTGAAAAAAATTTCCTTTATTCGATATTTTTGATGCGTTCCCAATCAATAAATGTCTGAAACAGTAATCGATTCTAAGAGAGAACAAGCTTCTTTAACTGCAAAAAAATACGCAGTAGTGAAAATGTGAAAACCTTTTTTCAGGGAATGTATTTTGTATCGACCGTTCTTCTCATGAGGATGAACATGCCTCTGGAGTACAGGTACATTTTTCTATTTTATTGAAAGTTTGATTCATGACCCGATTTGGATTGAGGCTAAAAATATATAAAATGAGAAAATTTCTATTTCTCAAGTTTCAAGTGTTTTTTTACTTTGATTACAACCCGTAGATTTCTGAAAAAAATTTTGATGCTGTGATTTTTTTGTTAAAAATGTAATTCAATAACCTCTTCAGTTCTTCTTGAAAGATTTGGAATTGTTTTTCTGCAGTTTAGTGGCTTTTTGAATAAAAAAACTTAAAATTTTCCAAAAAAATCTCAAATTTTAGAGATTTTTATGAGTAACGAGGCGGAAAAAGGCAAAAAAATATTTCTAATATTGATATAACCATTAATTTCTAATTCTACCAGCAATCATTCAGCTACAAGACATCCAAAAAATAAAAAACCTGAATTGATATTTTCAGGCAAATTATCACAATGGTTCTGGGTGACCTGCAGTTCAACTTCTACCATCGCTGGTTCGACGTCATTTTCTTCATCTCAGCCATCGCTTCGATCTTGTTCCTTTACTTGATCCACAAGCGAGCTCCTGTCGCCGCTTATGTTCATTGAAAACTTCTATTGATACGAGTCAAAAATGAGTTGTGTTTCGCTTGTGAATACGGTTATCTAATTTATTCAAAATTTATGGCATATTTTTGTTTGTTTTTGTTGTTGTTGTTGGATTTTTACTGGTTAGTAAAAAATATTTGGAATTTCAAAAAATTGAACAAATGAAATCATGTGGGAGTCAGGTTCCATTCTCAATTCGCTTGAGGAAATATAGGGCTAACCATTGGCATGTTTTTTTGTTCATTTTTTTGTTGTTGTTGTTGGATTTGTACTGGTTAGTAAAATATTTGGAATTTCAAAAAAATTGAACAGAGAAAAGTATGGGGGTCAGGTTCCATTGATAATTGGCTCGAGGAAATACAGGACTGCCCCTTGGCATAATATTTAACATAAAATTCATGTCGCTCTGACATTTTTCGATCTAGGAATGAGAAAAAGAGTTTGAATCAGGAAAAGTGTTCCGAAATTCCGTGCAAAGTCTTCATCGGAGAGGCTGCTCTCATCCAGAAGCTTCCGGATAGAAGAAGGTCTTTGGGCTTCAGCTACAACATCCGCTATATTCTGATCTCGTGAAAAAGCAAAGTTCCAAAATACCATTCTTTAGATTTGATCAACTGAAAATTCGGAATTCTAGTTCACTAATTCGGTTTTTCGCGTTATAACCTATGACTAAAACAACAAAATGAATGATTTATTGATAAATCACTTAGTTAACCATTATCTTGGATGAACTTCAATAGCAAAAATTTTCGAAAGGACGAAGAATTGTTTTCTAATTACTGTCTCTACTCTAACATCATCTGGGAAATATATTCAAAAAAAAAAAATTAAAAACCTTATTTGAATAAAATCTTCAAACAAAGCTTTGATGAAAGAAACTCACCCTTGATCTTCTACCCTAATCTCCCCAGACATCAAAGCTGCGTTCACAAAAAAGGAAAACTTTAGAACTTTAATCTGATTCGCAAAAAGGGCTGCAGCCTCACATTTGACCAAAACGACCAACCGCAACATTATTGTACGGCGGAGACGGGTAGCGATGGCCAGATAATGAGGGTGAAGGCGTGTCCCAGCAACTGAGGAATTCAAAAAAACGGCAGAAGGCGTAGTGTCCGGAGGAAGAACATCTTCAAACGTCACTCAGTCTCCCTCAGCCTCTCCTGACGGTTCAATCATGCTTCTCCTGCTGTTGCAACTTCTGTTGATGACACGGCAAAGTTATCAAAGTGGTAAGTGCGGATCCGAGTGTATGCTGATTTTATCAATTTCATTCTTCTTTTTGTTTTTTTTTTTTTCATTTGAGCTTCCATGTTTTCGAATCATCTTTTTTCGAAAGATTTGATTGAACAAAAGGTTTTGAGATCTACTGGAGGCATAAAATAGAGGATGAATTGAAGTGATATCGAACCTTCCAAAAAGTTTTCTTCTCTTGTAATAAGCTTGTTTCGTTTTAGCATTTATTGGTTCATGTGCCGCTTATTCATAACTGGCTAAAAAAAATTGGGATTTTTCGTTTTAAGTCAGCCCTGACTAGAGTCCAAATGGAGAGTGAAAAGCTCAGAAGCTCTTTGCGTTGTAATTTTGAAGTTTCGTCTCTGATTTTGAAGAATTTTCGTAGGCTTTTCTAGAGAACCAATGTTAGTCACTTTCAGTTAATCGCAACAGTTAGAGAAAGTTTTTGAAGCATTATGAATAAAAAAATTTCTAAATTCATTAAAATGATTATCCGTTAACAAACAAAAAAATTCAGTAAAATGCAGAGTGTGAAAAACTTTGTGAAAAAAATGCTTCTTTAAAAAAATTCTTAAATTCAGAATGCTATGTGTCGAGCTGGACGAGCTGGAGTGAGTGTTTTGGAGATTGTTTATTGGCCCAAGCGGTCAGAAATCGGGACGTCGTCCGACCTCCTCTCCCAGAAGCGCAAGAAGGCCAAATGCCGTTGCAACGGACTTGTCCGCACCTGTATGAAATCAAAAGCTGCCGAGTGGACGGATGTGTCGAGGTTCGATTTTCCAATCAGTTCAATCTTTTTAAAGCCACATTTATCCCCTGTTTGCTTTTATCTGGGGAAATTGTGAATATTCCGTACTCTCTGAAGTTGATTTGAATTGACCCTCGGCGACCTGGTTTCTTAGAATTTGCATGAGAATGGCAGAAAGCAATGGTACTCAATGGAATTTTCTCGGAATTTGGGTTTGCAGTATGTTTTATCGCCGTGGGATCTATACAACTGTTTCTTTATGGGCCTGTCCACTAACCTTATTTTTTCGTGGAAGTGTTCAAATTCGCAAGAAATCATTTAGAAGGACAATTTTTCAAGGCTTATCTAAATTATGTCGTTATGTTACATCACTTAAGAACAGAAATTTATGAATGTTCATTTGTTTTTAAAAGAAAATTGTGACTTAAAAATAAAAAAATTGAGTTTTTTTCGCTGTAGACTTTTTGTCTCGGTCTTCTGAGCTTACTTGAAGATTCAAAATTCGAAATTTCTGATTCTTTAGAAAATTTCTCAGTGTTTTCGCGGCTTCAAAAAGGCCGACAAAAGGAATTTCCGATACACGATCTCGAAAAAATAAGGCGTCGAAAACCTTTAAAACTAAAAAACTACGGAATTCAACAGTGCGGCGATTTTCCAAAGGAAAACAAGCTTTTGTTTATCCGGTGCCTATCTGACGATTTTAGAAAAAGTACTTCAAGCGTAACCACCCACCACGCGACCATATTTCATCTCAATAATCGAAAAACTGCATGACACTGCTGGGATCAGGTTTTCTTCCTTGTCTGTCCTGGAGGGTCAAGCTACGGAGACGTAGTCCTGGCTAAGAGGGCATACTTATCGGCGTCGGCAATCTTGAACGGCCTGCGAAAAATCGGCCACTGGCGCGTGTACGTTTCGCAAAAAAGGCGTGAAAATCCGCATTCCTTCCTGCCTCATTTCAAACATCGAAAATCGATGTCGTTAATTGAAGCTCTTGCACTTTAACGATCGATGTAATCAGACAAGTTTAGTTGACGCTTCAGGTTGACGTCGGCGGGAGAGGTGCGAGAAATGGATACGGAAGGTCTCGAGGGGAAGATCATTTGAACAAGTATGAGCTTGATGCAGCTGTGCTCCGAGGAACAAAGGTGAGAGCTCGTGACGTTTCCAATTGTATGATTCCTTTTCAGACCCTTTTGCCTAAAGCCAATAAAATTGATCATCTTCTGGAAAGCTCAGTTCCTGGCGATGAAGTTACTTCAACATCAAAACTTTCTGATGTACTGATAGACATTTCTTCGAAAAAAATCACCAATTCAGATTGGAAAAAAGAAAGTGAGTTTTTCATTTTTTTTTTTTCAATGACAACGGAACGGTTGCAGATCTGCTGCGAGATAACTTCTCGACGACGTCATATCGAGATGATCCAACTCCAGAAAAGAACCTGTCGCCTTCCGAAACTCCAACTGCCGCGCAGCCCACGACTACTCAACAATCCATTGGCACTCCAGAAAACTCAGCGCTTCCTTCTTCGCACTCCGAAGAAATACTACATTCCTTCACAAAACGTCGCTATACAGGCCGCCATCGCAAGTTCTACCGACAAAGATATCAGGGAGATACCACAGAACTGCCAATCAACGCTGTCCTCCGAAGGATTGAAGACTCCTTGGACTTGAGAAAACCCCTTGACGAGAAGTTCATTAAAACCGCTTTAAAACGCAACCGAAAACTGACCAAAGTTTTGATGGATGCCTACAGAAGCAGTCAAAACCAAACAACTGAAGAGCCAGCTGTTATTGTCTATCCGACATTCTCGCCAACAACTGATTCGACAATTTCTACAACAGAAAAAGTATTATCAGTTAATTCCACCACGTCTACCGCAGCCTCACAAAAAACGACTTTGAGTACTGATCTTGAAACTTCATCCACCCCGACTGATTCATCTTTCGTCACAGCTAAAGCGGAAGAAAAATCTGAAACCGAGTCGACTACACCAGAGCCTTCAACTACCGCTACCACAACTTCTCTGCCTTACTGGCCGAAAACAGGATACATTCCGAACACCAGAAAACACGCCTCCGATATAACTTCGAAACTCTACATGACTCAAGAAATAGTCCAAGTCATGGCGGACGAGCCACTTCAACGCAGCACCTATCATTCCGACTGTAAGATTTCGCCTTCAAAAATGAGTCTCAATCCTGTTTTCCAGGCAAAATGAACCCAAGGTGTTGCAAAGTGCAAAGAACGGAATGTGCTGATGGAATGGTGCCGAAATACGTCAAGCGGTACTACAGACCTGTGAGTTTATTCTTGATCGTAATCAAATCAAACCGTTTTCAGCGTGGGTCAATGTCTTGCCTCGCTTATCATTACCCAAGATGTTCTCAAACCGAAGAAATGGAAGAGCTCCCAATTCTTTTCGAACAGAACTGCCAGGATATCTGCTTCGGAGGGTCAGAAAAAAGAATAAATCCGTTGTTCATGTTGGAATACGAGGATGAGTAATGATTTGATAATTTCTTCCTTTTTTAATCGCCTTGTCCGTTTTCTTTTTCCTTTTTGGACCTTCTTGATACTCCCGAACCTCTTCTCCGTGGTTTTCTAGCGTTTTTTTTGTAAAGTGTACTTTCCAGTAATCTTTTTTCATGACACTTGTGTTTCCATGCTCCTTTTGCTTATAGCAGTCCCCGCGCCAAATTCAATCATCTTCATACGAACTTTCCAGGAACCTTCAATCTCATTCAGCAATTGAACTGTATCTTCATGTTGATGCTTAATTAATTATTTTTGCGTTTTAAAAATTTTATAAACTAATTTATTCGTTTTGATGCTTTCCAGTATTAATTTTTCCTTCATGATACTTCAACTGATTTTTCAAGTTTTATGTGCTTTCATGAATTAATAAATGAATAAACAATGTTAAAAAAACACAAAGTTTAAGAGAATCTTCATAGAACTTCAAAAAAACTCTTCTCATCATAATCTTTTTTTGGAATTGTCAATGCAGTTGTGATTTAAACTGGGGTCGACTAGAACACGGGAACTGATTGATGATCATTTTTCTCTCGGAGATGTAAGAAAAAAAAGTGTTTCCGGTGAAAAAACTACTGGAACGTCATGTGCAAAAGACATCTTGAAAAAAACAGAAAGAGTCAGAAATTTTTTTGTCGGAAAATAAATAAACGACACGGTTGAAAAAAATCAAAAAAATAAGCCGGTTTGGAAATAGATTTCTTTCATAAAAAAATTCATCGTCAAAAGTTCACTTGATAATATCTAAAAATAAGGTCTCCAAAAAAATTTTTGCAAATATTTTAAGTTTAAATGAGACATACAGCAAATCTTCAGCCTTCCGGAAAACTTCTAATTGATTTCTGCACAAATATAAAGTTTCAGAAGTATCCGGATTATCATTAATAAAATTAACAAGCATTTTTATTGGCTTTGGAAGATCTGAAAAATCTATTTTACAGCAACTTCTATTAATCAAGGTCTTTAAGATGATTTTTTTTTCGAGACTCCAACCAAATTAATTGGCTTATAAAAAAATTGAAAGCGCCAGGGTTGAACTTTTTTTTTTGAAAAAAACGACCGGACGGACCGAAAGTAGACAGATTTTGCCTTTTCCAGTCGTCCGATATCAATACAAAAATCAATCCGATAGCAAGATAATTTTTGGGATATCATAATCTCAAGAGGACTTTTTTGTAAGAGTCAGTTTTCAAAACCTTAGATAAAAAGTTTGGTTTTTCGGGTCTGGACAGATTTTTTGGTTAGAAGTCTTTACTCGAAGGTTTTGGAGCAACAATTGATTGCCAAAATTACTAATAAAAAAATTTTATCTGAAATTCTAGGGATCCCCTCTTTAAAAAAATGTTGTTTTTTTCAGAACTAATTAAACAAAAAAAATATAAATGATAATTGAAAAAAATTAAACTATATTTATAAAATCAAAATCGAAAGTATCACAAATTATCACGATCAATAGAAGATATGTCACAGAAATGAGATAAAGAATGCCGGTAAATATTGACTTTCCGAAATTCCGCAACATACAGAACGTTTTCGAGTATTGGTCATTTTCAGGCAAGAAAACCGAATTTGCAATTTTCGGAATAAAATTTTCGGTATCTATATCAACTGACTGATCATTCAAAACAAAAACATTTAGTATATACGTTTTCGCAGTCTTATATTAATTAGTTGAACATGTGCTGTCAATTGAAATGCCGCCATAAAAGATGGCATCGAGGCCAAGTCCAATGCGGAGCGGTCGGCTTTTTTTCAATGGAGCGCTAGTTCCTATCCGCTCGATCGCTTCACGCACGTGGGCACGCTCGCGTCAGTCCTGTATTCTGTTATAATTTTTAGCTTTTTAATCTCATTATGATTATTGAATCAAGCAGGTTGAACTCATCGAGAAACTCACCTTGAACCTGCACAAAAAAACCCTTTTTTTCAACCGTTTTTTTGAGGCAAACATTGCCTTGTTCAAAAATTGACTCATCTTTTTTTGCTTTTTTTAATAACTTCTAAAAATTTCAATACTCAATAGCTATTTTTTTAGGCATGGGTCAACGAGAACGACTCAAGATTCAATCTGATTCTGTTTTGTGAAGCTTCTTGGTTTCAAACGCTAGGCCTTCATTGTGAAACTTTCACACCCTTTTATCTAGACATTTTCTGACCTTTTATTTTTTTAAATTTCAGACGTTGGGTTCTGCAGTACTTTGACAGCATGGGAAGGGCAAAGGCAAACTGTAGAAGGAGAAGAACGCGGTCTCCAGACTCCCGCGCCAAAAATCAATCGAAAATCAGAAGCAGCTCTGGCTCGCCTGATCGACCCAGAACAAGGTTAGTTTTTCCGTTTTGTGAATTAGATGAATGAAAAAATAAAAATCAACTTTAAGAATATTTTTTTCCCACAGATTATTGAAAATATTGAAGATTGGAATGTTTCTTTCAACGGGCTAAATCTCAAGAAAAATCATAGAATTGGCTGGACAATTACTATCAAATTCAGATAACCGATTTGATTAACAAAAATAAGATTAGATTAATATAAATTTATTTGATCTACGAATAAGTTTTTGCTTTCGGCAACTCGAAAGTTCATTTTTTTGAATCCAATTTTTTTGTTAATTTTCAACTCACATTTCACATTATTAAAGTTATAATCCTGGGACAGTACAGATTTTACAGCAGTCTAAATTTACTCTTGAATCGATTGAGTTTTTGACAAGTAAATAATGCAATAATGATCGATTGACAGTTTCAAATTTTTTCAGAAGAAATCTTCTAAGTTTAACCATAGAAACATTCAGCAATTATGCAATTTGGTTATCCACGTTTCATCGTAAATTTTTTCATTTTGAATTTGAATCTTTTGGTCCGTTGTTTAATAAACCTTTGCACACGGCTAAATTCAATTTGAGTTCAATCAAATTGGTTCAAATTATCAACAACAGTGGCCAAGTCTCCATCTCACCTTCACATGATTCATCAAATAAAAAAATCAAAAATTATGACGACAGAAAGTTAATATAGTCTGTGTGCCCTTGAAATTTCACCGAACGACATTCCGCTGTTCCGCTGCGTGCGTTCGCGAAACGTCTTTCGAATCTAGGTCACGGTTTCAGTTGATTGTTATTGCTGTGGGAGCAAAGGTAGAGTACCTTAATAAAAGAAAAACAAAATAGAAGCGCAACCAAGGTTCGCAAAGGCGCGCAGCGGCACAGCGAAATGTCGTTTGATGAAATTCCAAGTCATGGTACACAGGCTATATCAACAGCCTACGATGAATCTTCTTTTAAAAAATTTTCAAAATTTTCATTGCAACTATTCAGAAACTACTCAACGAAGAAGGCCGAGGAGACCCGAGACTATACTTCCGAAAGACGGCGAAGTTCCCGAACATTAAAGAAAAGAGCCCCAGCTTCACCTCCAGAACCAACAAGCAAGCGAAGAGGACGTCTCCCTGCCGCTAAAAGAACTACGAAAAAACAAAGACAGAAAACCGAAACTCCTTCGGTAGAACCTTCGCCAGAAAAGAATGTAGAAGAGGAGGAGAAGCAGGAGGAGGAGGTGGAGGTGGAGGAGGAGGAGGGCGACCGTCTTTCGGAAGAGTTGTCAGATGAATCGCCATCTCCGGAGAGTCCAGATAGTCCGAATCCAGAATTGGTTGATGTGGAAGTGCTCCCAACGTTCTGCGCTCCTTACCCCGTCCGCCGTCCTCAAACTCCTGTCGATGAAGTTGAAGAATGCGAGGAGCCAGAACCCGACGAGATTGACGTTGGTCCCAGCGTTTCCGACGAACACACTTTCGCTTACCCAGCCATCCCGAAAATCGAACCTACCGAAAGTGCCCAGGTTATCTTACAATTATTTCATTCTCAAGCTTCATCATATATTCAGGCACGTGACCGGACGCTGACGCCTTTTATCACAGCGGGGTAAGTGAAACATTTCAGGAGATGCTGGCTGACAAGGACTCTCTTTAGCTTGGATTCATTGTTTGAGATTTTCTAGAAGTTTGTCTCGGAAAACTGATGGAAAATTTCTAATGAACCTGCTCAAAGTTTTTATTTTTAAATTTATTTTCCAAGTTTTCCGATATTGAAAAAAGCTTACAATCGAAATACTCTTTGATTTTGTGAATTCACAAACAGAAGAGTTTGAGCTAAAAGCTGAATAATTTCGAAATAAATAGACCTTCAGAGTGTTAGGGCACATTCTTTTGAGATTTCATAATTTCCTTGCCTTTCTTAGAAAATTAAACAAAGTAAACTGTAATCTTTTTAAGTTTTCGTGAAATCAAAGGAAAACTTCATATGTAGTAAACTTCCTTTGTCCCCCGGAACACTGAGAAAACTTTCATTTGGCATTAAAATAATCAAGACAAATTTATTGAAACAATCTCTTTTTCCGAAAAAAATAGTGCTCTCCTTTTTTTATATTTGCAGTATCTTTTAACATGAAGTTTTTATACCCACATTTTGAAACAGTAAGTTGAAGATTTTCGATTTATCAAATTTGTGGGTTTTCCTAAAAATTTACTCTCTCTGCGAAAGTTTTGTGAGAAAATTCAATCTGGAATGATCTTAAAAGTGTAAGATCAAAAATTCAACATTTTTCAGTGGTAAACTCGCAGGAGCAAAAACCAGATCAGTATGGCAACACCAAAGTAAGCTTTTCCGACGTTTTTCTCTATTAAACTTCATTTCTTCAGCTCCAACCGATTGGAGAAATATCAGGAGTCCCGCTATATGTTTGGTGCGTTTCAACAATTTCTTGAGTTGTTGTGAACAAAATATTTTATTTTTGCAAAAAATCCGAGTTTTCAGGCGGATGCAACCGAGGAGCAGACAGAAGCGTTTCGATGACTGCAGTCATGGGACTTCTGATAACACTGATCCCCCGCGAGATTCTGTACCTCGGACAGACTCCAAAAGTCAAATGATGACTAGGAGCGACAACAACGAGGCTTCCACTGATCCTGCTTCTAGCGCGGTCGCAGCTCGACAGCCCGACACTCCTTCGGCTCCTGGAGCTTCATCGGCAGTGAAAAGACCGCAAAAAACTCCTCGAAAACGTACGCTTCTCACTGCCGGTGAACGCAGTGAGCCTGAAAATCCAGAATTCCGTGGTCGACACAGGACTTCAAGAATTGTCCTCATTGACTTGACCACCTCTCCGCCTGCAGAAAACATCGTGACGCTGGGCGATTCTCCAGACCCGCCTTTCAGGTCAGGCCGACCTGGATGGCCAACAATTTTGGTCACCCAACCCGCAATGTCCATGGAAGACCGTGTTCGGATGCTTTTGGATAGCAGCGATGCAGATCCAGTGTCCGAGCAGAATTCAGAAGAAAAGCTGCTTCCTGTCGAGCTATCCTCAGCTTCTAGGCTTCCGCTGCGCAAGTGTCGGGCTAGAAATCAGGCTGCCAGGGAAGAAGAAGAAGAAAAACGCATGGCTCGTCGGAGAGCCCGTCCCAGGAAAACTTCGAAAAGCGAGCCAAAAGCTAAAAAGGTATGTTTTTTTGCTCTCATTTTTTTCGACTTTTTCTCGTAGATTTTTTTGCAAATTTCGACATGAACTCTTTTTTTCAAAAAAATATTAAATTTGTAAAAATCGCATGTTTGTCATGTTTATGCATGACTCATTTTCAAAAAAATATGTGAGGTTTGGAAAACTTAAAAAAATTGAATTATCACGGGTAACACGATAATTTTCAATAGAGTTTTTTTGGTTCAAAAAGCCCAAAATAAAATAATTGGTTGAGAAAAAAATTTCAGTTCGAGAAATCAATTATCAAAAAAAAACTCCAATGAAACTTTCTCCGGACGCAGAGGATTAGTCTGAACGGTTATCTGGCATGGATCACCTTGAGGCGACAAGCGACAAAAGAGAGTGCTTGAGAAAGCACCCATAAGAAATAGTTTAAAATCGCCTCGAACGACCGACCGACGGAGAGGACAAAGCACATTCAGAGCAGGGTGGCTAGGCGAGAGGCCTGAGGCCTCCTCTGAGCGCGAGCTCCGCTAGCCGACTTGAGTCGAGACGAAGTTCAGGCGGTTGTAAAGTATAAGGCGGCAGAGCGACCAGTAGTGGGCGGACTTGGGCTTCCTCTGATCCACCCAGCTACAAGAACTCAGGGCGCGCCTGTTGAGAAGCTAACGATTTTCCGCCGTTTGCCTCCGCTTGTCAACTATATTAACAGCTGGGGTGGAATTTTCGTTTTACTTTTTTAAATCTGTTCGCCGTTCATTATTCGTTCCAATCAGCTGAAAGGCGTCAAGCCTTTTACGGCAAGATCTCCTGAATCCTCTTTTTTGAACACTTCTCGATTGAATTTAACTGCTTCACCCTATTCGCTGCGATCTGCGTCGCATTCCCGAGAACCATCTACCGCTCTTCCTTCGCCACTTGCCTCGCGGCGACACTACGTCTCCCACCGGCTGCCTCACAGAGCCACGTTAGCTGAAGGTCCCCCGGTTCAAACAGCTTCCATCGTTCTTGTCGAAACCATGCCAGCCACTGCCACCGCTACAAAGCGGGCTCCTGATATACCTCCACCAAATTCCTTGGCCTTACGAAGAATGCCTTTGGTTGTGATTCCACGCAAGCGGAAGTATAAAAACTACGTTTCGCGAAGACGAAACACCCAACTTCTGGCCAGCCTTCGTCGATGCGTTTCTGATCCCAACGTTTATCGCAGTTATAATCACTGGAAAAGTTTATGGCGACCTTTCACACCTCCAAAAAATGCTCCACCCATCGCAATTTCTACCGCTCCGAACACTCCCACGGTTCAGAAAAAAGAAATAAAGGCAGTTGTTCCTAAAACTGAAGTCTCGTCGAATAAACCTGCAGAAGTTCCTCCTGTCAACAATGGTAACGGAGTTGAAGTTACTGTTCCTTCTTCTCCTGTGGCTCCTTCGAAGCAGATTTCTGGAAAATTGACCGAACTTAAAAGTAAGAACGGAGGAATTGAAAAGACCTCATTTCGAGTCCCTACGCAAGCTTCGCGGAGAGCGCAACAGCTAGCAGTTGGAAAGTCAATTGATGAATCTTCTACGAAGGCGTCGCAGACTCCTGCCAGATCGAAAGCTCCAGAGCCTGAATCAAAACCTCGAGAGAGCCAAGACAACCTCGAGACAGCTTCTGCGAAGCCTTCAAGCTCTCCATTTGCACCTTTGATGGCACCAGTCAGATCCCAGCCGCCTGCACAACTTCCAACTTCAACGACGACAGCAGCACAGGCCAAACCTCCCTTGAACAAGCAAAGTTCATTACAAAAAGCTGCTGAGAAAAAACCTACAATCCCTGTGCAAAAAACTGGTAAAGATGGAGCAAAACCAGCCCTACCATCTACAGATTCTGTTCGAAAAATTGAGGGAATTGAGTTCCTGCCCTCGACTCAAGAAACAGAAGAGCAACAACCTGTTGGTCCAAAGGCGTTCAGAAAAGCGTACGGATCGAAGAGCGGTACGACAATTTGTGCAATCGGATCACCGATTGGCGTCGCATCTACCAGCAACGGTCCTGTTCAACCTCCTGTTGATGAAGAAAAACGATTAATTGAGAAGAAGTTGTCTCTTCGGAGGAAAAAGAACGATTCGGCGAAAGAAAGTGGAGCAGGTCTTCTCTCAGCTTCCAAATCTGGCGTCGAGCTCAGCAAGGAGCAGACCGATGAGCAAAAGGCGAAAAAGACGGTGAATGCCGTGGCAGCAGCATTTTCAACAGTCCAAACGCCAGCTTCCGCGGAAAATACTGAAGGGGTGAAAGAACCACCTGCAGCTTCAAACGCCGCCGGAGCAGCGATTCCAAAAGCGAAATCTTCTGCGACGGCGAGTCTGCTAGCTCAATTACAACTGCCTGCGTCTGTATCTGACAAAGTGAATAAAATTATTGCGTCCGGAGACAAGGCAAAACGAATCAAACCTTTGCAGGTAGCTTTTATTTCAAATTATATGCCATGTTGAACAAAACTTTTTGATAATGCTAGCTTAGGTGAAATAGAATTCTATATTCCCGATTATTTCGTACTCTCATTCTATTTTTACAGAGTTTTGAACCGAAAAAGTCAGCGGAAGCGTCTTCAGCGAAACAAAGTGCGCTCCGCGATGATAGAGATGGTCATTTGATCTATGCGAATGGTGATCGCCTGATGAACAGATGTTAGTTTTTTTCCTAATTATTCGATTTATTCATGTCAAAAAAACTACTCCATCAGTCCTACTTTTTCAGTCACGATTCTTGATACTCTTGGTGAAGGAACTTTTGGTAAGGTTGTCAAAGTTCAGGACACTCAAAAGGTAGTCATCAAATAATTGTTTTGTAAGAAAACGTTTTTTTTTCCAGAATTCCAACAAAGCTTTGAAAATCATCAAAAACGTCGGAAAATACAGAGACGCGGCAAAACTTGAAATCAAAGTAATACTCGATCAATGATCATTCTCAATCAAATATCGATTTAAGGTGCTGCAAAAGCTTCAAGAAAAGGACCCGAACGATGAAAAGTGAGTCAATTCAGAAGTTTTCTTCCTTTTTTGGAGGGTTTTCGTGAGTTTGAGTACGTTGCGTGAGTGCGCGTGAGTGTCATGAGGTAGAATGGCCAGCTGTGGTTTCACAGAACAACTGTTGTGAGTGAGTGCTTTGCTGCTGCAAGTGCCGAAAGAAAAGCGAACGAAGGCTTGCATAGGTGTCCGTGCGTGTGGACGCTTCCGAAAAAATCAGCTTCAAATTTAGGAAATGACCAGCGAGAAAAATCGATTTTTTTCTCGGAATTTCATTTATTTTGCTAAAGCTTTCAAAAATTGAAGGCTGGAATAAATTGTCAAAACATCGTTATTGGAATTTTTAGTTGTTGAAATAATGATTAGACATATTTCAATAATAGAAAGTCATAGAAATGATTCAGAGAAAATAAAATTCCTAACACAAAAAAATCGATTTTTTGTTGCTTGAAAAAGTTCCTTAATGTATTACTTAAAAAAAGTTGAAAAAAATTCTTTTCTTTCCTTTGTCACCAGCAAAAAAACTCACTACAAAAATTCCCCGCAAGGAACAAATTCAAAAAAAATTTTTTCTGTAAGTTACAGTAACCAAATTGTATAAGAATATTTTTTTGTTTTTTTATAACTTTGTTAAAAACTATTTTTTTGACACGAAATTTCATTGGGCTTTCGAAAAAGGGCAAAGAAACATTCTGACTCAAATTGACAATGACGTAATTTTTACTTAATTGGTTGAAATTTAAGGTCAAAATAATTGTTATTGACAGAGTTACGGACAAAAAAATCTATTTTTGGCTACTGTATATTCTAATTATCAAGAACTTTCAGCCAAAAAGACGGTCATTCAAGTTTTCAAGGTCAAAAAAAATTAACGAAACGAAGATTTTTTAATGCTTTTTTCCAGCTTTTCACTTATTGAAATTTTCCGTAAAAAAAGTATTTTTCTGAGGTCAATACGAAAATAAAGCGGTTCTAAGCTTACAAAGAAAAAGACTGAAAAAGATAAAAAAATTTTTTTGGAAAAATACATAGTTTTTTTAATTTTTTTAACTCGTGTAATTTGTTTGAAAAAAATCAAACAATTCAAAAAATTTGTCGAAATTTCGAAATATTCGTCTGAAACGAGTCAGATGTAAAAAGTTTCAAGTACAGATGAAACAGGAAAAAACATGAAATTTACAGTTGGGTCATTCACATGGAAGACCACTTTGACCTAAGCGGTCACATTTGCATTCTGTTCGACCTGATGGGACTCAGCATTTTCGATTTTCTGGTGAGCCGGAGCTGAAACGGGAAGTTAATTTTAAATTATTTTCAGAAAGCGAACCATTATCGACCGTATCCAATGGAGCACACTCTACACATCGCGTATCAGTTATGCCATGCTGTCCGGTTCTTGCACGACAATAAGCTGACGCATACGGATTTGAAGCCGGAAAACATTCTCTTCACTTGCAGCGACTACACGACGGAGCACGATAAAGGAAGAGTAAGTTTTAAGATTGAACCACTTTTTTTTAGCTCTGAGATGCGTTAGATTGCAAAAAACTTGTGTTTCTTCAAATTTAGTTTTTTTTTTTTGAATTTCAAAAGACGTAAAGATTTGCTTTACCACCTCATTAAGATGATCACAAGGATATAAGAACTTCAGATTGAATCGTTTTTTCAAGCTTCAAATTAACCTTAGCGTTCTCAAAAACTTAAAAATGATGGTTTCCGAAGATAAGCGAAACAGAAGAGAGGGCTAAAAATAAGAATATTTCGAAGGTGAACTGGCCCATTGAGATTCTGCGATTTCTTCCATAGTACATTGAATGAGAGATTTTTAAAACCTCTGTTGTTTAAAATACATTTTCTCAGCGTAAAATTTCCAACCACGATCGTCTTTTATTCAAAAATACTATTTATATTAAGCGAGTTCTTTTTTTTGTTAAAAAGCACGAAAAAAATTTGTAAAATCGGCAAAGATAGATTACGGCGGCTCCACATGCGCCTTTAACATGAGCCTCATTTGATGACTCATTTCCTTTTTTTTTATTTAGTCTATTAAAAGAAAATGTGAAAACCAATGAAATGGACGTGAACAAAAACCGAATACATTTAAAACAGAAATAAATCACCAATTGAGGCTCTTATTAAAGGCACATGTAGAGCCGCCATTATCTGGTCTCGCCGCGTAAGTTATACCGCCCCTTTGCTGGAGCTGTGATCGGACTATAGTTAGGTTTTCGGTTTTCAGTTCAGGAGTAAAATGAAAAACGAATATTTTGGAATGATTACAGACATATCGAACGCTGAAGAACACGCATGTCCGCTTGATTGACTTTGGCTCGGCAACTTTCGACACCGAACATCATTCAACTATCGTCTCAACTCGACACTACAGAGCTCCTGAAGTCATCCTGGGTATTTATTGTCCAACGACTCATCTGAATAATTTGATTGAAGAACTTGGTTGGCAACAACCGTGCGATGTCTGGTCGATCGGTTGCATTTTCTACGAGCTGTACACTGGAACGACGTTGTTCCAGACACACGAGAACCGTGAACACTTGGCGATGATGGAAAGAGTTCTTGGTGAAATCCCGATGAGAATGGCCAAGAAGACGAAGTGAGCCGTTCTTCATGATTTAGGGGGGGTTGAAAAAAAGATAGGCTAAACCACTTCTCAGGAGAAACTCATATAATCAATTTTCCCGACTTGAAAGGCAAGGTGGGTAGCGTTGCGTGTGCGACGCGGCTTTTGGTCGGGAACTCAAGGTCAAACATGAATCACTTTTTTTTCTCACTTGTCGACACCTTCCAATAAATCGGATTTACTACGGTATTTGACTCCCGCCAAAAACCACAACGCATACGCAGCGCTTCACCTTCGCCAATCAAGCTATGTCGCCTTTCGAGCCAAGAAAAATCGACTATATAAAATATTAGAACTTTTTTAATGAAAGGAGGCTGTATCATTTCTACATCCGACCTTCAGCGGTTTACCCCGTCTGTCTCTCTCAAAAAGATTGATCGTTTTAACTATTTTAACACGATCCATACAGATAAATAAATCTAGTTCGATTTTTCCGTCCAAAATGAAACCCCAGCATAGGCATTCACCATTTTTAGAAAAAAGGGGAACTTTTGAAAATCCTCACTGTTTTTGAAAGTTTTTAAATTCACGTTTGGGCAGAGTCGGAATGGTGGATAATGGCCGCTGAAAGGGAGAGGCTCAAAAATGGTCGCAAAAAGGCCACAAAACGAGTCCTTTTATCGAGCCTTTCATTTTTTGGGATTTTGAAAGCTCAATGAATAGTGGAAAAAAGGATAGGCAGTAAAAATATTGCGTAAGAGCCGATGAAATAGCGCAAAAATACAGCAAAAAAAGAACAATTCTATGGAGCCTTTTCCATCGTTTCCCATTTTGCCTATGTTGATAGATCTCTGAGGCAGTGAATGTGCTTATTTTTTCACGATCAAACCATTTTGAATATACCTCGCTTGAATATTTGAATATTTGTTACCTCGTTGAAAAAAAAAAATGAATTTGCTGTGATTTTCAAGGTCTGAAGGAATTTTTCTACTGACGATTTTCAGAACGAAGTTCTTCGTGAACGGCCGTCTTGACTGGGTCCACTCTTCCTCTGACGCCCAATATGTTCGAGACAACTGCAGACCGCTCAGGGTATCTTTATCATTCATTCCATTTCCACCGAAAATCCTTCATTTCCAGCGGTCGATGACTTGCACGGAGCCGGAGCACACCGAGCTGTTCGAGCTCATCGACATGATGCTCATGTACGAGCCCATGTCCCGTTTAAACCTCGCAGAAGCTCTCGAACACCGATATTTCCGACGACTTCCTGAGCATCTCAAAATTTGTCAACACTGATTTCTAAAATTTCTTTTTTTCCGTTTCTCATTAATAGAGTAGTTCTAACTGATTTTTGTTGCACGTGTTATTTTTCCCAAAATTTTATTTACTACATACTTGCAGAGATTCCTATTCATATAGCTATTGCACAAATTTATTTTTCTGTGTTCCTCCTCCTAAAAGGGTCATTGTTTTTTTTTTCTCTGTATTTATTGTGTTTCTTGGCATCTTGTAATTTGTTTCGATTTGCATTCGTCTACCGATTTGACGAAAAAAAACCAAAATCAAAAAAAAAAGAGGAAAGTTGTAAAGCATGAACGGGATAACAGTTATCCAAGAAGCATTCGTCTTATTCGTGCGCGCGAGCACGGGGTCGGCTTTTCCCCGAAAAGCCTGTCATTTTTTCGCGCGACGTACTTTTCCTTCCGGTAATTCTTTTTTCCATTAACCCTACTAACATGTCCCCTTTTTTTTCAATGAATATAGCATATTCGATCTGAAATACTTGTTGTTTTGTCCAATAAGAATTGAGCTGGGTAATTGAAAATAGTATCAAAAATCTGTTGCCTTCCCGAAAGTAGACAGCTCGTTTTTTTCCTGACAGTCTTTTTGCACTCGTTGCCCAATGCTCCTCCGTGCTTTTTTGTTTCGCTTCACTGTCTTTGCGATATTTCGCTTGTAAATTTTTATTTATGCCTGTAGACCGTCGAAATAAAATTTTTAACTGTGCGCAGTATCGGAATGAAAGAATGAGTCTAAAAAAACTTTGAAATTTAATATTTTCGTCTAGAAACTCGACAGAAAAAAACTTTTTGAAATATAAAAAATAGCTTTCATGTTTTTGTACTGTTATAAAAAAATACGAGTTTTGACAGCCTTTTTCGTCGCTGGAAATTGATTTTTCTCGCTTGTTTACTGGAACCTCGATTCGAAAAACAAGACGCTAGTTAATTGCGCTCCACGGGTAATTTTGACGAACAAGCGGATTGGAATGGTTGTTTGTCAGCTTGGTCAACAATTTCAGTTCCTTCTTTTTTTCAAATTTTTCCTTCTCGATTCAATTATTTTTTTATTTTTATTTTTTTGCCTGAATTTTTTTCTTCAAATGTTATTTTTTTCTGTACGGTAAAAGACTTACAATTTTTAACTTTTTGTTCTCCGCGTTTCACAATAACCTCAAAGTTTGAAGATGATAAATGTAAATTTTTTTTTCGTCCCAATTAAGCACATTGCCCGATGCTTTTTCGTTAAAAAAATTTTGTACGCTGTTTTATTTACTTTCCAATTTTTAAAATTCACTGAATTTTTTCCAGAGTTAAGATGGTGCTTGTAAATGTCAAATGGGGTCGTGAGAAGTACGAAGTCGACCTCAACATTGATGAATCTCCACTTTTGTTCAAATCTCAACTGTTTGCCCTGACCAATGTTTTGCCGGACCGTCAGAAGCTCTTGGCTAAGGTTTCATTGAAAATGTTGATATTGTAAAAAAGTGAAACTTTCAGGGACGCACAATCGGTGACGAAAGCTGGGAGGGCCTTACCGTAACTCCCGGCATGATGTTCATGATGATGGGGAGGTTCGTTTCGTTACATTCATTTTGGATAAGTTTTTTATTTTCAAACTTTTCAGTTCTGCCCCGATTCCGCAAGCACCGGTGCCCGGAGGCTTTGACAAAGACGACCATCCTTTGGAACCTCGAAAGGCTGTGATTTTACCACTTGGTCTCGGAAATCTTGGTAACACATGCTACTTCAACTCTGTTCTTCAAATGCTTCAGGTACGGCTTTTTGATATAACTCAAAGCTTTCAAATATGAGAATAGTTTACTGTTTCATGAAAAAAATGGTCTACCCTGTCCTACTTTGAGTACTAAATTACTTTTGAACCCATATACAATCAAAAAAATTCATTACCAAGTTTTTTTCATAAATTAAATCAACGCCACATTTTTCCAATATTTGAATGAGTTTTGATCCTGCAGGTTGTTCCGGAGGTTCATTCAACGTTGAAGGCAACCAAACATCCCCGAATTTCGCTTCTAAGCGAAATGAGCAAAACGTTCACGATCATCAACGATCCAGAATATGCTGAAGACAACACCCACGTCCAGCCATTTGTTCTTCTTGAAGTTTGAATCAAATAGAGGCCTGACAAGTTTGAATGGTTTCAGACTCTGCGCACCCATTTCCCACAGTTTGGAAGTGTTTCTGCAAGTGGCACTATGGAGCAGCAAGACGCCAACGAATGTTACACCGTTCTTTTGAACACCGTGCTTGCTTCGACCGATAGGAACACTGGTAAATTGATCGATTCCCGTTTGGCTTGTACTATAGCTTATGAAAGAACCTTCCACAGAAGAAGTAGAAAAAGTTTCGTTTAAAAACTTGTTGAAAAGTGTTTCAGGACACCCTGATCACCCGAGGAAATAAAATTATATAACTTAAATTAGCAAATTTTTCCAGAATCGAGAGACAATGCAAGAAAATACTTCGGGGGGAGGTTCGAAGTCAAAACCAAGTGCATCGAATCTGAAGAAGAAGAAGTTACAACATCCTCAGAAACATTCTACCAAGTGAGATTCCAGAAGAAAAAAACATCTTGCAAAATCCAATGTTCAGTTATCTTGCTTCTTGAACCAAGATGTCAAATACATCCAGACCGGGATCAAGTGTGGAATGAAAGAAGAAATCGAGAAGTACAGCAACGTTCTCGGACGCAACAGCAAATGGTTGAAAGAGGTTCTCCCAATGAAAAGAAAAAAAAGTACAGAAACGTGTAGGAATTGATTGCACGTCTTCCGAAGTACGTCTCGATCCAACTTGTTCGCTTTTTCTACAAAGAAAACTCTCAGGTTTTTCTAATAGCTTTACAAAAAATGACAATTTTGTTAAAGACCAGTGCGAAGGTTCTGAAAGATGTCAAGTTCCCGATGATGCTCGACTTGTACGACGTCTGCACTCCAGAACTTCAGGCTAAGCTTCAGCCCATGCGCGCTTGCATCAAGGTTCATAGAAGTTTGAAAATTTTCTGAAAATCAAGTTTTCAGGAAGAAGAAGATGCGAAAATTGAAATCGAGCAGAAGAAAAAGCTGATGGACAAAGATGAAGCAAAAGTAAACGTTTGCGAGATCAAATAAAAAAATCATTAAATGAAAACTAAAGAGCTATGTTCGTATTTTGATCACAATTTCAAAGAAATTCTCAAAAAGAACAACATTATGTCGAATTTCGAAATTATTCGCGTCGAAAAAATCTTGAGCCTAACCTCACAAAATTTCTTTGAAACTGTGATCAAAATACGAACTTTTGGTTTACGGTTTTGAAAAGACTTCTCCCTAAAAACGTTGAAAAAATTCTAGTTTTCTCTTTTTTTTTTGATGACGTAAAGATCCGTTAGATAAGTGAGAAAAATTCTCTTTTCCAGAAATTCAAAGACAACGGCGAAGTTCTGCCAAGCGAGTTCGAAGATGACATTGGCAGCAACAACTCCGGATTCTACGAACTCCAGGTGACGATTAAAATTTTTTTACAACAAATGAATTTTTGTAGGCGGTCGTATCTCACAAAGGACGAACTGTGAAGTCAGGTCACTACGTGGCTTGGATCAAGTCGGAAGGAAAATGGCTTCTTTGCGATGATGAGAACGTCACGCCTGTGGATGCGGAAAACGTTGGTTATTTTTTGAGGCCTTCGATGTAGAAAATTTTGACTTGAGTTTGAAACTGGATTGGGAAAATGATTTAAAAATGATTTAAACTGCTCATGCTAAAAGTTAAAGCTTCAAGTTTTAAACTACTTGAATGTGGAGCCGATTCACGTCTAGCTTGGGGGCGTGTCCTGTCTGCGCTTTTTACCAACCAGGCACTGTCTCCTTTATTATCGTGTCGAGACCCATTTTTTGATTGCTCAAGCCAGTATATCATCAAAAAACTATAAATTTTGAGTCGCTATCTTTTAAAATTTTTCATGAGGCTCAAAACAGATTGATAAGAAATATTGAAAAATCTGCTTCACATAAGCAAAAAAAAACTGCTATAATGAATATTCCAGGTCCTGAAAACCTCCGGGGGTGGAGATTGGCACACGGCCTACATTCTTCTCTACGGAGCGCGTCAGGTCAAGAAGTATCCTGCTCCAGCGGCCGAACCGGAGCCCATGAACTGAGAAGTTCCCATTTTGCTCCCTCTAATTTATGGAAAACTCCCTTGTCAGACTTATTTGCACGTTGACACTTTTTTCACTCGCTTGCATATTTGAGATTCTTCTTCGCGAACAGTTCTTGACACTACGTGTGTTGTCTGTGTACCCTTTGTTTTGAACGAGTAAACTAAATTTTCTTTTTTTTATTTGATAAAAACAAACACTTTGTTATAAAAATAAATGAATAAATTAAATTTTTTCAAGTTGGCATTGTGTTTTTTTCGAAGTCCTCGTCTTTGAGAAGACCAGAATCCTTTCGTTTCTTTGATTTGCACACTGCCGAGACAACTCTAAAGATGAGAATGACGAACTCCATGAGACTCATCACACTTGCTCCTAAAAAAAGACAAAAAAACTTTAGAAGAAATAAAGAGGCTGATTAGAAAAATTTGTACTTAAAAAAATTTTTCGAATTGAGCTTTCATGAATCAAGACAAACTACATACACTAGAGAGGGGATATACCAATTTCGAAAATGATCGATTTTGCATTGGATTGCCCTTACGTACAAAAAACTCACCAAGCCATAAACCAGCTTGACCTCCCATGTCAGAAATGAGGTTGACAACTGAATAAGATTCCGACTCCGTCAGTATTTCATAGCTCATTTGTTCGTAGTAGATTTCGATCATAGCCGCATGTTCCCTTCAAAAAAAAAAGACCTGTTCATTCTTATTGGAAAAATTCTCTGATATGTGCTAGAAAACGCAAACGAAATAAAGCAATTTTCTCAAAAATTCTTATGATTTCCAATCCCATTCGGTATTTGTATTAGGAATGTTCCATTAAAATTCAAAAACCTGCGATTTTTCAAGAACCTTACCTGTAATAACTGTTGCAATCCTTGATCTTCTCATCGCAATGAGCTTTCATGCTTCCACTGGGCCACTTCGCAGCGGAATATGTAGTCGTGTACTGATCTTGCTTGCACGGGTGCTTGCATTGACAGTGATTTTTCTTTATGGATAAACTCGCTCCTTCACGAAGTAGGCACTGATCTGAGAGAAATATTTTTTAACATTATACCCGATTCAGAAGAATTTTTTTTCGTCCGCTACGAATAGAAACCGGGTAGGAAATACTCACTCATGTCCTCGTTCCCACTGTCACAAAATGGAGCTCTTTCCCACGGGTTCGGGAATCTTGGATCAGCACAACCGCATTGTTTGATTATTCGTCTTTGGTAACATGAGCGGTAGCATCCCTGAAATATGGAATTATCTTTCAGAATAATCAAAAATTATTCAATAATGTTTTTAAGGCATTCCTTATGGCGTTTTGAAACTTCGAAAATTTCAATATTTCTTGAAGTGGTCCCTATAGGGGCAACCTTAGACCCTTGGAGGTCCCCTCTATCGACCACTTCACCAACCCCTATAGGGGCCACTGAAACATGCAAAAGGGGTCCTTATAGGGGACATTCTAATTGATAATTGTTCTGAACTCTAAGCGAAGAAGCATTTTCATGGGAAAAACTGAATAAGCGTTTTTCGAATAAAATTGGAAAACCTCTATAGGGACCACTCAAGCTTTAGAGGCTAAGGAGTTAGACTCTAAAACCCTATAGGGGCCATTTTGTCGGTTCTTTCAAGGGCTGTTTTCCCCCCTAACCCCTATAAGGACTACTCTAAAATTCCTAGGCAGGTATTTTTTTATAATCCTTCCTTTTGAAACAAACCTCTGGCTCGTATTTGAAGTCCCTGTAAATATAATTGACCGGCAATGTTTCTTTATCATAACATTCGTCCCGAGAATCTTTCAACCGATTCACTTTGCGCTGGAAAGTATAAAAAAGGAATGAAGTATGTATCGTAGCTTACAAGAGAAATTCCAAAAGAAGAAATGGCTCCTGTAGGAGCCGAGTACCCAAAAGTGTCCGGAAAAGGACATTCCCGTTTGCCGTGTATTGCGATTCGAACACCAGCTGCTTCTGTTGTAGGTAAGTAATCCGTGGAATTGACAAAAACCCTAAGTCGTAGACCTCAAAAACTTTTTACAATCATTTAAAAGTTAATTTTCTTTACCGTAACTGGGTCCAGCTCTGCTGCTGGACAAGCTTTTCTTTGGATCTGCATTGAAAGTGTAGCAATTGCCAAAAGACGGGTCAATGTGTAATCTTGAATGTTTTTTTCGGAAGTTCTAGATTTTTTGGTTACTTGAATTCGCGATCGATATCACATTGTTGGCCGTTGAAAGAACACATTTTGATCAACTCGGATTTGCCATAACCAAAAGCTGCTCTTCGTTTTGGATGCAAGGCTGACATTTTCAGGATCATCCTAAAGTTGGTTTCAAAACTTTTACTGAGAGGGGAGATAACTTTTCTCTGGCCTGAGTTGTGATCGCTACTTGATCAGTCATGTTCCCATAACCGAGTTGTGTGAGATGCTCCATGTATTCTTTTCTCAGAGGGCTGCCTTTTTGTGGGATGGATTTGCCTCGAAACTCCCAAACTCTTCTCAAACGCCGCTCCGGTCGCAACATACAGTAACCCATTGCCTGAAAACCGATTGTGTATTTTTTTTTGTATTTCTCTCACCAATTGACAAAAGCATGGAATAGTGTCTGTTCCAGTGGTATTCGGGAAATTGCAGAATCCAATGTCGTTGCACTCCGGGCAGATAGATTCTCGCCAAGTTCTAAATGAATTTTGGTGCTCTAAATAGTGCAAGGCGTCGGCCAAAATTCAGTTTCGAGGCTCAATCGGTGTGATGATTGGTTGCAAAAGCATGAAACATCCGGTTCTTTTAAACACATGTAATCAACAAAAACAAAAAAAATTCAACTTCAATAGATAATTTGTTCAACGCGGACTTAAAAAAATTATTTTTAAACAAACCATCGAGAAATTTTTTTCACCCACATGAATTTTTTTGAACCTTCAGAGAAGTTGTATCTCAAAGCCATTTTTGTATGTTCAGAGAAATCATTTCATATTTTCAGAATCGATGAAAATTGAGCAGGAACTCTTTAGCTTAAAAAAAATGCAGAGAAAGCCATCCTGACATCTTTCCGAACAAGGTTTAGTTGGAGGTTTGGGGTTTTCTCCGCTTTTCCCTAACTTTCCAAACTAGTTTTGATTGATAGAGAGTCAAGATATTTCTCTGCTGGCTTACAAACAAAATAAAAAAAGTATTAGTAGCTAAACCTATACACAAAAAAAGGCGCTTAGGCGTCTCCATTTTTCACCTTGCCTTAATTAAGAATTTTTTTTGAAAAGATGGACTGACGTTGTACTGTAGCAAGGCCAGGCACTACCATCTTGTCGGTCGTAGTTGCAAATGCAGGCGTCACTCAGGCTTTGTGGCACGGTGTTCTTTCCTGAAAATCCGCTCTGGACTTTGGACTTCACTTCTGCCTATTCACCTATGCATTCTTTATCGGGTCCTTTCAAACAGGAGCAGTCCGAGTGAACTGGTTCATATTGAAGGTATCGAAAACCACCTGAAGAATTTCCGACTCAAAAAAGTAAATCAATTCTATTGCATTTTCTTTCACTCGAAACACTTGACTTAGTGGGAATAATGAGAGGGCAGTATATCAACTAATCCTACTGCGAAGAGTCAATCCATCACTATTGTCTTTAACGGCTTCTTCTTTTTCTCAAAAAGAAAAAGAAAAGAAATTTAAAAATACCATTATTGTTGGCTTCTCTTTTGCTTCTTTCTTTTGTTTCGTCGTCCTGAGCGTCGTTACTGTAAATAACGGCTTGGTGGAAGGCGTCGAGCTGAGAATCAATCAATGTGCCGATTCTGACGTTCTATGAAGTTACCGTTTCACTGATTTCCGGAACCGATCGTGCCAGGTGGTTTTTGAACGGGTTCAAGTTGCAAACGGTAATAGCGGGAAAAGGAGCGGATTCAAATTCCAACTGAAAATAAACGCTGCAGATTGAAACCACATTTCTCGACAAAACCTCGACTTTGGTTATTCTGTCACCTCGTGCGTATTTCTCAAAAACTAGAGAATACTGAAAACAAAGAGAACAAATTGAGACAAGTGTCAAAAACATCCAGAAAAGTTGTATTGATATGTGACCCGTTGTGAATACCTGGAATCTTTTTTTCGTGGAAGGATTTGAAAGAATATGGATAAAGTACCATGTTAACACCGTGAAAAGTAGTCTGTTCGCAGAAATCGACGACCATTTCTCGAACTGAGGGAGAAGATTCCCGACGATGGGCTTTTGATTTTTCATCTGTCACCCGCCCGAAGTCCTGGAATTGATAGAGATTGAAAAAGTTCTTTAATGATCATGCTTCCAAAGAGTCAGTTTATGAAGCTGAATCGAACTTCTAGAGATAATCCCTCTGATGATTTTCAAGCTAAAAACTCTGTATTTTTTTGCAATATAACCTTCAAACGCCGTGAATCTTTAAGGCATGTCTCAAGACATCATCCCGTCTAAGCCGACTAAATTAACCCTAAACTAACCAGCTTTATAGAATATTTTTCAAATATATAGCGCTCAAACGTTTTAGGTTTTATTTATCTTGAATATCTTCACGTTTTGAACATCTCCTCGTCAAGTCACTGACTTTCAAGACAGATCGAAGTTATAAGCAACGAATAAAAAAACAAGATTTGCTCAAAAAAATTCATAAATGAAGTTATTTCAAGTGCAATCGATAACGTGTAAAAAAGATTTTTAGCATTATCTCCAAATCTTACCCAAAAAAAGTCTTTCTAAATTACCAATAAACACCCAGTTTTGATCAAAAAAACGCAAAATTTACTTTGAAAAAAACTTTTTGCTGCAAAACTTGAAAACATTCAAATGGAATAAAAATTAGCTTGATTCGAATCTTTAAATCACCAAATTTATATCAGAAACTTTGAAAAATAATCATTTTTGTAAAATTGAGGCGTTTTGAATATCAAGGAAAAAAAACGAATCAATCGGAAAGTGGCTTTTAAGAATTCCGCTGCTTGAATTTTAAGGACCATTTACGGAGAGGTATTTCACGCCCACGCCAAATTGAAATGTTGAATTATTCACAGATCATTGTGAACATCAGAAGGGTTGCTTTGATTTAAATTTAAATGAAGAAAAAAACAATAATAAAGGTAAAATAACTGAAACCAGGTAAGCAATTTATTGAAAGACGTCTTTTTTTAGCTTTTTTTCAAAAAAAGTTATATATCTCAAAAAGGGACGAAAACTCTTTCGTTTCTTTTTAAAATGGTAGAGTTTCATATCAGAAAAAAATCGCAATTTTTTAACTTTTTTCAAATTACGGCGTGTACCGTCTTGCAGTACCGCTTAGAAAACTTCCTTTAAAATTTAAATCGTTCTTTTTCTTCTCATGACATCGAAAGATGATGAATTTCAAATAAACCGACCATTTTTGATTACTCAACAAAATTTCTTGAACCTTGGACATTTTGGCGAACGTCTGGGAAACATTCGACACAACCGAATGCGATCGCTTCCTATCATGCGTCAACTTGTCAGAAATCGGCAAAATAGTTAAATATGACGGTGGGGCGGTCTTCGATGGGGATGACATCATTTCGGAACAGCTCCTCACATGGTTGGCCAATAGAACAGCTTTTTTTCAATAAACCTTTTTTTAGGCCGCGCAGAACTGGTTGCAAAGAAAGCTATTCCGTAAGGAGAAGGGCGGAGCCTGTCGGCGCTTTCCAAGGTCCATCAATTTTAGTTCATTCGCGGGGTTCGTTGTTTCAGCTTTTTTTGAAATTGGGTTTATTTTAATGGTCCGCGCACGAAAATTAACAAATGATATGCGCGAAAATTAGAATTATTATTTATGAAAAATGTTATCGAGTTATTTTTTGCGATACATCGAGTATTAAAATTTCTTGAAGCTGAGAACAGTTTTCAATGTTTTTTTTCAGATAACGCAAGAAACTCAAATTAATAAACAATTTGTGGGAAAGCGTTCCAAAACAAAAAATCAACTGAAAACTGGAAAAAAAAATTTGATCTAATTGATTGATAAACAAGAAAAAGGGTGTGGTTAGTCAATACGTAAAATCGAAAATTTGTTTTTCCTCTTCAATGTGAGATTATCCCTACCATTTTTAGAAGAAACGTTTTTTGTTTGTTTTTATGAATTCATTCCGAAAAAAACGCCTGAAAGACTTACTTAGGAATTTCAGAAAGATCTCTATAGGAAATAAATCAAAGTGGACCCTATAGGGGTTTAGGGTCTGACCTCTTAGCTCTTAAAGCTCAAGTGGTCCCTATAGGGGTATTTCAATTTCGTTCAAAAAACGCTAATTTATTCAGTTTTTTGCATCGAAATGCTTCTATCGACTAGCATATCGCCTATTGTGGCCCCTAACGGAAACCCCTATAGGGACCGCTTTGGCTAGCTTCAGTGGCCCTTATAGGGGTTGATAAAGGGATCCCTCCAAGGGCCGCTAAGGTTGCCCTAGATGGATCACTCTGAAGCTCCTAAGTAGTTCTTTTTTCTGGAAACAAACTATTCCAGATAAAAATTTTTTTTTCATCGATCTGGTGTCCTAACCACAATATATTAAAAATTAACCAGAACTCTTTTCTTCTATTCTTCTGAGCTTTTTTTCAGGGAAATGTTCAAAACAACGCCAGAGACGCATTTTTTCTACTTTTCAACTGGTTCAAAATATTAGGCTACTCTATAAAACAAAAATGTTATAAAAAAATGGCTGAAAAAAAAGAAAATAAACAAACCTTCAAAGAAAAAGATGAGTACCAGGACATACGGAAAAAAGGAGGTCAAGTCTTGATTCTCATTTTCAAAAGTTCAGTTTGAAGCGGAACGGTGAGCCAAAGCGGCGTTCAACTTCCGAATGACTGGTGTCGTTGGCCAGACTTCAAAAAAGTCCTCAAAAGGGTGTTGAAAAGGGCCTTCAACATTCGGCTGACCCAATCCACAGGGGAGCAGTTACATTTCCGCTTCCGAATCTTCACGAATTTCAAGGGTAATCATTTCAAATGAAGAATTCTTTAGTTTTCAACTTGGGCTTTTTTTTGTGGATTCTTGTTTTTTGAGTGTGCGGCTATAAAATTTTGAGTTTTTCATCCAAATCAAGTAGGAGATGTATTGGAAGGAGGTTATTCTAATCTAAAGGGAGCCATTTTTCAGCATTTTTCGGCTAACGTCCCAAAGTTGTGGGAGGTCTCGAGCGATGAAAATAATTTTGTAAAGAGTTATTTTTTTGTTACTGACCTGACTCACATTAAACATAACTTTGATGAGTTAGAGCTAGAAAAATTTTTTAAAAAAATTCATTTTTTCATTCTATCGATTTTTTTGATGGCGATTTCTCAATCGAAACTTGAGATTCGCAAAAAGATTCTAAAAATTATTCGCCAAACAGTTGTCAGAAGCAATTTTTAATCTGTTTCATGAAATTTTTTTAACGAGTTGTTCAACGTATTTTTCAAAGTATTAAAAATTTTTTTCTGGCCTTCGAAATTTGTTTCGACGAAAGAAATCTCGCTTTTGCCGCAAAATTCAAATACATCTTGATGAAGCTTTATATTCATCTTTTTCCAAAGGATAGCATTCTATCACGCGATAAGTGACTTTCCTGAATTTATTCATTTTCTAGGGGTCTCAAAATGAGTAGGAAAAAGCATTTAAAATAAAAAAATGTTGATAATTTGAGTTTTTAAAATATAAATTTTATTATTTATCTTAATTCTAGGAATATTAAAAAAAATCTCGTTCTTCCACATATTGGTTAAAGTTTTTTTCGACCAGGAAAAAAATTTTTTTCAGTTGTATCCAGCTTTTCATGGATTTTCACTATAACTATTTAAAGTGCAATGTGAGAATTCGTTGTTTTTCTTGCCTAATATGTTTCTCAGCCCGGATCTCTACCAAAAGTCTACGAACAAAGTGCGATAGCGCAGACTTGATTCCCCTGGGAAGTCAAAGAGCAATCGCAGTTCGGATTTATTGTGCACGTGCCTTTAAAAGGAAACCGAAGAAATGCTCACACTGAAAACCCTGGCTTCAATTTCTCATTGAGCAGCCCGACGCCGCTTCTGTGTATCTGGTCGAGATAAGACCCGAAGTTTCGAGAGGATTGATGCGATGGAAAACGACAAGCATTCAACATGTTCCACCCTCCTGGGGCATTTCATCTTTCGTTCAACTTTTTTTGAACTTTGGGCGAGCTTTCTGTAATCAACGTGCAGCTCGGAGCCGTCGAAAGATTTATAGCCTAGCTCGAAGATTCTAATTTTTTTCAATCTTACCCCGGTCTGAACCGATTGGCCTCGACTATTAGGAAATTCCCTTGAGGTCGTGGTTTTTATGAATTCTTTATTCCATGTTAGCCGAGATTTTTATGACGGCCATGGTAGTAAAGTGCAAAAAACAAGGCTTAATGGGTTCTTCTGCGGGTTTTCGCTTTCTTTTTTGACACTCAAAAAAGTTTTATGGGCAAAAATAAGATATATGGAAAAGTTTTGATGGTTTTTTTGGTACTCGTTTTCTAGATTGAAATCGAAATAAAAGGTTTTTTTTTGTTTGAAGTTAGTGCAAATATTCATGAAAAAAATTTTTTTATTTTTCATAATGAACTATGATGAGAACTATGATGAACATTGATTATTTGATGAAGTTAATAGAAGTTCACTCAATCTTTTGAAAAGGATCGAGACGTTTTTTTAAATATCAGCGACATAAGTCAAAGTAGAAATTGTATAGAAAATGCTTCAAGACTCATGATTTTCTAGGACATCATTTTTATCTTCTCTATAAAGGTCTCCTTCCACAAAATCAAGAAAGATAGAGAAAAGACGTACCTTTATATGTGACTTGTCAACCAAAGCCTGCCGCTCTTTCAGATTTTCCTCAGTTTCTCTTCTCAGAAGAGTAGGCGTCCATCTGTAGATGAGCCCACGGCGTCTCGAGAATCCACACGGCATCACATTAGTTCTTCTGAATCCGCCATTTTTTCTTTCGTGATCTAGGCTGAACGAGTTGTCAGAAAGTAAGAAAAAGCGAAAAGATTGAACTTTGAAGTTTATTTCTTGATAAAAAGAGATAAGAAAAAGCTTAAAAAAAGCTCTAAAATGACAAAAAAAATTTCTTTTTTTAACCTTATTAGTTTGAATCAAACTTTTTCTCGCTGTACGCAGCAAGTTTTTTTGAGAAATAAACTTCTATTTTTGAAACACGAATCCTTCAAACATTCATCAAAATTCCTTCGATACCGAAGCACACTAAAAAAATAAAATTAAAAAAATCTCTTTTTGAAACTTCTTCCTGGTCTCCCTTCAATTTTTGAACTCACCTTCTGGAGCCCATTTCTTCCAGATACAAAAAACCACAGAACAGTGACAGAATCGACGTTAGAGCAAAAAAAAAATGTTCCACCAAGGATTAATTGCACGCAAAAATGGCCTTTCGGGAGATTGAAAGTGACTTTTATTTTAATTTGCAACGCGGAGAGGTCAGAAAAGGAAGTAATCTACTCGAATACAAGATGTTTTCAGGGCGTAAAACGAATAAAGTAACACTTACGCTTCTAAAGAGTTTCAGACACCATCCGGTTTTTGAGCGAGAAAACCTAAACTTAGTTTTGCTCTTTTCGATAGGACAACTGAATTGAAAACGGAAGAAAAAGTTCGAATGGTTTTCATTTTTGCAGCGGGAATTGATGTCAGAACAGGAAGAAAAACCCGAGTTTTGTATTAAAAGCAAAATTCATTTTCCACATTTTACGTGACCATGAGTTGATGAGTTTTGGCGCATTGAAAAGTTCAGAAGGTTGAAAAACGGAAAATTTCAAAATTTTCTCAGTTTTCGCATTTAAAAATTAAACACGAGAGTCGAGACACACAAAATTCCCAAAGTCATATCAGTTCTTCTTCTTAAATTGCAAAACAAAAAAAAATGAACCAAGAGATCGAACCGAGGAAATTCAAAGCTTCAAAAATAAAAAAGGTGCGAAATTGAACTTTATGATCTTCCTTTTGAACTAGAAAAAGTGAGAAAATACAAACTTTCGGTTGAGAAAATTTTGAAGTTCAACTGAAGGGGGAGGAAATTTCCTGAAAATTCGTCAAAACGCTTTTCAATGTACCGGATGAAGATTCTCAAAGTCTCAAACTTCAGAAATTCCTAATTTTTGAATAAGGACGCTTCAAGGTCTAAGTGGACTCTTAAAATCCGTTGATATAGTATTTTTTGGACTTTGAACCCTCCTTTCTCAAAAAACTGGGAAGTTGTGTGGGATGTGGCTTTTAGTATCTTCATTAGGTAATTAAGAGGGCATTATGCAAATAACAAATGACAGAAAACAAGAACAAATTCAATGAACAAAAAGACACTGTAAGGTTCTCCTACAATACAAGAATTTGAAGAGCAAAATATGAAACGGTAAAGATGAATAAACACTTAAAAAAGTTGAAAATAGAAAAATTTCTCTTGTGGAACCTATGGGATTTTTTTCAAATATTGGTCAAAAAAAGAGTGAGAAAAAAGGGCAAGATGTCCAGGATAATGGAGATCGACGTGAAGTTTGTTGAGGTCGGCCAAAAATGTTCGGGAGCCTCTCCAAGTTCTGCCTCGCATATGAATGTAATGCTCGGATCTGCCGTTATCTGAAATCTCCGAGCCGAGACTGGCAGGCGACGTCCAAGACGCGCAGGCGACATCCCTCTACGCACTCCAACAAGGACAAATCACTTTGCTCTCATGAATTCTCGAGAGCCCACTTGCGCTGCTTTATGGTCTCTCTTACCATTGTTTCCTTTTTTTCGAACAGCTTAATTTTCACTCGTTATTAATTTTTTTTTTTCAGAAAGTTTGAAAAATCTCCGATTTTCGGAAAGATTGCATACTCAAGAACTTTTTTTGCTCAATCCAAGTTCTTAAAATTTTTTTTTTTTTTTTACCAAAGTTTGTTGGTTTGAGCCAATTTTTTGGATGGTGTTTGAAAACATCGAGATCTCCGAAATTATTTTCTTTGCAAAAAATGAAATGTCAAGAGGATATTTGGAGCCGATGATGACCTGAATGCTCTGCAAAAAGTTTTACCTCGATTGCTCAAAAAAAACCTTCAAACTCTTCCTTAATCATTTCCGACTTTTCGAGCACAGCGTTTTCGTTTTTTGAAGACGAAATGAATGAATTTTTGAGATTTGCTTCATAATTTCCAACCATTTTTTATGAGGATCTGTTAGAAGCTTACCTTATATGCACATAACTTACTAATATATAAGTTCCATGGAAAGATAATGATAAAAGAAGTCCGAATCTTAAAAAACCAATGTTCAAGACAACGCTTCTGATAGAAAATGAATTCTTCGCAAAATACTGTTCGCGGTTTTTTTAAAGGAGGGATTTAATCAGTATGAATGAATCAATAAAACACGAACATAATTTCACAATCAGTCACTGAGTTAATGTAACTTTTTTCTTACCAACATTGAGTTCACCTTATCAACCGCACATTGTTCCACATGAATTAACAAAAAATAACGTCATTTCATCAGAGTTTTCAAAGTAAAGTCAGTTTCTTTGAAGTTAAAAAATCGAAGTTTTCCTAAAGGTTCAGTCGATCGCAAAAAATATGAACAAAACTCACAGATGTTCTGGAAAAGTATCGGAAACAATAACAAAAGTAAGCACTTCTCACCAACCAATTTCCTATTCACACGACTTTCCTTCACAGTTCAGTGATTTTAATGAAGAAATTGCCCAAATCCACTCTAAAAGTACTTTGGGAAAACTTTTTATGATGAATAAAACCGAAATCGTGTAAAAAAGACTCTATATAGCTAAAATTGCACGTGAAGGTTGCGGGCCAAAATGCCCAAAAAAATTATTTTTGAAAAATTTCTCGCGTTTGAAGGTTTCTTTTTTTGCATAAAGGTGGAGATTGGAACATTTCCGTCGACTTAAAAATAAAAAACCAAACCTGAAATCTTTTTAGTGAAAGTAGTTTTCGAAATTCTTATTCAATATAGTAGAAAAAAATCAATTAAACTCACATAAATTTGTTTAAAATTCTTTTTTTGATCTTCAAGTTTTTTTGTTTTTTTCGTTTTCCACAGTTTTCTATTATGACCCTAGAAAAAAAGCAAAAAGCTTACGGCAAGCCGAATTCCCAAGCCGTCTCCGATCCAAGTACTACCGGCTCTCAACGTTGCTTAACTTGCCAGATCGGACGGGATGGCGTGTTTTCAACGTGATGTGGTCGTAAGCGAACGCAGAAACGTGTCGCGAGAATACATCCTCGGTCAAGGCGTTTGTAGGCGCTAGAAGGTTTGCAGGAAGAAATAAAAATTTTTCATAATTTCAATGATATTTTTGCACATGGAAAAATTTTTTTGAAAGTTGAAGTTTGGAATTCTTCATAATTTGCTCGAACGGTCTTTGGCTATTCAGATCAAAAATATTCATAGTTTCTCTAAATTTCGGAGATTCAAGCTTGTGAAAGAATATTGGATAGCTTCACATAGAAAATCTGAAAGTGCTCCTGCTTTTTTCAGATTATTTGAAGTGTGTTTTAACTTCTCTCCCTAGAAACTTCACTTTAAAACTTGTAAGACTCAAGACTACTGTAACAAGAAGTCAGTAAAACATAAAACCCCCTCCAAAATTTTTTTTAAAAGAATCAAGTAGCCGAAAATGGTGAGTATTTTTTTATTTTTTTCATCCGTAACTTTGTCGAAAACAATTATTTTGATTTTTAAATTTCAATCAAGTGAAACTGATGTTTTTCGAATATTGGAAAAAAACGGATTGAACCAATCAATAAATTATTTTTTTAGCATCAAACTTTTTTTGAAATTTCAGGTTTAAAAAAAACGTTTTTTTCAACAAAGTTCTGAACAAAAAAACCAAAAAAATACTCACAAATTTCCGCTACTGTGTTTAGTTCGGAAAAAAAATTTTAGACATTTCTTTAAAAAAATCTTCACATTATTTGAAATAATTTTTGAGAGTCCCATAATAGAACTAAAAAGCTTATGACAAGGATAATTCCTTCGATGAGATTCTGAAATTTTTATTTCATTTTTTTGTTACGAAGAAAAATTCATTTTATTTCGGAATAATCCTCGTATGTATAAACATTAAAAAAACTCTGAAAACTTCATTTCACCGGGTGCATAGGAATATGTGTACAATTATACAACATTTCTTCAATTTGAAATGGAAATATCAAGAATTATTTTCATACTGAGCACGGGAAACTACGAATAACCCGTTAAGTTGCTTTTTTTTCAAAAGCTTTGTAAATTGCTGTAAATATTTTGTATGAGGGCAATTGTTCAACTGAATTGATAGATTTCTGGCCACTTGGAAGTTCGAAAACAGAAACCCGGATTTAACTAAGAAAAATTGGTACTGATCTGTAAATAATTTTTTTTAAACTATTATTAAAAAATCAAACTTCTCACATGCTCTTGGATAAAATCTCTGATGAAACATTCTTCAAAACATCCTAATTAACCTAATCTATCTGAAAAACAAAACTACCAAACGTATTATCATGGGACAAACATGCTAATTATTGGAAATTCAGACACATGACAACAAAGCGAAAACTAACACAGATCTTATAGAACATTGTGGGGAAAATCATGTCACCGGAGAGTTTTTTTTTTCAGAAACTGCAACTCGTTGGAATTGTATGATCACACTCGACTTTTGCTTGAGTTGGTGACTTTTCGATGGGCCATGTCAAAAATAATGACTCCACAAAAAGGAGAGGAGGTTACAAGAACCCGGAAGTAATGTGGTGATGATCTTCTTCGGTTTCTTCTGTATCCGTGGCTTGAGAATCGAAGTCGAATACTCTAAAATCAACTTCATTTTAATTCAAAATGGTGCTCCTCTTCTTGAAAACGTTTGAATGACCGCATTGACAAAAAAAAATATTTCAAAAAATGACACGAACATGACGATTGTGAAAATTTTGAAGAACTTTAGAATTTTTTTCATTGTCCAAAAAAAAACATTCTTTAGACGACAAACCTTTCTGTCTGGTCGAATAAAGCATAGTGAACCTCGAATTTCGACGCCTTTTCGTTCATGAGAACCATCGGTTTGAATCTAAACAACGGTTTTGTGACACCCTCTCGACTTTCAACCTTACTTGTAACCCCATAGAATTTCATCAGGTAGAAAAGAAGTTCGAGCTTGAAAAGTCATACCAGTAGCCTCTACGATGCCCTCTACTGTCATGATCAGCTCGAAATCTTCTTTCTGAAAAATAATATTTCGTGGAAGATTTTTGAACCTCAAAGTCCACCTGAATTGTTTCTCGTGTCATGCCGTGAAGAGGGCTTGATTCGTCGATCACGTGCCTCACGATAATTGGCCTGAGTTCATTTAGAGTTCATCTGGATTGAGATTAAAACTCACCAAAGAAGAAGTACTCGGTCCAACCCGCTGTCGTACCCAACATTCATATCTTTGACGCCGATTAGCTCTCTGTCTCCTCTCTGAAGAAGAGAATGAATTATTGAGGTTGATTGGGCAAAAAAAGCAACCATTTTTTTTTTATTTACATATTTCCCAAAACTGCGAAATCAGGCTCTACAACTTCTCGAAAAAGAAATGTTATTTTTTGATCTTTCGATTTATTTGATTGGAGTATTGGAGCTCTAAAAAAATCAAGAAAAATACTTCATTTTTCATATATATGAAAAATACCTCATTTTCATACCCGTTTTTTCCATTGGAAATACCCATTTTTTCGAAATCTTATCATTATCTCGCTTTGTTAACTGATTATAAGCCTAGCGCACTTTTTTTCAACAAAACTATTCAAAAAAACTTCTTCGATTCCCCTTTGGTCAATTTTTAAATTGATAGAAAAAATAAGAAATCCGCAAAAATCACCGCGTTAATTCTACTGCATGCCATGTAGAGCCGGACGTGGGATTCGGCAAGAAATAGCTTCTCTTGGATATCTGCCAAGCGAACCATTAGCGCCGGTCGCTTGTCATGTTCATCCAGCGGCCCGATTACTGCCATCCGCGAAAATCGCATTTCCTGAACACGTCAATCTACATTCTCGCTGCAGGCGTCAAGCCAACCTGTCTGCGCTTTTTGGGTCGGAGGATCTTTGCCACTATCAAGCCAGCGAGCACCGTTTGCAGAAGAACTCCGACTACACATTGAGCACAGAGGGTCAGATACGCTCCCGGACAGGTGTCGGTCATGTACCTGCGGAATAAGGCTTGAATATCATCTTTTCTTCAAACTGTTTTACCGTAGCCCGTAGCCGATGGTGTGTTGAGACTCCATGCTGAAAAAAGATCATGAAAGTTATTTCGATTTATAGCTGATTCACGCCTGATTTGGGGCGTTGAGTGGGCGTGGCACCAACTAGACACTTTCTTTTTTATTATCGTGTCAGGACCCTTTTTTGATGGCTCAAGCCAGCCGTGAATCAACTATATTCGCTTGAGAATATGAAAAAGAGAAATTATTGAATTTATCTTGACGCTTCGAAACTCAAAAAGTATCAGTCTAATCTTGAGAATATTTGATAAAAACTTTCACCTCCCATAGACTGCTTCATCTGAACTTTTTAGAGTTCTAAAAAACTTTTCTTAGTTTTAAGAAAATCTTCTAGAGCTTCTAGAGTTTGAATGTTTTTCAAATCGCGGCTTTATATTTCAAAACTACTTTTTCCTGCGACAAATCCAATCTCGAGCCTTCATTTTAGTATGTCCAGGATTTTATCGAATCGATATACAGTACCGTCCGAAAAGATAAGAAAAAAAAAACGACTTTGGTCTTTCTTGTAAGGAACTCGATCTTTTTTAAAGTTTCTGAAGCTGTGTTTTTCTTGTGAATTGAAACATTATCAAAGTGTTAAAAATAACAGTCATCACAACTCCAGAAAGTCTCAGAAAGATTGAATTCTTTCCAAGAAAGTTGTGACCGGAACTCCGTTTTTTCTTATCTTTTCTGAAGGTACTGTATATAGATATATTATAAATTTCTTATTTTCGAGTAGCAACATCAAACTACATTCTCTGTCGCCTAGATTTCTTGAAACTTCTCAAATCTCAATATCCCGCAGATGGATTCATTAAACCCCTTCCTCATAAGCGTTTATTATTCCTATAATCCAATGAAAAGAAGGTATTAGAATGCCAAAAGAGAACTGCCTGGAAACGGCTTATTTACTTCGATTCCACCACGACAAGAATGGAAGCATTTACCTGAACAAAAAAGCGCTAATGAATGTGTCGACGTTCGCTATACAAGGAGATTCTGTCTGAAAACTTCGAAATTGTTCTCGAAAACGGTCGGGATAATATTGACTTGATTGATCAAATATAACCCACCTTTTTGTACTCGTTCAGCCTGCTTATTGCATAGTAGAGGACGGCGAAAAACATCCAAGAAACGAGAAAACCTCCAGAAAAAATGATTCCGATCGTTCTCCAACTGCACTCGATGACAAGGTGAAACCAGTTTCTGCAATAGCGCCACCTAGACAGACGGTGCATTTATCTCCCAGCATAGAAGCAGCACAGTAGAAGCGTTATTTTGAAATCTTCAGGTTGGACGTGATCATTTTTTACAAAAACCACGGTTATCACCACTCATGGCGGATTGGAGTTTGAACTTTTTCAGCCAGTCCATTTACAAAAAAAAAGTTTTACTAGCCGGAAAGGCTTTTTGGACCATTTTTCGTCGAAAATCAAGATAGATGATTAAGGAGATTTTTTTGATGCAGGAATATTCAGAACGGATCTCTAATATCATAAGAACTTTTTCAAGCAATTCAAAATTGAAGTTTCCCTGATTATCAGAAAGCAACCTGACAATTATAAATCGAAAAGCTGTTTGAATGAACTTTTTGGGCTATAATTATCAAAGTACACTTTCAAATTCTCAAAAGTGTCCCGCTTGCTGGAAAGTCATGAACTTTGAAGAAATAGGAGCTCGTTGCAAGTCAAAAGTGTTACTTGTAAGCTGCTTTGAATCTTTCTGGGAGTTGAATATTGTTCAGCAACGTTCGTCCATCTTTGGCAACGAGTCGCGCTCTTCTTGGCGTGAGCTCTGGCGCCGATCGCGACAATCTCCAACCGTCTGAAAAAAATAGTTAGGGTAAATTGACCAAAAAATGCTCCGGAGATGACGCTCAAGTTTCCCATTCTTCAAATTCCGGATTTTTCTAAGGGAGGAGATCACCTCACATGCTCCACATGCCCCAAATCCAGAATATTTAACTTCTCAGATCTTCAATCAATCAAATCATTTATTTTGTTGTTTTAGTCTGATGTAATCGACTAGGCGGTGAACAAGAACCCTCAAAATTTGATGTTTCTACGATCCCGCCTTCCTTTGATATCCTCTCAGAGGTATTTTCAGAGCGAGAAAGCTTTATAATGTGTTTTTTTTTCTCTCTAAGCCTGATTAACCCATAAATTTCCATAATTATGTGTTGGGCCGCAAGAAACTATTTTCTGTGACTTTTGACTTTTTGATTTAGATGCTCCTTTTCGACAGAAAAGAGATGTTCCAGCCTTACGTTCCAATTTTGATTTGCGCCCCCTGGCTTCATCGCTTCTTTCGGTTTGTAATCATGTTGGCACGCGGCAAATTGAATCGCGAAAAAAGTCTTCGAAGCTTCAACTAGATGTCGTTTTTTAAGAAAACTTCACAGCGCATGTTTTTTTTTTCTTGGCAAGCTGCCGTTTAATCCGCATTTGACGATTATTCATATGAGCTGATAGCCTGATTTTCAAGATAGCCCTCGAAGATGCTTTGAGGACCCGCAGAAAAGATAAATTTCAAAAGCTTTTGGCAATAGTAGGAAAAAAATGCATTCATTCTATTGAGTCGTTTTCTATGAGGTTTACGGAAGGCCAGCGCAATCAGCTGCAAAACACTGGCTTTTGACTATTATGTGCGCGTCTGATGGAATGCCAACTGGGAATAACATGACTACGTTTTTTTCCCGAGATTTGAGAAGCTTTCAAAATCCCTGTTGGGAAAATTTTCAACTCACTTAGCTCTTTTTTCTGGCCTCCTTCTCCTGATAATCGTTCGAGTTCTTCAGCCAGAGACATAAGTCTGTAAATCGCACAAGTAATAAAAAGAAAAAGGGACTTGTATGAGAATGAGAAAAATGATAAAGACCAGGGCTGTTGGAAAGATGAATGAAAAAATTATTCCGATTGGAAAGAAAGTTGTGAAAGAAGAAGGAGAAATCAAATCATTTTTAAACGTGAAGACAACGTCATTTCATATGTCAAAGAACTCGAAAGTAAGAGCGGTTTTTCCCAATGAAATCTTAGAAAATAATTCAGTGGAACATGGGAAATTTTCTAGGATAGGTTATCAGATTTATATTTTTCAAAAAATTCAGCACGGATAAATATCCCTTGATCGACTACCCCTGAACCCTCCACAAAACCGAATAAACTTGAATCTCAAGAACGGAAGCTCCGACTTCCGCGTTAAGTGAAAGCTCGGAAGATTGTAACGCCAAGCAAAAAGTCCTACCCATGCATCCTCGAGCGTTTTTCTAATTAGAAAACACTTTTTGCAACCGGAGTAATTCCAGTTGAAAACAGTGGCTCGCTATTTCATAAACCCTCCTTCTCGCGTAACAAACTGGGCTCCATTAAAGAAATTATATTTTTTCGTCTTGTTTTCATCTGAATTTCTATATAAAATTCAATTGAATATTCAAGACATTCAAGCGGAGGCTGGTTGAAAATTGAAATTGCAGTTTTTAGATATTCAAGCAAGATTTCTGACAAGGGAACCCTTTGAGAATGAATTTGTACATTTGGTTGATTGAGAACATTGAAAATTGGGAAAATGTACTATTTCTAACAACTTTTTGAAACTTTGGTCATCTGCCATAAGGTAAAATAGCTCATCGCAGGTGCATTTTAATTAACTGAACTTATCAAAAAATTGTTTTCAGAGAACTCACATTCAAATTAAACACTTTTTCTATGAATCGGATTTTTTTACTATAGAAAATGCAAATACTACTTCAAAGCATAGAGCAAGAAAAAAATAATATAATAAAAGACGAAGGATTGCCCTTGGCACATTTCATTATCACTTGGCTTTGCCTAAATCAATGTTGTCAGCTTTGGTGTCTTGCGAAGGCATTTTTATTTCCCGACATGAGAAGTGCAAGTTTTTTCTTGAAATCGATGTTCTTGTCAGTTTTGCCCCATGGGACTTGATATTCGTTATTTCCGAACTGCTTGCTCCAAATGTCTGTCGTAAGAAAAGAAAGATACAAATGAAGGAATGAATCCAATTCCGTTTATAGATAAAAGTAAGAAAAAATTGTCGATCTCCTGAGTAAATTGGAAAAATTCTGAAGGCAGACTACTTCTAAAGGTAATAGTATTGAATATTGGCCGCCAAAAAACCGTTCGCACTTTGTTGCAACTTTTTATCACTTACTTTGAATGCGGTCTTTCCGGTTGAGAACCACCCGAGGACAACTTTTTTTTCTATTGAACTATGGTGATACTTCAAAAGTGAAAAAAATTAGAGATGACACAATTCTTCATTGAAGAAAAAGAGTTTCTTTTGGTCAGAAAAAAATATTATTTCTCAAAAAAATCACATTACAGCTTCAAGATCCAGCTTCTCTTATAAAAAAAGGTTTGATTGAAAAGGATGTACTCTGCTCGAAAATTCTGTTATTCATTTCTAACGCTTATTTCCGATAGATACTTCCGAGAACATTTTTTTGATGGAAGGGAAAAATGTTCGACCTCACTTCGTAATTCATATTTATAGAAGAGAGGGTCTTTAATCGGAAAAAAAAATGGAAATGGCAACAGTATGAATAGAGTTAAAGTGACTAGGAAATTGAATTTTTTTTTCACGATCATGAAACTCATTTTCTGACTTCAATAAGTTTTCAGCACGAGTTTACATTAACAAAACAAAACCAAAATCAAAATTAGAGTTTTCGAGGGACATCTGTAGAAAAAAATCGCTTCAAGTTTTAGTGGAGGAAAAAAACTTCTGAAGAAATCTGTCTTGATGAAAAACTCTAATTAATTTCATTTTTTTCAGTTTCATTCAAGTATTCTGAGGGATACGCATGAAAAAAGTCTAGAATTGTTTAGGCCTCAATCTTTCAAATGTTGAAAGTTTGAAACGAAACCAAGTGTTGAATTAATAACAAGGTTCGAAAGAAGCTCTGCAGCCGACTACAACGAGTTCGGCATCAAAGTGGGAGTATTAGGAGGAGAGTGAGAGAGAACAAGCCAAATGGCTGAAGGCTGCACAAATGAGCGGGAAACAAAACGAATGCATCCGGCCTGGGAGGCGAGACGTTCGAAATAGGCATAATGGTGCGTGGAATTCCAGAAGAACGAACAAGAAAGAAGTGGGTGCCACAAAAATTATCTGCTCCACTCGGTACCTCCGGCCAACTTTTTTTTTTCCGGCCTCTCTCCGAAAGTGTCGTCGGCTCTTACAAGGGAGCGCGTTTAAATGAGAATTCAAGCTTCAAACGTCTCGACCCCTCGGTTTTTTTTTCTCGCCATTCCATTTGGTTGTCCGGCTCCATAAATGAGTTTTTTTCTTGATAGTTTTAGGTTGAGATTTCGATTGGGATTTTTAAGAGCGATGAACACATTTATACATGTATTCAGTCTTCAGAGAAGATTCTTTGCTATAATTAAGATGGATATAAGGGGTTTTTTTATTAACGCACTACCCTCTAAAAATTAAAAAAAAACCAGTTTTTGATGTAATGTTGTCACAAAGTTTTTTTCGATTGAGTCAAAAAAATTTTTCTGTAGTTTTTTTCAATTATTTTTTTGGGAAAAAAATTAAATCTGTCATATTACCTATTTCTTAATAAGAAGATGATTTTTTGATCATATTTTGTGAAAAAAAGAAAACGAATTTCTCAGTTTTCAAACAAGTTTACAACACAATAATTTTTCAGATTTGAAAAGGCAAGATTATATGTTCATGAACCAGACGAGTTTTTTTAAACGATTACCACTTCCTTACTTTCAGATATAAAAAATTCATGACTTCATATTGAATCCGATTTCCCATCGGCGGACGAAAAGTTGTGGGAATTTTCGCGCTCTTATTGACTTCTTAAACTCAAGATTTCCACATTTTTTTTGGGCAACTTGAGATCATGGGACTTTTCCCGGACCTTTCGAAAAGATAAAGTGTTAGTCGCGCACTTGCAGATTGAAAAAAAATGAAAGGCTTCGCGGATTCTTTTTCTTTTCCCGTCGTGATATCGAAAGTGTGACACAAGGTATAAAGACAAAAAAGTGAGTAAACAGAGTAAGAAATGAATCATTCAGTGAGCTAGTTTATGCACTGAAACTTTTCCTATTCCTTCCGATTTTGAGGAAATCTGATAGCTATTTTGATAAGAAAAAATTTGGGATGGCAATGTGAAAATATATGAATAAATTATCGAAATCGAGGAATTCTCGCCTATAAAAACAAAAATACAAATGCGACTGCACATCTGTAAACTTCCTCCGTACGTGCTTTCGTATATTGACAGGAATCTCGTTATTATTCGACGTCGAGATTTCTCAGAAGGACTGAGTTAATTCGAAAGCAAAGCTGAAACAAGTCTTCACAAGATTTCTTTTTTTCTTAGGAAAGTCTCAAGCTTTCCGTCGCGAATGTCGAAAGCCGCGCAGCTCTGCTTGTGGCGAGAAGAGAAAATTTTATTAATTCTCATCGACCCGTTATTATACTCTCCGATGAGCGGTGAGTGGAGTGAACCAAACCCGACTAGTACACAAATTTCGGCTTATCATGTTAATATTACCCTGGCGACGTGATTTCAAGTAGGAGGTATTTTAGTCGCGTTAAAGTTCTTATCTCTGAAAATTAGCGTAAACATGACCTCTGAAAACTTTTTTGAAGGTTTTCTTTCAAAATCAGCATGGATAAAAGGGATGATTATGATCTTATCGGGTTTGTAAATTGAAGAAAACTGAGATGAAAAAAGAAAGCTATCTGCACTAAAAGCCCTGGGGAATCAGCAAATTAGTGACTCACTAAGTTGAGTTCAAAATTTGAAATAATTCAGAAAAGAAAAGGATAAAAGAGATAAAAAAGAGCGGCAGAGCTGGGGGCGGTGCGCGAATGTATGATAATCAGGAGGCGTGTCTTCTTTCGCATAGCGCTCTCGACTCTCAGCAAACCGCGTGGCTCGCTCTCGCAGAACATGAGCATGGTGACAAGTTGTGAGACGGCGATGATTGAAAAAACATGGCACGAAATCCGGAAACAAGTTACATGCCGTCAGGACTCAACACGCATAAACGTTCCTCAACAAGGAAGGACATTCAAGAACGACTCGAAATGTTTTAGGGAGGAACCCTGGGAGAATGAGAATGATTTTAAAGTGGAAAAACAGAATATTGAATAATTTGCCGTTTGGAATGAAATTTTTCTGACTTCCAACCTCAGAAAAACGAATATTTTCATCAGCAAAAAATCGAAATTTTTTTTTGACAGCTGTAGTTCCCATTTTTTATTCCAATTCTGCAGAAGGGAATCTCAAAAGCTTCAAAAAATCTCCGAAAATACAAGAAAACGAAGATTTTTTAGGCTCAAATTGAAAATAAACAATTGAAAAATATTGTCGCGTGAAAAGAGACAAATGGCTAATCTCAGTTTCATCAACAAAAAGGAAAGCTTTTGAACAAAATTTCTCATTTTTTTACTCTGCCTCCTTTCGATCACCAACTTTTGAAAACTCTAATATTACTAATTTTTGAGAAAATCTCGAAGAAGTTATTTTGAATCTTTGTGTGAAATCACTCAAAACTCTCTATGCTAAGAACATTTTCTCAAAAAGAGTTGCTGATTGAACTTAAAACTTAATTTTATCTAGAGCAACCCTTGTTTTTTTCTTTAGACAAAAAGCTTAAAAAAAATGTGTTTGATCTCAGAAATAAACCGAAAGCGAATTTGCAAGTGGTTTCAAGGAAGCAAACAGAAACAAGCACGTATCCAATTACCGTAGCACCCGATAGTCTACTGGTCCCAGTATCGAGCTTTTTCTTCCAAAAGAGTAACATTTAGAAAAAAACTCGTGTGAAAATGTCTTTGAGCTCAAATCTTGGTATTGTATTGCATAACAACGGGCTGGAGAGAACTTTTCGCTCAAGGACAAATTGAAGAAAAAGTGGTAGTTCTCATGAATAATGTGAATTATTATGAAAAGTGCTGCGCTAAATTTGAAAACAACCGCTCGCCGCGGCGGCGGCCTTTTTTCAAAGTTAACAGCTGAAATGAGCAAGCAAAATCCGAATTAAAGCACTTTGCATACTGGAGAAGCCAAATCTGAAACTTGATCTTGTAATTGAACAACGCAGATGTATGTACACAAAGACGGAGAAAAAAAAAGTTCCTTTTTGATCCTTGCTCCACTTTTCCCCACGCGTTCTCGCAGAGCTTGAAAATTTTTCGGAGCTCGATTGAAAGACGTGGAAAAAAATTTTCGAACTTGAACCAGTGAAGCTCTGAAAACTGAAAAACTCATATGATCTCAATCTGACGAATCTGGAGGGTCAAGCGAGCATTTTTTTTTCAAACAAGCATTTCCTGAATAGAAAGATAACTTCCCACTCGGACCAATCTGCAGAAAATTCTAAAATTTGTTCGAGAGAAATTTAACAAATGAGAGGGATCTGAGAAGACCAAAAGGATTTTTAAAATCATTGTCTGTCACATCTAAAATTGTCCAACTCTTATAAAATCATACGCCACAAGAAAAAAAGATCATTTCTTGGAAACTAAGTAATCGTTCTCTAGATTTCTCTCTTTTACTATATATTCACACTTTTTTAATATTCTCTGTCTAATCTGTATGCGCTCTCTTATACATCGTTGAAAATGAAAGCCTGAGACCAGCTGTAACTGTTTATTAAATTTTTAAACGGATTATGAATCAGGACTACACTCACAGAGGAGGTCGTTTTACTTTGTGCATGGGATTTTCTCAAAATTTGGCCAGAACAAACCTAGGTGTACCTTATTTTTTCAAAAGATCGAAATTAATACACCCCATGAAGATCAATTTTTGCGCTCCGTTGCTAAAACTCCCACGTGAAGGAAAGAAGAAAATTTTTGCAATTAACTGACTCATCCAGTTCGAAACGGATCATCGAAGCGGAAACAGAAAGAAAATCCACAAAAATCTTGAAAATGACAAGGTTGTTAACTGCAATGAGATTTTAGGCTGAATCAGAACGAACCAGTTGGAATTCCGTCGCTCTCCCACGCTTTTTGAGTGGATGGGTGGTTTAATAAGAAAAATATTCTCACGTCTAGGGAGCTGACTGGCTTCAGAAAAAAACGTACGATCTTCTGGGAAGAATGAAAAAATCCGACATCACGAGGTGCAAATGGGTCACAAGTCTGTCAGAAAAAACGATAGTTATCGAAATTTTTTTTGGGTTTCTTGAGCTGAAATTGGAAAAAAAAACCAGATACTGGGTCATAAGTTTTCATGAAATGAGGGTGAATAAAAATAACAATTTTCTCGATACAATTTTCTCTTATTACATAAGCCTTTGTATAGTCTGCGTACGACAACTTGGAATTTCACCAAACGACATTCCGCTGTGCCGCTGCGCGCCTTTGCCAACCTTGGTCGCGCTTTTAGTTTTTTTTTTCTTCTTTTTTTCACGTTCTCTACTTACATGTGCTCCCACAGAAATAACAATCAATTGAAAGCTTAATTTATATTCGAAAGACGCTTCACGAACACACGCAGCGGAACAGCGGAATGTCGTTCGGTGAAATTTCAAGTCATGGCACACAGGCTTCAACAATTGAGGTATTTCCTATAGTACTGATTATTTTTTTGTGCATGACGTTCCTTTCAATTAAACTTAGTCAACAATTGCATTTTTCACATTTTCCGTCCAACAACTTCCCCTATTAGAGCCTTTTTTCGAATTGTTTCTTAGAAATTTTTACGTTGAAATTTTTTAGACTTTCAGTAAGATATTGGGTTGAAAAATTATTCGAATCGCTGTTCGAATGAGAGACAAAAAGTAAAAATTTCAATTCCAAAAGGTTGAAGGAATTTATTGATCCACAGGTTTTTTAAAAAGGTATTTTTTTACAAGTTTTTCATTGTGAGAAACTATTGACATGAATATTTTTATTAAAAGCAAAAAAATCACACAATTTTTTTGATCTATATTGATAGAAGTCCAATTTCAAAAAAATTCGAAAAATCAAAAGTTATGCCAGGGTTTCTCGGTAATCTTCGGCAGACTGACGGACGACGAATTGTTGTTCGAGTCGATCGGGACTTGCTGAAATCAAAAGTAGAATAAAAAGATACTTCTCTGGAAACCTTGTTGACGGCAGATCTTCCTTTCGCTTTTGGCCGCATGCGGGTCGGAAGCATGTAAATCTCCACCTCGCTGCAATTCGAAGTTTTTTTCAAGGAGCTTTATGGTTGGACTGTTTGCAAGCTTGAAATATTATTTTTATCGTTCCAGGATTTCCAATAAAACCGGGGGTATGTAGGGAGTTCCCAGCTTTTTTTGAAGACGGCTTGACTTCAAATTGATCACATTTTTGGGAATCTAGTCTATTTCAAATAAAATATTTTTAATTCGGTACAGAAAGCTGTTTTTTTGCTGTTCCACTGTAGTGAGAAGATTTCAAGCGCTGCAATCTTTTTCTACACATCTTCGCAATAATAATAACCTTTAGCTGACTGAAATCAAGCTTGAGAGTTACCTATTCCCATTTTTGAACAGGTCGACTTCGGCTCTTCGTAGCCTGGCAGAACGCACCCCGTAATGTCGTAGGCTCATATCGCAGAAAGATAGCAAACTTTGAACTTTTGAGAGTAAATCAGCCTCATTTTTGTACTTGCTCTCTGCGGTTTGGAAAACAAACATGAGGAAAGCATGAAACGGCAAGCCTGAACAATGATTGTAACTTTTTTTCTGTATTAAGCTTATCAACCATTGGTTCTGGATTTTTTGTCGCCAGTGAAGTGATAGTTGATTTCTGCAACTCTTGCATCGATAACTTGCGGCGGCATGACGTCGGAAAGATTGCACTTCCTCAATTTTGCCCAATTTAATTCCCTAAGTCAGAAAAGACTCACCGAACAAACTGTTTCAAACCGGAAATAGTAATATTGACGTTGTTTCGGAGTTGAAGGAATTGCATGTAGATATACATTGCCTTGTCCAAGAACAACAAATGTCCACTGTGTGCGCCGTACCGTGTTGGGAAAATCTGTGAGAACATTTTTCACTTTTTAAAAAACCAGATATTCGAACTTCACTGAGATGTGGCTTTCTTTGACGCTTTGAAACTTGCATGTCGTCAATGGACTTTGCATCGTCGGCTTTATTTTCTGACCTGAAGAGCAAAACAAAAAAAACTTTATTATCGGATTTGATGTTACATTTCTTGTGAACCGTATTCTTCTTCCAGCAAGCCAAGGACCAACAACAACGTGTCTCGAACCAAAGGCACTTTGATAACCTGGATTTCATCAGAATTTTTTGAAAAGGTTAAATACTCGATAAAGCTGATTCACGGCTGGCTTTTGCCATCGACAAAATCCCTACAGCCTCTCAGCGCCACAAGCTAGCCGTGAATCAGCTCTAACTCAATTCTAAAAACATAAGAATCGAGAATCTGGGAAAATTTTTAGTGGCCACTGTAGAGGCCCGCCAAGGACTACTTGGAGAGGACACTGAAGTGGCCACTAATCCCACTTCTACAGTGGACTAGGAGGTTCTCTATTTTGGGGCCACTTCAGTAGTTTTTCATCCAGTATTCCTTCCAGTAAAATTGATAATTTTAAAACAAACAGATTGGACCAGTTATGTTGATCCATGGACCCCTTAAGTGGCCACTAAAATTTTTAGTAGTCTAGTATTAGCACTTAGAGCTCCATAGTGGCCAATTTTCAACCCCTTAAGTGGCGACTAATTTGACTACTATAGTGGCCAATTTTCAACCCCTTAAGTGGCCACTAATTTGACTACTATAGTGGCCAATTTTCAACCCCTTAAGTGGCCACTAATTTGACTACTATAGTGGCCAATTTTCAACCCTTTAAGTGGCCACTAATTTGACTTCTATAGTGGCCACTAAAACGCCGAAACCCTATAGTGGTCACTAAAAATTTTCCCAGACCATTTGAAAAAAAGAAAATCTCGATAATAATTCAAAACCTCGTCTACGATGCTCCTTGTCTTGAGTCCTTCTGAGAACGGAGACCCGGGAACTGGCACGATGTGGTCCGTCGAGAGAGAAGGCGCCGAATTCACTTCCAAAAGCATGGGTTTACCATCCGCTCTGACCAATATGTCAAACCCCATTATCTGAATCAACCTTGATCAGAGAGAATTTTTTGAAGATCCCCCACTTGAAAACACTGTGGACCCGACAAATCATGAAAGTGATGCTCGTAATGGAGCATCACTTCGGGGAGCATTGCCAGTGTCGTTTTCACGATAATGAGTTTGATGTCGTGCCAAAGGCGCTTTGTTTTCACACCTCTGGCTTCCAGTTGGTGGAAGACCGTCGACAAAAGACGTTTACTTCCTGAAAAGGTGAAATTAATGACATATCTTCCATCTGCATCAGGAAAAGTTATAGTTTGACTCTTGGCTACTCAGGTAAAAGTTGGGAAGCTTCTGCTTTCGGTTCCTCGGAAGAAAGCTTTCCAGCAACTAGTCAAACGCCTTCTACATAGTTTCCCACCACCTTCTACTTAGAAAAAAGCTTTCCAGAAGCATTCCAGCAGGGTTCTGGAAAGCTTCTGGCGGGCAATTTCCATTATCACCTTCCAAAAACCTACAAATTTCCTTCCAAAGGCCTTCTCAAGACCTTTCTAGCTTCCATTCATTTTTCAACCTCCTTCTTATCAACTTCCGAAACTTTGCCTGAGTATATTTCAGGTCATTCAAGTTGCCGCAAATGAAATTTAGCTTATAGTGTTCCTTTTTGCGACCAATTTTTCATTAAATCAACCTTTTTTGCTCAATCTACCAACCTTTTATTTGATCCTGTAAAGAGTTGCTATGCACGTAGGAATCATTAGCCTTATTAAGCGAGTAGTTTGTCAAATGGGCGAAGAGGTTCTCGAAATTGGCAGGGTCCGGCTTTTCGTACTTTTCTGTGCAAAAACGGGCCATGCCTGAAATACGAAGTTCTTGAAAACATATATTGTATGATAACCTTCTCGTGCCACGTAAATCGACAGGGGGTTTATACTTTTGATGACGCCGTAAACTCGGAAATCAAACTTGAGTTCGTCGGCCATCAGTAAAAGGATTCCCGATGTATTCCTAAAAAAATTTTTTTCTTGATAAGTCTAAATTTGGATTTATACCTGAACAAGTTGTTTCTGAGTGTTGTCCCGTATTTGTGAAGGATTATTTATCAAATAAATACCAGTTCCCTGGGCACCTGAACTGAGATGAAGTTTAGTATGATCTGGTAGGACTCGCCATCGTTGGGCTTGACGATGAAACACATTTTGTCGCGTCTTGATTTCGTTTGTTCTTTGCAATAATTCTGAAAATAGTTATCTTTTTTTCATAAGAAAATTCTCTCACGTTGAAATCTTGCAGGTGAGCTGGCAAAAACCAAGAACGGGGGTAGAATGAAAACTCTTCAGGAAATAACTTTTGCATGGAGCCGATGGCGTGAGTCAGCGAGATTTTTTTCGCTAACTCGGTCATTCCTATATAATGTCCCTTGTTAACAAAAAAAATAGAAAAATAATTACCTGGGAACTTGTTAACTTTGGAGTTGCTCGATCTAACGACGCTTTTCATGTCGTTGTAAACGACGTTGTGCCAGTAGATATCACATGGTCCTTCAGGGTTACCATTGGGGTACTGAAAGGGACTCAGTTCATTGATTTATCCTTGATTGAAAAGATAATTCCGTCATTTTTTTCTTGTTAATTGAAAAAGAAAGACTTTTCAAAAGTTTGACTGGGATCAAGATAACAAAAAAGTTACTATGTCTTTTTCAAATGTGGATATAGCAAAAGAGACACAAAATCCTCTAGTTTCGTTGCCATAAATGGGGATTTTATTCCTCGGTGATTTGTTCAAATTATCAAAGAGAATCCAAACGCGGGAAATAAATCCTATAGGTTTTCTCAACAGAAAAAAAATTAGGTTTTTTATGATCCTAGCATAAGCAAAACGGACGAGGAAATTGGAAAGAAACCTCCTCGATTCCAATCTTCCGCGAACATAATGAGACGACTGGTTGATTGGATTTCGCTCGTGACGAGTCGATTGTGTATTTCCTGTGGTTTGGAGCGCGGTAGGTACGTGTGAAGGAAGCACTTCAAACAGATCAATTCAAATAAGGCAATTTTTTTCCTTATTACTTAGAAATTCCACTGGGAGGCCTATGGTTGAGCATGGAGCCAGCGGATGAAGATCTGGTCAAAGGACGACCCGAAGGCTGCAAAGTTGCTCTATGGAGTAATTGATCAAAAATACGTGGGGGGAACACCTTCAAGTTCCTCTTGTATACGAAGTGCTTCAAGGGACAAATATCGATAACGCTAATGCATCAACAAACTTCTTATGGTGTAAACAAATTTTCAGAAAAAATTTGAAAAACGCATTAATTTATAAACGTCCTAGTAACCTTGAAGGCTGTGGATGAAGTGCGGAGCTCTTGCTTCGCAGTTTCTGCGCGAGCAGTCGCCACCGGTCTAATTGGAGTATCACGCGGAGTTGATACCTTTCGCACTGCCTGAAAACACACTTTGTATCTCGAGGCAACCATTAAATTATGGGTTGAAAAACGGAAAAGAAAAAGAGCACAAGCTCTTAGTAATAGCATGTTAGATGTGTCCTCTCTACGCAGTCGCGTGACTTTTTAATTATAATTAATCAATCAGGCGAAGAATAATGATACCGTAAACTCATGACTCAAAGGTACTTCGATATTTCTACACGAGTTCTCGACTGATAAATTTTCTGAAAGGGACTCTAATCACCAATATTATTCTCCAACCTGTCCCGGATGAACTTTGACGGTAGAGTAGACAACTGGAGTGAGTGAAGACAAGTCGCAACCCATCCAACATCCTATTTTCAGTTTTCAGATTCTGGCGAAAAGATTTCGCGAAATCTCCAGAAACTATAAGCCGCAGTACATCAGATTATCTGAAAAGAATTCATTTTTTATTCCGTTTGACAGAATCAAGGCAACACAAAAAATGCGAAGAAAGAAAAGCGCAAAACTCAACAAAATTGGAGAACAAGAAAAAGCATTGAGGGCTGCAGGTGCCCCGAGCAACGAGGCAAGCTTCTTTAATTTTTGAAATCCTTCCATTTACCGGAAGAAACCAAACTTCGGAAAATGAAGCTTTTCGGAGCATTAAACACGTTTAAAGTTTGGTGGAACAAATTTGAGAAACAAAAAAAGAAAATAAAAACGTTAATAGTTAATTTATCACTATTTTGATGAAAATATCAATGCACGCCATTTTTTCAAATTGAAAAAAAGTTCTTAGTTTATTCTCAATCAATTTTTTTCTGAAAAAAATCAGCCATCAACTGTTTTTTGCCTAAGACTAGCGGGAAAAAGCCTTTCATTCATCCAAAAAAAAAAATTTCTAAAACCGACCTTTTTCGCCTCTTCATATGATTTTTTTTGACTTTCACAGTTTTTTTAAGCTTTTTTTATTTTTTTATTAAAACCTCCCATACCAACGCCAGAGTTTAAAAAACCAAAACAAAATCGCCGGCCACTATTAAAAATCTCGTACTGCTTCATAGGGCACTCAACGTGACCGGAAGTAAAGTGGAGCCAACTCTCAAAGAAACGCGCCAGCTACCCCTATTACGTTTCTCTGCGTTTTCGAGTTATTCCAGTACACCACTTATGATGACGTCATCGAAAAAAAAATTCCAAAAGGCTGCGAATTAGCGCCTTACATTTTTGGTCGGTCGCTTTGCAACGGGGTTGCTATAACGACAAAAGAAAGAACAACGGATTAAAAACGAAAATAGTAAAAGGAAGCCGGCGTGTTTGTAAACCAATCCTATGTGTGATCGCATCTTTTAAAGTGTTATGTCGGTTTGGTGGACAAACAACGCGAAGTTAACAAGGATTTATGTCAAAAATAAAAGTCGGGAACGTAGTTATGATCTTGGCGGGTATTGTAGGCCTTCATCGTTGGATCGCCGATGTGTTTCCAACGTGGCGGATGTGTTCTGGGCTTCTTCCCCTCAAATTATAATATGAATTGGATCTTCATCAAGTTTTTTGATAAGTTGAAAATTTGGGATTTGAACGACCAAAAATTTAAAATTCTCATCGAATAGCTTTTTGAAAAAAAGACAACAGGGAGAATAAAAACTTGGCTGTTTACTGATTTTATAATTTTTCAGTGATTTTTATTGATTTTTCGTATTGTAAAAGTTAATCAGAAGCTTCAAATAGAAAGATTGTCAGACTTCCAAGAACACCAAAACTGTTCAATCTACATGAAAAAGAGCTATAAAAAAACCTGGATCAGATGATTAGATTTTTGTCTCTTTCTTCAGTATGAGATAACTTGATATATTTTTTCGAGAAAAGTTTTTTTGAAAATGGACAGAATGGTTTTTGAAACCTTGTTGGTTGCCGATTTCATCAGTGGCTCCGTTGGACGAGGTCCGAGATTTATCTCCGACCTGGCTTTTCTGAGAATGGAGACGGGCTGTTTAGAGCTTTGAGTTCTCGCTTTATCTTGTTGGTACCGCAAGTCCTATGAATTTTATTGAATGAAGGATTTTTTTGAAATACCTGATGTTTTCGAACTTTCATAGAATGAGAGTCTCCTATTTTAGTTTGATTTACTGTTCCTGGTCGAGTTTTTGGTTTTTTGGAAGGTTTTCTGTAAGACATGTGTTCCTTGGAAATTCAAAAATTTGGCAAACTTCTTTCTGATGATTGGTGTAACAACAGGAGTTGGAGCTTTTTGATAATCTGAAAGAAAAAAAAAATTAAAATTTGTTCATTAATCCAACCGTCAAGTAGCCAGGTTTCTGATTTGCTTTGCCTGATACTTTGCACCGACTTCGGAGGTCGGTTAGAAAAATCGGGTTCAGAAAATGTTGGTGAGATTTCTCTCGTTTGAGGTCTGCCGCTGCTCCAACTAAAAAAAATGTGGAACTTTCAGAAAAGTAATCTTTGAACCTTATTCTTCTGGTGCTTGCTCGAGAAGGTGGATGCCGAGATCGACGGTGCAGATGAGGGTTTATTGCTGGAAAATTTTGATTGGAAAAGGTGTCCATCAAATGGGAGGGTCACTCTGATAACCACGAAGATCTTGAGAATGAAAGTATTTTTTAATTTTTCCTAAAACTCAAAAGTTGATAACTTTTTTTCTGAAACCCACGTATTATGTCGACCACTGCCGGCTTCCTGATTGGTGATTCTGGAGGAGATACATTTTTCACCACATCCAGAGGTTCATCACCTTTTACTCGAAGTCTTAGGAAATAACATCTTCGTAAATCTAAAATTATTTGCAATGACTGGACAAAAAAAAAAAGCGAACCTCGGTCAACACGCGGCATCACAAGAAAAAAACTACCTTGACCATGGATCATCTCCGTTGCCTTGTTTAGCTATTCTCTTTGTTCTACTAGGCAGAAAGCTAGACGCTGCTATGTGGGAATAGATCATCTAAGACCTGTTATGAAACAATTTCAAAAAAAATTTCGTGTTTGTGAAGGGTTTTTAAGCTACCTTAAAAAAAGATCACAGAACCAAATTTTCTCAACTCAAGATTCTCCTTCACAGCTGACCGAAGGTCAAAAAAGCTTTAAAGAATGAAAAACCAACGTCTGAACGATGGCAAGGAAGTTTAAAGAACCGGCAAACGACAATTTCCGTCGATTGTCCAGGCAGGAGAGAGGCGCTGGTAAGCTGATTTAGCATGTGTCCGGCGCCTTCCTACAAACAAATAAACAGGAATCAGCCGTCTTCATCCAGGCTTTTAAAAGCGTCCTGCGAACCGTTTCGCACCGTAAAACTGGGCTCAGATCTCAAGAGGTTTGTCCTCTCTTTTTTTTTCATATTGTGGTTATCTCAACTGAATCATCCTACATTTTTTGAAGTTTGAAATCTCTTGTTAATCTATCGTTTCTCTCACAATTTCATGTTTCAAATTTTATTCTGATTTCTTTTTTTGCTCATATTTTTCAACAGCTTCAGAAACTCTCGACAAAATTTTGGTTATTGTTATAAATTTCCAATGTATTATTTTAATGTTTCAAACGGACTGAATAAGCTTCTCTGATTCTTTTTTGATTCCATCAATTTTCTGATAATTTGTTACCTTTGTTAATTATTCTTGCTTTCAATTTTCGGAAAGTAATTTTTTTGCAGTTGGAATGCCGAAAGTCATTTTTGACGGTCCTGTTTGTCGCTGTGACTGCTAAACCTATGACAAACCAAATCGTAAGTAGTAAATTTTATTTTTGAGAAATCAAAAAAAAAACTTTTCAGGGACAACCATTACAGTACAGCGGGTTTCCTTCTCCTCCGGAGAATCTTTACCCGTCTTCCCACTATGGTTTCATGCTTCCGCCACAGCAAAATAATGTAAGAGAATCATTTTTTGAGGCATCCTTTTTATAGAATTGTTTTCAATTATTTGGGTTTTTTATTTTAACAAGGAGGGAATGAAAATCATCTATTTTCGCTTAGAAAAAAGCTTTTAAAAGCTGCAGATGCCCACCGAAATGCTTTCTTCTGCTCCTGTGGCTCCACAGACTGTGCAGCCCAACAATTCTCCCGTTGCCATGCCGCAACCCGAACAGCCAGCTGTTCAGACGTCTTATGCTCCAGTTCCGACGATTCCGCCGGCACCCATGACCGTCGATGACCAGGATCACATTTTGCTCTCAAGGAGCCTCGCAGCAAACGCCGCAGATCCGTATCGCAAAGGAACTGGATCCTATATGGTTTATTTTTATCTAAAACTTTTTTTTCTTCACTTTTTTTGATAGTTGGTCAGATTTCTCTCTAGTTCACCAAAAGAAAAACTTAAAAATCTCAACTTGCACAAATTCTCCATTTCACTGCCATGAAATTGAAAGAAGTCGATCATGTTCTTTAAAAATATGAGTTATGCAGATTGATAAATTTTTGTGGTTCAAAGATCCCTTAAAAAAATTTGTTTGAAAAAAATTACTTTTTAAATCTCAAAAAAACACCTATTCCAATTTCTTGAAGAGCTAACTACCAAAGTTATAATTTTTTTGAGATGATTAGTTAAAGTCTTTTTTTCAACTCGACTTGAAACATCTTTTTATATTAAGATTTTTTTAATGTCAATTCATCGCTCAAACTCCGCCCCTTATTGTTAGATCAAACCAATCAGAGAGTGAACCATCCACAGAGCATTGTTGGGGGCGGAGTTTGATTCTTGACATTCAAAATCTGAACAGACTAGAATGACAGCTTTACTTTCATGGAATAGTCAAGGGAATTCATTTTACTTTTTGCGAAAGTTCATTCAAGTCATTCCAAATGCGTTCAAAAATTTTCAGAACGGACACGATGCCATGGTACCATGTGCTTCTTACGACGGACGATCCGTGACCATCGATCACCTGAAGATTTCCCCAGAAAGCCTCATTCAAATCGCCAAACTTGCCCAAGCGTTCGGCGCAAGTCCCGACTGGCGAGAGATGAAACTGGCGGAAATGCAAAAAGTGCTCTCTCGAACTGATTCTCAGAATCCTTCAGTCGCTCATCAGTATTCTCGATCCGTTGGGCTTTGAACCTATTTTTTAGACTTTTATTTATCGTTTAATTAATAAATATTGTGAAGGTTATCATTGTCATCACATGAAAAGCTTACAAAATGATGTGATCGCTCAACTTTTGGTCATTCAACCCGGAAAAGACTCGATTGAACTGAAAATTTGTATGGGTTTGTTCTGAATTCAACTAAGAATGAATATGTACAGTGCCTTCAGATAAAAAATACAAAAAAACAAAGTGTCGGTCACAACTTCCTTGTAGGGAATGCAATCTTTCTGAAACTTTCTGGAGTTGTGATTACTGTTATTTTGAACGCTCTGATTGTTTCAGTTCACAGAAAAAAAACGCAGCTTCAAAAATCAATAGGTAGAGTGGACTCCTTACAAGGCAATTGTGACCAAAGTCGCGTTTTTTCGTATCTTTTCTGACGGTACTGTACATATTTTTTTGTGGAATTACTGCAGTTCAAGATTAACTGAACTTGTCAAAGTTAAATTTAGCTATTTATAAAACAAAAAAACAATAAGTTTAAAATTTTTTTGATTCTTTTTGATCCAATAAAAAAATTGAATCAATAAAGGAGAATCAGAGTTTTTTTACATCATGGTGCGAAAAAACCCCCATCATTACCTAGAAATCGATAGATACCATTACTTTACTCCTGTAGTAACCTTCTTTGTAATTCGTCTCTCTGGATCCCTTCCCACGAAGCTCACCTCTTTTTTCCATTTACAAGCGCATAGTGTATTTTGCCGTTTGTTTGCTAAACAACTTTGACCTGGATACTTTGTACCCTTTTTTGCTGAAAAAAAAGATACTTTGTACCTTGTAAACCGTCGATGCTGTTAGCTACGATTTTATCTGCTGATCTATTTTAAATGGGGTGTCTTCATTTATTGTTTCCTGGTCGTTGATAACAGCAAACGTGAAGTATTGGCATAAAATCAGTCATAAATAAAGTAATAATAAAGGCAAGAAAATTGACACAATAATTTTCAAAGAAAACTTTTTATTTGGGCTGCATTTTTTTGTAAGGATAGTTGTGTTTAAAAAAATATATGAAATGAGTTTTTCAAATGAATTCATCTCAGGAATGAAGCTTCAAACCGCCAATTATAGTCCCAAAAAACTTGATCTTGAAAAATAAAATGAAAGTTCTGTAAGGATTTCTATACGGTAAAAATGATCATTTTGCAAAATTCAGTCAAGAAATTTTCCGTTTTTGAACTAAGCTCCAATTTTTTTTTTCACAATCCTATACTTTTTCCAGATATTCAGGCAAGACAATAGGGTCTCTGGATCTAATTTTTCACGATTTACGCAAAGTTCATGTTCGAACTTTATCGCTGAGATCGGAAGAATATCAATCTCCTGACTTCTGGAGAATTTTTCTTCTCAAACTAGCCCGTTTTTTTAACAAGAGAAGCTCCCGCATTTTTCCCAAAAAAATATAGAGAATAGCTATAAGTTCTGAAAAAAAAAGAATTTTTTTCTAGGCTTCAGGAACTTTAGGGCAATTTATCTTATAATATAAAAAAAGGATTCTTTTTCATCAACTTGACCGGTCATTATTTTTTTCTCACATGCCTCCAGAGAAATTTTGATTTTTCCAAATGTCATTAGGCTCAAATATAGAACATGAAGGTTATCGTTTATTTTTTTCAATAAGTCTGAGAGTAAGTTTTTTTAAATAACTACTTATGGGTTCAGAAAAGCCAAAAATTTTTTTAAAAAAAGAATTCTCCTTGGTTTGAAGGCTTCTTATAGAAATTTTTAATTTTTCAAATCTAACCACAAGAAATTTTTTTCTAAAGAATTGGAAATTTAATTTTTCTTTTACTGTTTCTTGGTGAGTTTAAATTTTCAAAACCGCAAAAAAACACCACCCCGTGAATTTTCATCATTTTTTCATTCTCACTAACTACCCGCGGACGGTCTTCATGAACAGGCCAAGTGCAGCGGGGGATGTTTTTTTGCGTCAGGTGCGCTATCTTTTGCTTGTTATCGGCGCCAGGTTACGCAAAACTGATCGACCAATCATAAAACGAAAACTCTCAACAAAAGCGGAAAAAAAACAACAAACCCTTACAAAACATGCGGGGTTCACGTGCCAAATTTAAAACGGCGTAGCCGGAAACTTTGTCCTTTGCACTAGGAGTGAGGCGAACGGACCTTTGCTGAACGCAAAATGTTCTTTCTGGCATGGCTCGGCAACCCAGACAGCCATCAAGGCACCTCGCTTTCTCTGTCTTGAAAAACACTGAAAACAGAACGTCTGGCGCCAAGTAGCTTAGCTTTTTTCCGAAAAAAAACCGCGACTTTAAGCTTTTTTTTTCTTTCGTTTCACTTTTTAAAGAGGTTGTTTTTCGAAACAGGCAGCTTTGCTGAGTTTTGAAGTCTAGAAAAAGCGTAGAAATACAAAAAGTAAAAAAAAGACTTGAGCAGGATTGGACGAAAAACGAGCCAAATGTTTTTACTTAACACGGGAAGTGCGAAAGGTCGAGGTATTGGAATTTCATGAAACTTGGTATATAGGTACTTCCGAACACCCTGAATCCAAAGCAGTTGAAAAAAAGTGCGCCTTTTTGGTTTTAGTCGAGTTAGGGCGCCTCAAAGTTTGCACGCAAAAAATGCATTGGAAGGGAGGAGGGAATGTGTTGCGGCGGCTATCTCCAACTGCCAGCAGGCGGCGTGGTGTAGTGGCTAGAGGCCTTGCGCTGTGAAACCTATAATGCAGGTTCGGACCCTTTTTGGTGAAATTTTTTTTTGCCATGAAGTTTTTCGAAAAAATTGATGAATTTTTGAAGATGGAACGAAAAATACTGTGCAAAGTGTTAAAATTCACTATTTTATGTCGTTTTGAGAAAGAATTTCAACGAAAAAATTTTTTTTAGTCTTTTTTCTCCTGCTCTGTGCAGCAAATTTGGGCGTCGAGATTATTCTTGCGAGAGTTGATAGGTTTGTGATATAAGTAACAACTTATTGTAGTTCTATGCTTCTATTCTTATTCATCAAACGATTTTTTTCTTCAAAGATGGCGGTTAGTTAACCCTTTTCCTTGTCTTTTTTTTCATTCCCTGCAGCATCGCCATATCATCTCGATTGTGAAAATAAAGTGAAGCTGGACTTTGATACACATTTTTACACACATAACGTCATAAAGGAAGGAAAAAGAATGAATCTCATAAAACTTTGATTATATTGGTTCATCAGAAATTTTTTTGGAAGAATGGGTCAACCATTATGGTTAGGCAAGGAAAAATGGTGCAAAAAATTTTTTTGTCGAAATTCTTTCTCAGATGGGCATAAAATGGCGAATTTCAAAATTTTGAGCTGTTCTTTCACTCCATCATCAAAACTTCCTCATTTTTTTCAAATAAAAAAATGGCAAAAAAATAAAATTTCACCAAAAAGGGTCCGAACCTGCATCATAGGTTTCCCAGCGCAAGGCCTCTAGCCACTACACCACGCCGCCTGCTGGCAGCTAGAGATAGCCGCCGCAAGACATTCCCTCCTCCCTTCCAATGCAATTTTTGCGTGCAAACTTTGAGGCGCCCTAACTCGACTAAAACCAAAAAGGCGCACTTTTTTTTAACTGTTTTGGATTCAGGGTGTTCGGAAGTACCTATATACCAAGTTTCATTAAATTCCAATACCTCGACCTTTCGCACTTCCCGTGTAAGAACAACCACTAACTCTGATCCAATTTTTAAGCCAAAAAATTGACAATTGCTAAAATTTTACTGAAAAGTAGACTATATTGTAATACCAAAAAAAGTACTAAAATTTTTTTCAGAGACAATTCTAATTAAAATTTGTTAACTCTCTTTCCCGTTTCAGTTCAATATACCTCAGAAAATTTCTTAAAGTCAACCCCCGTGAAAACTAGAAACATATTTATCAAATTTTAGAAGAGTGTTCATTAAAAAAATCCGAACTACTCGTGACTCTGAAAGTTTTTCGGAACTTGCGGGTTAGACCGTGAAAACTGGTTTTTCCAACCGTCTCCTAGTTTATGATAAACACGGAACTTTTTGAATATTTCAATATTTTTTTATGTAAGGTATTGAGCAGACTAAAATAAGAAAAAAAACTGAATCCTTAAATTATGATGTGAAAGCCGATGGATAAAGAAAAAAAATTTCATCAATCAACTTTTCGATCTTCTTGAACTAGTCGGAACATTATTGTTACTGAACAAACAGAACATTCTTTTTCATCGAAACATGTTCCGATTTTCCTATTGAACCTTATGAAAGCTTCAAATATTTTCACTGCACTTCACCTCAAATTTTTCGGAAGAAAAAAACTAGTATTTATTTGAAGCTTTTTCAAGTTTAGATGACAATTCAGAAAAAGAAAAGGTATAGAACCGTCAGAAAAAAAAGATACGAAACATATCGTAGGAAGCTTAATCTTTTTGAAACTTTCTAAGCGGCGTTTTTTTTTTTGCGGGCTGAAATTTTATCAAAGGGCTACAAATAACAGTCATCCTGATTCCAGAAAGTTTCAGAAAAATTAAGCTCCATAAAAGAAAATTTCGGTCAAAAAACTTATTTTTGTATCTTTTCTGACGGAACTGTTTATCCGTTCTATAAACCATCAGAGAAACTAGGCTTCTGCTCAATTTTGGAACTTTTAATCAAGTTTTAAAATACGAAATAAGTTGAGGATAACTTGAAATATTTACCTTTTAACTAACTTTACTCTTTCCGGCAAGAAAGGAAACTATTTTTCAGTCATTCTGAACCTTCTTCGCTTTTTGAGAACGTCGTGAAATATTCTGAGCTTTTACCGTTTTGGGTTCCATGTTCCTGAGGCCTTCAAGAGCACGTGAAAGCCACGACTTTTGTCGCGCCAGGCTGATGCAACCTACGCAGAATTTTCGCTTTGTGGGGCCACAGAGCACCGCAAACAAACGTAACCGATGAATCGTCTACGTGCTCCCTGAAAACAGCGTAGCCATAGTCTATCATTCACAGGACACCACCGAAAGAATTGAAAGTTCAGTGAAAAT